TAAAGTTTTAATTTAGTAAATTAGCTTATAAAAATTATAGGCTATAGTATTTTATATAATTAGTAATAGGACTTGCAATAATTAAAAGTAGAAAGCTGTAGGCAGTAGTTCTAAATATATAATATATATATAAAAAAAAAATTTTTATATAATTATTTACTTATACTTTTATAGTAAGCTATATTAACTATTAATAATTATATAATGCCTACTAACGCCGTTTATATAACGCCTATTAATAATTTTTTTAATTTTGCTTTTTGCTTTATTATTTTATTAAATATTGTAAAAAATACTTTATATTAAAATAATTTTTTATATAAAACTAGCATATTAAACTAGTACAAGTAAGTATTTAAGTATTTTAATAAATTTAAATAAATTTTTTAAAGTTTAAATACTAGGCTTTTTAGCATGCTAAAGCACTTTATACTTAATTTTTTTTTTTTTTTTAAAAATTTAGACTATTTTAACTAAGAAGAATTCTACTAGAAAAAATTAAATATATTAGCTATATTTATTATTAGCTATTAAATATAGATTTTTTACTGCAGTTTAACTGCAGGCTAAAAAAATTTTATTACTAATTAATAAAAAAAGCTTAAAGCTATTTATATAGCTTTTTAAAATAAAAAGCTTATTTAACTATATTAAAAATTATTTTTACGCTATTGCAGTTACTAGCAATTTAATAATTAAAAGTAGTAATTTTTTGCAGCTATAAAAATTGTATAAATACTTAAGTAGAATAAATATTCTAAAAAATTAAAAAAGTAAGCAATTAATTTAGGCAATAGAAAAAAAGCACAGGCAAAAAAAAGTAAAAAAAATTATATTATAAAAAAAGTTATTTGTGTTACTATTGTCTACATTATTATTATTTATAATACTATTATTATTTTATAATTATTATTGCCTAAAAGCCTAGTATTAGTTAGTTGCTTAGTAATAGTCTAATATTATACTAGATATTTAAATATATGCTTAGAAACTATTAAAAAAAACTGCATTTTAGCAGTTAAAATTATATTAAAAGTTAAAAGTTTATTACTTAGCAATTTTAAAAATAAAAGTACGCAATATATAGTAAAATTACTAATAATATAAGCTATTAATAATACATTAGGTCCTGTTTTCGCAGGAATAAAAGTAGTATAGTTACTTGCTAAAAAGCGCACTGCAAAAAAGTATATAGTAATAGTTTAAAAATAAGCTACTATATATACGCAAAAATAATAAAAAAAAAAAGCTATAATTTTATAAAATTTTTATCCCGCGAAGACGGGACCTAATGTGTTATTAATAGCTTATATTATTAGTATTTTTACTATATATTGCATACTTTTATTTTTAGAATTGCTAAGCAATAAATTTTTAATTTTTTAATAATATAACTTTAACTGCTAAAGCGCAGTCTTTTTTAATAGTTTCTAAGTATATATTTAAATATCTGGCATAATATTAGACTGCTAAGCAGCTAACTAATACTAGGCTTTTAAATAATAATAATTATAAAATAGTAATAATATTATAAATAATAGTAACGCGGACAACGGCAACGCAAATAATTTTTTTTATAATATAATTTTTTTTGCTTTTTTTTGCCTACGCTTTTTTTTTATTACTTAAATTAATTGCTTACTTTTTTAATTTTTTAAAGTATCTATTAAAGCTACTTAAGTATTTATACAATTTTTATAGCTGCAAAAAGCTATTACTTTTAGTTATTAAATTACTAGTAACTGCAATAGCGCAAAAATAATTTTTAATATAGTTAAATAGGCTTTTTATTTTAAAAAGCTGTATAAATAGCTTTAAATTTTTTTTACTAATTAGTAATAAAAGCTTTCTAGCCTATAGTTAGATTATAGTAGAAAATCCACATTTAGCAGCTAATAATAAATATAGCTAATATATTTAATTTTTTTTAGCAGAACTCTTTTTAGTTAAAACAGTTTAAATTTTTAAAAAAAAAAAAATTAAATATAAAGTACTTTAGTATACTAAAAAGCTTAATATTTAAGTTTTAAAAAATTTATTTAAGCTTATTAAAATATTTAAATGCTTACTTATACTAGTTTAATATATTAGTTTTGTATAAAAAGCTATTTTAGTATAAAGTATTTTTTATAATATTTAATAAAATAATAAGGCAAAAGGCAAAATTAAAGAAATTATTAATAAGCGTTATATAAATAGCATTAGTAAGCATTATATAATTATTAATAATTAATATAGCTTACTGCAAAGGCATAAACAAATAATTATATAAAAAAAAAAATTTTTTTATATATATATTGTATATTTAGAATTGCTGCTTATAGCTTTCTACTTTTAACTATTGCAAGTTTTATTGCTAATTATATAAAATACTATAGCTTATAATTCTTGCAAGCTAACTTGCTAAACTAAAATTTTAATTAATACTTTATATATTATTACTAATTATTTATTTTTATTTAAAAAATTATTAATTAAAGCGTAAGCTTATAACTATGCTAAGCTTTTAATACTAGGCTAAAAATTTATTTATACTTTTATAACAACCTATAGTAAAAATTTAAAATTTAAGCGCCTAGTATTGCCTAATAAGTTAGTTACTATTAAAATTTAATAATTATATTATTATAATTTTTAAATAATAACGCATTAGGTCTGCTAATAGTAATTATTAAAAATTTTTTAATAATTTATTTAGCTAGCCTAGTATTATGTAAATTTTATTGCCTTAATACTATAATAAAGTACTAAGTATAGCACTTAAACTATAGTTTTATATTAACTTTTTTTATTGTATTGTATAATCCGCTCTTGCGTCGACTTTACTTTTATTTATAGAAATAAAATTTTTATAATAGAATAAATAAATATAGGCAAATAATTTTATATTTTATAAATTTAAATATAGTAAAGTATTATTATATTATAAATGCTAAAAGTAGTAATGTATTACACAGGCAAGTTAGTTGCTTAGTTAAGTTAGTTATAATATTAAAATTTTATTAAAATTAGTACTATATATAATAGTATAGTACTGTAAAAAACTATAGTAGTAAATTATAATAAACTAATTTATTTAAAAATTATTTCTACTTTTTGCTTGTATATTCGCGCATTATACCTAGCTTTACTATAATATTTATAGTACTTTTAAAAAAGCTTACCTACTTTAATATATACTTGCTTTTTTATTTTTTTTTTATTATTATACGCCCTAAACTTTTTTAAAATTATTAGTTAAAAACTATTTTTTATTATAAAAATTTTTTTTTTTTGTACTTACTTTTTTTTATATAATTTTTATTATATAGCAGCTTTATTAATTATTTAAAATTTAATAATTTTTTTTTATATTAATATAAACTTGTACGCGACTATAGCTGCACTTTTTAAAATTTTTTTAAAAATTTTAACTATTAAAATAAAAAAATTATTTAAGTATTTTTAAATTTTTATTTTAACTAGCATTAATTAAAACTTAAATTTTAAAATATTACTTAATATTTTTAATTCCTAAAAACTATTTTTAATAGTAAGTAGTAATAAAATATATAACTAAATATTAAACTTTAATATTATAGTTTTAAAATTAAAAAAAACTAAACTAGCGCTTTTAAAGCTACTTAAAATATTACTTTTTATAATAGCAGTATTAAAAGCTAGTTTAAAGTACAGTAAAAATTTAATTTTAATAATATAATTAATATTATTATGCATTAATTTTTTAGCTTAGTATTTATATACTTTTTTTAAAAGCGTAAAATAATTTATATTAAGTAGCTATAGCAAGTGCAACAAATACAAAAGTATATAAAAAATAATAATTTTTTATTTTTTATAGTATTATTAGAATTAGACTAATATATAGCTTTTATAACTATTAATAATAAGCAAATAATAAATACTAATAATTTTTTTTTTAGTATGCTTATTAAAGTGCTTTAATTACTTAAAAATAAATTTATTTATTATTTAGCTATTTTTAAAAACTGCAATAACCTAATTATAAAGCAGGCTATTTTTTTTATACTAGGCTAAAAAGTAGTTTTTGCCTGCAAAAATAATAAAAAATAAAATAATTTATTTTATTATATTAATACTTTAAATTATTATTATTTATTTTTAATTATTTTACTGCACTATTTTTGGCTGTCCTTAATAGTTAGCACTTAAAATAATAATTTTATATAATATTTAGCTTATTATAAAGCTTATTTTATTAAAATTGTATATATTTTTATTTTAAATACTATACTTAGCTTTTATATTTTTTATAAGTTAAAACTAGCCTTATATAAGCTTAGAATTTTTATATAAAATTTTTTAATAATTATATTTTTAAAAAATTTTAGTATTAAGCTGTAAATATTATTTAATAAATATACTAGCTTAGTTTTTATTAATAAATAGTTGCTTATATTTAGCTAGTAAAATATTAGCTATATTATTTATAGCAGCTAATTAAGGCAGAAATTTTTAATTTTTAAAATAAAATATATACTAAATAATTACTTTTTTTTTTATTAAAAAAAGCTTTATTTTATTAGGCTTAGTATTGTATTGTAAAAGCTTTCCTTTTAATTAATTACTAAATATTATTTAAAAAATGCTGTAAATTTATATAATTTTTTATTAAAAAAAATTTATATTGCGTTTTAAAGCCTGAACTATAAGCTATATTTAATTTTTTTTTTAAAAAAATTATATATTATTATATTAAAGTATTGCGTTTAATAGTAAAAAACTACTAATTTTAGTAGAGTTTTAGTATTATAACTAACTTAACTAGGCAACTAACTTGCCTGTGTAATATATTATAAAATTTTATAATACTAACTTTTTTAAGTAGCTTTATAGCTTTATTTTGCGGATAGGTAATTTTAATTAAAGTAGTTTATCGGCTGCTGCGGTTCATTGGCTGTCCCACCTTAGTAGTACTAATAGTCAACTACTTGCATTACTCGTTGATAAACGCGTAATATCAATAGCGGGATCCTCTAGCCACCATCAAATACCGAAAAGCGTGCGGGAGAGGTTATCGACTAACCAGGGAGAAGGGGAGTTGCGAGCCTCGCCCAGAGCTATCCTCAAGTCATAGGAGCGGTGTTGCAACAATGAACGGTACTGGCAGTGAATCATCAAATACTGCAGAGCACAGTGGTCTCCTTAAGGGGGTAGCCCTCTATCACAGCACGGAAACGATTACCAAACAAAATTTTATTTCCCGCTATATCCTAAACCGGAAGATCTATCTATCGCTTATCCTGTCAAGCAACGCGTCGAGTCTGCTGCCTGATAAATCGTTTTGCGGCTGCTGACACTCGACGGGTTGGCCTCAACCCGTACGAGTGATCCCCATGCACTACACGTTCTGTTTCGTCGAAACGCGGAAAATACTCGTCGCTGGATACCTTCCTATTCCTACCTTTCCGGACCTCCTCCATCCCCGCTGTCCTGCTAACATGATCATGGCGACCTTGGCCGTCCGTCGATCTCCCCTTCTGTGACTTGCTCGACATCGAACGCGCTGAAAGCTCCGTTGGGACAGGGCTCAGAGTGGCGCGAGAAGTACTCATCGAGATACCCCTCGGCCGATGTACAGGGTTGCTAGGTGGCACGGGGACTGCGAGCATAGCTTCAGAGTCGCTAAGATGCGGAGAACCCGAAGACGACCACACATTGTCTGGGTAAAGGTCCAGTGCCCTCTCAGCGATGGCCTGCAAGGAGCGTGTACTGCAAGTGTCTGTTTCAGAACGTCCGAAGCTGGTCGACGCTAGCCATGTCTCAGCATCGCCCGTCCCCGGACTCCTGTAATCGAACGGGAGCGCAGCGGCTGTCTCTTCTACCTCCTCGGGACGCGACACGTTGTACACGTCTCTTCCCTCGTCGGAACCGGACAGTGAATTAGAGTCGCTTGTATAGGCAAATGTTCGCCTCAAAGACCGGGAAGGCTCAGCGAATGCGGTAGTGTCCACAACAGTTTCCGGTGACAAAATCCTCCTGCGGATACTGTCTTGAAATTCAACTGGAACTGCCGGTGAAGGAGTTTCTTGATCACAAGAGAAGGATTCACGGATGGAAACTCGCGACAGCACTGGATACTGCGCTTCATTTTCGGTGCTCATAATGGGTTCTCCTCCATCCTGCTCGACGTCTTGGGATGGTGAGAATACTCTCGAGAGCGGAGGAGCAACGGGAGCAACGTTTGCTGCCGCCTGTTGCTTCTTTCGGCCTCTTGGTTTTGGCTGTCGTGGTAAAGGAAGCAAAAGCCTCCAAGCGGGCTCCCTCTCCAAGTGTATTACGTCATTCCGGATTGAATGTCGCCGTGCGTTCTCCTGGACAGCTTCAGGATGGTTGCAGTCATTGAGATCAGTCGCTGCATGATTGGTGTTCCAGGTTATCTGACCAGGCGATTCCTGCTCGAGTCGTTCACAGTTGATACAACTGAAATCTTCACGGTCGACAGTGCAGTCTCGCGTCGGATGTGACTCAGTACACTTCGAGCAACCTGGCTGGTGCTCACAATCCGGAGCAATGTGATCGAATCGCTGACAGTTGTAACACTGACGTCGCTCACACTTGTGTAGCCAGGGCGTGATTTGACAAACTGAAACTGCGTCAACAATAACTCACTGTCAGTCTGTTAGGGATGCTTACTTCGACCACCAAGCTGGATATGTCGCTTGAACCCGTCCGTCATCTCGTATAGGCGATTGGCAATTTCCAGGCTGGGGACGGTGAACACGATTCGATTGGGACTGTACCAGTGTACTTTCGGGATGTTCAAGCGTAGGGCTCGCTCGATATGTCGACGGGCTTCCCTCTTGACGGTTCCCACACTCTTCAACTTGCCTGTGCGGCTGTCCTTTCGGGTGTATGAGCACACCTTGAAGATATAATCCCCTTGGATAAGTCCTTGGAATTTCGTTTGCAGTGATTGGAACCCGAGAGCTGTAGGGATCTTTTCGTCGAAGGCAGTCTTCAACAGGCGAGATTCGGCTTCGGTTTTTGCCGCGAATTTGAGGCAACAACCCGTCAAGTCAGTCGCGCTGACCTTCGTAAAATCGGAGCCTTCGTTATGGATAGTCTCGAGTAGCCACTCATGTAGCTGTGGACGTGACACTAAAGTGGCACGATCTACTTCTGCCAAACGAAACCATACTCCGTAGAGTGCGTATGGCTCGCGCCGCAAAGTGTGAAAAGACATGGATGGGTAGTGTAAGTTCAAAGAGTGCTTTAAGTATTGACAAGAGTCGTCCGTTACAATGTAGATGTAACGAGGCAAAGAGCTTTCCAGAGTTTGGTAATGATGAGATTCTGGCGGGTACACTCGCCTTATATGCCTTCATCTTCCTTCTGCTCTCAGGAAACTGCGGCAATGTCTTGTCAAGCTGTCTCAAACAAAGTCGATATCATGCACCCCACGCCCTTCCTGAACATCTGCCGTGTCTTACATCCAGACATGTTCTCCGGATCTTGCATCATCCTTCACATCTCCAAGAAACTGCTCTTCACTTCCTTTCGGGCCGTTCCTATGTGGGGCTTTACTATCTCGATACATGAACAGTTTATCATAGCGTGACATCTTGCTCTACGTAAATTGACACTTCAATTTGCGCTAGCACTTTCAACGCTATCTTGGTACTGCAGTTGTTATCGGGCCGTCCTAGCGTTGCAGGCTAGTTATATGCATGCGAGTACTAGTGCGTGCAGCGACATACAAGGGTCGCGATCTATCTGGGGTTCCCTAACCAAAGCTGCATGTACAGCACACAAGTGGCTTTTCATTAGTAGGTTATCGTAAATGGGGCCACACGAAGCGGGAAGTTCGACTCGAATCGCTATATGCAGAACTTACCGTGGTCCTCTGCATTAGCTTACCTTTAGTGTCTAGCTGCACATGTGCAGGGTAGCGAATCCTGGCGAACTTTGAACAAGCACTAAGAAACGCTACATTGGTCATGCTACCTACCAAGAAGACGTGAGGTAAACAAAGTTGAAGCCGATCATGAAATCCTTGTCATATCATCGACTATTACTGTCCGGCGATTTCACCGGTGCAACCCTGTCTTTCCACCTCTCTTACCACTTGAATCTTTCTGCAGACCCTGTACCAAACTTGAACTCCCGTGATTATGCCGTTTGACATCAAGCCATGCTTTTGAGCCCCGCTTCATCCTCCTATTCACCAGCATCAGAGGCTTTTGTTGCCTTGAATAGCACTTTAGCGCTCTCGTATCCCTCGGAGCAGTGCTCCGTCGTGTGATTGTGACGTGAGAGGCACCTTGCGCACCAGTATCTAGGGACTGCGGACGAAATAACTCGGGCACGAAGGTTGACCCCATGTTGCAACATCACCTGCTCGATCTCCCAGAGCCAAATGCCTGCATCCACACCTTCGAGATAGTCGTCCTCGGAAGTCCAGTTATGGACATAGCTCGTGTATAGGTCGTTTTCCATGTCACTAGCCTCGGCGCCTCCGATACAGCATTGCCGGCCCTCAGCCTGTCAAACGCCATGGAGCCAACTATGGTTGCTTCTTTCTGAGATCGGCTTTGACGTCCCTTCGCATGTGAAGATCGTGTTAACAGGTGCTGCATTTGCCAGATTGGGACAAGAATAGTGTAATCGTTTTAGAAGTCTAGACTGTACTCGCCTGCTCAATTTTCCAATGGTTTAAGCCACTATAGCCAGTGCTCTTTTCGGGGTGGTTCTCCGCCATGTCATGCGTGTTTCCATTAAGCGTTTCTTTGGGGGCCTAATTCTTCCGGGTGGACAGTGCATGCCCATATTCATTGTATGTGTAGCCTCTTACGAAGGATGACCATGGTCAATACCCTGCATGGGTTACATTCGAACTCGCAATGCCAAGACGCTCGTGCACATGCACATTCCTGCTGCATGTGAATTACCACCATGCAATGAGTGAATTTTTTTGAAGTACGCCACCAATATCAGCAAACAGTTACATCGGTTCTTACATGGCGTTTCGTATCGAGCCGACCCGTAACAATCAATGCCGGCTTCCCTAATAAGGCCTGCTCTAAGGTTTGATCACGCCATGCATGTGGAGAAAGTAGAAGTGCCGATATTGCAACAGGGCCTTCCATCACAGCGCTTGCATTATGCCGGACGGTAGAGTAATACGAGGCAAGAGGTCCGGTACATTGCCAAGGCAGTTGTTACAGAACCGGCAATTCTATAGGTCACGAGCCTGACAGAATACCTATAGTGATAACGATGATGTGATGATAGTGATGACAATGACAAATACGATGACGTTGACCGTAACGGCGCCGACTTGGTGAACGTTCTATCTCTCATGTAAAGATTTTCCCACATTGCTGACACTCATGCTATCAGAATTTGTATAACGCCCCTCACATACATAGCTGGAATCAGTTCCATGGTTCTGCGACCAGATCTTTGCATCGCGGTACCATACCATTCATCGTGTTGCAACACCTCTTTTACGAGTTGTAGATAGCTCTCTGAGCTCTATAACCTTTTCTTTTCTCCCCCTTACATATTCGAAAAACACTGCTCGGTAACTTTTGAGCTTTACAACTTTTTCCTCTCTCGATTTCGACTACTTGCTAGTTCAACGATTTGTCAATACCCTGCCATATGGCCATCGTCTTTCCCTTCAACGCGATATTTGCGGTACGGTACTACCATGTCAGAGCCTGCTTCAGTACAACTTCAAGCATTCAGAATACTGCAAGCAAACATCAATGGATGCCAGGATCTCCAAAGGAGAATTCTCGAGCAAGCGCGCGATCGTTACCACTGGGACGTCATACTCCTCCAAGAGGCAACGAGGAGCTCTGAAACCCTTCCATGCAAAAACTATGGCTACGTACGCATTGCTTGTAGTCAAAAAAGCCCCGATCCTGGAAGACACGTATCAGTATGCGTGTATGCAAGGTCCAATAGCCCATTTGGTCTACCAGAGCCCGTAGAGGTCCGTTGTACCTGCGCCGATATGGGTCTGGAACGCCATAAGGAGCATATTTGCACCATCGCACTCGACCTCCCAGATGGTCACCGCCTATTCATTACCAATATATACAACCGTCACAGCGAGTCGATTCCGGTAGAGTGCCTCACGGCGTTTCTTAACTTTCACGGCCAGCATTTCGCAGCACTTGATTCAAATCTGCATCACCCTATATGGGGAGGCGGAACCCTTCTTCCCGGATTTCGTCCAACTCCAAAGGCTCGAAACCTAGCAGACCGCCTCGCGCGTGATTTGCAGCTCCTTACCACACCCGGGGTGGCTACTTGGCATCGTGGACGCAGCTACTCTGTTATTGATCTCACCTGGGCTACACCGGACATCCAGAGCTCGACGCCTCAACCACTAGAAGACCTCATGTTCCCAGAAACAGACCATACACCAATTCAGACTACGTTACTTCTGCCCGTCCAACCATGTGACACTACCGCTTGGCGATGGAAGGACGCCGACACAGACCAGTTGCAGTTAGATATGGCTGCAGAGCTGAAGATTCTCAGCGAGCTACCTCTAGCTACTGGAGCTAATGTCTTGACTCGCACCAGTCAGGTCATCGAAATATCCCAATTGCTAATGCTCACCCACGTACCACGCACCGATCGTACATTTCGAAGTCCATTTGATATCTACACAAGTGAGATCAAGAAGCTCACCACTGAGGTTCGCCTCGCCCGTAGATCACGTAATATTGCACTACGTACCGCCCAGCGAGCTTGGGGACCCAGTCGCAGACGAGATCCTACTTATGAGCGTGCGATATGGACACCATTCCATGTCTCACAACGGAAGTGGCGGAGATTGCAAGATAGACTCGAGAAATTGCGAAAAACAGAATTTGAACGTCAGTGGAGATCGTCATTTGACCACAGCCACATGTCAAAATGGGGATGGAATAAATGGTCACGACGCAAGGGCAAAGCATCTCAACCCCCCGTCCTACCCGATCTTTTATGGGAAGACCCTGAGACCAACGAAACCTGGCTCTCTGCGAGTCGCAGCGAGAAGATTGACTGTCTTCACAAAACATGGTTCTCACCTAGACCCGACACAGGTCCTCCCACAAGTCCCGAGCAAACCCATGGCCAACCCCCTCGCACAACAGCGAGCAGCTTATTTGAACCTGTTAATCCAGAGCTGGTGTCCCCGTTGCAGTCACTAACCGAAGACCAACTATCTTTGAAGTTTGACAAACTAAGAGATAACCGAGCACCCGGCGGAGATGAGATAGGTCCAATCTTTCTTAAGATTTGCCGGGTGCAGCTTATTCCATTTCTGACTTGCCTTTTTACTGCATGTCTCATGCTGTCATACTTCCCAGAAGTTTTCAAGACTGGGAGAACAGCCCCCGTTCCTAAGCCAATGAAACTAGGGAAAACATATAACGATCCAGGCATGTGGCGTCCTATCTGCCTACTGTCATGTCTCGGGAAACTTTTCGAGTCCTTGATTGCGGATTTGCTTGCCCAGTTGGCCTTGGAAAACGGAATGCTACCTGAAACCCAGATGGCCGCAAGAGGTCGTTCTACCACCACCGCGCTTCTCTATGTTCTTGAGATTGTCCGAACTGCTAGAGCACGTGGGCTGGCCGTCAGTATCATGAGCCTTGATCAGAAAGGTGCTTTCAATCATGTCCAACTCGAGGAACTCCTGGCAGTCCTAGCAACAAAGGGAGTTCCTCAGTGGCTTATCAAACTATTAGAATCTTTCCTTAGCAATCGACAGACGACAATTCGAATCCCCGGATACGAGTCGGAGTCTCTCCCGTGTGGGGGCATCCCTCAAGGTAGCCCGCTATCACCTATTCTCTTTGCTTTCTTCACCATCGGGCTCTTGCACAACTCGCAAGAAGACCCAACCATTTCCACAGAGCAGACTACCGAGGGATTGATATTCAAGATCGCATACTCTGACGACACCTATATTATTACTGTAGGACCCTCTCTACGGGTGACTAAGCAACTTCTGAAGGAGGAATTTCACCGATGTCAGCAATGGGCACGCAAGTCCGGCGCCACTTTTGATATCAACAAGACTGAGCTGGTACACTTTGCCTCCAAACACCAGAAGAATGCACAGCCAATGTCGAGCTTCATTGACGGCTTCAACGACGCTTATGAGGGTTCTACGCTCAAGATTCTTGGTGTTATCATTGCAGTTGACAATGAGGGTAATTTGGACTGGAGCAAACACTTCGAGTATTTGAGAACCAAGGTTGCGAATCTAGAAAAGGATTTCAAGAGAATTGTCAAAATGACGTATGGGCTTGATGTGGTGTCTGCCTTGCAAGTTTACAAAACCTGCATCCGGTCTGCTATCACTTACGGAAGTGCTGCATGGTATGAACCTTGCGACAAACCTTGGTATCTCAGCAGTGATATCGGCACCACAGGTCCTCCGGATTCACAGGTTCATCTTGACACCGCATTTAAGTGTCGCATTGGTCAAAACGAAATTTACGCCTCCGACGAACATCGAAAAAAGTGGAGTGACAATTTAGACCACTTTCAGAACAAATTTCTCCGCGTTATCCTAGGGGCATTCCAAATGACCCATCGCCCATACCTTTGGAACGAGCTGGGGATTGAAAGGCTGGATCTTTTTGTATACATGTCAGCAGTAACTACACGCGCAAATCTTATCGAAACCGACGTCTGGAAGACTATTGTGCATGCGAAAAGTCGTGTGGAGACATTTGCAAAGCTTGCATGTCCAAGGTCTGACATGGAACTACGAAATCGTGCACTCTCCGACAGTGTCACTTCGACGGTAACTGAGGAGATAGACACACGTGCTGCGCATTGGAAGCAGTTAGCTACGAAGGCCATAACCTTACAGCACTCGACACCAAACGCCATGAGCATTGATGATGAGGTTCTGGGACAAGCGGCCGCGGATGGTGTCACACAACTTCGCAGAATCTATGGCACACTGGAAGAGTCTAATGACCCGCTACCTCCCGAATCTAACCATACCCAGCGGCTGAAGCGTAAAGTTCGGTCCATTGGCCAAAAATGGGCGCAAGACAAGATGGAGCAGCTATGGAATCAGTGGCGATGGGAAATGCAAGAGACGATGGACCCATCACGGCCGATACCAGCCGCCCTCGATAACGAATGGAGCCGGTGGAATTCAAAGCAGTACTGTGGCCTGACCCGACCAGAAGGAAGCAGTCTCTTTCAGTTACGTTCCGAATACATCGGACTCATGCAGCACCTTCGCGAGCATAAATCTACGGTAAGTTCATATCACTTTATCATGTGCTCCAACTAACATACCATCGTAGGTCTCTGATGGCTACTGCAGGAAGTGTGATCAGCACTATCTCGAAACTGTGACGCATCTTCTGCACTTTTGCCCCGCACTGAACGCAGAACGGTTGGAATTATATCGCAGTGTCTGGCCCGATGACTCTTGGCTTAGTAACATCAAGCATGTTCGAAGTTCATTGATTCACAAAGCTCCAGCTCAAGTTGCGAGATTTGCTTTATCCCACTTTCCTAACGAGCAATTTGACTGGACAAGAAGGCACATGCTGGATTTGATGTTATCAGCGTAACTTCAGCTGATGGTAGGAATGGAGTAAATACGGAAAGGTTTGGTCGCACTGCACTTATCTTTTAGTTATATGGTATTGATCTCCGGCTTTTGAGTAGCTTACCTTTTGTGTGATGTCTATTCGCTATATATCAAAAATCTATCATAGTATTGCTCTTAGAGTAAATCCATACTGTCACTTTTAGCCCCGGGTGCCCTTCTCAAAGTTCTCAAAGTATCCTCAACGTACGCGTTCAATTTCTTCCGCCCGGGGTAGTCTAGTTGAGTATGCCTTGTCTAATCCAGCTGCAGATACTAACGTATTAGGCAGCAGCTCTCAACCATGGTTTCTCAACCCGCCCATCTCAACGAGAATAACGGTATGTCATGCTCGCAAGCGCTATAGCCACCGCTCATACAGATAGCCAGCCTTGGTTACCCGATCTCCGCTCCCGCATCCAACCGAACACCGGTCAGTCATTTCCTTCTATTCAATGGGTTATGCTGAGGCTTGCAGCAAGCCAGATTTCGAACTCTCTCCACTCCCCCAAGGTCCGTTGACACCATGTCTATTCTTAACATTTGCCGCTGAATTTCCTTCTTTGCATTACCTTTTCTACGCCTAAGACCTTTTATAGTACTCAACTCCTCTTGATTTTGAGTTAACTAGCGTCTTAGTTTGTTGGACGCTGTATGTTTTAAATTCTGGTCTTTGCATGGGTTTAAAGATGAGTAGATGTGTACTAACCTAGCAGGTCAGGCTACTCGATTCTATCCCCAGTCAGCATGTCTATTAACCCTAAGGAGCAAATCTTCTCTGTAGAGGGTCATCTAACATATCTCTAGGACCTCCACCATCGTTCCAACGCCTATAGCCCGTACGGCCCACCCAGCCGTTTGTCCATTGTTTCGTAAGGCCTTTCAGTCAGACACGAGATTTCAGCGCTAATTAAGAACAATAGCTGGAATTGTTCGAGAAGAGCCAGGTAGTCCAGATCGGTGGCGGTGAGAGTGGAGACAGATATCTTCTGTATGAGAAGTTGGAGTTGCTGAATCTCAGCATCTCTGACGTTTCTGACCGTTGGAGTATCTTCTAGTACAGTATGCCACTTGATACGACTTTTTTTCACTACTAATATATCGTAGTAGGCTGTCAGTGAATGGTTATGAAGGGATGAGAGCTTCTTACTGGGCGTCAGTTCCCAGTAGAGAAGGGCACTTTGTATGCTTTATAGTCAATCATACACGACCTAATACTAACTCTGTATAGGCACAAGGGCCACTATCCCTCCTGTCTCTCTAAGCTGCAGAATCCTGCCTCTACGGACACCATCGTTCGAGGGCCCGTCACGGGTTGGCCAAGGGGTACTTTAAGCCATTCTAGTTGCCATGTAAACAACTAACCCAAATATTAGAAATTTGATAAGTTGATGCCTTGGTGGGCGGCGAGGAGGAGAGGAATCTGTTCTGTCATCGTATAGTGAGTATTGTGCCTTCTTTGGGCATATTTTCATGCTGACAGACCTATTCGGAGGTGCAGCAGACAGAAGACGAAGGCTACAGAGCAGGTGGGTGTCAATCTCCTGGGTATGAATCGCATCTGACTACTGTAAGAGCAGCTTTATACATGCCTTGAGAGCGAGTGACTCCTCGTAAGTTAGTTTTCCTCTTGTCCAACCTTTTTGTTGACCAATCAACCCTATTCAAAGTGAACAGTCATACTTGAACTGTTGGGTAGGTGTAACGCGCCCCATTCGTTTATTTGTGTTGGGCACTGTGTAACAAACTTAGGCAGATATAACCACAACTCGCATCAGACTCATCAGGTAGATAACAACGTCTTTAATCTCCCGCACAATCTAACAGTCAATGGTTGACAGTAGTCATCAAGAGCAGAAAATCGATATTTGGTACCATGGGAGAACGATGATGAGGTTTGGAACCATGGTTGGCGACCGTCTCGAGTGAGTCTAAGAACCCCAGTAACAAACGAAATACTAACCTGGAAACCGAGCCTATCTTGGAAGAATCAATGTAATCACAAACATCTCCGCACTCAAAGTACTTTCACAGAACCAGCGATAGCTCAACTAGGGCGTAGGCGCTTTGAAAATCCTCTTAAGAATCACTCTCAATTCCTCGATGGAGGGCTCGGCTAACTTTGTTAGGTGGGCGGCCCTCGAAGTCGGTTCCTGCAGCCTGTCCGCGGCGAGGGCTACGAACCTGTTCCCCTGAGTGAGCAGAGCCAATGCAGCACGCACGAAAATATTTGCCGGTTAAAGTAGAACTTTTTTCGAGTCACAAAATGAGATGGTACGATTGAGTCAAGTTCCGAGATTGTAATTGTACCTGCTAAGGTGGCTGTAGCACTTACTTGTATGTTCTTATCGGGAGTTTTGGTGGTCTCGGAAGCTTCTGTGTCGGATTGGAGGAGCTCTTTGTTTAGTGGCAAGATTTCCCTGGGAGTTATCGAATGAGAGAGACAGAACCCAATTATCCTCGTACCATTTGCTATGCTTGACTCTCTCATTTTCCTGTAACACCACCATCGCACAAAGAAGATGACTCCAAAAATTGGTCTTGCACCGATGCGGAACGTCGGGATAGAAGCATTGACGCTTATGGGTCACAGTCAGTCCTGGGCGACACCTTAGACCATTCAATCATAGTCATTATTTCTAAAAATTTCCGATAAATCTTTCACCCCGTAGAGTGTCGTACCGTATTGATTCAAGACAACGAAATTTGTAGGAAAGATTCTGTGATTCGAGATAAGTCTAATTTGCCAGTATGTATACTTATTATTTAACACCTCTTTCATTATTGGCAACCCCTCGTCATCGAAAACACTGGTTGACTGTTTATTTTTCTCTGGGTGAGGTTGTGTCATGAAGACCTTGTAGAAAACAATCCATGGTTGGTCATTGGCTAGTCTCAGAGCTGCTTACAATGCAATTCCACGGTTCTGGCGCTCTGAGTCACATCATCCACACCCGTGTGCATTTAAAAATACCTTTGTACCCGCAGCTTAAGCGTTCCAATAAATCCAGTCTTTCTCTCCTTTAACCTATTGAACTGACCTGGAAGAGCTCTCCTTCACGATCAAGATGCCAAAAAATACGTTCGCGTCCTGGAACAGCTGGCCTTTTATGATAACAACACAACCGACGATACCTGCGACAATTCTCCATTCAACCCAGCAGCAATCCCCTCTTTTTCGACTTCCCCGTGAGCTCCGCGATTTGGTATATCAATATTACGTTGCTGAGCGAGAGGGTTACTTTTACGATGCCCGAACTCGGACCATATCATCTCAGTCTGGATTTACCATACGCCTCAGTTTGCCTGCCACTTGCAAAATTGCAGCCAAAGAGTTGAGGGGCATTGCCTTTCAAAATAACACGATAAACTTCAAAACACTGTGCTCAACAGATGATGGGGGTCAGCACCTTGGGTTGCGGTCCAGGGCTGGAAGACTAAAGTGCCGTACGTGTATCCTAATTTTATAACACTGCAAACGAAATCAAGTACTAACTATTCTCTTGCAACCCAAAGTGCTCTTGTATACGCAGATACAAAGGATTCGCATGGTCATCTCCGTCGCGAGGCTGCTCAAAGCAGAGGATCTCGCTCACATTCATGAGAATTATCCCGCCCACAGCCACTGGTTCGACTTTCCGTTACAACATGCTATTGAGCAGCAGAGCGATCACTTGTCTGGCAATTGTACACCCTATGATAGACATGAAGTCATCGGGGACGACGAGTTCGATAATGTACTCCAGTATGCTCTGGAACTTGCGAAAGCACGAGATCCATCAGAATTTGCTGCCAGAATGTCAAATCTATATGGAGTCGGTCACTCTCCCCTGCAAAAGGGTCTTGGTGGCGCATGGAGGACTCTTTTTGAAGAAGGTGCTTTCGCGGCATGCTATACTTGGAGGCCTGCTACGTGGTCTATCCCCGACGAACGTGAGCTAGAGTCGATGGAGACACTGCTGACTCGACCCTGGACACTGGACGAACAACTCGCTGTGACGACTCCTCGTGATGTTTTCCAGGACCTTGATGCTCACAAATGGGCCCAAGAAACCAAATGGTTCTTCTCCGCTGCAGCTGTGGCTATCGATTTCTGCAAGTATCTCCCTCGTCCGCCCCGCTTCCCCTCATTCACGTTACGCCCAGCACTCTGCACCGTCCGGCACGTTTTTACTAACAAGGGCACTCAGTACGTAGATTATCATTCAGAACACGGCAACACATGCGCAAAATCACGCTTCACGAGGATTTCAAAGCTGTATCACGCCCAGAGTGTCATGCTGAAGGCTTGATACCATTCTGCTCCGAAAATCCACGCCTTCGCATCGAACGACGAATTGGCTTCCTCAGCAACCTGCTACCGCTGGCCAACCACCATCTTGACCGCAGGAGTGAGGATGAGATATGGAACTTTATCTTCGGTGGTGAATGCCTAGAGGCATTCGTAGGATGGGTCGAGGAGGTCTGGAAGCTGCGTGCTCGTGGTATGCCCACACAATGCTTTGTGCTCGTCATCGATGGTACGACGAGCCCACGGGAATCATCAGAAGCGTGGGAGTTTGTGAAATATGCGGCGGCCATGCAAGAGGGTATGCTCGAGTACTGCCAGCGGCGAAATATCTCCCCAAATCCGAGGGAGCAGGATCGAGAGATTACCTTTCGGAGTTATCCCTTACCATGGCATCTTCCTGCACGCTTCTCACAGACAGTTCGGGCTATGATTAACGGCACAGGATGCATTCACTTCACAGGGGATACTGGTGAGGCCTGGGATGGCAAGGCGTTCATCGAGGCGCGTAAGGATTGGACTGTAGAAGAATGGAGGAAGGAATGGAAGAAGCAGGTCCTTGACAAATGTATTACTACGCCGTTTTGTGGGATAGTGCGACAGCGGTATAGCCACCCCTCTTGAAGCCACTCTGTAAGAGCTCGCACTCGTCAGAGCTAGGTGGCCTAAGTAGATAGTATGGTTTAGGTGTCTAACAGCCGAAAGATTTATGATCAATCATGAATGCATCTGCGCAGCAATTTGATTTCCCGTTCTTTGTGCACTCACCCGTCAGGAACTGCCCCTCTAATATTCCCACCCCACCATACCGTACCATTGACACGCCCGCATCTATCACGAACAACCGTGTCGCACCACCCACCTCCATGACTGCGCCTACTCACCTCGATCCCTCCGAGCTGGGCACCAAGTCCTACTGGGACGCTGCATACAGCACTGAGCGCCAAAATTTCGCGTCCAACGCCGCTGACGAGGGCACAGTATGGTTCAGCGACGCGGGCGCGGAACAGCGCATGCTCTCGTTCCTCGAGGATCTTGCCGATGAAGCGCATATACACAAGGGCGTCACAGAAGAAGAAGAGAGTTCCGGGGCAAGGGAAGGTGCGCAGGTCGGTGAGGAAGGCGCGAGATTTCTCGACCTCGGCACCGGCAACGGGCATCTATTGTTTGCCCTGCGCGAAGAGGAATGGATGGGCGACATGGTCGGCGTAGACTACTCCCCTCAGAGCATCACGCTCGCAAACTCGATACGCGACGCGAAAGACCCTCCTTCCTCGTACACCAACATCGCCTTCCACGAGTGGGATATCCTCACACAGCGCCCCGGTGCATGGCTGGCCTCTGGGTTCGACGTCGTCCTCGACAAGGGCACGTTCGATGCCATCTGTCTGTCACAAGACACAGACGCGCAGGGTCGCAGGATCTGCGAGGGATACAGGGAGAAGGTCGAGCCGCTGGTGAAGAAGGGCGGTAGATTCTTGATCACGAGCTGCAATTGGACTGAAGAGGAGCTGCGGGGCTGGTTTGAGGGAGGCCAGTTTACATATGACAGCAAAGTCAAGTACCCAAGCTTCACGTTTGGCGGGAAGACGGGCAGTAGTGTTGTCACGCTGTGCTTCAAGAGGGTATGAATGTCTCGCTATCATGCGTCGAAGCTATTACATCTACTGGGTAGCACGCCGTATCCGCGCCAGGACGAGCCACTTCTTCCGCTCGCCAATGTTCTCTGCCCCGCCATCGCGCACCTTTGCCCACGGCCGCCGCTGCCCATCCGCATCCATTTCGTATATATCCTCGACCTCCAGCCCTTGCTGCGGTATCACTTCCTCGAAGAACGGCGCGACCTTTGCACGACCGGTGTGGAATCCTGCTATACAGAGTATGCGCGCATCAGGCGTGTCTGCGAGGAAGTGCAGCATTGACTTGGCGAGATTCTCATGCTCCCAGGGCATCCACAGGCAGTCGGCAGCCAGGATACGTGTGTAGCGGTGTGCGTGTGAGGTTTCAAAGGGCGAAGTGGTAGAACCCCAGAGGTGGCCTTGGACGGTTACGCGGGGTGTGAGAGGTGCGCGGATGTTTTTTGCGACGTTCGTCTTGATCGTGTCGAGTATAGGAGGCGCGGGGTAGTCGGTGATGGTAACCTAGATAGCAACTTGTCAGCTCAAATGTAGGATTGCTAGGGCTTGAAGTCTATGTACCTCTGTCGCGCCCGCCAATGCGCTCACTATCCCGCCTAGTCCGACGCCTGCAAGGTGCATGTCCATCAGCTATCTCTGCTTTGTTCTGTCTTGCTCAACCCAACCCACCTGCACCCAGTTCCAAAACTGTCTCCCCCTCGGCACTCCACCGCTTCTCCTCTTCACTGTCAAGCCACCATTGCCCGTACTTCCAACCGTCCTCGTCGCCGCTATCCTCGATACCATTTGTCGCTTCCTTGTCTCCTGCCCTCCCTCCTACCAATTCCCCAACAAGCACGCCCGCATTCCACAAGTAATGCGCATACTTCCTCCTCTGCTCTTCGCCATTTACATCTGCCGTCCTAAATTCTAGCTCCCCATATTTCGCGTTGCGGTATAAAATGGCCGTCTCGGGGTCGTCGCCGTGCAGGTTCTGCAAGTCGTCGGTGAAGATACCGCCTAAGGAAGAGCCAAAGATATCTTCAGGTTCGAGGGGGGCTGAGGTGGGCCGGCGGAGGGAGATGAGGGAGGGGAGGCGCATTGACGGTGTGGCACTCGAGATTTGGCCCGTTCTCGAGAATGCCAACGTCTGAACCACTGTGAGATGATAGGTACAATTCCGTAGAGTGGCGCTACCATTCTGTGGCTGACGGTGATGGCGGGGCTGAGGCTGAGGCTGGTGATATGTGGGGCTTGCAGGGATGTTGCGTGTGGTGTGATCATCGATCGAGGCGCTTGCGTTCGACTTGATCATCACTTCTTACTTCAAAGCTGTAGTGGGATGTAGAGTCGCGAAGATAGCCAGCTTTCTCAACGCTCAGTCTCCACACAACCGCGACCATGTCCTCACTCTCATCGTTCAAGAGCCCGGCGACATACCACTTGCTAAGGTATACTTCCCTCGACACGACCTACGTACTCCATCTAACTTACTCCGCTTTTAGCTATGGCACTCTCCTCGGGTCCACGCTCTTCCAATCCTTCGTCAGCGGCATAATAGCCTTCCGCGTCCTCCCACGCCCGCAATTCTCCACGCTGCAGAAGAACACGTTCCCAGTCTACTTCACGCTCCAGACGCTTGCGCCGCTAGCCATGCTCTTCACGTACCCATCCGGCGCCTCCTCTCTCCTCCCCTTGCTATCGTCGTCGCCCAAGGTCCAAACGCCGACGGATAAGCTGGGTGCTTGGCTGATTGGAACAATGTTCTTCGCAGCGCTGGCTAACTGGGCATACATCGGTCCGCAGACCACGAAGGTCATGGAGTTGAGGAAACACCAGGAAACGCGGGATGGGAAGAAGAGTTATGATGCTGGCCCGCATAGTCGGGAGATGCAGGAGCTGAATAAGCAGTTTGGAGTTCTGCACGGCATTAGCAGCTTGACTAACTTGGTGGGCCTGGTGGCGATGGTGTGGTATGGAGGAGTCCTCGGGGAAGGACTGAGACTGTGAAACGGTGTATAAGAGCGAGTGAACAGGAGCGTTATTATGGTAGAATGTTGATATCTGAGGGCGCATCTCTTCGTTTGAAGCTATATCTGGGACCTACCACGTGCAGACCATGTGGGCAGACCATCATTGAATCTAGGCACTGGGGTCGCATCATGGCAAACGTCCGTGCCGTCAATCTCCCTTCTATTACACCCGTCTCCTTGCGTTCTTCCTCCCTCCTCTCACCTCTACTTTACCTCGCGTCCTCGGACATTTGCCATGGCGTCTCTTGTTCAACACCATCTTGGCGCAAGCGATCCTAGCTTTGCCACTGTCAGTGCATCGATTCCAAATCAGCCAGACGACCCGATAGTCAAACTCGTACACTACAGACAACTGGTTTCCCGAGCCGCAACACAGCGCTTACATTCGCCGTCACTCCGTTCTACAACTTCCCCCGCCGAAAACGCTTTCGAGGACTGGGAGAAGCAAGAACGGCGCATAGCGCAAGCCCAGGCGAAAATGCACGTCCAGAAGCTAGGTGTAACCTGGGGTAAGCCGACTTGGTTCATCATCCCATTATCACGCTTACCCATCGCGTAGACCAGTTCGTTCATGATGTCGAACGCACGAGTAAGGAAGTGCATTTCCTCACGCCTACGCGATACGAAGCTCCCCCGATATCCTTGACCGCCAATCGAGATGCAGAAACTACCAATAACTTGCACGCGTACAATGCTCAGCGTCCAGAATATGGGGCGGTTGGGGAGCATGAGGCGTGGAAAAAATTACAGGAGGTTCATGTTAATGCCTTGGACATGTTTGCGAGAGCGAGGAAGGCATGTTCTGCAGATAAAGTGCTAGCAGGGTAGCCATTTCAACCTTTCATATGGTCTTCCAGCGTTGCGTCCCTTGCTCGAGGGAGTGGACATGGGATAGTGCCGAGACCTTTGACTATAGTTATTTGAACACCAGGCGTAGTTTGTACTGCAATCACCAGCGCGTTGTTCAACGAGCTCCACGTGAAGGCATCAAGCATCGTGTACTGACCGATCATTCCGGAGACATCATGCAGACCACAGCTGCAGTGATTTATCATTCTATCGGTTTGCTGCGTCAGAGTCGCTTGTTGGAGCGGAATGAACCGTCGCACATGCTCAATTGCGTTGGTGGGCGAAGCACCATCTAGGCAGATACTGAATATATCTACTTTCATAGCTGCTTTACTTCTTGCAGTCTACAGATCTATTTATCAAAGTCTCTCAATTCTAAAAGGAAACTGAGCACACCTCCACCTATGAGCGTTTATTGTCCCGCGCTCAAGCTCTTGACTTGAACGCAAGCCGTAAGCGGCAGCTGAAATGCGTGGACGTCAAAATAGCCTTGCGAGAAGACTAGCGTCCGGAGCTGCATGGCCCTGATCCCTCCAGCTGGGACGGCCAAGCTTCGAGGCGCCAGGCTAAGGCATGCAGGCCGTGGAAGCCTAAAATCGCCGCTGGTAGCGCCGTGGGGGTTAGGCAAGCTGCAAGGTAGAGGGAGCTCGAGTGCTTGTGGTTTTAGTCGGAAAAGTCGAATCGTCGGTCGTCAACCGCCAACGTTCATTTTGACTTGATGACGTATGTATGCTTTGCCATATGTAAAAGATTGACTTCTCTCCGCAAGAACATATAGACGTTCAATTCATGAACTATGTCTTTTTCCCATATAGGACGAGGGGGCTGGTTTGTATACGACCGTGTATCAAGACGGAACTTTTGTAATCTAGACTGGGTGGCTGCATCAATAAGCTCACCAGCACCTATTCTCAGGTTAGGCCAAGCGGGAAGGCTCATAAACAATTAATACCTCATCACATTTGAGAACCGTTGTCTGGTGGATTAGATAGCAACGAACTTGGTTTCTTGGTCGGTGCCGTCCAACTGGTCCTAGCATCTACACTCCACGCCCCTCCGACTAACACAAAGATATTTCACTCCTTTATACGGCGTCACCCCACTCCCTAATCCCTTACTCCTCTTCTGATCAACGTTCAAGCTTTCAACTTTGATGCCGCTTGGTAGCCAGCCTTTGACCGAGAAGCTTACTGTTGCACAGGAGGGCATGAGCACTTTGTTTGATTTGATGCGCTTTGAATCGGCATCGGCGCTGTGCTCTTTGGACTGGGCCGTGTGCAAAGTAGTTTGATAGGAAGATGTCTGGTCGTCGTCGTAGTCATATGTGCTAGCTGAGAAAGACACCGGGCCACCGTTGTCAAGTGCATCTGAGGAATCGTCCTCCTGTCCGATCAGAGTGCCGCGGAGGGTCGCTGTCGCGCCGATATCACCGCCTCGGTTTTGAGACATGAGACTACTAATTTCGCGGCTACTTATCCGCCACTCTATTATTCGGTCACCAGGGCCGTACTCCGCATCTCCTATGCCTCTTATCACTCTCAAGTCTGAGATGTTCCTAACGCTAGATGGTAAAGGAATATGGACAACCATTTCTTCAATGGCAGGTGCTGATGTCGTGCCAGACGAGGAAAAACTTGTGGCGCTCATACCTCGACCTAGACCACCTTTTGCAGCCGCAGTGCTTGGGTGCGGGCTTGCTGATTTCCCCGTGAAGCGGGGGTTGAGTCGGAGTCGGACCTCGAAATCTGAGCCTGTAGGGCCAAGAGATGGGTGAACCGAGACGGTGGCGGGGATGTTGAGTTTTGGCAACGACTTTGCTGTTGCTGATGCAGAAAATGACTCCAGTGCTGCAGATCCAAGTAGGTCGACTTCGTAGCCAGCTAGAACGAACCGACCGTCGGGCGGCACAAAGGAGAGTTCCCCGGGCCGTTCTTTCCACCTATTCAGCCTAACACATGGGTGAAATACAGGTAGGGCAACCGCATTCTGTATACCGCCTGGACATCCAAGGTAAAGCATCAAATCTGGCACGCCAGAGACCTTTGCAGTGAAGGCTATCGTCCCATTGGCAATTGCGGACAGTGGCCGACCAGACGGCGAAAGTGTGACTTCCAACGTCTCCACAATATCCACATACATTTCATTTGACGTATGCCGAACATTCGCCCTCCGCCAGGGCACCGGCGAAGTCGACTGTGGCGAAGTCGATGGTCCCAATCGTGGGCTCGGCCTCGCAGCCAGCGAAAAGGGCGAGGAAGAAGGAGTTAATGAGCTCGGCGTTGAACTCGGCAGGCCTACTCCTCCAAGCAAGCTTTTCATAAAGTTGGGCGCGTCGACAACATCTCGCAGCGCATTCGGCTCCGTGCATGCTATTACGCCGCCATCCACCATTTCGTTGAGCAGCTGTGCGACGACATCGTAGTGACCTTCGATTTTGCCAGCAAGGAGAGGCGAACCGAGGAAGTCTTCTAGCACATCGGCAACGCGGTGGAGGAACTCGAGGACTTGGAGAGATTCGGTATCGGAGGAGCAGGGGCAAAGGAAGAGCAATTGGTCTTGGATGATGGAGTAGAGGAGCGTAGGCGGATTGGTATTCGGTAGGTAGATCAAGGACGGGCGCGGCGAGGGGTGTGCAAGGTAGAGCGGCAGAAGTGTGCTACTCGCTGGCGGACGGCCAATATACGTGTGCTCGAGGAGTGGTGTGCTATAGACTGTTAGCTGGTGCCAGCATGGTTCAGTCTGCTGTAAAGCTTACTTTTGCTCATCAAAGATGTACAGAGCTTCTATTGTGCTCATCTTTCCCGTATTGTCACCCAGATTCCATGCGCAGGCCCAGAGGTGAGGTGGTCTAGCAGTGGGGTAGGTTTTGGCGGGGACTTGAGCTGTGAAGGTGGACATCGATGATGCGCGGGACATTGGGGGGGACCCCTGCGCTGCCGCGGTGGTTCTCCGTCCGACGTATCCACGCACTTTTGATCTCCAGAGAGTCCAACCCTTACTCTTCAGAGCTCACCATTTGTGACATTCGGGTGTCGGGCTGTAGCGATGGCGCAACAAGCAGACGTACCGCCAACCTTGAAGGAAGCCCTCAAGCAGGACAAGGCGCAGTTTGACGACTGCACGCCATGTCGACTGGTTGGTAAGTGACCTCTGCTAAGGGCATGCGGACTAGGCCTTCTAACATGCCCCAACAGGAAGCGCAACCTTTATCGGCCTCGGCGCCTTCACATACGTCTCCGGACACTCACAGATAACGGCCAACGAAGCGGCGATACGAGCGAGCAAGACTATGTTTGGGTTGGGAAGCAGAAGGGTTGCCATAACGGGAACCAGTGCGGTTATGGTGGGCTTGGGCGTGTATCGGTGGTTTGCTTGAGGGCAGGACGAAGTGGACCTTGCAGCATTTGAGATGGGGAATTGAGATTTAGGAGAGGAAACCCACATCTACTTCAACGTCCAGTGAGGATATTAGGGTTGGGTTATGCATAGCGAAGGCGTTCATGGATTGTATCAGACGATCGCTGGGTATTGCGTACACCGCTCAAACAAACATTCATCAAGGACAGCCACATGTACGTGAATGAAATATGTGCACTATGTCATTGACAGCTATGCTTCATCTTACTGCTTCTCATCATCACCAGGCCCCACGGAGCCGTTCGCGTATGGAAACGCTGATATGGTGAGCTGGATGCCAACTCTAAGATAGGTATATTCCCCAAAAACAATATAAACACCGCACAATGCATCTATTACACTGCTCCACCCAATGCATGAAATGATCCGTCTGCCCGCTGCGCCGTCCAGGTATGATGCTAGGAAGTCGTGATCTCATTGGAATGCCGCTCGTCCAGTCGCAGATAGAGAGGCTAGGGTATCAGGCTGTCGCTTGAATAGACTACAGCCTGTCAAAGCCTGCAGAGATGCCCTCGGTAGATATTATGACATGCGCCCTCGCTTTGATCCACCTGACGAGCCGTCTCGCCGGTCATTGTTGCTGTCAATGTTGAAAAAGTCCTGCATCAGCCGTCGCTTCTGCCCTGCCCCGCTGCCCAGTTGAAAAAGATTCTGGGCAGCAGACCGCTGCAGATTTCGAGAGGAGGGCCGGTTCGAGGGGCGGCGAGGGGCAGGAAAGGCACGGCGGGCGGCAGCAGACACATCGGTGGCAGCGTGTTCATTCGTCGAGCCGGTCGGGTAGACTTGAGGTGCAGAGAATTGGAAGACGTGGTGTAGAGGAGTCATGTCGGCCTCGGTGGTCGTGGCTTCCATCTGAACGGGCGCGGGCGCCGAATCGCATCGTTGAGCATCGACAACAGCGTCTGGCGTGCGAGTGCCGTCCGGGCTCAGATGGCGTTCCATGATGGGTGAGGAGCTTCGGGCGCGCTTATCGTCCAAATACTCGTCATCGCTGTCGCTGCTCGACTGCTTAGGCAGAGCTCCATCTAGCCGCTCAGTTGCCCACTGCCGTATCCGCCAGCCTTCTCCGTCTCCCACACCGATATTCTCCTTGTCTAAGAGGTTGAGCAGTTCATCGAGAGCCTCCTGGTAGCCGTCGGTGCGGGCCCTGTCGATATCGGCAAGCGCCGACTTGTATAGATTCGTGACATTCAACGCGGCAGTCCGGAAGGATTGGTGGACGTCTGGCTGCCGTCTCGTCTTCGGCAGAGATGTGTTGAGACTGCGCATCGAGTCCATGATGGTGGTGGCAAGCGGAGGGTTTGCTGTAAGATTGTGTAAGTCTTGGGTACTAGTCTGCAAGTGGGGATCGGGTAGTTCGCACCTCCCTTCAGCCGCGGCTGTGATGTCAAGGGGTAGTATCTGCCTGGGAGGCAGCGAGTAGTGGTGTAGGTGCGGTGAGGTCGCTATTCACTTAAAAGGAGCGTGGCATGGGCGGTGCAAGGTGAGTGTGATTACTGTCCTCTGCGGGGTGAAGCTGTCAATATGGTTTCTCCGGGCGCTCTGACCAGGTGACTGACTGCCCTCGTCAGCCCTTTCACGCCTCCGCATCAACCTCGCGCCTATCACTCGCCCTACCACACTTCCGCAAACATGTAACTTTACGGTGGTTGCTTCCTAGCGAATGCCTTGTTGCTGTTTTTAGCGTGTTTTGAAGTCTTTCTCCAACTTGTGTCTGTAGGCAATTGATGCCTTCTCCAATCGAATGCCTCCCAGTCGAGGTTTTTGATATCATCGCGATTGATCTCGACTTGCCAGCTTATAACGTTCTCCGTCTCATCTCACGTCAACTGTATTTACTCAGCTTCTCGTCATATGCCAAGAGATACTTTTCTGCGCTGACGACTACCCTCGGCTCGGCGTCCCTTGATCGCCTAGTAAACGTGTCCAGTCACCAGAACCTATCTACTATTGTCACTATCTTGGATATTCGGCTCCTGAATCATCGCGATTACAAGGTCCTAGCCAAGATAAGCCGGGTCGGCATCTTTCCGCCTCCAAAGCGATTTCCAAGAGTGTCAGGTGTCAGACAAGAACACATCAGCGAGGAGGCTACATTGTACGATGATGTTGCCCGAAACGAATTCCCAAAATGCATTGTCGAGCGCCTCGCTTGTGCTTTGGCAGGCTTCGGGAACCTCCGAACGATTCGCTTCCGCGCTCATCACTCAGAGCCATTTGGGTGGCGGTCTACTACGATGCCAGAAGGCGATCAGCTGTTCCGATCAAGATGCTACACGGCCGTCATCGACGCCATAATAAAGAGCGAGGTGAACTTGGAAGAGTTCAGCATGGCTAAGGGAAAGAGAGTGACCACACTGAGCAAATGTGCAAACCTAATATACCCAACACTGCAACTACCCTTCCAGGCTCTTCGCGCACTGCAACATCGTTTCTCTGCTCTGCAATCTCTCACCCTTTCCGTCATCACAGCTTACAACGGAGACGCGCGCGTACCTGGTTGGGAGAATGGGCTGAGCAACCTGATCGCTGCTGCGCCTTTGCTCAAAACTCTAGCTTTAAGCCTAGATCGCAACAGTTGCATCTCCCACTATAGTGCAGCTGTGATTCGGTCATTATCACTCTCTTGTCGAGTTTCAGAACTTTCATCATTTCAACTCGTCAATTGCTCGCTACACGAAGAGGATCTGACAACATTTCTCTCGGCACATTCGAGATCGTTGTGTCAGCTCGTTTTCTCCGATATTCGGCTTCTATCTGGGAACTGGTCCTCATTGTGGACGTCGCTGAAGGATGCAGAAAACGTGCAATGCCTACGATTAGCGTCGCTCGAGGGAGCAAGAAGTCCGGTGCTCTTCCGACGGCGCAACAAAGAACGTCCGAATATCACACTGGACGCAATGAAAGTAGGGCGCCCGATGGCTGCTCTGTTAGACGATCTTGTTCGTGTGTGCAACGTGGAAGCCAACTTGCATACTGTCGGCCTTGATGTAGACTAATACCGCAACCAAGAATCAACCCAGCTTCGCAATACCTTTGCTTTACCACCACGCAGTGAGGGGCTACCGAACCCAGCCAGGCTGCAGTTAATATAAGATTAGTCAGTATTTCACAATATCAAAGGTGCGCCGCTGTTGGACTCGGGACTCAGGCCTCAAGTGGCAATCCAATGCCTTCACTCTCCGCTGTGTTTCACTAGTAAAGTTATCAGGTTCATTCGATAAGATTTAATACGGTGACCTCATCGTAAGCAATTGGACGATGCAATCGTCGGTGAAACATGGAGCCACAACACGACTCACTATAGCGACAACAAACACAATCTAGCGTCCAGGTGTATCACAGGACTACTTTCCTCGAGGTTTTATCTCACCGCCTCCACCTCAACTTCTTCTACTTCTGCAAATCGGACTAGACCGGTCAACTTGATAGATCGCGGCCGCCTCATGCCCCTGGAGGCACCAATCGACGGGCACAGCGAGTCGCTGCCATTGCTCCATAACCTGGCCGACCGAAGACCATACCAGCCATATTGCGTGACCGAAGCCTCTTCGCGTGCCCAAAGCCCGGAACTTCTCACTCCGAAACCTTTACGCATTATCAAATCCTGCGCCCGGGAACTCGATGGCGATGAGCAAACTCAACACTCCAGGGATGATGTGTTAGACATGTTGCCTGCCCGATCTGCGGCATCAAGTCCCGGGCAACAAGACAGTCTTATCATATTACCCAAGACGGGAAGCAAAAGCAAAAGAAACCCATCCTTATCCAATCGCATATCGCAGCTCGGGAACACCAAAACGGCAAGTCCAAATTACATCGCACAGGCCGTAACTCCACGCGGAAGCCACACATTAGCTTCACTTGACGAGGCAGTGTACGACGAGACACTATCACATCCGTGGGTGCAACGCCCAAGGTCTTTGTACATAGCAACGTCTCAGCAAGTCATTCGCAAGCCGCTTCCATGGCGTAGCGGACATGCAGGAATGGATTACCATCCATTACCTCCCCTGCCGTACGATACAACTGCAACACCGGAGTTAGTCGATTTTGAGCCACAAAAGGAGGTATATGACAGGAATGCGCTTGAGCACACGCCAGAACAACCGTCAGTGTTTAGGCGTAAAGATGAGAGGCAAGGTGAAGAGCAATATCGTCCACCTCAATGGAACAGGAATGACATAACACACCCAACAGGAGGGCCCAACACTAAGACTTATCCAAGGCCAATTAAACGTAGTGTTACCTTCGAGGACGAATTAGAGCTGCCCAATGTTACAGCACCGTCTCGCAATGCCTACTCGAGGGACTCAAGTAGGAGCCCTCGACAAAGCAACATTCTCAACAAGCACGCACAGTTCCCTTCGTCAGCTACATCTTACACTTCTCAGGACCGCCTATTGGAACCCGACGACGAAACAAGGGCGCATCGAAGGACACAGCCAAAAGATGCGAAACTGAGATACCAGTTCGGACAGCTCCCGTCCAGCAATTTCGACTTTCCGCCACCGACGCCACCTCTTCGCGAACTCAATCGACAGCCGGACCACGACTACCTCACTCGACCCATAAACTCCCCTTCTTACCAAATGTTCACCGACACACAAGGCGGGCCCCGTCTACCGCCATGGGGTTCCTTCGAAACTCTCGAGATGCAACGACGAAACCGCGGCGATGCTCGAGAGCGCGCTCAAGCTCGCTTGTATCGCAGTCAGATGGACAGTAGTCCTTCACTGTATCTGGGATCGCGGTCCACAGACAGCTTTGGACAGGATGTGATGAGGAGAGAGGTGGAGGACTATAGGGAGCAGGTGTTGCGATTGTATCCGGATATAGAGTTTGATGGTGAGGCTGGTGCGGGTGGGAGGTCGTGTTGTTGTGCCATCATGTGAAGGAGAGTGTGGGACGAGTTATTTGGTTATGATCATCGGGGGGTTGGTATATTTTTGCTATGGACAACATTTCTTATTACAGTATATGGTCTCTCCTCACCTAAACATGATGGCCTCAACATGTCCCGCCCCAGTCGCTCAAACAGACAGCGATAGTAGTTCACGGCGAGAGTTTGTTCCTCGGGCACAATCGAACAAATGTAAGCATTCTACGAATGAACAATAGCGCCAAAATAACGCACTTCGGCCGGTCCGCCGTACGAGGGCAAAATCTACAGATGAGGTGCAATAAAACGCTTGAAGCAACGCGGCAGAGTTGACACATTTAGGAAAATAGCATTATCTGGCTTTGAGAGAATCGGGTTTTCTGACACGTCGGACGTGCGTGGTACCTTGTAATGACCTCTTAGTAAAGCCAAAAAGGAACAAGCTGAGAAGCTAGCTCGCACTCCTTGAGTAAAGTACTTGCAAAGTCTACAGAAAAGCCACATGTCCCTCATTGATACCATCTTCAACGAGGAGCGACCGACCGACTCGAACAAAGCCAAGAGCCACATCGGCTGGTGGCTGGCTCTCTCTATCGCGTCTGCTCGCCAGTGTGCCAAGGATATCCTTACGGCGTTACTCGATGGGCAGTTAGCATACAAAGTCCTCGGCGAGAAGGACCCCAGACCTGTCCATATCTCCAACGGGACTCTGAACTCTCCGATAGCGAACAACACCCGCGATATATGCACAGCACTGCCTCTAATGCTCCCGCAATATATGTCAGGCCTCTCGCTAATGACATCGATAAGGGACCTAGCCCAGTCTAATGCCAGATTAATCTGCACAGCCCTACGCCGATACGCCACTGGGGATATAGTTGAAGCGTTAAAACTAGACAACGTGCGACACTCGAAAAGCACAGAACTTACCGTGGCAGTGGATGGGCCTTATTATCTGACGAGAAAGATCAATCATGCACGTGAGGTGGTTACCTGGTGCCAGGCCATTGATTTGAGGGGTCAAGAGGTGTCGAAGAAGGACTGAAATCAGCCACATTCTATACCCGAAACTACTGTAGATTTGCAAAAACCGTCAGCCGCCACAACGATCAGTATGCTAGAAAACAGTCCTATACATGAATAGTGCTACTATCGAGGCAGCCTTCAAAGTCTCCTACCCAATGCAACTTTGCTTTGTTTCACGGCAGCAGATGATAGAATTGAGCTTGTAGAAAAGATTTTGACCCGATGCACCGATTTAATCATGGCGGCCTTGCGCCGTCATTCATCATGCCTTGTGGTGTGGATACGCCGCATCAAAGCTGTAGATCCGCCGCCAACAGGGGTACCAGTAATACCTGACCCGCACAATCAACCGTGCCTACCGCACCTCCACCCGCTGAATGTCATTTCATCTTCTTGCGCAATACATCCCATGATATAGTGCAGAATGTGCAAAAGAAAAGTTTTTCATGCATCAGATCGAGCAGGCAACTGCTAATTACTTTGTTCGTATTTATTACGGTCTTGGCCGTTAGGCAAGCCGCCATGGCGCTTGAGAGGTTGAGGCCTCCTGCCCACCTTTAATACTTCCCCTGTCGCAACCCATAAGCAGTAGGTTCTCCTCCGCTGTCTCACATCCCAAAAACAATGGCAGCCCTCGAAAACGGCTTCGCCATCCGGCGCAACGGCACGTGCATCAATGGACTCGAAGTCGACTGCGGTATCACGCTCGCACCCTACCACGGCTGTTGTCCCACGGGACTTTCTTGCCCATCTCAGTACAATATCGCGTGCTGTCCGCCCGGAAACAACTGCACAGAATCGCTTATAACTGCGCCAGAGCCCAAGTGTGCCAACGCGACGTGGGACCTTTATAACAATGGAGGCTACTTTTGTTGCGACCATGGGCTGATCGGATATAATACTTCTCGGGGTACGAATGGGTGTGCGAGTCCGGGAGCAAAATTGGAGAGCGGAATCAAAATACTGAGCCTGGTGAAAATGGGTGGTGGTATGTGATTATTCAAGGTTATGAGCTATTTGCGATTGTGCTAACATGGAAGGTGTAGAGGCGTCTAGGACATCTACAGCGTCGAGTAGCTCATCCCCCGCCACAACAACACCGTCGAACACGCAATCGGCAAGCCCGTCACCGCCCGCAGATCCAGGCTCCTCTACCCCAGTTGGGGCTATCGCAGGTGGCGTAGTGGGAGGCGTCGCCGCCATAGCTCTTGCACTGCTCGCGTGGTACTTGCTGCGCCGAAGAAAACAAAATAAGGCCGAGGGCAACCCATACGACATGCAGCAATTACACGAGGCAGATGCAACACTTGGGACAGCAACAAAATATCGGATGGACATGGATCACAATGTCCATGAAGTAGACGGCTCGTCGTCGGATGGATATGCCAGAGAACTGTCGGCACAGCAGAAGCCCGTAGAATTACCTGCGAGCGACCCAGTAGTCAGGGAAGCGCCATATGTTCACACGCACAGGAACGCCCTCTAGATACCACATTTCTTGCAGTTTGAATTTTATGTCACAGCCGGTCCACTTCATTGATGAGTAGTGCTAAAGCTTCTGGAAATGGAATCGACTTTGATGAAGACTACACTTCCAAATAATCCCCTTCCATCGCCGAAATTTCCCACGTCAGAAGTGCAATACCATAATTCCATTTCTACCCTCTCCGCTCTTATAAAAAGCCCTTTGCAACGCCAACAACTACCTTACTTATACAAACTTCCACACGGCGTTACTAAACAAAAATCAGATCCCACAAAAACGTATTCAAAACTCTATCAAAGGAATAATAACCAGGCTACAACATCATGCGCGCTACCCCAGAGAATGCAAGCAACAAGAAGAAGCCTCAAAAGGATGGCAAGAAATTAGAGGCTAAGGAGAGACGTGAGCAAAAGAAGAGGGAAACCCAGAACAAGAAGAAGGGAGCTGGGCGAGGTAAGAAGGGGAAGTAGTGAGATGGCGTAACGGGGATGATTTGGTAGAGATACAGCGGACGTACAGCCTGCGGTCAATCTCAATTAATTTAGCAGCACCTGCGCAGGGTTAACGTGCTCCGTAGTTCAACGAAAGCTTACTATTTAAAGCATGATTTTCAGCATAGATGCTGAGCACTGTCATTGTGTAGCCATGAGTCAATAATCAGTGACACAAGCTTAAGAGGACTAATGCAAAGACGCCAGTCATTACAAATGAGAGTCACTCTCTCGTCATTGCTCTTAGAGTCATTCCATTTCTGCGTATATAAAAATCGGTTGTCCTCTCATACTTGCAAACAGTCTCTCACAAACATCTTCATCAATACCCAATACCAAAGCTTCTATAACAAGTACCACACATATATATCCCTCGCGATGGCAGAACAATCCCACGATCATGCTACTGAGCCAAAGGACCACGAAGCCTCGCAGAACTGTTATGTTCACCAACCCGCCCCGCCCCGTAGGAATCGTCCACATCCAAAGGAGGAGGAGGACACTGACTCGGAGGAGGTGGAAAGAACGGCCAGGGAACAGCGTGAGAGAGCGGTCGCGGAGTACTTTCGATCCCTCCTTGACCAGGCTGGGAACGAAACGAGTGGAAATGAACAGCCCAGACCAACGAGTGTTGAAGCAGTGGTGTCGAATGCTAGTCAAGCCGTGGAGAGTGTGAACGAGGGTGTGGAAGGGGAGGTAGCTGGAGCCGCTAATCCAGGAGGTAAAGAAGCCACAGGATAGGAGAACAGTGAAGACGTGCAAGCGGGTCACTATTCATGGCAACGTCGGCGCTCACAGATACTACTCCTGACCCGCGAAGTTCAATACCTAACAAGCTTCTCCTGTCATGAATCAAATTCAAACTGGCAATAAGAGCCTTCAGGTAGAAATCATAAATCTTATGGATCTTATTGCATTCAAGTATCCTGAATTCCCCTTTAGCCTCTAATTACGTGATGCCATTGATAAAAGTGATAACAGATGCTATTCAAGATGTTTGCATTCAAGCTAGAACTGATTAAACATGTGTGAAGTAATATTGAAAAAAAAAAGTTCCCTTAAACAAAATAGACACCAGCGCAACGTCCGCAGCCCTCAATCAAACCTCATAGATTCCTTTCAGTAAACCAGAAACTACACACGAGACACTTGAACTGTACCAAGACACCTCAGGTATGTCAGAACCCACCAAAAACATCCAGAACATCAAGAATGGCATCGTAGTCCTCCGCACAATCAGCAAGTGGGCCGACAAAGCTGCCTTGGCGCTTGAGAAACTTGAAAGACAGGATGCGTCAAGGCCAGCGAGAGATAGACAAGCGCGAATACCGACGCATAATGCGCGGAAGAGAGATGATGCGGGGGAGAGGGCGGAAAGCCAGAGAGTGGAGAAGAAGCCGTTATGGTTATGAAAAATTGGGAAGAGAAAGAAGGGCAGGGTGGGAAAAGACAATATAGAAGTCGTGATGCTGAAACATGTACTCTAGCGGTGTCAAACCCACTCATAAACAACATAGAACAAAGCGGGTTATCCCTTCTAAACAGACAAAGAGCTTAGTTTACACATTCGCCGCCACATGCTAGTCTCAGGTGTACAAAAGCGTAAGCTACACAAGTGGCGCAACTGTGCGACATTGGTACATCGCTTTCGTGAATATGTGAGACTAGTTTCGTTTGCAAGCAATACCGCCGCTTCAGTCGACTAACTAACTGCGTTGGCTGCCTCGAGACATGTGTCAGATTGGGAGTTACACTGCGCTGTCAAAAACAAGTTATCTGGAGCTGAGCAAGGGAGGAGGGAGGGCCGTACTTTTCTCTTTCTCTTGTATCAAGGGCATTCTTGTGAAAAGGCTGGACTGTTTGACACTTTGGAGGGGAGAAGGCGGATACAAACCGCGTTTAACTCACTTTCACCACCTTTCCACACAAACACTTCTCGCGTTAGATTGTATCCGCTCGAACATACACGGTTCTCCGCTCTTCTCTCCCCGCTTAACTGTCCTCCTGCCCTTGTTCAGCTTTTTGCCTCGTTCGGTTCGTGCATCTTTGTCACTCACCACCACACCCACGTCCAGAAATGTCAACACACTTCCGCCCTCGCCCACCCACAATTACGCCCTCCAGTCCCATCCGCCCATCAACAGCGCGCTCCACCGTGCGCGCCGTCACGCCTTCACCGCCATCTAGTTTTGAAAACTTTCAACTCCAACATGCCAGCCAGGGAAGGCATGCAAGGTCGAAGAGTGAGGATGCCCAGAACGGGAATGCTAGCGGGAGTAGAGGGGCCGTCCGACAAGAAGAAAAGCAGGATTTTAGGGAGTTTCTTCTCAGCACGGAAAGCGGTACATTTAGCAACTCGCCCGTCGTGGCTCCAGGGCCTAGTCTATGGCGCGGTGGTATCGCATCGGGAAGATCCTCGCCAGGAAAAGTGCGGCCTCGCTCGCGATCTCCCAGAAAGAGGCCTGTTTCCACGCCTACAAAGCTGCTATCTCCAACACAGGAGGTGCGAGTAGAGGAGCAGAAACGAGAAGAAGAGGTGGAGCAGCAAGAAGAAGCGGTGGAGGAAGAAGAGGATGATGTAGGGAACGACGATTCGGAAGACGAAGAGTTCGAATGCCCCGATACACCCACGCCCATTTCCCGCTTCCAGAAACGATCCGCATACATCCCCCTCGGAACGCCCCTCGCACTCTTCAGCAACCGCGAGCAGCAGAAGAAGAGCCGTGAGATCGTACACGCCTGCCCATGTCCTCCACCACCACCGACGACAACAGACTGCCTCACCGCACCGCGAGTCCACGACCAAAGACCCCCCAAATCACAAACACCTACGTTTGTATTCCAACCCGAGCCTTCACCTCCGTCACCGCAACACCCGCAGCCTAAAGCGCAAGATGTTCCCATTACCACCACCACCGCCCGCATCGACACTCCACCGCTCCCTCCCCGCCAGGCCACGGTGCAAAAGCCTCTCCCGGCCAACGAACCAGCGCGCCACATCTCTTTATCCGCACAATCCAACGTCTCCGGCGGGACCGCAGGATCCAAACGCTCCGTCTTCAGCACGCCTGGCCGCGATGAATTGGAGAGGAAGAAAGCGCTTGTGGAGGCGGACGAGGGGCCGTTTGCGCGGGCGGTGAGTGTGCAGGATTTGCAGGAAAGGAGGCGCATGGTTAGTGGGGGCAAGGTGGAAGGGAAGGGGGTGGGTGGAGTCATTGAGGAGGGGAATGGTGGTGAGAAGTCGAAGAAGAGGATATGTGGAATAGGAGTGGGTAGGTGTAATGTGATGTGAGGCTGGCTTCGGGAGGGCTAGTCTGATGACCTATGGAGCATAGAAGTACGACTGGGAATTGAGATACGAGAGAATGATGGGCGTAAGATACCGAGATGATGGAAGGTGATATGTCGACCTTCCCCGTGTCTAGGGACCACATGCTTGTAGATTCGAAAAACGCAGCTTATAGTGCATACTTATGAGATGGAATAGACGACAGTAACAGTGAATAAGAAGAGATGAACTTCGACCTGCCTTTGACTTTCACGCCGCTCCACCGCAAACAAGTGTGCGTCCTCAAAACCTGGAGTAATTGCAGCACCATGCCTTTGAACCGCAAATTCAAAATCTTACAAGATAGCCAGGGTAATTTCTGCACACTATCAGCAGCAGATACCCAAGTCCTTCTTTAGACCGTACATGCTTGCCCACCTCGCGACTAACCACCAGTGGCTCTATTCCCGTCTGTTACCGGGCGACTGAGACCTAGAGACATCCGGCTACAGGCTACAGCGAGATGCTAGTGGCATTTTGGACCTCGTAAGTCTCTCCAGGCACTGCTATCCATACAAAGCCACCCGCCTACACACAACACTGCTGAGCATGACTTCCTGGGCTGATGGAAGCGCGTCTTCCATAGTTCGTACTGTCGACTTCGGAGGCGTCAGAATCTCTTCGGGGTCCGAGGAATAGTAAAATAGGTGGACGGGGGCTCCAGGCCAACTTATCCAAGGAGGTAAGAAACAATTATACAATTACAACACGCAAAATTTTCTCAATTCTCCAATGCTACCCAGGCACCTTATCAGAAAATGACAATGGAAAGTAACGATACAATGGAGGGACCTTCAGAGCAGTAGCTACAAGTTAAGATGGAATTTGAGATTGACCAATTGTACAGGTTCAAGCTAAGACCTCTTCTTGGATGACGACGCGGCAGCGATATCAAGACCCTGGAGAATGTCGGTACCGAAAACGACAGTCATATACGCTGGGAAGATGACCCAGAGACCACTGGTAAAAACGTCAGTAAGGAGGAGACAAGGAGACTACCAGAGTACAACAACTCACTTCATGACACCATAGAAGAAAAGTATCGTAAGCCAGTCATTATGACGGATATTTCCAAAGTCAGAATAATACTCGTTAAAGTCTGTAAATGTCAGCCTTCTCGCCTCCATCCCATGAATTGAATCTCGCGTGCAAACTCACAGTACAGCACAGTCTTGCTAAGCGTCATGACCGCCGCCGCAAACCCAATAATCAACGCGCGATTCCCCGTCGGACCGCGCACCTTCCTGCCCCCAGCGAACCATGCGCCCACGCCCTCTCCCAGCTGCAGCCCCGTTCCACCAGCCGCCGAGACGCCATGATTGTAGATGATCATGGCGTACAACCCGTACAGGACGACCTCGACGGCATTCAAGGCGCCTTGCGCGCCGCCGAATCCATCTTTCCTGTCCCACCCGGGCCAGCCGTAGACGTGGTCAATCGAGGCGTAGATCTCGTAGGGCTTCCAGAGCGGCCATTGGAGTGCGCCACCGGACATGGTGTGTGGGCGCAGGAGGATGTACAAGGAATCCCACAGCACGAGGGGGATCGACACGGTTAGCCAGAGGATGGTGATGTTGGACGCGGTATGGCACCATGTTGTGTCGTTGACTCCGGATGGCGACGCATTAGTGTTTGAAACTGCGCGTCTGGCGAGTGACTTGAGAAAACTTGGCGACGAGTCCAGGTCTGGTGAAGACGTTGGCGCGGGCGACGCGGATGTGCGGGATGCTCTCTTGGTGGGTGAGGACTCGTTGGCGGGGAAGTCGCCGCGGGGATGTCCACGTGTAGACACCATTGTCACGATCTAAATGGCGCAATTGGGCTATACACTGGACGCTGAAAAAGTCACCGAGGGATGAGAGAAACGTTGCGCAATTGCAAAGAGGTGGTGTCGTGTTGTTGTGATGTGGGAATGGTGAGAGAGGAGGAAGACCAGTGGGGAGCTCTCCTCGGGGACCTGCTTAACCGGTGGGGGGCCTATACCTGAGACGGAAGGAGATGTTTGCGGAAGACTCCAATCAGGACAACGACAGGCCTGGCTTTGCAGTCATTGGCCGAGGTTTTCGGCATTTCTCATCTTAGAGTACGGGGCTGGTGTTATTATCTGTTTGGTCACCTGGCTATCCTCATCATGTGGAATGGAAGGTATCACAACACCGAGAAACGATGAGTTCGGGCCGTAATGTAATTACCTACAATGCCAAGCCAGTCGGTGTAGTCTCTAGACGTCTAGACTGCTGCTATTTGATCAAAGATGAGCCGCAATATATTAATCTCTGCAGAGTCCTGGAAGACGATCCAACTCGGACTACCAAGGTGAGGTTATGAACGCTTCTGCAAAGATGAGACCTAGGAGAACAATGACACGGAGGCGTGTAAGGCAGGGGAAGCCGGGAGGTGCTTTGGAGAAGACTGACGTTCAAGGCGATGAACAGCCGAAAAAGGGCCATGCGAACATTCCTGGCTGTCAGTAGCATAGCGCGGTGACTTGACTCATCCGTCAACCTATATATCAGAGAAAGCATTCGAGTTGCTGTCGAGCTTCTCTCATCCAACACTGTTCAAGCCTACACATCGTATGATCATCGCACGCATCATCACCTGTGAAAACGCAAGTCAAACAAGCATATGCATCTTGCAGCCACTCTTTTCATTTCCAGTATATAACCAAGCTGGCCATTTTATGTACGTGATGCGGTGTAACGAATGAAAGTCGAATCCGATGCTGCTGTCCGCTCAAATGGTACGTTGGCAATTGTGAGTGCGTGGCAAGGACAGGCGTCGAATCGAAGAACCGTCTTCTCGGCTGCGTTTTTCATCGGCTCGAACATTTCTGCACTACATCAGCACTACTCTTCTTACTAGCCCACGAAGCCTGAGACGCAAGAAGGGGTTGGTAGTGGGGGGAAGCGACGTACATTTTCCGCAGGAGCAGGCACCCGCCGCGCAGCCGCAGTCAGCGCACGTGCAACCAGAGTTTCCGCAGCCCGTCATGTTGATGGTTCGTGGAGTGTATTGGGATTTACGTTTCGTGTGCTTTGTGAAGGTGGGAAAAAGGAGTGATGTTGGTCGTTACTTTGCTTGTTGCTGTTTGATCAAAGAAGAGTTGGAGGGGCAGTGCGGGGCTCGCCTTTTATCTCCAAACCCCATGACCAACTGCTTTCGGCGACGCGCCGATAGCCGCACTTGCCACGAGATTTACCACACGTCTTTCGTGTCGTTGTAGCCATTTAGGCGGGTCTGACACTTGCAGTAACCGTATCAGGGAAGATAGGGTGGCGCTCAGAAAGTGGTGAGACTGTCAGGCGAATGAAGGGTCCTTGGTGTGTTAGTAGCAGACGCATTACCCCCTGTTTGAGCAAGTTTCGTGGGTTTCGTGGGACGGGGGTGTGCTGCTTGGAAGAAGGTGGCTTAAACAGAGTATGAGATGGCCCGCTGTGCATGTTTGAAAGAGGAAGATGACGTTTAAATACTGTAACCCTACTACTCCTTCATTATGTAAGATTTGAGCTTCGAAGTTGCATGCCCGATAGATGCCCCAACTCTCTAGAACGAGGTAATGTTAACACAGTTTGTATATAGTTGTCAACACGTTACAAACGGAGGACTCTTCCCTTACCGCACTGAAACTTTCATGGACTGGTGCTACAGAATGGAGCTTGAGTAAGGCCTCCTAGTCTATTTGCGAAGTGGAGGCGTGCCACAGCCACGTTGGCGGTGGCTGCAAGTGTGATCCGTCTCGGCGGCCAGGTCTACATCACGCCTCTTTTCCCCATATTATCTAGGTCAATAATCTCCTCTTCAATCTCTACCTCGGGTACATGCTTCCCCTTTGCAGTCTTCCCACTTTTGGCACTGCCTTTGCTGCTGACACTCCCTCTTTTCCCCTCCTTGGCATTGCCATCGTCGTCTCCATCTCCAAACAAGAAACCCTTGCCCTTCATTCGCCTCTTCTCGTCGGATGAAAAGGTCGAATGCGTGGTGCCCGAAGCAAAGTTGGAAGACGCCGAGTCTTCGCCGAGCATCCATGAGAAGTTCGAGGATGTGAGGTGAGGCCGAGAGCGCGGGGATAGGTTTGTTGACAACTGCGATGCTGGTGATAGAGCCTTGGTCGTGGCGCTTGCCATCGGTAAGGGTTCAGAGGTGGTGGTTACTGATATTGGTGGCACACTTGACGTCCGCTCTGGAGGTACAGGCGACTGTGGTTGTGAGAACGTGAGAGTTGCCGCCGCCTTTGCAGTGGCTGCTTGTTCGGTAACCTCGTCGATGGGAAGTGGTATCGACGAGTCCTCGAGATATACCTGCACGAACTGCACTTTGGCAATAGCAAGACTCAGTGCTTCCATGGCCGCCTTTCCCGTTTCGTCGTCCTCTTTCGGCTTTTGCTCCTCGTTGCGCTCCCTGTGGTACTCCCAGAGGTCGCCCACGGCAACTTCCAACATCTTTGCTAAGCTCTTGTTTCTCCTATCCAGCTCTTCAATCTTCTTCATTGCATTACCAGAATACATGCGCTCGAGACCTGGTCGCGCATTAGAGGCTGTGCCGATCTGCGCAGGCTTTCGAAACTCTCTCCCTCCAGATCTTGGCGTTGTCTGGCCTGAATTTGTGCCTGACTGGTAAGCCTCGACGTTTTTCCGCACTTCGCCCACAGCATCGCGGAGAGCTTTGCCGACTCCCCACTGCGATCCGCGTTCCAAGACATTCTTCGCAGCACCTTGTAGCAAGGCTTCGATCCCAGCTCCTTGCTGGCCCACGATACTTTTCGGCGATCCTAGATTATGTCGTGTTCGGCTAGAAACAAAGGATGGCGATGGCGATGCATCACGGATATTTGGTGATGCTTCTAGCTCAATCACGGGTGCTTGCTTTCCGTAGCGCGAAATGATCTCAGCGCCTCCCTGTGGAGTGAGATGATCGCGAAGATACAAAGCATCCTTGATAAAAGTGTAGGCGGGTTCTGGGGGCTCGGGATATCTTAGCAACAAAGTAAAGGCCTCGTTGGTATCGGCTGCAACCAGATCCCAGCGTATCCGCAGCAGCATGGCTATGGAGATCATATCAACAAGTTCCAGCGATGAATCGATAGCAAACAATGCATCCCACATGTCGAAGACGGAGTCTAGGGGAAATTCTCGCCCAAAGAGGAGGCGTATCCACCGTCTGCATGCTGTTAGAAAGGCCACGATAGCGAGACTGAAGACTCACAGAAGAAATATCTGAGGCACAACCTCGAGCTTCGTGAGGTGGGCAAAAAGCTCTGGATCAGCTTTTGGCAGGTATCTTTCAAAGATTCTCGAGCTTCGGGCAAGCATCGGCGTGTCTGTCGTTATCGAGCCCGGCTCTGCAGGCGCATAGAATGACTTGGCCGTTTGCATGATGAGCGAAAACAGGGTATACGTGTCGTGCTCAATGTATCTCGAATCCATCATATCTGCGAGTGTACCGTCCGTGGTACCTGCCTTTCCGCCTGTCGCTTCTATAGCATCTCTTTCCACGACCCAAAGCAACGGTGCGAGGATCTCATGCATGCCCTGACGGTACCCTATGTCTGGATGCAACTTGCACCACACGAACAGTATATCCAACATCATGTTCTGAGTTGCGGGCTGCCGGAAGTATACATTGTCGGGCATACACCGCTCGATGTCCTGGAAGATTTCGGCGCGGAGATCTTCGTCGGCGCGGAGGGCTACCCATGGGGACTTTCAACACTTAGTACTGGTCAACATTCGACACGTTCAAATAGGCGCAGCCCATTGCGGGGGTTATCTACCTCGTCGATTTCGGTCAATGGGTCTACGGACGACTCGAACTCGTCAGGGTGCTGTATCGCGCGAAGATAGTGTGTGCGCAGGGACTCGTAGGTCTTGCGGGAATGGGCAAGGTGGGTTGGCCATGACGAGCGGTCGAGTGTCTTGAAAACGAGGAAGATCTGGCTCGACGATAAGCGAGAGTCTAGAGAAATGGTGGCAATTGACAAACCTTCCAGCAGACCGAACGAAGACCTGCAGTAAGCCGCGGTTCCTTGTGTGAAGATACGTGAATCTTCAAGTCGGTCAACGAGTGAAAGTTGTCAAGCTGACGCCAAGACTTCCTATCGCATGTTAGCAAGAGTAAGGATAGTTGGGAGGGATTGAAATGCGCACTCGGCCTCAGATGCGGACCGCATAGTGGCGAGCAGCAGGGGGGGCTGCGAGAACGGTCGAGGAACGAGTTCGTACCTTGATGGTAGCTTGGGTGCTCATGATGCTGCGCCGTGATAGCGCGACGTGGGGCCATGCCATGCAGCGGGCCTAAAATGGACCGAGGCAGATCACGTGTGTGCTAGAGTGATGTACCCCCAGTCGCTGGCTAGAGGTACAAGCTCTGGGGTGCATCTTTGCAGAAAAGATGCTGGGATAGGGCTGCTTCAGCTTGCACCACAGTAGGAAATGTGAAGACGACGTCACACAGCTCAGGAACGTGCGACTCCTGTCCCTGTCTAACCACAAATGAATCGCGGATGGGTTCTTGTAATTGTATGTAATTGTAATTGTAATTGTAATTGTAATTTGGCAACTGCTCTTCCGAGCCTGCTGCTGCTGATACCTAGAGCGACTTCTCTATCCCCACTGAACCGCATAGGTTTTCCACAACTTCTGTATGGGGCTTGCGGAGGAGGTTCCGGATAGGTCTTGTCGCTGGACGAAAGGCTCATTTTTCCGATAAGCTCTGTTTCAATGACTCTGGATCCGGGTGCTAGTGACGAAGCCGTCTGTCTCGCGGACGGCGGATGGGTATTCAGGTGTCCACGTGGATATAGGTCGCAGTGACTCAGCATGCCGCGTGGACATGGTGGATTGCCTTGGCTACCAAGTATGTAGGCTTGGTGTTTCGCAATCAATCCTTCTGGGCCGGTACTGCATTCCTCTGGCCCTCGATGACGAGCCTGTCTAAAAGGCCGGGTGCGAGTATATCTTGCCGGAAACGCGCCTGCTGAAGCAGCTCTAGTGCGCGGAGCGTCGGCCCAGGGTGGCTGCAGACACATGATCAGTAAGCCCGTGTGTCGGCAAAAGGGTACTCGGCGGTGAACGCACTGCAAGAACTTTGTGTACTTGGGCTGCTTGAAGTACTGCAGGTAGGCGAGATAGGCCACAAACTCGGGCTTGTCGAGCGTCTTTTGCTGGGCGAGGTAATTGAGATAGACGGGATTCGCAAGACACTGCACAAACTGGGCGTGTGTTAATGAAGGGAAAACAGGGGCCCATGACGTCGTGCAAGGGGGGAGGGGGGGATACGGACTTCTAGTTCGAGCTCGAAGCGAGTGTAACCTCCGTAACCTGGCACATTGTCGCGCTCTTCTTGGGAGGTCTGTTGCGCCATGGTGTGATGAGATGTGGCTTTGACGAATTGCTGCTGTGGTGTGGTAGAGAGCAGTGCGCTCGGGCCGGTTCAAGGGCAGCGCAGCGCAGCCAGAGAGGCTGAATAAAAAGGAATTCAGGGTCTTCCCCGCAATTGTGCAAGACCGGCAGCTAATCCGTATGGGGGGCGCGTTGAGACGAGGGCTGCCGTGGTGATTTGATGCGCTTTGATGAGGATGATGGAGGGAGTGGGTCACTGAATGGAGGCTTGCGGGGGGGAAACAGAGGGGAGGTGTGAAGCGTGTCTCCAAACGACTGTTGACTACACACGTAGATGGATGGATGGATGCATACGGGGGAGGACAGGACAGGACAGGCAATACAGGCATCCTTTATTCATCGGCCAGACGGTGTATATAGTTGGGTACAAACTCGGCCTGGAGCTGCCTCTAGTCCCCCATCTCGTGACCAGGAGCCACTCAAAACACGACGTGTCCAGCTCCTCGTCGTCGAGCAAGCCGCTCCTGCACCGTCGTCCCCAGGCCCCGTCGGCTCGACTCGACAGGAGCTAATTTCTCTCTCCTCTTCGCCTATACTCTGCCGGTGCCTCTCCCTTCCCATCCCATTCCTCGCACCTTTATCACCACTACTACCACCACTACCACCCACGTTGCTGTCTGGCCTAGCGTTGGATATTCACTAGACGCTTGCATAGACTAACGCCACTTCTCAAACACAACACGGCCCATTGAAATCCTCGCCCCGCCTGCCAACCCTCCTCCGCGCGCGCGAGCAGGGGCACCGCCATTCTCCGTGCCAAACACCACCATCCCATCATTCATCCGCATCGCCAGTCTTAAAGTGCGCCCCCTTTTTTACCATTGCTGCCATTCGCGCCCCGGCCCAGGAACAGGATTGGCACCAGTGCACGTCACCACAGCGTACAACCTGCGCGGAACACAAGCCTGCCGCTTCCCCTGGCACCAGTGTTTGATTGGCCGCTCGAGCAGGGTTGTGAGCAGCGCCAGCATCATGTTTGCAGACCCGTCAATGCCAGGTATGGCCCCATCGATCGCCTGTTTCACTGTGCGTTGGGCTGTGACGAAATGGGCCACAGCTGATAATCTGCTTCCTTATCTACAGAACGACAGCCCTCGCCAGGCCTCGCCCTCAATCTCCCCTCCAACAACCCATTCCGCAACAGAGCCGCCTCGCCCGCGCTCCCCTCACCCTTACTAGACACCGGCAACCGCGACAGTTCCGGCAGCAGGCCAATGTCGCGCAATCCCTTTCTGTCCACCTTCGAGGCAGAGTTCAACAAGGAGGCCGCCAAGGATCTCGACATGTCGGCCACCATGCGAGACTCCCCTAAAAAGGCCACCTTTGGCACCGCCGCCGAAGAGCTGTTTGTACGTCTTGCTCCCCGACAACTCACCTCGTCGCACAAGCTGCACCCTCGCTGCAATGCGCGCAAAACCCATGTCGCACGCCTTCGATGCATCAAGGACGCATCATGGAGCGCTTCCTGCACTTCGTGGGCCAATTCGCTGACTATCCTGCCCTTGAACAGAACAACCTCACTCTTGAAGACGGAGACAAGAGGCGCGCTCCTCCGCGACCTGCCCCCAACCGAAGCGGCACCGAGCCCCGCGTCGGCCATCGCCCCACACGCTCAGATGAAGAGAAGGAGAAGATGCGCGGCCAGCAGCGTGGGCCACCGCGATCACGAGGCCCTCCAAGTGCGCGTCCGCCGCGCCAGAGCAGCACCGAGCGCCGAGAGAACCGACGCCAGCGACGGAACTCCGAGTCCTCGATGATCGACAAGGGCTCTCTCGATCCAAACGAGGAGCGCAGGCGCAGGGAGCGTCGTAAAGAACGTGAAGAGCGTGGGGATCGTACCAAAGACGGCAAGGACGGCAAAGACGGCAAGTCGGGCAAGCGTGTTCGACGACCCCAAGGTCTCGACCTCATCGACAAACTAGACGTGACGGGCATCTACGGACCCAGTATGATCCACCACGATGGCCCATACGATGCCGTGCAACCCCACCGTAACCGCAAGAAGGACCAGCGCGCCCCCATGTCGGCCTTCCCGGTAGGCTCAGCCAACAACTCGCTCGGTGGCTCAGGACCACTCAATTCCAAGATTGATCTGGACAGGATTCACGGACGGGGTGCTGAGGGCTTCTCAGACTTCGGAGGCGCTGAACAACGCGAATGGCAGAAGCCTCGCCCCGAGGCCGAGTTCAGTGCCAAGGGCCGAGAAGACATTATGCATGGAGAGCAGACACATGGTCTTGGTACCTCTACTTTCCTCGAGGGCGCTCCAGCATCTCGCAAGGCCATCTTACAAGACTCCGAGAATAATCAGCGGGCTATGGTAGATGGCGGACTGGGTCGCAAGAAGTCGATTGCCCAGCGATTCCGCGGCATTTCGCAACCGCGACGATATGGTGACAATCCTCGCATCACCTCTCCCGAATCTCGATATGCCCCAGGCACAAATCAAAATGGTCCTTATAGTGCAGGCCCACTCTCCCAGACCAAGACAACCGAGTTGAACCCCTTCTTCAACGACGAGTACGACAAGGCTTATGAGGCCAAAGGAGCAACCATCAGGACCAACGAGACAGATACTAGAGGCGGCCCGTCTTCGCCTGGTCGCAACCAGTTGACACGAGCCGTCACTTCGGACAGCTTTGGATCTCCTCCGCAAGAGCCCAAGCCCAGCGGTGGTTTCCTGAACCGAGTCAAGAGTTTGAAGGGTGGACGCAGACGTCCTGCTTGAGCATCCTTGCCTTCATAGAATACGTCTTTAGTCTCTTGCCTATGCCATCAGGGCCGCACAACCCTGCTACGAGCATATCGACAGATACATCGCGCCATCCGACGGCCAAACGCGTCGTGTACCGTTCTGGGCGTCGCTCTTCTTCTATTATCATACACACCCCTTCTGGGACACCCACTCTCCTATCTTGGCGCCGGGGTAATTGGATTTTGGACATTGAGGCGGGTCTGGATACGCCTCCCGTGCAGACTGGTACAGGGTTGGATCAGGCGCCCCAAAAGGCATGCGAGGGTCTATTTGCCATCTTCATTTGGGCATGTTTAATGCGACAAGTTGGCGATTGTATAGCCCTACAATATGTGGTCGTAGAGAGCGCTGGCTGGGGATTTGTAGCTCCAACAAAACATTGAAATCACAAAAGCCCTGTGCAACAAATTCTCGTCAAGTTCGTCACGTGCAACCCTCCCATCAACCTGCAGCCATGCTCGTGGTGAAACTCCCCTTTCCAATTCATCAGTGTGGCCTCGAGGGGATTCAGGGGGGCCCGCAGCCACTACGCTACTATCCTCCCATTCGCCGGAAGCGGAAGCCGCGTGCCTGGTACCTGCAACACATCACCGCGCCAACCCCCAACCCACCGGAACCTTTTTCGACACCCTCTGGGCGGACGATCCTTGACCAGATCCCTTCCGCCGTGCGTGTGCACCTTGCATGACGCCACGATCCTACCTTGGACGCCGGCGTACTGGTCCATTGCCGCTTTGGGTGTCTTGTCGGAAATGAGTCCGCGTGGGACTATCGGTCTCTACTAGCTAACGCTTCTCTGGAGTCATGGATGCACTCCACGAGCCTGTGGAGCCGCTTCTTGCGTCCCAATTGATTGGCGATGAGGAGCTGGACGAATTACTCGAGGATGCGTGTAGTATTAGCACGGGGAAGAAACGGGTTGAGGCACGCTTGCTGGGTACCAGCGTGAAGAGCTTGGATGATGCGCTGGAGGGTGGATTGGAGGTTGGCAAGGTGACGAGTATCAGCTCTGAGACGGGTGGGGGAGGGAGCGAGGTGAGTGCTCCGCTGTAGAAGAGCCCAGAAAGCAGAGTGGGATGGTACTGACGACATCAGCTCTGTCGGGTATTACTCGTCCATTCACTGTTCAAGTATCGCCATTCCACGGCTGCCGTCATCGACACGTCGGGAAACTTCGATGTCTTGCGAGTTTACACGCTCATCCTTTCTCACTTGGAACGGCATCCTGATAGCTTGTCCGCTTTGCGTTCCAGTAGTGCTATCTCTCACTCCGACGCCAAGATCGAAGATGTAGCAGCTATCGTGCTCGACCGTGTGAAGATCATGCGGGTCTTTGATTTTATTGGCGTGAGGGAGGCTATTGGGGAAGTTGGAGATGCGCTCGAGGGTCGAGACGCTTCAACGTCAAAGGCAGGAGAAGCAGTTAATGAGCGCATTGTGGATGAGAAACAACGGCCCCCGTCAGTAGTCAAAACGCCACTAAAGAGGACCGTTGTTGCGGACAGTGAGGACGAAGAAGAGGATGATGATGAGGAGATGTTATTCGATTCAGAACCTGCCGTCGCTGAGCCCGCGCCTGCCGTACAAGACCCAGGACATACACAGCACGACCGGGAGCAAGCCATCGAAGGAGAAGATGGGGGTAAGCCCAAGATGATACTCATCGACAACCTCGCAAGCGTCATCAACCCGCTGCTCAAAAAAGACTACATCCAAGGTAAAGCCCGCTCCCTCGCTCTCTCAGCTCTTCACGTGGTCCTAACTCGCACAGCAAACACCCTAGCATCGACATTCCTCACGGCCCTCACCCGCCTAACACATTCGCACGGCCTGCACACGCTCCTCCTCAACCCAACTTCCGCCCCACGCTCCGCTTCAGCACCACTGCACCCGCCCCAGAACCCAGGCCAAGTAGCTCCGCCTCCTCCACAACGAGCTCAACACCCGCCCCAGCCACCTTCTGTATTTGCGAGCAACACCGCTGTGCCGAACTTGATGAACGTGCTTGGCCGACATGTGGATGTGGGGTTGTTGGTGACGAGGGTGCCAAGACGGAAGTTAGATGCTAGGGTATTTTACAGTGATGGTGGGGGGTCGAATAGGGGGAGTACAGTGAGGCAGGGCAAGGGTCCTGAGATGATTGGCGTCATGGAAGTCATGAGTGATCGGTGGGGAGGCAGGGTCGGGGCGTGGGGCACGTTTGTAGAGAGTGAGAACGGGTTAAAGGATGTTTAATTCTCCTTGAGGATATCAAGACTTCATCGAGTCTTCAAGAGTAAACGCTTCATCTCCTGAGTTTGCGACCCAGCCTTTCAGCGCGATCTTCATGTCGTTTTTGACTCGTCTCCTGTGAGCTATTGCAGTGTCGTCCTTCATCTCCTTGTACGCTGCTTTTCCAAATGCTTCGATTAACAGGGGCATCCCCACGAGGCCTGCAACCTGCACCGCTGTCTTCCACATGCTTCTCCGACAGAGCTGGCTTGCGCCCCTCGGGTCCGTCTGCTTCCTTCCCTGTAATACACCACCGATCAACGTCTCTTGCCAAGAAGGCGTCCAGACAGCGCTCAAATTGCTGGGCACAGCTTTCTCGCCCAGTCCGATGCTCCTGCGACTCCATGCAAACTCCCTTGACGAGGGTCTGACGTTAAAGGGGTGGAAGCCATACCCACCTTGCCAAGTGTTAGTCGTGTCATCAGTGAGAGTTTTGAGGCGTCCCAAGCGGGAAAAGGCACGTTCGCAGGCTGCGGGTACAAGTTGAGAGGTTGGTAGGACCAGGGAGTGTATGTATGCATTCCTTGGAGATATGAGGAGGGAGTTTGTGGTGGAGAGCAGAGAGGCAGCTTGTTTGAGCGTGAGCTTGTCTGTGCAGGATTTGCTGAGTGTTGGTGGGGCGTCTGGGCGTGAGGGTTTGCACCGCACGGCGCCGAGAAGGGAGAAGTTGGAGCGGCCTCTGAGTGCGGATCCCTCGAGGGCATCTGAGCTGGGAGAGGAGGCGTTTACCACTGTGGGTGGGGCGCTCGTCCATGGTGTTGCATCTTCTTGGGCGTCCATGACTAGCTCCATGCTGGCATCACCACAAGGTGCTTCGGAGCAGTACATGTGGATGGAGACATCCTCTCGAATGGCGAATGGTTGGCTCTCAAGTTCAGAGTGCTCTTGACTTGATCGCTGACGTAGGAAGTCTGAGGCGGGGAATGGTGGGGTAGATATCAGAAGGCATTGGTCCAGTAAGTAGCGGTTGAAGGCTCGTATGGCGAGTACTTCGGCATGCCAGTCGTGTAAGATGTTCCCTTGTGCGAGGGCCAATCTGTTGGAGGGGAGGCATTTCATACCAGTCCTGCAGATACTTTAGTATGTTTTCTGCAGTGAATGGTCGCTCGCAGCACCAATCAACTTGCTACCACCTTGTCCACGCATGTTTTGCTTTTATGATGCCGCTTCAAAGAGTGTAGTATATATAGCCTGTTCGGATACAGACATGGGTACGCTCTACACAAACCAAAAGAAGAAACCCGCTTACCCTAATGAGACGCATGACAGCCTATCGCCTTCACTACATCATGAGCATAAGCGACTACAGGACCTTCCGGAAGCAGGGGGAGTGGAGCCATTACCCTTAGATAAGACGATTCCGGCGAGTGGAACCCATTCCCTCGAGCCATCGGTGCGGGGCCGCGGTTTGCGTTTGTCTGGGAGCTGGTCAAAGGCTGAGAGGACACAATCAGCGATGGCATCCGCATCTGGAGTCGTTGTCGTAGGCATGGGTTCGGTATAGAGCGAGCGCGACTGGGCATTGCGGAGTTTGTAGTGGGGAGCTCTCGGGGGTGCCGCAAGCGAGCGTCGTTGTGACCCTCGTCGTTCCAGAGCTCCGTTCCTGCCACACTCGACCGCAGATACCCTGTCACGCCCTCTGCTCACTAAGACAGCCCGTGTAGACATTCCTTCACGTATAGCCTTGTTACTTCCCTCTCCCACCATGCAAGCCTTTGGTGAGCCATGCCCACGCTCCGGCGTTCCGTCGCTTTCGCGGCTCAAACGCTCACCATCCCAGTACCTAAGAACCGACGAGTAAGGGACGCCTTATACTACAGAGCGCACACTTGCTGACAAACGCGCAGCCAAAGTTCGAACTGCACCTGAAAGTGAGCTGCTCGCAACGGCCTGCGCGAAAGCAGCGTGCTCATCCCCGCTAGATAATCGATCTCAATAACGTCCCACTCGTCTCGGGCAAGTCCTTCATAAAGTGGCACCTTTCCCACTCGACCGCTGCTGAACACCGCGGCCGTACCGAGAGTTGTCCAGTCAGAGACCACAGAGTCATCTACAACTACTCCATCTCACTCCCCGTCCGGCTCACGGTAGACAAGAATGGCATGCTACAAGAGAGCTGCGCTGAGTTCGAGGTCCTTCAGGAATATGATGGCGGCTCTGGCAGGGGCCAACGGATTACATTGGGACACGTGAAGCTCAATCTGGCAGAGTACGTGGAGCAGAGCGAATTGGCGGCTGCCGCGGGCGAAGACCCAGGGGTCACGAGGAGGTATCTCATGCAAGACAGCAAAATCAACAGCACGCTCAAGCTGGGGATATACATGAAGCACACAGAGGGCGACAAGAATTTCGTTGCGCCTGCATTGAAGACGGCGCAGGTCTTCAGCGGCATCGCAGGGATCATGGCGGGCGAGCAGGCAGAGATGGAGGATCCTGGAGGTTGGGTCCCCTCAAGTCATATTAAAGCTTCCACTAACTGGAAGTAGCTGCACCTACTTTGACCAACAGCTCTCGCGAGGCCGGTGAGCTCCAGGACATGTACAGGCGCACCCTCGCCGCATACTGGTCGGCGCAACCCGGCGAGCTCAAAGCAGACGAATGTATCGAGGACATCTTCGCCGGCGGAAACGGTTGGGGCGATCGCGAGAAGCCACACTCACCGCAGCAGCGGAACCCAGGCCTGCGATTCGTGGCAGGCGACAGTAGTGGATCTGTGAGCGAAAGCGAGCCAAGGCACGCGCGAGGGAGCAGCGGCGTGCATCGCAAATCGCACGAGACGCTGCGCCCGGGTGATATGAGTTTGGGTTCTCCAAACATGCGCGGTAGAGTAAGTCTGGAGCAGCAGGCATCTCAGATGAAGGCTGAGGCGGCTCGGCAACGACATCGCCCGCATCATGAGGTGGATGAATTTGACATGCGGGAGGACTTGTGCAGTTGGCGGCGACCCATATAGGCTCTCCAATGGAAATTATTTCAAACTATTCATGTTTAAATGCTTGGCTTTCACATCTCGCGCGAATGCTCTGTTCTAACGCGCCGCACGTGAATGCGCGGCGCAGTGGCAGAATGGTAGGGCTGAAGGCGGTCACGGAAAGCTCAATGCACGTCTTGCCGTCTTCCGCGCCAGACGCAGCCATCTTGGAGGACCAGCACCTCCCCCATTTCCTTCTCTATGCTTGCGCCTCGTGCTTCCGGTGCATTTGTATGCCTTCGATGTGAAATCGGGCTTGCGCGGCCACGAATAACAGCCGTCCACCGTCGAACGTCGCACGCCAACTTTTCCGCATCGACCGCCCGGCAGGATGGCGCAGACGAACTGCAGAAATTGTCGCAGACACAGCAGTCTGGACTCAAGATAACGAGAGAATTTCAGCCGCTGAACCGAATAAGAAAGCGGAAGGGCAAGGTGCTCCGGGAAACCTCAGCAAAACTAAACGGTCTTAAACGCCTGGGCGATGATGCCGACATCTTGGTCCTGCAGGAAGTCATCGAGAGTGCTCGAGAGGAAGCTGTCGTTAACCCCGATAAAATTGAGTTTCTCGACGTCCCGGACATACTCGCTTCCCTACAGGAGGACCGAGATCTTACGCCCGAGGAACTCTACAAGCAAATTGAGAGTTTGTGCCCAAAGACCCACGTCGGCCCCAACGAGCCGCACTACGTTAGGCAAACGACGTTTGTCAAGCTCATAAGACTTCTGACGGATGGCTTCACGCAGAAACAACTGTTGGCATTTTACTCGGCCGCGAAGAATATACAGCAGGAGAGGGTGTACAAGGAGGTTATAGACGGATTGAGGGGAGAGAAGGGCACCGTCAAGCGTCCTGTTGAGCGGACCGAGTGGCAGCCGGGTACTACGCCCATCCACAAGCGCCTACCGGGATTCGACCTGAAGCGCCATAGATTCAAGAGCAAGACTGTGAGCAAGCAGCTACTAGTCGACCGCATCCTCAGGGACGTCTGGAATCTTGTTCTCTTGGAAGAGATTGAGGCGCCAGGAGAGATTGAGCTGCTACTGAAGCCATGGCAGATCACGCTGCTGAGTTCTGGAGGTGCGCATGTAGAGAACAAAACAAAGCTAGATGAGATTGGCCGGGCGCGGAGAGCCAAACTACAGATCTTCCTGCAGCATAGCGTCCTCCGCATCACAGCCGACAAGCACACCGCCGAGTACGCCGCGAACGATGTCGAAGAAGCTCTGCAAAACGCGGAAGGGAAGCGGCTACAACTTAAGACTTGGCAACCACTTTTGGTCAACGAGAAGGTGCCAAAAAATGACAAGCTGATATCTCTGTTTACGCAAAACGATCTCGATACGGTCATGAACCTCACTCGCACCAGCATCCAGGGAGCTGGTGACACTATGGTATGTTTAATGTCTCTTCTCGACTTGAAGTACGCTAATCTCCCTAGTTGATGATTAAGGGGTTCAGCAAGAGCGCTGTTGAGGAAGCGGAGCGGACTCTCATCAGGCTCCTACCTCTCAAGGGCTCTCCTACTCGAACAATTGATATGCTGGAATTAGATGCCGACAAGAGCTCGAGCTATCTATTGCCTATCTTCCCCGAGAAGAATTCGCTAGACCACACATACCGCGACTTGAAATTGGGTCGATGGTCGTTGCCCGTCAGGCGGCTCCCTGAGCCTGAATCGACTGATAATCAAGAACAAACTGAGGCAGTCGAGCATATTGATCAAACACCCAAGAGCGTACATGAACTTATAAACCGAGTTGTGGCCATTTTTCGAGGATCTGCAGATGAAGTGTCTCAGCCCACGGATGAGGTTGGCAATTGGACTCTGGAGCCAGAGTATAAGCTGTCTGCCGAGTTTGGCCAGGCACTCTTCCCTCTCGAACAGGCGCATGCCAACAAGGCATTTGAGAGTGTTTCATCTCAATCGTTGCAGTCACCCTACTTACCCACCATCCCAGGTCTCTCGAGCCTCCTCACCTCACCCCACTTTTGCACCACGAAACGCATGCAAATGCCTTCCTTGCTGTATGATTTCATCGCTTCTCCTGAGCAGCAAAGTTCCGACGCTAGCCAGACCCATCCTAGCCTTCACATTCAAATGCGTCCTGGTCGCAACGGGGGCAAGGCCACTCTCTACAAACTTAGTCTCGGGTTTCAGCAGCGCATCCACGATGTGCTGCTTCCAAACCAAGCAGTAGATGTCCGGTTTTTCCGATACGGACGCTTGCGGTACAGGACGACGGATATTGACAAGAATGTGCAACAATGGGTTGACGCTGTCGTTGCCAACATCGAGAGCGGCGGCCGCCTGACTGCGCCATCACTACACATCCAAATCCCCAAGTGGATTATACCCGACTCTGCGTCTGATACGAAAGGTATGCGCACCGTCACGTATCTCTTCTCAGGCATCCAGTTCCGACAATCGGCCACGGGCCACTTCCTCGGCACAGACGTATCCTACAGTACCGTGCAGTCTGGCAAATTAGGTGCCAATGGAGGATCTTTGACCGCGTACTTAAATAGAGGATATGGCGAAATGCTTTTGCTGGACGAGTCTAGTCTGAAAGCATTCGTAAGACGGTGTTTGACCATGGTGGATAAGATCACCGAAGCGAGTGCGCAGACGCTGCCTGCGAGCAAGGTGCTGAATCCTAGGAGAGATGATAGTGAGAGGAAGATGAAGAGGGCGGGGCACCACGAAAGGCAGGAGCAGCTGGCTGACGACGAAACCAAGCTACTTCCGACCGAATCGGCTCCAACGCAACAAGAGCAGTCGGCTGTCTCTGGTGAAGGTTCCGAGGACCCGCACTCATCCACTATTCCCGCGCCCGAGGAGCCAGAGGAGCCCTCTGTGCAATCTCAAGCTGTGAATGAGCACGGAAAGTCTGAAGAAGCACAGGCTGACGGTAGTCTGCCTCTCAAGTCTTCAACCTAACGACTATTCCTTGTGGATAGTTCACGTCAGGATCACGCTGTACTTACTACACACCTAATTGTACCATACTTGTACCTGTCATGTTATACCAAGTAACTGACTAGCTGTTACTACGACATGTAATACTATCCTGTAGAACCTCACACCGTATCGTAGCATAGCATTGAGACTTGTCTTTATCCTTTCCATCCTGATTATCCATCGAGACACGTCCCCATCCCCGTGCAGAAAACCAGGGTGAATATGAAGAGCTGCCCGCTGGGGACAACACGACAAGACGTGAAGTTATCCAGCATGCCAGCCATTCAGGTAAACGCATGATTCAACAGAATTCATGAAATTACTCTCTGATATTCAAAAAAAAATCAATAGGGGGTATCTCAGCGCACCAAGATCCATCAAACGCCAAAACAAATACAAATACAAAGACCAAACACCAACATCGATGCCTACATCGACCCATCCGACGACAGCAAGTAAGGATCAGAGCGTAGGCTCCACTCCTAATGAAAGCTCAACTCATCCTCGCTCTCCTCGTCATCATCTACGATACCGTACTCTGTCCTCCCTTGAGCTACTTGCCTGCCGCCACTCGTGCGACTACGCTTAGGGCGGCCAGGCGTTTGGCCCAGCTCGTCACGTTCATCAGCGTCATCTTGGTCTTCATGGGCGACATACCGGCGCGGCCGCTTGCCCAGGGACGAACGAGTTCGCGAGGCACGAGGCTGGCTGCGTGCACTCTCCGCTGAGGAAAACGTCGACGCTTCCGAGTCGTCTGCGGAGGGGCTGGAGGGACTCGCTTCACTGTCTTCAGGTGCGGGTTCGGCATAGGAGGCGGGGGTGAGATTGCGCAGTCCGCTGTCGAGAGATGTACGTGAGCGCTGTGTACGCAAGCGGGACGTGGGTGCGTTCAGCTCAGTCTTGCTTCGGCGGGATCTGCGTGGGCCGTCTTGACGCTCTTTTTCCTCGGGAAGCAATGGGTAGAAATTGATGACTGGGGTGTGGGGAGGTGTCAGGTGCATTTGTCTCACGGATATGACGACTTTGGGTGATGTAGCACGTGCTCGTTTGCGTAGTGAAGATATTGAGGTACGTGGTGCTTTCCTGATGGGTGAAGAGTGCGGGACTGCGTCCTCGTCTTCGTAGTCGAACGCTGTCGTCTCCCACCTCGAGTCATCGCTCAGGTCTCCTAGGACCTCGCCTTCGATTTCAGATGTGTCCATCTTCTCATCTTCAGACTGTACTGGGGTGGGTAGCAGTTCAAGCGCTCGGACTGGCTTTCTTGGCAGGCGTTTGGCATCCCGTTTGGCAAAAGGTGTGCAAGCTACCCATTCGCCGATGCCTTCTTCCCATTTGAAGCCACCACTAGTCGTTGGCGATTCGTTCTTTTCCGGAGACTGGAGGATGAGCAGTCTACCTTGCGTACGCATACTCTGCTCGATTTCGCGTGCGTATGTCATGTGCTGGGTAGCACCCGTACCATGCGCAAACTCCATCGCGGAATCGAGGGCCAGTCGCTTCAGCGTCCATAGTTTGTGCGGCAGTCGGCAACCAGACAGTGTTATCAATGCTGTGAGTAGGCGTTGTAGTTGCTCGAATCCGCTGTCTTTCCAGATTCGTCCCGTGCCGCGTACTATCGATGATATAAGTGAAGGAAGACTACCGAGTATTGATGAGAAGTCGACATCACTCGAAGAATACTGTGACGATACCCAATTGATATTTTTTATCAATCCACGTGGCTCCAGATTCAGCGTTCCAACACCCGCATCACAGCCTTCTAATCCGAGAAGGAATGAGGCAAACGTTGCCCACAGAGCTCGCTGCGCAAAAACCTGGACATCATCCACGTCGGCTTCGAGTAGCTTTACCTCGGCCTGGATATCTTCGCGCTTCAGAATTGCAATCACCACTGCATTCAAGGCCCTGGTAATTCTGTGCGTGACATTCTTGCCCGCGACATCATCGTGACTATTGCTGACTAAGGCTATGCTGCATAAAACCGTGAGTAAGCTCGAGAATGTAGTGTTCAGCGCCAGCCGAAGCTCCTTTCTTGACGAAGGAACAAAGCGACGAGCAACAGATCCAGTCACTTCGTCTTCCAGGAGTCGCTCATCGGGCAGCCCGATACTAGCAAGCGTGGCCGTCTCCATGAATCGGAAAGCGTTTGCGAATGTGCGATGGTCGTTATTGGACACCGTTCGAACGAGTCGATCCCATATCGGTCGCATACATTCGGTCGCGAGCCACTCGAGAGGCAGCAGCTCAAGCGCGACCATGTGTTCTAGCAGGTCATAGAGCAAGGAGTGATGTCCTGTACGATCGACAAACCCTTTGACCATGAACAGATAAAGCGATCTTTGAGCGTCGAACAAGTCAGCTTTGATATTGATTGGGATCGACAGAGGCTCCACGAGGGGAACGTATGCCAACAGAAGCCTCTCAGCCTCATCCCACGCGGAGACATTCAGGCAGTGGGTGACCAGAACGGACAAGCTCTCCAAGCCTAGAATCTCGTCTGTAATGGCATCGCACAACAGTGATGTGCCATGAGCTCGCACAACCTGCTTGAAGGGCCGCCAGCCTTGTCCAGCACGCTGCTCGAACTGCGCCTCCAAATGCTCGTATATCTCGCTCGCGACATCTCGACCGTCATCCTCCTCTTCTTCCAGCCGGTCTAGCTTCGCAAAGTGTTCTTCGAGTTCAATGTATGTGGGTAGCTTTCGCAAACAGGCGCTTGCAAGTGACCTTGTGCCCCTCCAGCTCTTTTCGTAACCTGTTGAGGTCGCTTGTAGAATGTTTGCGTAAGCTTCCGATAAGCCTTGGACGAGTTTGTGAAGGCCTCCGGGTATGTGCTTTCCTAGTTGGATCTGATTGATATCCGCTAGGAGGGGCCCACGATTCTTTGTGTACTTCTTTAGTGGCGAACTCTGTAGCTGCGGACTACTATGGAGCTGACCACTCATTCGCGCGATGAGTGGTGTAAAGGCAATCTCGCCTGGGCGGGAGACATTCCCATTGTCTAAGCTGGTTCGCTGCAATCCTGTCCTCTTTGTACCCCGGCCACCATATGTCTTCTTGCTCGCCCCTGCCTTGACGCCTGGTCGCCAATCGGGATCTCTCGCCTTCTCGAAGCCTCGTGGTCGATGCGCCGGTCGCGTAAAGTTTGTGGTCTTCTGCGGCGAGCCCTTGGTCGCAAAGGCTGTCGAGACATTGCGCTTTTCTCCGCCAGAGCTACGCGGTTGCTCAAGCTCCTTTCGAAGCTTTGCGAGTTTGCTCGAGAGTGGTCGGAGTAGGCGATTACACCGCGAGGTATTCCAAGGGAGGTCGTCATCAGCCGCCATAATGTAAATAGTTGATTAATGCATCAAGTATATTATGCTGTTCACCAATAATCTGATTAAAGAGAATACGCTGGCAACGATGTCCTCGTCGTCACGCCCTACTCCCCAGTTACTGTTTGTTGACCAACATCGGGGGTCGGCGTTTATAGAATGGCGCTAGCCGTAATTGGAACGATTCGATCACAAGAGCGGTACCTAGTCACATGCTTACTATAGGTGTCTGGGGACTTGATCGGGGCAAATGTTGCCTTTGATTTTTCAGACGATATCAGCGGGACCTGCTTCGTGCTCATGTTGAATTTGGTTGAGATTTCACGTGATCAAAGTGAGCGGGTAACTCCATATAGACATAAGCTTACCTTGCCAACTACAAGGGAAAGGTGCAGGGGATCCTTAAAAAAGATACGGACGAATTACATTAGTTACAAAGAGATTAGACTTGCTGTACCACTTTTAATCCACCCTGTCACTTCCTTCGACTAGCAGCCGGCGGTACTCACGTGTGTTGATCACTGAATCTAGATGTTCTCGATCTTGGACTCGGATTATGATCTCCTCATATCATCGATCAACAGGTCTCTGTAGATCAGCAGCAACGAGCTATGCATGAGGCACAGCACCACCCAGAGATCTCGAAATCGCCGTCGGGTCGCGGGCGTTGGTGGATCCGCCCGCTCGGAACTTTTGACCTGCAGACGCCACGGCATCCCATTGGGCCACCAAGCGAAATAGGGGAAACGAGATAGGAGATTTGATGCTGCAGATCGGAAATCAGAACCGGAAGATATGGGATCATACCGTGGAGGCAATGAGGCGGTTGCTAGTTGACCGCTATTGCCTCGTGTAGTTGGCACTGGTAAGGGCCGAATCTGACTAAGGAATCGGGGTGCCTACTCAGTCGCGTGACTCCATAGGCGCTGCGGGCACCCCACCGCAGCGCCAACGTTCGTGTCGCAAGTTTGATCAAGCAGAGTGTTTCCTGCGGACAATGCTTTGTTAGAGTTTGGTAGAAACTCCAGGCCTTCGAAACGACGAACGTTGGGCCGTTGAACCAGTTTCGAGACCGTGGGGCCGCAGTGGACGCGGCCTAACTTCCGTCATTTGCTTGAAACAAGTGTAGTGTGACAGCGGCTCTTGACAACCAAACACTTTGATTGCGGAGACTGTGCGTGAGTAGCATGTTCTGTATACTCGCCTGGTTGAACAGTGTGGTTGCACGCAGTAGAAGCTACATGCTACAGATACCTATCTTACAAAGGCTATCGCAATGCCTAGGCTGATTTCGAGGTTGTTTTGTTTACTGCGCACAGGCTAATCTCCGGCGTGCAGCGTGGGGTAAATATAGCCGGGTGGGAAGTCCGCCATGGCTTTTGAGCTCGTATTTACCGTGGACCATAGTAGGATGGTGACGCTTACGAAAGAAGTCATTGTCGACGTAATGTTGGGAGGCACTGGTTAGGAAGTACACAAGAACGCCCCCTGTTCCAATCCAGATATTAGCGAGACATGCCTCCCCGCTGTAGACTTCCGTGTCGCACGGGGCGATAGGTGTGACAACGGTCTAGATCGCCTGCGTGGTACACGTCGCCTGCCAGAACCAAAGGCAGGAATTTGGCTCAGGCTGGTGACAAGCTCGCGTGGCTCCAGTCTCAGGAATCTGCATAGCAAGCCCAAACAGTAAATAACAAGACTCTCTCCATCGACGTGTGCGTCCACAATCTACAGTTGCTCGACACATGGCGTAGGTACGCAGAATGGCAGGTCGCGACATGGTGCGTCAGAGGATGGGTCACGCCAGGCCACTGCTGGATGCTGTGAGATGGTACAAAGCCGAGAAAGCCTAGAGCTGCATTGACAGCGCGGCGTTTTCCGGGAGCTGGGGCTGGGGTCAGGTAAACCCAAGATGCAGATAAGAGAGATTGGCGCAAAGCCAAAGGAATTCGAGGCGACACGCTGATTCCTGGCAACACGTGCGAAGTTCAAGGCATAGGGCCGTGGCAGGGATGGCGTTGTAGCGGCAGTCGTCATCGGCTTTGCTTTCCTAGTCGGGGCATTCTCACTTGCTGTTCAAAGGGTGTTGAAAATGCATCGAGATGCGGAGTTGTTGAGGACGGAGGATTGCTGCCATTTCCACAAACGCACCGCAGGCCGGGCCAGGGACGACAAGGACAATGCCGCTGTGCCACGGTGGTGCTGCGGGCAGACAGGCGCTTTGCAGATAGATGAAGTCGTAATGACAAAAGGACCGACCGTCTTGGATCGAGGCTGTGAGAGCTGAGAGTGGAATGAGGACGTAGTCGACACGACAGGACAGGACAGGACAGGACAGGACACGACACGACACGGATGAGTGCGCGTCGCGGCGCAACGAGCCGTTTGGTATGCCGCCTGTCGGGTCAATTGGAACGGTGGTGTTCATGTTCAGGCGTCGTGGGTGTTTGGTGGGTGTTTTGGATGGCGGCTCTCGCTCTCAGGCCCGCCATGACGCAGCCGTCGTCGTCGAGGAGAGAGCGAGGATTCGCTGCGGAGCCATGAAACAGCCATTTTCTAGTGGCTCGCGTGTGGCGCTCCTTCCCGTTTCAGCGCAGCCGTCCTGTCCAAATCACAGGCCCCGTCTATGCACGCCATCTGGGGCTCGTCCGGGAATTCCCCTGCAATGACCCCCCCCAGGCCACTCGTCCAATCCCAAGCCCTCTGCCAGCCCGCGATAATCAAACTCGACCTCTCTCCCTTTCATACCCACCAGGGCCCACGCGTGCGCTGACCTCCTCTTCTTCTTCTCGTCTTTCCTCCAACACACACTCGTTCAAACCTCCCAGTCGCTCTTTTACCTCGACCGCTTCCCTTCTCTTCTTCGTCTCTGCCGCCGTGCGCCAGTAGTGCCCTCGCTCACCCCGCCGGCCTTTTTCATCTCTCCCAATATATATCCCCATCCCCCCTGGCCTGCCCAATTCTCCCGTCTTTTGGCTGCAACGCACGTCACCTGCACCCTCGTCCTGCCCTTGCTTCGCCCCCCCAGATTAACCCACCCAATTCTGGCCATTGTCGACGCTGCCAATATCTCCTCCGACGTCAACTGAGCCTGTATCGCGCCGGTCGCCAGTTCTTGTGTCCCACGTCCCACCCCTGTCGCCCCAGGGTGTCCCAATCTACCACAAGCGCAGCTGGTCACGACGCATTTCTACCCCAAGCCCTACCATCCAAGACACGCCCCTGTGCCCTCCTTGGTCAACCGATCTGGACAAAAGTCCTGTTCAGCGGCTTTCCCCGTGCCCAAATCTGTCGCTGCTGGTCAAGACGGACAACACTCGCTACACATTGCACTGGTCGCAACCCCCCTCCCTGCGACAGCCACTCTACCACCCCGGAACCTTAAAGAAGATCTCTTAGACCGCATCTTCCGCGGTACCAAGGTTGCGAGATTCGAGTCTTCCCCCCAGGACTCCTGCTTACCAACCTTTCCTCCCCTTCAATTGCAACCATGCATTCCATCCAAGACTTCCCAAGTCTTGTCCAGCGTGCAGGATACGAAAAGGATCTGACGGCTGGTATCGAGAACCTCGATGTCCAGCACTACCTTGGCTACATTTGGTGGATCATTGTCGTCGTCTTCACCCTCTACCAAGTCATCCTCTACTTCGTTCGATACATCCGTACCGTCTCCACCCTAAACAACGACACACAGAGGTACTTTGCCATTCCCAGCGTCGCCTACGCCAGATTCAAGAAGCACTGTCTCGATGCCCCGCTATTCCGTACTCGTCACCATCGCGAGTTCAAGCTTTCCGCTGCCATTGGTGTCGGAACGCTTCCTAGCCGTCTGCAGAGTTTCTTCCTTTTTGGCTACTTTGGAGTGAACATCGGCTTTTGCGTGTGGAGGATCGACTACAGCAGCTTCTCAGCTGGTGCCAATGAGCTCCTCAGCCGCTCAGGCGTCATGGCCGTCATGAACATGATCCCACTCTTTCTTCTCGCGGGTCGCAACAACCCCGTCATCAAGCTTACGGGTATCTCCTTCGATACCATGAACTTGATTCATCGGTGGTTTGGACGGATCGTTATCCTCGAGGCCATTGCACACACCGTTTGCTATTTTGCTAACAAGGTTCACACCAGTAAGTCCACGAAACATCTGCTCGAAGAATAGACGTTAACAACTGTGCAGAGGGCTGGGGTGCTCTTCAAAAGTCAATCAATGGCAGTGAATTCATCATGTCCGGTTTCATTGTAGGTACACTGAATATCCATCTCCAAAATCGAATCTAACATGTGATATAGGGCACTGTTGCGTTCGTCTTCCTACTCCTCCAGTCACCATCGCCAGTTCGACATTCCTTCTACGAGGTTTTCTTGCACGGCCATGTTGTTGGCGCTGCGCTTGCAGTGGGTGCTGTCTTTGTCCATCTCAAGGAGCGCAAGCAGCAGTTGATGCTGTACGGCGTCATGGCCATCTGGGCAACTGAGCGACTCCTTCGCTTTGCTCGCCTCGTCATGCGCAACGTCGGAAATGGCGGCACCAAGGCCGATATTGAAGTCCTTCCCGGCGATGCCCTTCGCATCACCGTCCGTATGGCTCGTCCATGGAGATTCCGCCCAGGCCAGCACGCATATCTCTACATGCCCTCTGTTGGACTGTGGACCAACCACCCCTTCTCCATTGCTTGGAGCGATGAGGAAGAGGACTTGAACGCCCAAAACAACATGGCCGACGATAAAGGGCTTCCGATGAACCGCCAAGACATTCTCGAGCAGCACAAAACCAGCATGTCCTTCATTGTACGACGACGGACAGGCTTCACAGACAAGCTTTTCAAAAAGGCAGACCTATCTGCTGCCGGTAAATTGTCCACCAGGGTATTCGTCGAGGGTCCATATGGTAAGTGCCGAAGCCTGTTTCCCCAGCCTTGCAATCTATCAATAGATTAAACCCTCATTGTACAACACAACCCATGCTAACGTCATACCACAGGTGGCGAAGATCTCAGCTCCTATGGCACCGTCATGCTCTGGGCTGCTGGTATCGGTATCACTCACCAGGTTCCTCACGTGCGTGACATCGTTGCTGGCTACGCAAATGGCACTGTCGCCACTCGCCGCCTCACCCTCGTCTGGATCATCCAATCGCCAGAGCATCTCGAGTGGATCCGAACATGGATGACACAGATTCTGGCCATGCCCCGCCGTCGTGAGATCCTGAAGATTCTGCTCTTCGTCACGCGCCCCCGAAGCACCAAGGAGATCCACTCCCCATCATCAAGCGTCCAGATGTTCCCCGGACGGCCGAATGTTCAGAGCCTCGTAGATCAAGAGATGCAAGAAGGCATCGGTGCTGCTTGTGTCAGCACTTGCGGTACAGGCGGACTGGCTGATGAGCTCCGGAGCGCCGTACGTAAGCGCGAGTCGCAGTGGAACGTTGATTTCCGCGAGGAGTCCTTCTCGTGGTAAACATTGTCGCGTCTCTACTACACCTTCGATCTCTTCATTCCGGATACCCCATCCTCGTCTCTCATGCTCATTGACACATGCCTTTTCTCGGCCTACTGTCTTCCTTTGCGATCTACCTGGTAAAAGAGATAATATCGGTGGATCTAATGACAACATACTGCATCTACTTCACTGTACACATTACCTTCCTTTTCTTCCGACTCATGTCGTCTCTTTCATCTCACATTCCTTATATCTTGCCTTACGGCACAGGCACGAAAAAAACATGTGGGTGGGCACTAGCGCTTGCTTTAGAAGTGACTCTCTACGTTAACTATCAATGTTATCACGTCACCACCACAATCCTTGACGAGTACGGCGATGCTTGTCTGGTGTTGTAGCGATTTCCTTTTGGTCTTTGAGTCTAAACGTGTATATACGGTATCATCTACCAGTCTCATGACAAACATGAACGAATCAGTCCATTCAACCAACTCCAGATTCTCTGCATATACGTGAAAACCACTCTAGTAGTGGTGTCAGCGCCACAATGCTTATTCCCCTGAAAATCTCCGGCATTGTACAGGAACGCTCACGTCAGCTCAGTCGTCGCCGAAGCGCTAACAAGGAGCATGTCTAGGCTAGACTACAGAATAGTGCTGTGTAACACGACCCTTTGAAACTACTCAACAACAAACTTTCGGCACTTTCAGCAATCGTCCTATCTGACTCCCCTCGCACATGTGTCACCGCCCCTTCTCTCTTTCAACATGGACAACCCGGGGCTCAAGATTACGGCGAGAAAAGCCGCAAGTGCAGCCAGCCAGCCAGTCATCGAACTCTACCATCCGAGTATAATGCATTCAAAACGCACATCTACATATCTACCCTCATCCCAGGCAAATAACACGACATGTATCGATATGCGTGTTTCAACATCACTACTGCGAATCTACTACCTGGCTTATCATTCGTCTGTTTGCTTGTGCAGGACGAACATGCGTTCGCGTTGTACTACGGGTGACAAGCGAGGCGCGCAGCTACGGAGTGTTTCGCGGCTATGTGAGGAGATCCGAAATACGTTTTTCGGTGTTGATTTGGGGGTTGGATCGTCTGCGGGAGTATCGACGTATGTTCGTTTCATGTACTTGAGCTACTGTACTATGGCCTTCACTTACCGTACGTGGAAGTTGACTCTACAAGCAAGCTCGTTAGCCAAAGCTCGGCGAGTCACTATCGCTGTTGCTGTGTCGAAATTGTCGCGGAAGCACATGGCTGGAGTGTCCTATTCCACGCACACACAAGTCGCAGTATCCAATGGACAAGGTATCGCCGGCTACGCAGATCACTCTGCTTCCAGTCTGCGCAATCCATTGGAATTCACCTCTGGGCCTGCGTCATCGCGGTTGAAATCGTTTCTCGCGCTTCTTCCACAGCTTATCGTATCTTGGAAAGCTTAAAAGCCTGCCTTTTCAATGAAACATGCTTGTATATGCATATGCCCGCCCAGGAGGCAAAGCACACTAGGGGTTGATCTGATCCCTTGCCATAGCAGTTTTCCACATATCGCAACGATCTTTCTCGAAACCGTCACGGCTGTCGATCAGCCTCCGTGGCCTACGCAGGTGTTGTGACGAGGAATTGCGCGCATCTCTTGTCATCGCCGAGTCTGTTCCCTCAATCGCGCTCTGCTCCGGTCCATATTCGTGCTCAAGTAACGCCGTACTTGCAGCTTCCATCTCTTTACATGTTCATCCGCCTCTTTCTAGCCTGTCATTGGAAAATTAATCAGGTATTTGTCAACTGTTGATAATGGGCATTGTCTCGTATTGGAAGTGTGAAGGATCAATCATGAGCCGCGATGGGTTGGTTTGTTGCATTTTATCCAGCCAGTTCAACCGCCGTAGATCTAGACCTTTCCGTATCAGTGACCAACCAGAGCCGTCCCTCGAGCAGAGTTTCCTAGGCTAATAAAGGTGCCCATTCCAGTAACGTCGCTCGAAAGCTCGCTTGTTTTTGGATGTCGTTGCAAGCTGGCTAAGCGAACCTGGAGTACATGGGCATTTGTAGATATATGAAAGGTGCGGTAGTGTGCTGTAGCCACGCCGGTACTTGGCTGCAGCAGCCCATGGTGCAGATACAGAAGCGAGGACGTTGTAGAGTGAGTGTAATATCAGAAAGCAAGTTTTACCGGGCTCTTATGATGTAAGAAGAAGGTGTAACGGGAAACGGCTGTGCAGCCGATCTGTGGGGTTGCATCGTCTATGTTGATGAAAGGCTGTGGGGTACATAGATTGGTCTGTGTGGAAGCGAGGTGTGGTACTTGTATGGTAGCGACGACACGTGTGTTTGCGTGAATGCCAGGCGCGATATAGGAACTGGAGATATGAAGGGTGTATTTGGAATGTTGCTCGGCGACTGTCGAGAGTGTACAGGCTGCCGGAAATGGAAACAAGTCCGCCTCAGTCAGCCTGCCTTCATGTAGGAAGCGCATCTTGCCTCGATGTTGAAGCCCAACGGCATCGCCGTAAAGTTGCTAATGACAGTCGAGGCAGCGGAGAAATTCGAGCCGTGTCAGCAGATACATCATGTGTACTTCAATACCACCGATTAAAGTTGGGCACTGAGAACACTCACGCCAAGAAACTGGAATCTCCTGACTCTGAGGCGTACAGGTGTCGTGCTTTGGAAGACGCATGAGGTATCATGCGATGCGCGTGGGGGTCACTGAGTTTGAGGTGGATGCAGCCAACATTTCCGTCTAGAATCTTGACTATCTAGGCCGGATTCTCCCGACTATTTTGCATCCTACTGATAAACGGTACAATGATGGAAAGCGATTCAGCCAAGTCTAACACAGTTCAGCAAGAGAGTGAACACCGTCTAGGTACAGAAACACAATGAGGGAGCTGCTCTGCCACGAGTGCTTCTATATCAAGCTCTGTAATGATCTTAGCATTCTTATGCAAGTTGAGCCATTGCGGTGGATCATTAGTGCCAGATATTCATCATGAAGACTTACGGTCTCTAGCCGATCATCTCCGGGCTCTCCGACGTCGCAGCATCTTCAATAGCAAGCCGATCTTGTATGCCCTTCCAGCCTTTCAGAACTACATCCGCCAGGACGCCACCTTTCCCCAACTTCGTAACAGCCTCCTCGACTGACACGAGATGGCTCTCATACGCCTGCTCTTCCTCATCCACGCCCGTACCCTCATGGTGCAACGGCTCGTATCCCTCTGGCTCCATGCTGATCCTGTCCCGAAGCGCCAGGTTACTCGGATATGGACGCGGAGGTTTGTATGCCGCGCCTGCTTCTGTCGCCAACTCCTGCTCGAGATCCGGAGGGAGAGTCTCCGCGATGTACCAGTACAGAACGTACTGCCGGGGCCCGAGAGGCATCAACTGCATCCATACTGCCTCAGCGGTGAGAGGCAGAGCATGTACACGGGGGTGTGCTTGTGGTTGGCGGTGCTTCGTGGGGAGAGGGAGTAGGCGGTTACGGTAGCCAGACTGGAGACGATTAGCACGTCCTCTTATGAAATCAAAGCTTTTCCGATCTCTTCTTACTTCTTCGTATCCCTCTCTCTCTGCTCCTCTTCCGCTTTCTTCTCCAGCGTCCCGGCGTCCTTTAGGTAAGAAGTAGTACTTCGTACCACGTCGGTCATGAGCGCTACATATTACCACGCGTCCGGTAGCGATGTGGAAGATGGCCACGCCACCGCCTACTACAAAGTTACCGCCAGAGTACTGTGCTATCACAGGAGGAAACTCGCGCGGCGTACTCGAGCTGGTTGACATGCCGGTGTCTGAGGAAGTCTTTGGTGGCGTAGATTTGGGTTTGAAGGGATTGCGCATTAGTTCTAGTTTTGACTTGTCACAGAATTTTTAGGTTATAGAACCATTAGCGCAAATTGCAGGAGGTTGTAAAGACTTGGGGTTCACTATGAAAGTCATCATTGAAACTTTGGTCGTGTTGTTGCCTTGGATGCGCGTGTCGAATTGAAGGGAGGGGCGTAGTGGGGCTGGTGAGATGCGTCATGCCGCGTGCACGCTAAGCGCCTTAGAGTCTAGGCGCTCGTGGCGCTCAGGTACCCACCCTTCAGTAGGATAGCTGAAAAGGTCCATTATTATAGTGTTTCAACCTGCTCCGTTATTCATAAATCAATAACAACGGCCTAATGGCCCAATGGCAAGGCGCTTGACTACGATTGATCAATCCGAAATCAAGAGATTCCAGGTTCGACCCCTGGTTAGGTCACTTTTTGTTTTGTTATGCTCTTTTTGCTTGTCTCCACACACCATGACCTATACTATCATGGTGACCTGGACTCTTTCTTTTTCTCTAGTACTCTAAATCTTCATTTAACTTAAACTTTTTGCTTTTATGCAAGGAGACACGCTGTATATATGCCATACTTTGACATGTTCGGGAGTTGCTGGAGATCAATGAATAACATATACGATACTTATTTTACTCCTACAAATGGTCGCCTACCGAACCTTTTCCCAGCATGCCAACCTTCGTTTGGGTTTCTTGGGTATAAGCGATAACGGAGCAAAGCCCACGTCTAATAACGATATCCCAGGTACCGACAAGACTTAGGACACAACAAGTATGCAGCGTCGCTCATCCTCTTGCCAAGTAGACGCCGAGGCTCCGAGGTATCGCCAGCTGCCTATTTGAGCTTCGTTGCCAAGCTGAACGACATAACGGCTATGGCTTCCCCTCAACTTCAAAATGACGCTCTACCTCGGTCGCAATAAGAAGCTATGCTTGCATCATCGTTTACTTGGCCTGGAGATAAGAATAATGTAAATATAGCATACATGAATGCGCCCCGAATCTCCATTGTGATATCTAACCTACCTCACGAATAAACCGGTAAGTTGCAATGAAGTTAACAAAATTGGCATTCTTTGCGCCGTTGGCAGTAGCATCGTTATTTCAACCTAGTATTTCCGTCTCCCGAGCTGCAGAGATCAATTACGACGGGTACCATGTTTACAGCGTTACACCTTCGTCTGCCCAAGAAGCCCACGACATAGCAAAGCGTTTCTCGGCCTACAATACGCATCCGGTACGCGATACACTATCCGTTGCCATTCCGCCACATGAAGTAGAGTCCTTCGTTGCCCTAGGCTTGAAAGCTCGTCTTGTGAATGCGGATTTGGGTAGATACATCCGCTCCACAGACAAGAGCTCGCTATACAAACGCGAGCTTCACAAGCGTGGCGAACTGCCAGAACTATCGTGGTTCGACACATATCACCCATACGCGGATCATTTGCAGTACTGGGATGACCTGGTGCACGCATTTCCCCGAAACTTGAAGAAGTTCTCGATTGGCAAGAGCTATGAGAACAGGACTATCTATGCGTTTCATCTGCATGGCGATGAGAAGAAATGGCATGGGAAGGGCAAGGATGACAAACCTATTATCCTGTGGCATGCCACTGTTCACGCAAGAGAATGGATCTCCACCATGGGTGAGGCAAATGAAGCACATTACGCAGTATAATGGCTAATTTTACACTCCAGTGATCGAATACTTGACTTACCAGCTGATAGACGGCTACAAGCGTGACGATGCCAACGTAACTGCTTTCTTAGACTACTATGACTTTTACCTCGTGCCATTCCACAACCCTGACGGCTTCTCCTACACCCAAACAAACGACCGCCTCTGGCGTAAGAATCGCCAACCCCGTCCAACCTCAAACAGCACTTGTATAGGCACGGACCTCAATCGCAACTGGAAATTCGAATGGGATGCTGAGCCACCCTCGGGCGGATCGACGCCTGATCCATGCGGACAGACCTACCGCGGTTTGGCACCTGGCGATACCCCAGAGAACAAAGCCCTCGATGGCCTCTCAGCTAAACTGTCAAAGAAGGGTGCAGGTATTCGCTCCTTCATCGACTTTCACTCTTATAGCCAGCTCATCCTCACGCCTTACGGATATTCCTGCGACCCTCTTCCAGAGAGCCTACCCCGTATGCTGGAAGTAGCGGGTGGCACGGCAAGGGCGATAGAAGGTGCGAGTACAAGAAACAGTACATATAAGTTTGGTCCCGGGTGTCAAATTCTCTATTTTTCCACTGGAAATTCACGAGATCACCATTATGGCGTGCATGGCGCGAATCATTCTTGGACGCTGGAGTTGAGCCCTACCGATCTGGCCGGTGGTGGGTTTGTGCTGCCACCTGAGCAGATTTGGCCGGTTGTCAAGGAACAGTGGGCTGGGCAGCTGTGGTTGTTGAATGATGTTTGGGAAGATTGAGGTCGGTCTCGAAGTGATCGTGTTTCTAGGAAAGACGTCTAAATAGATCAAAGAGACAACCGAAAAGCCTCTTCAAATTACTCATAGGCCGTGTACATGACAGAATATGACGAGCGCCCCAACAACTTGAGGGTGTCCCTAACGCAATCACCGCCCTACGCCTCCTCCTCCCTGAGACCTTGGTAGAAGAGTTTCATAAAATTCTCGTTGAGCCATTCGCCTATTTCAATCGAGCTCTTCTCATCAGCAGCAATGCTTCCCACCAGTTGGTGCGACCTCTTCGCCCACTGTTTTAGATGCACACACAAACCCCTTTCGAAGCGCTGCGTTTGACACGAGGCCTACTCTTTTACACGTAGAAGGCGGTATTCTTCGAGTAGGACGTACAAGGAACTATCGCAGATAGACATCATAACTCATGTACCTTATATTGGGCGACTCTGTAAAGCAAGTATATTGCTATCTTTCTTGAGACCTCAGACGTGATTGTGAAGAGTATTCCTTCTTGTAATAACATGAGGAAGTAATGTCCGGTTTCTCCCATAATTGAATTTACTCCGTTCGAGATTGCTTAGAAGGCTAAGAACCTTGGCCGATATGAATGATAGGCGTCCCCGGACATGAAGCATCATTGTTTTAGATCTCAGTCGGCCTCGTCTTCAAGTGTGAGCTCTAGCATGCCACTTGCTACATGTGCTTCCGGCTTGATAGCCCATCGAACGCAAGCCATGCTGACAAGGCCTGCGCTCATTGCCAAAGATGTTAGGTAGGGTTTCGGCATCTCTTCGACCACGGCCTGGTTATCTTTAGGCAAGCCAGTTGACTTTGCACTATGAGAGTAGAAAATACGGGAGGAGAGGAAGGGCACGTAAGTGCTGAGGCGGAAAAAGCGAGGGCTCTGTGTTTCGGTCTTTGATGTGGTAGTATCGGAGCGCTGTCGTGGGGCTTTAACGGTACCTGGAGGGGTGTGTTGTAGCTCTTCGCGGACTTTCTTTCGAGCGGGAGGTTGTTTCTTCGCATGTGCCTGGTCCTTCTTTTCTTGCGACGACAAGGGCGACACAGCCTTATCAACCATAAAGGGACCAACGGGATTGACGTCGAGATCCATAAGACAGGGTTGCCATGTTTCGTTGAACTCTACAGGTTCAAATGAGGCTCCTTTGTTGCGCATGAAGCTTTGTTCGATTACCGAGCTCCCTTGCAGTACTATCGGTGGAGATGCGCTATGAAAGTTGTGCAGATGCTGAAGGAAGGCTTCTTCTGAGGTGTAGAACTCTTGGTTGCATGAGCGATAGCGGTGATGGTTCTGCGCATGCTCGACATGGAACGTACGGTAACCCCCACCGCAAAGATGGCAATGGTGGGCTTTCGCAGAGGGGAAGTCTGGACATAGTGGCGGCCCTACGTTGTCGGCAGCAACATCGTCGAAGCTTTTCAGGAACCGACAACTCCAGACACGACAGTGGGAGTGCTCGTTCATGGCTTGCACGTCCGTAAAGACCTTCAGGCAATAACGACATCTGAAAGACTCAAACGGTGATGCAGAGTACAGGTTTCCCAAGTGGTTCTCTTTTCGCTCAGCCCACCACACGGCGCGATCGAGCTCGCGAGCAATAAGATGTTCGGCGACGTGTTGGCAGCGCTCAGACCAGTCCTTTGACTTCTTGCCACAAAAGCCGCAATGGAGCATCGGGTCGTTGAGCATCATTGGCGCACCAAAACGACGCCACTTCATGGCGAGGTCTTTGCATCCGAAGTTCTGGCCCCCAGCGGCCATCAAGCGAGCCTGGCATCCAGCACGCAGTGACGGGTGCTTAGCGTTTGCAAAATGGACATGATGCAGATGTTGGACGAAATGGTCGCGGCGGTAAAACGTTCGTTCCGATTCGGGCTTGTGCCTGCATTGCTGATACTTGTGTGTTGCCATGTGAGCATCATCAGGATGCTCTTGACCACAGAATGGACAGGACTGTAGCGGTACACCTTTCGTGTCACAACAGATCCAAGTGGTACGTAGGGCGTGCACAGAGTCCTCATGCCGGATCCACTCGTATTTAGTCTTAAAGGCGCGAGGACAGAATGTGCAAAAGAAAGGCAAGTCTTGTTGTGGTTCGCCGGCGTTGTTGACGCCATTGACCTTCTGGCGAGTGTAAGGCGACTCCTTCCATGCCATGCGTCTTCGACCACGTCTTCGATCTCGACCAAAAGACGAGATGTTGCTGCGACTGCCACTTGACGAGACTGTATACGTTGTCGGCGCAGTGCCTTCAGAAGACGCGATTGAATTCATGATGGAGCCCCGTCGTCCTTGCCTTGATTCTGACCATCCATCATTCTGATAATCGCCACTTCCGCTTAGTGAGCCGCTGTCTAGAGCTGCTTGTACGGCGGAGAATTCAACAGCTTCTTCGTGGTACGACTGAGCCAGGTACACAGCCAAAGGTGGTTGTGGTGTTTGCGTGATTTCGTCAGAATTCTTATCAAGAGCTTCAAGGCTATCCTTGGAGAGTTTTGATTTTAGTGAACGAGGGACGTCACTAGGCATCTCTTGGATGGAAGAATGAACGCCTGCATACATTAGCGTGAGTCTCGGACAGACGTTATTAATAACTTGCATCCATCCTTTTTTCTTGCTCGTGTATTATTGAACCAATTGCGGACTTTCTTCACATCAAGATTGGCTTGATGTGCAATGATGTCCATTTCCCAAGAACAAGGATACGGATTCGCAGCAAATTCATCTTCCAGAATTTGTCTTGCTTCAAGTGGGATGCGGCTCTGCGGTCCTTTACGCTTGGCCGATGCGGGTTTCCAGCTCGCTGTGGAGGCCTGGCGGAGTGGTGCGGCTGGTCGGTCGTGAGAGTGACCAACAGGATACTCCAAAACGAGTGAGCTGTTGCTGTTTAGGCTAGATCGATCGAGCTGTGGGAGAGGAGATTCTTGCGGCAGACCAAATGCATCTTTCAAGCCTTCTTCGTCATCTCCACCAATGAGCTCAACATGCTCACGTGCAGGGAAAGACGACGAGGGTGAAAAGGCAGAGTGGCGCTCATAGTAATGTATTGGGTCTTGAATGGCCACGGCACTGTGCATATGCCATGTAGGGACTACCGTTAATTCCACACTTTCGTCGCCTGTCGATGAAGATTGGCCTGGAGAATCAACGAGTGGCCACTGCTGAGTACTTTGAGCGACAGAAGCTTCTTCATAGGTGTTTTTCATGTAAATATCCTGAGGTAAGACGGTATCTGCAGGACAGACTGTCGTCATTTCATCGGTAGCCCAGTCCATGACTGTGACATTGCCGTGAATGTTATACGGCTCAGATTGGTGTTGACAAGGCCCATCATTTGGACGAACGCCATGGTCATGTTCCAAACGGGCAAAGTCGAAGAATTCGTCCAAATTATCATACGCGTTGGTCGCCATGATGGCGCGCTACAGCTTGGGGCCGCGGAGTAAGTCCGAAATGGTTTACCCTGGCGAGAGGCAATCGGTCATCAAAGACTTATTAATGAGAATCGCTCGTATAAACAAACTTAGAGGAAGTGGGTGTCGCATGACAGGGTGAAGGGGCTGCCTCGACATGCACAAGACGAAAGATGATGCGGCTGGCGTTCTTACGATGAAGAGGGCGCAGTGATAATCAGGCAACCGACGCTAGGCCAAGAAAGCCAGCCGTGTGTAACAGCATGATCCAAATATACTCCAAAGTTTGAATTTCCCAAGAGTAGAGTATGATGGAAAGCGTAAACGCTCAAGCAACGAGTTTCGAGGTTGAGGAGTGAAGTTGCGTATATATGAATTATCCGGGTGGGCGGCGCCAGGCGTTCTCAGGTCCGGGAAGGAGCCACCACCCAACTGCGTTAGCGCACCTTCTGTCTCCACCGAAAAGTTCATCCCGCCGAAAAGTTCACGACGAGCTTCACGTCCGTCCGCCGACCGATCGCTACCATACGTCACAATGGCAGCAGAAGTCCAACTAATACAGCCTCTGAAGCTGCCGAAAGGCCCTTCCAATCTCACCTCGGAGCAAAAATACTGGAATGCCTTCGCCTCGGAGCTCCGACTTGACCCATCGCAGCATTCGTCGCCGGTAACGCACATCTCCATACCGCCTCCGCCGCCTTCGAACCTCCATTCTGCGACTCAAGATCTCTTCGCAGTCACCACTGGCTCGCGTGTACAAATCTTCTCCTCAAAGACGCGGAAAGTGGTCAAAACCATCTCGCGATTCGGCGTTGATGATATTGCGCATTCAGGAAACATACGGCGTGATGGCAGGATCTTGGTCGCAGGAGGAGATAGTGGCGCGATCCAGGCATTCGATGTGAAGAGCAGGGCCATTCTCAAGACTTGGAAAGAGCACAAACAGCCTGTTTGGGTCACGCAATGGCATCCCTCCGAGCTCACGAGCCTCATGAGCTGCTCGGATGATAGGACGGTGCGATTATGGGATCTGCCAAGTGACAAGAGCGTGACCAAGTTCAATGGGCATCAGGACTACGTGCGCTGCGGTACATTCATGCCTGCGCAGAGTGGGCTGCTTGTGTCTGGCAGTTATGATCAGACGGTCCGATTGTGGGATTCAAGAGCGGGCGGCAAAGCAGTCATGGTGTTCAAGCACGCCGCCCCAATTGAAGCTGTGTTACCCATGCCCTCGGGAACCGCCGTCCTAGCATCTAGCGACAATGTCATCAGCGTTCTCGATATCGTCGCAGCGAAGCCAATCCATATGTTGCGCAACCATCAAAAGGCCGTTACAGCGCTCTCCCTCGCGAACAACGGCGAGCGTCTACTTAGTGGCGCCCTCGACGGCCACGTCAAGGTCTTCGAAACTACCGGATGGAACGTCGTCGGGGGACTGAAATATCCCTCACCTATTCTCTCTCTCAACGTCATCCCCAGCCAAAAAGAAGACAAGCACATCGCGGTTGGTATGCAGTCTGGCCTCTTGTCCATCAAGACTCACCTCTCCGGCGAACAAAAGGCGCAGGCCAAGGAGAGGGCAAAGGAAATGAAGGCCTTGATGGAGGGAAAGATTGAGGAATATGATCAGAAAAACAAGAAAAGGAAGCGTGGGAGAGGCTGGGAAAAGCGCGTGAGGGGTAAGGACTTCACAGGTGAAGGGGCGGATATCGTAATCGAAGGCAATGCGAGGGGCAAGATCGGGTCAGGACAACCATGGGCACATGTGCTGAGGGCAGGACAGTATGCCAAGGCACTAGATATGGTGCTGGAAACAACGGTATATCAGCCCTCTGCTCTGCAACTTCCAGAAAGACGGCAAGCTAATGCAGATCGTAGGACAACAATGCTCGTGAACAATCCTTGACCCTTTTCACCGCTCTTCGGCACCGCAGCGCTCTCCGAACAGCCCTAATGGGCCGCGACGAGGTGACTTTACAGCCCATTCTGCGCTGGCTCATCAAGAACATTTCAGACTACCGCATTACGAGGTTAACCACCGATGTAGCTCTGGTAGTGCTGGACCTGTATGCAGATCAGCTAGGACGAAGCGAAGAGATTGACAGTTTGGTCGATGCGCTCATGGACAGGGTGAAGGTTACGGTCGAGGCTAGCCAGATTGCGTGGAGTGTACGGGGCATGGTAGATATGCTCACTGCTAGTACGGGGCCAGAGGAGGCTGCAGAAGCTTAAATTGGTCGACTCGATATGTGTCTGTATTTATTTTGCATAGCGCTGGCGTCAAGGGGTCGGCATTACGATCTGGTTGGAAAAGTACTGTAACGCTATCGAGGCATAGAGATACCCGGATGAAGCACGTTCACCTGCTTTGGATGATGGGACGATGGAGATATGTGCTGTTTGAATGGTATATTGTACAGACCCTTTTCAGGCCAGATGCTGTGCTTCCATGACATGTCTAAACCCTTTACATATTCTACATATGTCCATCGTACATCTACCACAAGCAATACTGTCTTTGTGCAATTACTGGCCGATCAGGTAATGCGACCCACAGTTTGCGGTTGTCTCGCTTCTTCTTGATCTCTTCCGAGATGCGCATCCGTGTCTTTTCTTCCTTGAGGAGGACGGAGAAACCTATTCATGTATTAGCCGTGGCTCCGGTTCAACTTGGTTGGAGAATACCCACTCGTTGTCCGATGCGTCAACATGTTAATCATGCCCCTCGCCCTAAACTCAGGCGTCTTCCAGCTCTCACCAGGTCCCACCCACATCTGATCGATGTAAATCTCCGAAGGATCCCTGACTAGCTTCTTGCTCCCGTCTTTCAGCTCCACGGTCGTCGTCTTAGCCTTCTTAGCTGCCTTTAGGGGCTTCTTCTCCCCTTCAGAGGTCTTGTAGTCCCAAAGATCGCGCGGTTTTCCTGCATCTGTGTCCTTTCTTTGACTTTCCCAACGCTTCACAGCCACCTCTTCGCCCTGAAGACCCATGCCCCGTGCGACAATAGCTTCGTTCTGCGCGATTTCGAGGCCCTTGATGACATCACGGGCTACTTTCTTCGGAGAAAAGCGAAGCTGGACGAGCGCCTCGCTGACGGTCTTGCCAGCCAGTTGATTAACGACTTTTTGGAGCTTCTTCACGGATGTGGGGAGGAAGTGCGATTTGTAGAGGCTTTGGCGCTCGGTGCGCAGCAGCTTCTGGGCCTTGGTCATACGGCCATGGCGCTTTACGCCGGAGATGACGAGTTTGCGTTCGAGAGACTTTCGTGCGTTGGCGTCGGGATCAATGTTCATTGCGGATAGTTTCCTGTCATGGTCCCTATCAACTGCTTCTCTTCGCACGCGTGCCTGCTCTTTGAGTTTGGCTTGCTCGGTAGGTGTCAAGTTCTGTTGCCAGCCGGGGATCTCGCGCTCCGGAAGGAACAGGGAGGAGGGGTGCTTGGATAGCTCTCCTTCGCGGAGGCTCGGGCGCGCGGGTTTCGCATTGTTGTCTGCCGCACCCTCCTCGATTTCTTTTTTCTGCAGGTAGCTCTCCAAAATTGGATTCCTGAGCTCGTCATCTGTGTTTCTGGGCTTGAAAGGGTTCGAGATGTTTCGTTGGGCGGTAGCAGGGAGTGACGTGGAAGTTATCCAGTATGTGGAGCGGGGTTGGAAGACAGCGAGGGCTATGCATTGTCAGCCTTGAAATCTGCAAGCCAGATGTTGCGGTGCTGGTGGAGGAGGAGGCATGACAAGCGCATCTCTGGAGCTGATGTGCAAGCAAGGATGCCGGCATAAGAATTTTGTGGGAGCTTACCTGATTGCCCAAGCCGCCGTGAGGGTATTCGAGCACTCATATCGATGTTCGACACCCCAATGGCGCGGTGTTGATGTTGCTTCACAGTCGTAGGGCCCCCAGGAAATTCAGAGGTTGCCGAACGCCGCGCGCTAGCTTGCAGGGGTTCCAGTCACGTGCCTGCTGCGCTTCGGTAGATCTTCATGATCAGCTCTCCCATTCAGATGCGAGCCGGCTGTTGTCCAGCCACGTCCTCCCAAATCTATCTTCACCGAGCAGGAAGGTCGTGTTGGAGGCTGCACATAGCATCCCACATCGTCAGCAGGCAACCCGGCCGCCGGTATAAAGCAGCTCCGGCTCACAAAGCAGCTCCGTCATTACCTGATTAGCTTGGGCCCGAGCTTGACTGGACCTTTTTCCTCAAGAGACCCTCACGACCACGACCAGGCGCAAAGGAATCTCCTCCGTCACGTTCATTACTACTTCGGATCGCGCTACCTTGAACGACAGTTGGTGACCGCCCAGGTCTCCATCCCATGCCGTTCGCTACCAAGATACCGAGGCCTCACAGTCCCTTTAGTTCGCGGTCGTAATAGAAGTACCATTCGACATCTGTCGCGCACGTATAGCTTTGCCATTGGTGTCACGCGTGGAACGTCGATATTGAAAGTCGGGAGCGCAAAATAGGAGAACGCCGCCTCATCCCAGATCATCATGGACATCAATTCGCTATTGTCGCCATCGGACTCGCCTGCGGGCACTCCCACACCCCAACCGCAACCTGCCCTCCCATCGCCTTCAATGCTACAATCGCCGAGCAAGCGCGCAATACGCCAGTTGCCCTCGCGAACGTCGTCGGGCCTTAGCCAGCAGGTCACCTCTTCCCCGCAGCCGCACGCCATCCTCCAACAACTCCCTTCGCCAGGTTACGTCCATATCGCAAACGGCGCAAGAGCGGTACACAGCGCAGCAGGCACACCGCAACCCATCGGCTCGCCGCACGACGCGCGCATAACTCCGCCACACCCTCTGTTTCGGCAGGGGTCGACACCAGGCATGGACACGTTGGCTGGTCAGTACACACTTTCATATAGCATGGGCGGTGAAGCCGAGAAGGTCACATAGGAGCGCTGAGACGCTGAGATGCTGAGGCCGAATGCCCATTTCAGGCAGCAATGTGCACACTGAATGTTATTGTACAACGGGAAGAGTCGTCGTTACTAACCATTCTCAGATCTTGCTAGTATGCAACAGCAGCAGGCATCGCGACAGAGCTCCGTAGGTCATCAGCGGCCAGTCACGTAAGTTTGTTTGTTTGCTTCTCTAATCCCAAACGCCATGTTGCATACAGGACCGTGCATGTGGACCGTGCATGTCCTTATGCTTCGTTTTGTATATCCTAACTCCATAATCTGTCCGAGGGAAGCCCGTGCCGGAGTGGTAAGTGGCGCATTAAAGGCGTCACGCTTGCTCGCGGTCACGGGAGCTGTTGCCTTGTTTGGACATTTGGTTGTTACACAGAAATAGCAATCACCAAATACTAACTACGACCTAGACTCCAACACCTTGGACAACACATCTCTGGTGAATCCGTAGCCAGTATCATGTCGGAGTCATCACCACGACCGCGCAGTTTCGTGACGAGATCCTTGGATCAACAGCACATCGATTGGCTTAATCAGCTCGACAAAACCTTAATTGAGAATCCCTTTGACTATTACAGTCATGTCTCGCTTGTCACCACCCTCCACCAAGGCCTGCAGCATCATCTCGCCTCTTTCGACTCGGATCCGAACTCTTACGAATTAATGCAGACGTTGCGCGACGCGTACCAAACCATGTCCGACAAGTATCCGCTGGGCGAGCTGCTGTGGCATTACCGCCTCAACGACGAGAAAACCCTTGCGAAGAATGTGGAAGAGCACATGGGAGTACTGGAGTTGCACAAGCAAGCGACGCAGGACGAGCCTTATAGCGCAAAGCTGTGGGCCGCTTACGGAGAGTACGTGAGCTATTTAGTCGCCTGTTCATGGGAGCAAGTACCACCAGAGCACTGGTCCGAGGAGGAGAGACTCATTGGCCGTGAACTCTTCAGCCCGCAATTCCTACTGGACGCACTACAGCAGGGTGCTGAGAAAGTAAAGTACAATCTTCAAGAAAGCAACCTCGTTTGGGATCGGTACCTGCAGGTTTTGGAAGAGGATCTCGAGCGAGGTGGCTTCAGCCAAGAAAAGGCGGCTAGAGTGGCTGCAGTCTTCAACGAGCGCCTCAGCCAGCCGCATGCGACGTGGTCGAACACGCTGTCGAGATACTCCTCCTTCAACTCGCGATACAACCAGAGTCACTATGAAGAGGTCATGGAGCAGGCGGTCCAGAAAAATACCCATATCAAGCAGCAATATGCCCATCGAGAGGAGTACGAATTCAAGCTACTCCAAGCGATACAGGCCGGCGACCAGAGCGCAGAGTATCATGCAATGACTCGATATCTCAAATGGGAGAAGAAAACTGCGGGTGTGTATAGCGTCCATCTCGTCAGTGCGCTTTACGAGCGCGCTACTCTCCGCTTTCCGGTAGACCCTTCCATATGGGAAGATTATGTCGAGTTTCTCATCTGGCAAAAGGATCGCTCGGTCGATCTCCTCAACGTGCTGGAGCGCGCGACACGGCACTGCCCCTGGTCCGGATCATTGTGGTCTCACCGCATATTGACTCTCGAGGCGGAACACAAGGCGTTCGAAGATCTCGAGCGTGTCAAACACACAGCAACCGGTTCGGGACTTCTGGAGCATACTAACGTGGATGAGCTCATCAAGGTGCAACTTGCCTGGTGCGGATACCTACGCCGGAGAGCATTCGATGATCCAAGGGCGACAGAAGAGGAGGTTGACGTTGCAGAGGTTGGCATCCGTTCTGCGTTGGAGTTTGTGCAGGAGGTCGGCATGAAGAAGCATGGAAGAGAATGGGCCGATCCCCAATATCGTCTCGAGCGCCTTCATATGAAGTTCTGGCTCCAGCGAAACAACGTTGACGAAGCTCGACAGATATGGGATTCATTAGTCAAGTCGCAAGCTGATTCTTACGACTTCTGGTATCGCTGGTACATCTTTGAGATGGTCTTCTGGTCTGCACACGCTACTCGCAATGAACGGAATGCAGGCCAGCATTTACTACCACCGTCACGCGCAACAGCAGTTCTGGAACGTGGCATGGAGCGTCTCCACACGATCGATCACCCTGAACCGATAATCGAAATGTACATGAACCACTGTGAACAACACGAGTCGGTGCTCAAAGTGCGAAGCGCTACAATCGACCGAAGACGAGCAGAGCGCACAGTCGCGATTCGAAGGGAAAAGGAGCGAGCCACGGCTGCAGCAACAACTGCCCAACAAGAAACTCCAGAGAGTCAAGTCGCAGAAGGCTCCGGGAAGCGGAAGAGGGAAGATTTGAATGTTGAAGGCGACGCTACCCTGAAGAAAAGCAAACTCTCAGACGTAGGGGAAGCGCATAACGCTGCAGCCAATGGACAAGCTAGGCTAGCCAGTGAAGCGCCATCGGAGGCTCGCTCAACTGGGCCGAAAAGAGATCGCGAGCATACCTCTGTCATCGTCAAGAAGCTCCCCGCCGGTACGACGCAGAATCGAATACGCCAGTTTTTCACCGACGCTGGAGCCGTTCGAAACCTGGTAATGAAAGAGGAACAGGACAGCCTAACGGCTATCGTCGAATTCGAGACCTCGGAGGAAGCTGATTATGCCTTGAGTAAAGAAGCGAAAGGATTCGAGGGCCACAACATCTCCATCGAGCGAGGAGAGAGTACAACGCTGTACGTCACGAACTACCCCGCGCACGCCGATGAAGCCTGGCTCCGAAAGCTCTACAGCCCGTTTGGAGAGATCCTCGGCATCCGATTCCCATCGCTCAAGTTCGACACACACCGCCGTTTTTGCTATGTGCAGTTCGTCAAGGCGGAGGACGCGATTGCAGCAACCCAGCTCGACGGCACCGACGTGGAGGGGTTCAAGCTCATTTCCAAAATTTCCGACCCGAATGCCAAAAAGCATCGCGATGGTGCGACCGCTGAAGGCCGCGAAGTCTACATATACCGCCTCAACTTCAAAATTAAGCAGCATGAGATTGTAGAAGCCTTCTCAAAGTTCGGCAAAATCGAGAGGACCAAGTGCCCCATTATCAAAGCTACAGGAAATAACAAGGGCTTTTGCTACGTCGTTTACGAGACCAAAGAGAGCGCCAATGCAGCAGTCGCGGAGATGGATGACAAGAGCTTCTGGGGCTTTGATTTGAAGGTGCAAATTGCCAGCGACCGGGCAGACACGAAACCAAAGATCAAATCGACACTCGAGAATGCTGGTAGCTCGGACACTCACGAATCGACCCCTGGGCAAGCCATCGACAACCCCGCATCATTTAGCGAGCGGACCATTGCCATTCTCAACCTACCTGATACTGTCCCTGACGCACGCATCAGGCCGCTTGTCGAGTCCTTTGGCTTCAAGAAAATCAAGCTCGAACCACAACACGGCGGTGCCATTATCGAGTTCACTTCAGTCGAAGGAGCGAGTAAAGCTGGGTTCGCACTCGACGGCAAGGATTTTGAAGGGAGGAAGCTTCACATTGGAACGGTCCAGGAGTTGAACAAGCAAAAGAGTGAATGGAAAGCGGGCAGCAGCTTCATCCAGCCAAATCGCGTCAACCGGCCAACCGCCCGTGGAGGCGGACGAGGTCGTGGAAAGGTTGGCCTTGGTCGGCCTGGTATACCCAGGGCGCCTGCAACGGCAAACGGCGAGGCGAAGAGTAACGCAGACTTCCGAGCTATGCTGTTGAAGGAGTCTGCAAAGGATTCGGAGCAGGACAAGGATAAGATGGGGAACTAATGGCAGAGGTTAACGATAGCATTTCAGAGTCATCTCATCACTCTGGCGGTGTTCATTCCAGGGAACGGTTTTTCACGGATGGCGTACTGCCGGCTCATGATCACTGCATACTTTGGCGTTTGGGGTTGCTTTTGGTAACGCAAAGGAATAGTAGTGACAGAGAGTTTCAAGGCTCGGTCATGTATGTATGTAGAATAATTTAATAGGGAGTAATTCGTGTCCAATACACCCCTGTTCTCGATGCTCGCATGTACCATGATGCACGTGTATCCGTTCCGCCTGCCGCTGCAACTTGCAGGGAACAAGCCCTGCGCCTCTTACGTGGTACCATGGAGGTGGCAAACATGGCCGTCTCCGGTAGGTCCGTCCCAAGGGTATGGGGCTATTCGGTTGCCTAGTTCCAACAGTTTTTGACAGTATTCAGCAGAAACCACGCGCCCGTATCCAGAACTGGTAATTCTAGTTGCTGTGATAAAAACAAAGCTGCCATTTTTGATATGTAGATCATATGCGGTCGGAATTTTACCCAAATTAGTAGCAGCATAGCTCCGTCCCATTTTGGCGTGTTCCACGCTAGGGTGCAGCTGCTCGTGTCATTCTAGTAGTATACAGTTGAAACGAACTCCCCGGGCCAAGCTTGGAGGGGCTTTTCCTGCTTCGGCGCGGGCAGTTGATGGCTACAGTAGCGCAGCGATCGCCCCTGTTAGGAGAGTGTGCTAGGCTGGGACGAGTGGACGACCAAGCGTCAAAGCCGGTCCCTGCCCAAGGAATATGGCACTTTGCTTCTGATGTAGCTTTGCCTTGTTCAAATTGCGCAGGCGGGCGACGCTGTGGGCGGACAGTGGCCTGGTTTTAAGGTTGTCCGTTAGAGAGGCTCTGTCAATGCGCTTTTTGGACTCGGCTAACTCAGATGAAGCTCGTATTTCAGAGTTTTAGGTTAGCGGGCACCAAGATCCGGACTAGGCCCAAAGCTTATTGGATACGAGCTCCTTCGTAGTAACCGTCCACTGACAGCGGACTAGGGTATTCATTTGCCTAGGGACATTACACCGCCTACGACCTATGAAAGTAGAAGCCATAACCAACATCATTGAGCCAACTCCTATCTAACACAGGGCAAAGAGGGCTCTTCAATTCATGCCCAATCTCGTGTCAATTTCAAGGGATTTTCTTTTAAAGAAGGCGTGGCACTTGCTCGTCCTGACACTACATTCCTTCCACTGTCTCTCAACGGCGATACGCCTTCTAGTAAGCTATAACTATACCCCAACTGACGATTGCTGTCGAAAATTACCATGACGGAATTTGGCGGACAGTGGAGCCAACTGTCCCACCAGGCTGATGATCAGGACTGGGATGCTATATTTGAAAATAGTATGTATGCTTTGGCTGAGTTCCCGTCTGTACATACTTGAGAGTTGACCCCGTGTTAGCTTTGCCCTCAACAAACATTCAAGTATCAGCTTCAGGCTTCACCACGCCTACCCCGTCCCGGACTGCATCATTTTACGATAGTTCGTCCGGGACACCCTGGCCTTTCTCGTCAAGTGCTTCGTTAGATAGCACCAATCCACTTAACGAAATACAGCCAAGTTTAGCTGGACTATTGAACCACCAGCAACACTACAACTTGCCACCCAATGTCCCTTTACAAGATTACAATATGCTTAGTCTATGCAGGGCGTCTGAGGGTACATCCTACGATAGGTTGCAACCGCCAACTCTAAACAGCTCCGGCAATCAAGTTTACGTTCTCCCTCATGCTTTGAAGACCCTGTGCTAATATCCGCATAGTGCTCAATCCCTAGCCTATGGGCCGTGCCAGCGGTCCTATGATCCTACCTCCGCGCTTTTGAATCAAGCCCTCGCCGCATCACTGTCGTTACCATCCGGCGCCTACCCCAACTATTCTAGCACGTTATTTGAACCTCCAGGTCTACACTCGATCCAGCCACAGACCGCTCCTGATACAGCCTACGGTGACATGATTGTGGCAGTCTACCGCGCACCACAATCCAACAAGTACATCTTCAGGTGCTGTGTTCCTGAGTGTAGCGGGACAACCGTCAGCCGCTGGCCGGATTGGACAAGGCATGACAAGGGGTTCCATATAGGCAAAGAGTCGTTCCTCTGGTGTCCTGTTCCAGGATGCAAACGTAGTAACGCCGTCGGTAATAATGGATTTCCCGAAATCAGGAAGGACAAGCTGAGGGAACATATGCGGACTACACATTACTCCGAACTTGAAGACTGGTTTTGAAGTATAGGGATCGACTCGCTGGCAAATATACAGTAGAATTCCAGTTGCAGCGTTGAACGATTTCTCCAGGATTCCCTTCTCTTTCTAGACTTGGGCCGGGAAACGGAGCTTCACGCATTGGTCTGGTATCTCAGGGGAGTATAGCTCTGGAGTATACACATCTCCATTGTATATAAATCCTTGTCGACTCTTAACAGTTCCTCGAACAACCAAAAGGGAAGGGTAACACAGCTGGACTTCTGTACCCTCCCTTTCCTATACTTCTTACACCAAAGATGACATTATCCTTGTGTATCGTGGCGGAAGTGAGATTGTACCAATTCACATTACCGACCTCAATAACGCTCGTCCAATGCGGTTCAATCGTCTCACGGTACACGATCTCGTATCCCTCCACAGGCAATCCAAGTGGCGCATCCCACTTGAACTGACTGAAATTATCCGACGTCGTAACATTAACACCCACATTCCGTGGCTCTCCCGGTGCATTAGCCAGACTCCACATAGTCGACGCGACCACCTTAGCTGCGCGCGTGTTGTATTCAAAGTCCAGGAACTCAACTAGATCGCCGTACTGCTTGCCGTTCTTAACACGTACATCCTGGTGCTGCTGTGTGTAGTCTTCGTTTGGCTGCACGAAGCGTACACCGTTGAAGCCAGATTCGAGGAATGGTCGATGGTCGCCACCGCGACTGTATCGATCTAGTCTGTAGATAAGGCGGACAGTCATCTCAGTGAAGGTATTAGACGCTACTTCGTAAATGTGGCGACCGAGGTTGCGTGATGGGCTGTCGTTATCGCCTCCGATGCTAAGACGGCTCGTCGTGATAGTGGAGTTTTCCGTGAGCGGAGCGCCCTGGCAGAAGAGTCGGATATTGTATGGGTCGCGTGTGCCATCTTCTGCCTTGGAGCTAGGGGAAATCAGAGAATATACTGCAAAAGAGCTGGCGCACTTACTTCCCGACCATGTCCAGATTGACCATAGCGGCGACATTGACAGAGTTATTCTTGTAGGTTTGTGCGAGGTTCCTCGCTCCAAGAAGACCTTGCTCTTCACCCGCGAACGCAGTGAACGCAATCGAAGCTTTAGGTTTGTAGGTTGCGAAGATGCGTGCGAGTTCAAGGGAAACTGCAACTCCCGAAGCACTGTCATACTTAGTCATTGGTATTCATGCAAGACATTTTCTAAAACTTACTCATCAACTGCACCCGGTGCATCGCCCTTGAAATCGATAGGATTGCTGTTTCTCGAATCATAATGACCTCCCGTGACATACAGCCTCTCTGGATCTTCACTTCCCCGCAGAGTCGCAACAACAGTTGTGATATTTACCGGGAAGATGATCCGCTCGTTATCGCCTGGGTACTTGATGAAGCTGTTCCATGCTACACTCATAGTCCCGTTGCTTGCATCTGCGGCTTCTTGAAACTTGGCTGTGATCCATGTCCTAGCCGCGCCAATTCCTCGGTGGGGATCTGTCTGACTTGATAGTGTATGTCGTGTACCGAATGAGGCCAGCTTGCGGACGGTAGCTTCGATATTCGCTTGCGATACTTGCGCTAGGATGCTTTGTAGCTCTGAATCGGGGAGTTGGGCTTTCAGAGCTTTTCCAATGGTTGCAAGAGGCCATTGATCGGTGTTTGGAAATACACTGGGGCGATTTGGGGATGTGTTGGGAATGGGTGTTGAAATTGCCAGAGGTAGATAGGCGGCTACTGACAACGCAATGAAGGAGTTCGACCACATGCTGAGCACTCGAGTCGGTCAAGGCAACCAGTGAATTGAAAACAAAAATTAGTTTGATTGGTGCGGCTCTTGCATTTTATAGCTGCGAAGTCGATCCATCAATCACTTTCCACCGTCGTCGGAGCATGTAGCCGTTATCAGATCCGTTCTACGGTTCTTTAGGAATTATCTTCCTAAATAATAGCGAATGCTGCATTAACGATTCGGTGATTGCAAATCTGTATCTGATGAGGAAGCTCGGAATTGGGACCAAGGCGCCAGACAACGTCGCCATCCCAACACTGAGAAGATCTCCACTCTTCGACGCTTGGCAATGACACCATGCGGGGTTCTCCAGCATTACCGAGCGGCAGTGATTCTCCGATGATGCACATTTTTGATACCGATATCGCCACTTGAGCATGATTCCTTGCTCTACAATAATTTCTAGCGTCTATCGAACGCTTGAATTGTCAAGGGCACGCTTGCTGTCACCAGTCTTATCCTCCCAAATCTTCAAAAATAACTTCCAAAGAATGGAAAAGAGGATTCCCTGCAGACCATTTGCGATTATCCTGGTCTTCAATCCTCGTCCGAAGAGGGCCAATCTGCCATCTTGGCGAATGACTCGTTTGGCAGCTTCGGTGTAGGAAATCCTAGTGTCGTTGACTTGTCGGTAAGTCTTGACAACTCTGAGAGAGTTGGAGATGGTATCTGAAACGACAGACGCGCAGAACCCAATGAACGCGGCTCGAAGCAACCACGGCACAATTTGTTGTCTCGGTGGCTCGGTCATAATGTCGGAAAGAAAGTTATATGTTGCAAACCAAGGATAATGTCCGACAAAGGTTGCGGCTGCTGTAGCAAATGCTCCCCACCACAGACTTCCAATACCATCTGTTCGAATGCGCTGTCGAAGCAAGGCCGTCCCGCGAGATCCTTGGGCCTGAAGTGTGGTTTTGAGAGTATCGATGGGGGTAAGGAGCATTCTGAACGCGGCGGCACAGAGCGAAGCAAAGATGGTTTTGATAGGTGACGGTAATCCTTTGAGATAGGCGTTACTTTGCAGTAAGGCCAGAATACCGGCATTGGCTGCGGTGTCTCCGAACCGTGCAATTGGGCCTATGACATTAGTACAACAGGTATCGTGGTGAGCGGCAGACCAACCTTGGAAAAGTGCAGCTTTCATGCCCTGGTAGTATCTTCCAACGCCGCCATCTTGGTAGAGCGTTTTCGTTGCGACTGACAATGATGATCCATGGCGATACTGGTAGTTCATGATGGTACGTATCGGCATTAATAGTAGAACTTGAAGAATCATGGCTGCTGCACCGCTCAATCCGCCTCCGAGGGCGCGCTTTAGTGCTTTTTTGAGGTCAAACTGTTGTTCAAAGGCCCAGTTAACGTGGAAAGGTCTCGTGACTGGAGTTCACTCACGTCGACATCATCTGCATCAATCCATCCTTTTATGAATACGGCGAGGATGAGTGTCGCAAGTACAATCCAGAATCCTCTCCAAGCGTACCGCCAGTATCTTGAGGGCGTGTCCTGTGCTTTTGAGGATAAATCACTATTTCCCGAAAGCGAACGCGCGTCATCTCGTGAATGTCTGTGAGCGAGTAAAGGAGCCCGCTCATCTGGTGTCAAAACGGTCTCTTCGTCACGATGGGTTGCCATCGCATATGAGATGGGTTTGCTGATTGTCGAAAGTGAAGTTGCGAGTTCGCCGTATCTATAAAGCGAGTTGTGCTGACCAATCGTAGGCCGATGACGTGACTGACTGCCGGATCGGTAGGTTGCCGGGAGTGGGGACTGATCTTCCAAAACGTTGGGATCAACAACACATGGATTTCTTCACTATTACCTTATCTCGGTGATTTTTATAGATTTTATCAGGTGGCTACGCAGCGTTGCTCGTATTTAAAGCTAATATACCATAGCGCTGTGTAAGTAGGTTCGTTAGTTACCGCAGTTGTAGCTGGTCCCTAGATTCATCGATTCTGGATGTTGAATTGTAACCGACGTACTCAGATGATGCAGTAGCAGGCTAACTTCGAGATACAGCCTGAATCTGAAGAGGCAGTGCAAGTCTGACCCATCAGATGCCCAATCTGATATGGTCCACGCAAACCAAGACCTTAGTAATGCCGAACAAAGTCCACCTCATCGCCGTTATGGCAACGCACAATTGCCGTTGACTGCGGATATTCCAACTACAGTATCACCATCGAAAGTAGCATCATCTCCAACTCCACCTTCAAAGACGACATCTCATCCTAGGATCCGAGTCATATACAGCACCAGCAGCCCGCGCAAATATCTCTTCAAATGCAGCTCCCCAAGATGCGGCGAGACGTTCAATCGTTCTTACGATTGTGATAGACATTACAACGGCGTGCATTCTCTCGAGAAGTAAAGAGTGCGCAGAGTCGTGGCATGTGGCCGAGCGACTAAGATGGTACAGCATTCTGGATGTGTAAAAGCAGAAAGTAAGGCTGAGCTGACCGCTTTTAAAAATGAATGCTTGTGGTTCGCTTGATGAGAGTCGGTCGGACTACGGGCTGCAAAGACAGTTGAAAAGGCGAGGCCCCGAAGTCTGCACCAGTGACCTAGATGCGGCCCGAGGATTAGCCTTTGAATAGCGGGGATCGAAGGGACTGTCCGCCCGCTCGTCAGGGGCACAACATGCTTCACCGTGGGACACCAACCTGCCTTGTGCCATTCCCTCCGACCAATTGCGGATAGGCACTAGAAAACGCGTGGGCGTTTCGTGACAGGGGGCCCGCATGCTATTACAGCCTGATCCTTGAAGATGACTGCAGGTCGTATGCACAATATGCAGCAAAAGCGGCCATCTGCCTAACGGTCGTGACCGAAGATCAACCTTGAAGGGCAAGGTATTTTGCAACTACCTCATCACGCCCATACGGAGAGCCGCAGTTAAATATATATAGTCCATATTCAACTACATTGAATAAGATGCATTCGCACTCGCTCCCAGAACGCAGCTTTCACAGCAAGCTTTTATTTTTATATCGAGCTTTGTTTGACCTCTTTGAAAACTCTTCACTGTTGATTGGCTAATTCGTTGGGGATGCAATGGATTTGTATCAGCCATACCGCAAGAACCACACTCCCACGCTAGAGAACCTAGACCTACCGGAATTAAACTCTGATTGGGTTGATGGCATGCAATTATGTTGGTTTCCCTCTTTTAATCTTATTCAATTTTGTCCAGATCCTGATTTTAGGCCAGTCGTGAGCAGTGATACTACTCCCCTACTAGAGCAAGATGATGCGCACCCATCTCACCAGCGGGCCAGCAATGCTGAGACATGTTCGCAACCCCCATCTAGTCCTCTCTCCAACTACTTGATTCCTCTAACATCCTAGCCAGCGTATCCTCTTGACAGTATATCAGAACCAAGCATCGACCCTGCCTACTCCTTCGGTTCCGATTATGTCACGCAGTATGACACCAATCTCTGGCCTGCAGAAAACAGTCATGTATATTCGCAGTCCCTAGGCTATATGCGCGATGTCCAAGAAGCCTGTAGTGACAGAGACTTGTGTGAAGTCAGGGAGACGTCGCACCGCCCCTTCAATATATCGCAAGATAAACTTAACTCTGTCGAAGAGAGAATCAGGTATACTAATATAGCTAAAAGGCTATTATCATCTGGCTTACGATTGATACAGATCAGCTTCGATGACTTTTTACACCGCCGGACAAACAAATGCTAGCACAGACAAATCGATCGGGGACCAAGCTGCTAAGAATTCGTCGGAAGTACTTGGCCCAAGGCCTGGGGAGTTGAGCTTCGAGAACCCTCCATCTGAAGAAGTCTCTGGTGATTCATCGGGTTCGATCCGTACCACTTCTGCCACGATTGGTACGGTCCTCGTGAACGGTAAATTCGAGTGCAACCAGAGGCAATGCAGCTCAAAGACTTTCGGTCGCCCAGCAGAGTTAAGGAGACATTATGCTACCATCCATGCAGTCCAGAAACCAGAATTTTGGTGCCATATTGTGTCGTGCGAGCGATCAAAGCCTTTCTCAAGGAAAGACAAGCTAACGGATCACGTCCGGAAAGCTCATGACGGCGTGTGAAATAGGAGGAAGTTGATTTTCCAAAGTTTATCACTTGGTTGGTGGAACTTTGTGGGTTCCCATGTGGGCCTTGGAAGTAGTAAAGAGGTACTGGGTGGAAATTCTCTTACTGGGTATGAGATCACACCAACTCGTTGACTAGGAGATGGCTGGCTGTAGGTGATAAAAGTAGACACGAACCATAGGCAGTAACGCATTTCATGAATACTATGATGTAGTTCCAATATTCCTATGAAACGGGTTAGTATGCGAAGGGACGAGCAGGCTGTGGCAGCGTGGTCTCCAGGAGCAGGCGCATCTGGGCTGCACGCCATTTGCTCGGCATTGTGAATCGTCAGGCCAAGTTGCTCTGCCTCATCCACCTCGCCTATGTATCTGACTAGATACGCCCTGCGTCTTCTACCCATGATCGAGGACATGACCTCCAAGTAATTCAACAGACATTCGAGCTCCAGTTGTTGATCCACTTCGCTGCGAGCAAAATGTACATGCTTCCTTGTCAAGGAAAAGCGCTCAAGCATAAAATCTCGCACCCACATGGCTCGTGCGCAGTGACAAACTTTGACGTATCCTGGGGGTTAGCTGCTTTTGAGGTTGTATTGTTTATGTTTTTTGTGGTGCGACCGTGATACGGTATGCTGGTTCGGAAGATACCAAGGAATCTTTTAGCGATCGGGCTGAATTTCGTTTAGAGATGGTGGAACACGTAAAAGCAAGGCACCATAGCAACAAGGCAACAGGGTGAGCGCTGGCTGATCGATATGCTATGGCACCTCCACAGTGTGCCTCTGTTTACTCGGAGGCGCGCTGCGCCACATTCAAAACTATGCACGAACGGCAACGTTTGACAGGAGCAATGGTAAACCCCCCTCCTGGAGGACGAGGGCCTGGACCGCCGCAATATCAAAAACAGGGTAGCAGAGGATTATCATCCGGTAGGCTGCATCGTGGCGTCGGAAGGGAAGCGTGCAGGATCGCCGTGTAACCATGTCGAGTACCCGAGACGGGCTCACGACGACAGGTCGCGTTTTCAAGTCTGTAACGGCATTAGTACAACGCCACGGCACCCAGTCATACCAGTAATATATGATTCGCAGCGCATTTCGTTCCGGCACGCTAGCTTCCTAAACGGCAGACCTGCATTCCAAGGTTTTCAACTCCGAGTAGCCCCAGGGTGGTTTTGGAGCGAAACGCAGTGTCAATCTTGAGAACAAGGCACAGCGCCACGCAGCATGCAGCATGCATTTTTCCTGTACCGTCGATTCGTAGCACAAATGCATATAGGACGTCCTTCGTATGCTGCCCGCTGTTTGTACCCGGCGGCAAAGCTTTTATTATGATACAGCACTTCTGCAAAGGGTTCTTCTCTAAATTCCACCTCGGAGTTTACCCAAGATCTATAACTTCTTCTTCTCTTCTCTTGCAGTCGCTGATTAGTTATGGAGGATAACGATCCTAGTGGTGCTGCGTTTCGAATCCATGACAGCCATGCAACACAAGGTCAGGAGCAGGCGAGCTCGCCATGGTTGGAACAAGGTAAGTTCCTACGAGATCTGAGTCCATGCATATCGCGATTGTTCCATGTCGACTACGTTGCTTAGCAAGCATTCTAGGTCAGCAGCGCACTGCTGAAAGGCTGTATACTCCTAGCTCTTTAGAGTTCTCGGCGAGCCGGTGAGTCACATCTGCAGCAGGGTACCGACAGCTGGATTCATTGTTCGTGCTAGGCCATATCCACTTGCGCCAGAAGGACCTTACTTGGGACTGATGTGTCCCCCGGCTCAGTTCCAATCTCCGCCTCCATTTCCATGGGGAGAGGTGTGGCCAACGGAGTAGGTAAATCCGAGTGAGAATGTTGGTAGTGATTCCTAACGCCATGAATAGATTTGGCCAATCGGCCCAGATCCCAACTCCACTGGCACTTGGTTTCCAACACGAGAGGCACGGTGCCTCATCGACATGCGTTTCGAGCCGTACTTTACACCAAACGTATGCTGCGAACAACGATCCTCGCCCATCTGTTCCCATTGAATCGTCAAGGCCTTATTCTATCACAAGTCTACAACAACCATCATATACGATGATTGGGAGCGTTTATGTTGAAGCCCAAACGGGGAAATATCAATTCAGGTGTCATCTTGAAGGATGCAACGGGAAACCATGTTCTCGTCTACAGGAATTGAAACGGCACTATGAGTCAAAACATGAAGACTCCGCCATGTGGTGTCCGTTCCAGGATTGCGAGCGTAGTGAAAACACCGGTACAGATCCATTCTCCGCGGGAAGAAAAGACAACCTGAAGGAACACGTCAAGCGCATGCATAGCACGAGATACGCGCGATGGCTGCAAGGCTTGCAGTGAGGTTGACACTCGTCTTTTTCGCTGTTCCTCTGTCGATGTACAATGGAGTGCTACATATAGAGTATTAGGTAATTTTTTTTCTAGATTCACGTCCGATATAGATATTTGAAGCGTATGTGACTGCGAATAACTTTATTGCTCGCCCAGTTTGATCTTTTTGGTGGAGTGATGTTCTGGTGTCAGGTTGACGACTGCGAGCGTAAGGAAACTTATGGAGATCATCTGTTCCCTATAAAAAGCCAAGCTGAAAGACTGGCATAAGCACAAGACCTAGGGTCCCGGGATTGCGAACGGCCTGGGGTTTCAGATACTATTTCGATGGTGATATAAGTTAACGAAAATAACGAAAGATAGTTCCTCAGAGGTACACTTGTACTCGAAAAGGGCTAGCTTCCTTATAGTACCTTTTCGCACAAGCGCCGAGCTCTTAGGTAAAATCCAGATGCCGAAAGTCGTGGAGTCGAGGTGTAATCGATTTTGACAGCCGATCATAGAGCCTCCAAATGGCGTTACTAAGCGCTGAAGCTATGACCATCCCCCTCGGCAACTCCAAGTTCACTCTCCACCTCATCAGCAATTGACCTCGAAACGCTTTGCCGATATCAAACCTATTATGGCGTCCTCAAGAATAGTCGCCCGCTCATCACGAGCTCTCCTCACCCTTCAGCGCACCCAATGCCGCGCCTTCAGCATTTCCACAGCCCGCAGTAATGAATTCGAAGCCCTCAACAAGCGCACCAACGACACCTCGGAAAAGTACCGCAAGTTCCAAATCGAAAAGCCACTGAACCCGCATCTCACAAATACGACCTCCACCATCGCGAATGAGATGCCGTCAGTCGGCAAGGATTCAGCGCCACCGGAGTTGATCAAGCATGCAGACGGAAAATTCACACCCAAAGACTCAGTACCTAAGAACACAGAGAAGATGACGGGCGGCGCGCAGAAGGGCAAAGGTGGTGCGAACAAGGAGTTGGGTGTGGGCGAGATGGAGGGCGCCAAGTTCAAGGTTGAGCCACTGAGGAGAACGGGAGAGGACCCGAACACGATGCGTGCGAGGTTATTATGTCCGTTCCTACACTTGCACTGCACTTCCATATCCCCATTCACTGCAGTCACGTTGTTTAGTCTGTAAGACAGCATTGCTGACGCAAAGATAGATCAAAGCCGCAAGAGGGGAACCCTAGAAAGTGATCTCCTCCTCAGCACCTTCGCCGACGCTAAGCTCGCCACCATGTCCCCCCAGCTCATGCAACAGTACGACCTGTTCCTCGACGAAAACGATTGGGACATCTACTACTGGGCGACGCAAGAGCCCTCGCCAACATCTCTCGAAACAGCCGAGGGCTCTGGGTCGGAACTCGCTACCCCTAACGCCCAGGGCAAGAACGCGAAGGCGGAGACGAAGGTGCAAGAGAAGGATGAGTGGAAGCGGGAGCCTGCTAGCGGGGAGTGGGCGCAGACTGTGGGTACGTTCAAGCCGGCGTATCGACCTGTGCCGAGTAGATGGAAGGGAAGTGAGATTTTGAGTTTGATAAGGAGGCATATTCAAGAGAGGAAAGCCGGAGGCGTTGTAGAGGGGGAGGGAGGGGTGAAAAAAGAGGGCAAGGGGCTGGGTATGATGCCTCCCATCAAGAACTTTGATCAGTAGAGTTTCGACATATCGGTCGATATCTGTAAGTTATGTAGTATGCTATGTATAAAAGCTGATCAATCGTTCTTGAATGGGCTCTCTCTTGTGAAGGGCAACTTCCATCATGCGCCACTCCAATATGATGCCTCCATCTCAGTTCCGCGACTCAGGTAGCATTGTAAGGGAGTCATTTCGAATATCGCGTCCACCTTCATTATCTACAGCCACTTAACAACGCAGCCATACCGCAACTAGAAGTCACTCCGTCGCGCGTTTTGTACCCACAAATGCAAGTTCTAGGCAAAATAAAAAGGCCCGGTAATATGTCATTACACCACCTGATCTACCCCACAATTTCCGGCTCGCTTGAACCCCAACCCTACTATATTCCGAAACGACGCTGTATAGCGCGGAGCCACGGACGGCAGCGCCATTGGAGGAAAATACTACCCTTTTGCAAATTCATAGCCTAGATTTCGACACTTTTCTCCTGAAAGATGAAAGGGATGGTCTGCTATTCTGAGCAATATTTCCGCAGGGAGAATGGTAGCTTCGCTGCTACTACTATATAAGAGCATCCTGGAACTGTAATACTTGTAGCTATCCTCTGGGATTGTTAAACTGCGAAATTCATATCTATTCACGGTTTGGTTTGAAGAGTGGTGTTCTGCCAACATGCGTCTTACATCTCTATTTCTCTTCGCCACATCGGCCCTTGCTGCTCTGCCTTACAAAGGCGTAGACTGGTCATCCCTACTCATCGAGGAAAAAGCGGGCAAAACATACAAGAACAGCAATGGCCAAACTCAGCCGCTCGAAACGATCCTCAAGGCCTCTGGTGTGAACATGGTTCGCCAACGTATATGGGTAAGGAAATCAATATCTACACTGCTACAGAAAGAGATAGCCATGAACTAACGATGGCACAATAACTCTAGGTCAACCCCTCCAATGGCGATTACAACCTTGACTACAACATCCGACTAGCCAAGCGCGCAAAAGCCGCCGGCCTGCCCATCTACCTGGATTTCCACTACAGCGACAACTGGGCCGATCCAGGCAAGCAAGTCGTGCCCGCAGCGTGGAAATCGCTTGCGCGCGACGCCCTCATCAAGCAAGTCTACGACTACACAAAGCAAGTCCTCGACCGCTTCCAGCGCGAAGGCCTCCCGCTATCCATCGTCAGCATCGGCAACGAAATCACACCAGGCCTACTCTTTCCTATCGGCCAGCTGAGCAACAAACCCGATGGCCCCAAAAACGTTGCCGCGTTGCTGAAATCTGCGTCTCGCGCTGTCAAGGAGTCGACTCTGTCCCCTAAACCGAAGATTATGATTCACCTTGATAACGGCTGGAAATGGGAGACGCAGCAGTGGTGGTACGACTTGGTCCTTGGCTCCGGCGGTGGCCTGTCGACCAGCGATTTCGATATCCAGGGCCTGTCATACTATCCGTTCTATAACAGTGCGGCGACACTCGCTGCGCTGAGTGATAGCATGAAGCGCTTGGCAAAGAAGTATGGGAAAGAGGTACAGATTGTCGAGACGAACTGGCCCAGCTACTGCCCGAATCCGGCGCATGCGTTTCCAGCTGATACGAAGAATGTTCCGATCAGTGCGGATGGCCAGGCTCAGTGGATGAAGGAGCTCGCGAAGCGTGTTGCAGCCGTGGAGGGAGGCAAGGGCACCGGTCTGTTCTACTGGGAGCCTGCATGGATTGACAATGCTGGGCTTGGAAGTAGCTGTGGATGGAATCTTATGGTTGGAAATGATGGCAAGGTTATGAGTAGTCTGTCTGTGTTCAATAGTATATGAGTTGAGCTGCTGCGACATGTAGTAGAAGAAATACTATACCCAGTTCCTAAAACGTTATACAAGACGTCTCAGTATATCTCAGCTGCTGATCATATGCAGAGAAGTCGTAATGCATACCTACAACTGTCAATATCTTATGACCGATGAAAGGAAACGACACGGTGCTCGGTGACTGTAGAGACTGTCATTTGGTTGTTTGGTCAAAGCCATCTTTTGATGTTTGGGTTGTCTGAAAGAGTACATAGCACTAAGACTCCATAACCTCCCGTATCAAAAGCAGTCCAGCCCGTTCCGAATGTGCAAAGGAAGTTGTGTCAGGGTTCGTGATGGCATAACTTTCCGCTATTGCCTTTTCGTAACCTTATGCGCCCCGCAGCCTAGTAAGAATCTACTGCTCCTCAGAGTAACCCTCGCCGCTTGCCGGCTGGGCCTCGCCCTCACCCTGCTCCGCCTGCCTAGCCTGTTCCGCTGCCTGTTGGGCGGCGATGGCCTTAGCACCATAGTCTTGCGACATGGGCTGGACGACGGGCTGCTCCTCCTTCGGCTCAATGATGGTGACGGAGTCGGGGAGAGTCTGGGAGGGACCGGCCTTGCCCTCGGGATCTGAGCCGCGCATAATCTTAACCTTGATACCGAGCACACCCTGGCGGAGCAGGACGTGGCGGGTAGCCTCATCGATGAAGTCCTTGGCGGGTTGACCAGAGTGGATCATGAAACCATCCTACATGAGATTAGTTTATCGATTTCAAAGCGATTGCCAGTGTGTGCCTACAGTGAACTTCATGCTCTTGGCACGGGCGGCCCTGAGCTTTCCGGAAACGACGACCTCGCAACCCTTGGCACCAGACTCCATGATGAACCTCAGCACACCGTAGCAAGCCCTTCGGACGGCCAAGCCATTGAGAAGCTTGTATCGGAGGGACTCGCACTGGGCGACAGCGGAGAGACCACGGTTCTGGACCTTGGCGGCGTAGAGCGAGACGGAGTTCTCGGGGAACTTGAAGCGCTTCTGGATGAGCGAGGTGAGCTCACGGATGCGGCGACCCTGCTCTCCGAGAACCTCTTGTGTGTGGGTGGCGCGGATGATGATGTCGGTGACGGTGGGAGTAACGCGGACCTCGACGCCGGAGTAACCCTCCTCAGCCAGCTCGCGCTGGAAGAACTCGTTCAGCTCGGCATAGAAAACACCGTCTGTGGGGAGAATGTTAGCGATGGTCCTGTGCGGCAAAATTCCCAGCATCTTGGCCAATCTGCACGAAGCAGACATCTTTCGAGCGAGCACACGATCTTCTTTCCTCCTCCTCCGCTCTAATTGTGGGAATGGGAAACCGTACCAGCAACGAACTTTCTGCGCTTAGAACTGTGAACCGTCAGTATGCATTCCGATATTGCGCGCTTCGCCGTGTGGGAGGCGGCAGGTGCACTCACATAGCAGACTGAGTGGTGGCCATTTTGTCGGAGTGTCGTTGGGCGTGTCTGAACCTCCGGGCGTGGTGTTCAGAAGTCGGGAACCGTGTTGTCGAAGTCGTGAAGGTAGTGGTTCAATGTGATTTAGGCGTTGTGGCCAAGAATTCCGCTGATGTGCGCTCTCGATCTAGCCGCTTCGGGATCACCAAGCGAGGCAGGTGCGACACGTGCTAGCGGCCAGAACACCATGAACACACCCAGTTGGAGCGCAGACCACCGACAACGACTCGTAGAGAGTTGGAAAAGTGACATAAACTGGTCTCAAGCTTATTGCATTGAAGAGACGCTATAAATGGAGGCGCTTAAAATGCTCGCATACGATACCAAACGCCATATCTGTAAAAGCTGTTATACATCCTTCAGCGTCCTATGTACACCAACGCCTTCATTCTCCTAACTAGTGATGCTCAATCGGGTCCTCAGGCAGCAGCGGCTCGTGATTCCTCTCCACACACGACTTCAGCGGCGGCCTAATCAGATCATTGAACACGAACGTCCCATATACTAGCAGCGCGAAACCCGCAACTTGCAGCCACTTGAACGTCTCCCAACCAAGGCCGAGCGACACGATCCAGATGAAAAGTGTGCGGCACGTGTCGATGGTCGAGCGCGAGGTTGCAGAGACGGTACGGGTTACGGAAAGACCGAAGAAGTTGAAGCCACTGCGACAAGTTAGTGACGTGCCGAGAAGAGAGATGAATGTGAGGACATACCCGATGCTGATCATGATCAGTAGGGAGGAGACAGCGATGGCGCGGGAATGTGTCATTTGATACAATCCCTCCCGCGCATTGAAGTACCCAGTCCCGATAGCAAAGTGCAAAATGATCATGCCAAGGAGCGTGAAAAGGAAGCCAAAGAGACCCTCCCAACCCACAACCTTGATCGGCTCCATAGCGTACTTCTCCATGATCCTCTCCTCGACTACAAACTGTGTCGCAGTGAAGATCTGGGCGCCAGCAATGAGCAGCACTCCGATGATCGTCATAGCAGCCTGTGAGGCAGCCTTCTTCTCTGCCCCGACTGAGCCGACAGTCGTATCGTGAAGGGACTGATGACCCGGGGTCGCTTTGTCATCTCTAGTGATTGCGCCCGCGAGTCCAACCACCGCGACACCAAAGACGACGACAAAGAGCGCAAACCACTTGTACAGTCCGAGATGGCGCTTGAGGAACCAGACGCTAAACAGGCCCACGAAAAGCACAAGCGCTCCCCGAGTCATCTGGTAGATACTGGCCGCGACAAACAGCAGCCCAACATTCATAAGGGTTGTTCCGGCAATATCGCAGCACGCCGGCAGTGCCAGTAACAATATGCTCCTTCCCTCCAGGGGTATCCTGCCCTCGTCATCAGGGTGCGCAGGTTTTAGCGGGTTTGCTATGTCGGCTGTCGAGCTATCGTCTGATGCTGGAGTAGCAATGCCCGCGTTGTCCGGGATAGCTTCGTAGCCTGCCCTGCGGCTCGCATATCGTTGGTACAGACTGAACAGGCCGATGACGAGCCAGCAACCCATCTCGCCAATGAACATTTGTAGAGTCTGGAGGACGGGCTGCTCGAAATGGTCGCGGTACTTGGGCGAGGGAGCATCGCAGTTGTTCACGCATTGCATGTCCTAGTCACTGCGGTCAGCGAGCAACTCTTGGGCTACTGATAGGAAGTGGCATACTTGATACTTGGTCAACAGAGTATTGCAAACACCTGTCAAAAGCATCATAGCCACCAGAAACGGAACTGCGGCTTTGACCGCCATGACAAGGGTGAGTCGAGCTCCGTCGGAGCTCCTGTAGGCTTATCGAGGGTGTCGATGGATAGAGTGGATAGAGGACAAAGGATGGAGCTGCGTCCCTGGGGAATGGAAGAGTTGGAGCGGTTATAGTGAAGATTGGTAGGAGCTTCGATGGGTGCTAAGCTGCTTGTAGCTGCGACCCGTGACGGTGACTCGAGTGAGGCGCGTGAGGCTGGGTGACGCAGCCGCTTCGGCGATAAGATAGGCAGTCGCGCTAACTTCGGGTTCACGAGCCTCCTCTTTGACCACGCTGTCCATGTCTCGCTATTGACCACCGATATCGTATGAAAGCCAGAAGCTGAAATGTGCCGCTGGAGCAGGGGCAAAGATGCTAACTCTTTTGCTCGTTCTTAAGCGCATTGCCTGGTTGACGAACGCCGGGTACATACCATCTTAGACTAATCCGGATGACAGGCACACATGATCACATCTGTCCAGGTCTCATGAAGCCTAAACAGCGTACAACAATCAAGTGAAATCTACACTCACACAAAGCTTTCTCCGGATTTGATCTTGATTCAGGCCGGGGTCATGTGAGCAATAAGTAAGCAGCTTGAGTTGTAGCTGAGCAACTCTGAGCTCGCTATAAGCTAAGGTTGTGGTGGCGACCAACTCTCGGCTTTAATCGGCCTCAGCTGACCTTATCATGCAGCACAGTGATTTCCATGAACACTCTACACCAGCACTTAAAACTCGCACCAGAGGAAACCAACGGTGCATTTCAAGCTTGGGCTGTGGCTATAACGAACCAAGAGTGCGAGAAAAGGTCAGCAGTCTTTAAAACTCAGCGCTCAGGCATGCACGGTTAGTCCACCTAAGCATCCCGCCATGGGAGTGAAAGGGTGCTGGACTTGCAGAGGTAAACACATCCAAGAAGGAACATCTGCCGTGTAAACGCTAATGGGCGGATTACTGCTTAGAGCGCAAAGTGCGATGTGACTCGCTGTGGCCGATATGCGGCAACTGCACCAAGGCGCGGCGCGTCTGTAAAGGCTATGGCATGCAGCTGTCCTGGCCTCGAGATGGGGACAAAAAAAGAGCAATGATCGCTCGAGACATGCATTTTGCAGTTAATAACCATCTACCTAAAGCCAAAAAATTCTTGAATCTGTCTGCCTGGGACATATTACTATCGGAGGAGCTAGAGAATGAACCAATTGCTGGTACTATTACCTCGGACATACATTGTCAAGCTGCTCGACACTAACTACAATGGCGTGTAGTTAGATACCTTCGGACCATGGAACTTCCTCAGCCAACCTACTTATCCCCCAATGCCATAACTAGAGAGCAGTCGCATTTACTGGGCTTCTGTAAGTAGCGTCAACCTTCCAGGTCTGGACACAGCACCCTACTGACCACGATATCTTAGTTAACGAATCAAGATCTTTGATACTAGGGCCAACAGATGAAGCGCCTTTGGCACAATTCATCCTCAGAGTTGCCTTTTCAGACCCATCCGATGCAACTAACCCAGTTTTACAAGGCGTGTTCGCTCTCGCATCACAACAGCTTCATGGTAGCCTGCAGAGCTTTCGCTACAAGCGTCTTGTCGTAACATCAATTAAAGATTCAATCAACCAGCTCGACGAGAAAACCCTGCTTCACAACCTGATGGGCATAATGCTTCTTTATCATTATGAGGTAGTCACAATCCAGATCACTTAGACTAGCCATGGTTGACTAACACATGGCAGCTCTCACTCGAAACAAACGACAAGGGGAGTTGGGTTAGATATCTTTGCGCAGTGAAAAAGATTATCAACAAGTCACCAGTAATGCAGAAGTTGATTCGGCAAGAATATTCCGTCTTCCTGGATTGGATTTATTACCACGAGGCACTTGCAGAGTTTACAGTCCGCCATTGGAATAAGCCTTATGAAGGTTGCGGCTATGCTCCGACAGCAAGAGCTCCCAGAGCCATCGAGGGAAGCAGTTCAAAGGTAGATAGAAGGAAGCCTTTGCACATTTCTCAGCATTATCTAATACCATGACAGGCAGAAGACAGCATCGGATGTCCAACTGACGTGCTCGAACTCGTTGTAGATGCGTGTAGACAAGCTATAGTTTCACCACCATCCGCGGTAGATGATCCAAATATCTTAATCCAGCACACCAAGGTATTGGAGCAAAGAATTTCTAGTGTAGTAGGAGACTATGGCCCCATTCATCGCGAACAATCGGCGACATCGATAGACCGACATGCCATGATTTCGGATCTCCATCGAATCGCCAGCCTGATATACGTTAACCGGGCGGTTAACTGCGTGTCAGGGACAGATTTCCGCCACAAACGACTTGTAAGAGAGGGACTATTGCTTTTGACTGAAATGCGAACATGCCAGAACGCATGGCCGTTGTTCATTATTGCCTGCGAAGCAGTTGACGACGATCAGCGCCTTGCTATCCTGGACGTATTTGAACAAAGTCGGCAAGAGCCAAGAAGAAGATCGAGTCACATTCATATCATTCAACACATGGCTGAAGCAGTGTGGAATCAGATTGATCTCAACGAGGGGAACAACCAAGTCGATTTCTTGACTATCTTTGATGCGGTTATTGGTGGAGTTCCATTCGTACCACCGTTTGCTTAAGTTACAACGTATCCGTCCCCCAACGTTTTCCATTCCACTACCTTGACACTCTGTTCGAAGAGGGGTCCCGCTGAGTTGCTAGATCAGAACCAATCATTATTTCCGAACCTTCCTACGGATTTCCCGCTGTCCTCTGCTGTCAAGCCGCGAATCGTCTTAAGCTGACTGGCGACTGCTTCGGCCACTGGTGTCGGTCCAGTCACGGTCGGGTCGATCTTGTGGAAAGCATTGAGCATGTACTTGCGCACCTCGGGCTCTCCGGTAACTTGTTCAGCTGTTTATCCAGAGTCAGTTTCGTCTGTTGCGACCAATAAATCTGTAGCGTTTGTGCATTGGACTTACCAGCATCTGTGGCTACCCATCCTGGACTCATAGACAAAGTCTTGATGCCCTCTGGCGCTAACTCGGCGCCGAATTTGGTCATGATAATGTTCATGCCAGCCTTGCCGGCGGAATATCCCACTACGCTAGGAATCCCGGTGATGCGAGTAAACTCAAGGTCTCCGCTCGGACTGGAGATGAAGATGATCTTCTTCTCGTGGCCCTTACGGACAAGCTCGAGAAACGAGTTGATGACGAACATGGGGCTGAGTATGTTGTTCTTCATCTGTGTGCATGGTCAATATTTATCTTGCTGTAATCGCTTGAGTTGCTAGTCGCGGATGAAACCTTACGTTTTCGTTAATCTCTTTCTCTAACGCTTCCTCCTTTCCAATGAAAGCGGTTGGCGGTAGCACATTGGTGTCGGGCCCTGCCGACCCAGCATTGAGAATCAACACATCAAGCAAACCGCCTGTGACTTTGGAGACTTCAGCGGCAGCTTCGCCAAGTTTCTTAATGTCGTAGAGATCGGTCACAACAATGTGTACATTCTTGCGCTTTCCAGCGAGCCCCTGAAGCGGACCAGCAGTGCTGAGACTGCGAATAAGAGCGAACACTTGATTGTTCGGATCGGCAGAAAGATTGTCGATGTAGCCGAAGCCAATGCCTCGTGTCGCGCCGGTGACAGCCCAGGATACCATTTTCGGTTTTGTAGATATTGGGGGGTGAGTAATTGACTGATGTATGAGGTTGGCAAGAGAGATAGGATGATGTAGAATGGTTTGTTCAGATCGTTCGGTTGTTGTGATGATGTAGTGACAAGAGGAGGTCGTCGCATCATCTTATACCATTCGCGAGGTGCCATGGTGGACATGAGAAGTATGCGGTCGAAAACACATCATAATCACTGGAAGGTATTTCCGAGAGACCTGTATTCTAATCTCTGGCAAGAAATTCCAGGATAATATTAATAATCCAGGTTCGGAGAGTTCATTGGATATAGTCCGGGTTATGTAAAGCGCAGCAACTTTCTCCGAATCTTAGTCTTGGCAAAGATCTGCCGACCGAACCTGGATTCCTAAAGTAAGTCTGGCCAAATTCGATGTAATAATGTGACATAGGCAACCTGTTATGCTTGCGATTGTCTGACTTGGTGAGATCTTGATCAGATCAGACCTCATTATCACCTGGACACTAAGTCCGGAAGTGGTAAGAGCTAAGCCTAGTCGGGTGTTTAACAAGACTAGATTTGGCTTGGAAATAGCGTTGATATCAAGATCACACCGCATGCCGCTATGTTTCATAAACGACAGTACCATCTTTGGGGTATCGAAATGCTAAGTATGTGCAAGAAACGACTTCTCTCTCCCAATACAAGAATTCTCATCGAACTCCAAGGCTCACAATTCCCAGAAACTGCTCCCTACAAGAACCACCTGAACTCCCCGTTCCTCGGCCCATCTCTCAATTTCTCCGTAGATACGTCCTGAGCAGTAAGATTCACACCTTGCTTGGTATTCCTCCTCTTGTTATCAATCACCATATACGTCCCCAAAAGCAATGCGCAGACAGACCCCGTCGCACCAAACGCTGCCGTAGTTGCCAGCGCCGGGATATATTTCGGGGCATCCTGCGGTCTGAAGATGTTCGAGCTAACGACACCCATCAGGTTCGCCAAGGGTACACCAACAGACGTTAGTGTTACGCGCTTGTTCTCGTCCGCGACGTTATTGTTGTACCATGTTGAGAGCAGGACCGAGGGCGCGGAAGTGCCCCAAGTCATCATGAAGCAGGCGAAGTAGGCGACGCGGAGGGAGTGCTCAACGTCGATTGTTGCGAAGATGATGAAGCCGATAAACGTGAGCAGAAAGCCGAGTGCGATGAAGGGGAAGCGGAGCCGGGTGTAATCGGATGTAAAAGCAAGGATCAGCAATACACAGGCCCCGATGATGTTTGGCGCGACCGTGTAGAGATTGGTTTTGATCCTGTCGTATCCGAGACGCTGCACAATTTGGGGAAGGAAGAGCGAGACGGATTGCAGCGGGACGCCGAGGCATACCTCGATGACGAGGAAGCCGTACGTGGAGGGCTCTTTGAAGATACCCAGTGCCTTTTTCAGGTTGAATTTTTCGCCGACAACTGAGGAAGAGTCGATCTGAATACGCGTATAGGCGAGCTGTTTTTCGGCTTCGTTGAGGAATCCAGCCTCATATGCATTCTTTGGGAGGTACCAGTATGCGAAAAAAGAGACTTGAATTGATTAGAATCCGGTCGCATCCGTGGACTTGAGGGGACTTACAGCAGACGGTCAGAGATCCTTCAATGATGAAAAGGTAGCGCCACGAGTCGAGCTTCGATTCTATTTGGAACACACCAAAGGCTAGAAGTCCACTGAAAGCATTGGCGATATTGGATGCAGCGTAGAAGATGGCAAGCCTTCGTGCCAGCTCGCCCCTTCGATAAAATGTAGTCAAATAATAAATGACTAGAGGGAAGAAGGCAGATTCAGCCATACCTGAGAACGTCAGCCCCGCGTCCATGGTCAGAAATACCCGGTATATGAGACGAGCATCTCCAATCCTTCTAGAATTGTAGACTGAGAATACCAACCTAAAAACCACCGTAAAGCCATAAGGCTGCCCCAGTTCTTCACACTGGCAGCCAGCAGCGTCGCACTCCCAAAACAAAACATCATAATCGGCAGTACACGATGCGGACCATACTTCTTTCCCAGCATACCAATCGGCGGCGCAAATATAACATACGGAACGTAGAAGATACTCAACATAGTGTTATATTGGTTGCCCACAAACCCCAAATCTTTATCCATATGATCAGTTTTGGCGTTGCCTATATTGCCTTTATCTAATGCATTCGAAAAATACATAATCGCAAGCATAGGCAGGATGCGCAGGTCAAATTTCCATGTCAGTGCCTTTTCGTGCTCGTAGTTGGGCAGGTGTTGGGTTGTGCCTTCGCGAGGGACCGGGGCGCCGGCGTGTTTCGACGACGAGAGGGACGATGTGATCTCCAGGTCGTTCTTTGCGAGCTCAGGGTCTTTGGCGGTAGGCATGATGGCGATGGATGTGTGCCAGATAGTTTGCCTGTATTTGGAGGCTGACTACGAGGATCTGATACCACTCGATAGTCGATAATCGAAACCAAGGACAACGTGCTCTACACGCTTGTGGCGATGAAGATGCGACTCGATCTTGGCCGTTATTCAGATCTTTTGTACAGTTGCATCGCTCCTCGGGATGGAACAATCAGCACCACCGATGTCGCCGTGGAGTTACATAGACTGGCAGGCTGCAGATAACCAGCCTATCTGCGCTGGGTCGCCATGCCAAAAACCGTTGGATCGTTGAAAGGAGTCCAGGGTAGCATCTTTCCCCGCCGTTCACTGTTACTTTACTTGGCATTGGCGGCCTTGATACATACAGCTCGCGCTTTTGACCAATGCGCATGACCACTGCGGACGTCGGGCGATTCCTTCGTGGTGCCACTGGTCTCACGCGTGGAAGGATCGACATATGACCCCTGGGGAATTCGACCGAGATGATAAGAGAAGCGCCGTTACGATGCGTAGTCGGGGGAACTCGTTTGAAAGGCTTGACATAATCACATCGCCGGATCAAAATTTGATGCTGTACTCAAGACCGATCTCATTGTCGCGATGCGTACAATCAAGCAATTGATAGAGTCTGGGCTGGCGGTCGGTACCGGTACGGGGACAATTAAGCCAGGATCCACATCGTTTCCCCGCATTGCTTACGCTCAAAGCCTAGACTGCGATAACATAACTCGAGATTCAACAAATGTCCAGCAGCACTCGCATTGAATGAAGCCAGCGCATGGGAAAGTTTTTGAAAATGTGTGATTCTCACTCTGTTCACGACCGCTCGAAGGCGTGGCGTGGCTATGCAGCCCTCATGCAGAACATGAGCTGGAGAGCCTGTCGTCGATAAGTCGACGGTATTATAGTATAGCACCTACACATAAGGTGAGATAACGTCGCCGCAGGCAATCATAGGTGGACGTCTACCGGCATGGCGACCGTAGCGTAGGGTCGGTCCGGCCTATACCAGGACTCGAACCGACTGCCTAATCGCAAATGCTGCATGACGTATGCCGGTAGCTACCAAATGCTCGACATATCTCAGCCGTAGTTACTAGTGCACCGTGTCGTATCAGGTAAACACGCCGTGCCGAGTACTCGAACGGCACTCCCGTTGTTCGCAAAAAGCAAATCTGGATCAGCCCAACCGTACAGGCTCTGCACCCTTTGTTGACGCGCATGAAGAAGGATCCGATCTTCCACCTTGCCCCGCCGCTAAATTCAACGCTTTTCCCTTCACCGTGAAGAGACCGACACTGAAGATACGGTATGCTCCTACCAACTTTCCAGACCAAGCGTTGACGATGAATTCGGAGATGCCGTCTTGGCTCGCGGGTACGGTATGGGGGTTATCTGGCGTTTATCAGCAGGCGATACGGTATTGGACGGCCAATTCCAGGGCCTCGACAGATAGATTATGCGCCTTTGGGCTGACGAGAACCTTCCAAATGCGGCCGCGAAAGAAGGCATGTTCCTTGTTGATATTCACAGTATCATCCAACCTAGGTAGCACTGTTATCGTGAAACGGTGAGGCTGTGGAACAGTGGATGTGATGGCAACAGGCTGTGGTAAGGGCGGTGTAATACCGATATAGAGTTTCTCTAGCTGTGCGCTAATCATACACTACAAATTCGCAACCTGCAGGCCAGGCTGCTGTCTTCCGGGGCCGTCTATAGTCGACAAATGAGAAGGTGAAGATCAAATAAACCAGAAATCGCCAGCCGATAAAGTTGGCTACACCTTGAGGATAGAAGAATCGAGAAGAAACCAGACTGCTGCGTACGCGTCATACCTTGCTATGAATTATACAATCAAACGCCGATGGGTATCCCTGGTAAAGCGATGCTTTTGTTCTAAACGCCTCTAGACGCATGTAAATCCGAAGTGTGATGTAAAAGAAAACGCTCAAGCGAAAATCGAACCTCATGGATTTTGCGCTGCTTCCTTCCCCTTGGACGAATGAGGGTGCAGCAGATTCGGTCGCCACTTGGCCACGTTCGTGACATTAAAGTGTAGCGGCTCCTTGGTGCCCTTCTCTCTTACGGGCATCTTTCGCTTTGACCGACCCGAGATGTACATTGGCTGCTGCGCCTGACCGCTACCGTTAATAGTGGGCATGCTTTGTTTAGATCTGAGCTTAGGTTTCTTGTCGCGGTGCTCATCATCTGTTGTTTCGGTTTCAAAACTGCGCAGACTGCTCCGCTCGGAAGAGAATCGAGGGTGACTTGACAAACTTGACGATTGCGTCAGTGTATGCTGTAATGGGCTCAACCGAGTGGAGTGAGATGACGAGGCGGTTTGGGCGCGTTCGATAGGGCTCAGCATAGCAGCCGAGTCGGCAAGGACATCCAGTTTCGAGGGCGCCCTATCCGCCACCGAGTGAGTTCGAGATGAATAGGTAGGAGGAGGATCCTGGTAATCGTACATAATCTCTGAATCCAAGCTCTTGTACTCGGCGGTGCTGTCGAGCTCTTCGTCTTGATTCCAGCAAGATTCATCAACGCCAGTCAAAGCTGGTAGAAATCGGATCTCCTTCCATGAGACGTCTTCGTATTGTAGGGTGACGTAGAGAATATCCCCTTGCATCTTGTCGTGCGCGATGCAGTGATCTTCAAGGAAGGGATAGTCCCATATGTCGCGATGGATAAGATCTGGCGGCAGAAGGGTTAGGGCCATGCGACCAAAAGGTTCGTCAGACGGGCGATGACCCGTCATCGGCATCCATGGTCTGCCACGAAAGAGGAATTTGAACGCAGTTTCGATCTGGTTTGCAAACACCGAGCTGTCCTGACTTGGAAACTCGAGATTTTGCTGAAGTTTGCGGGATGCGCATCGTCGGTAGCCAGTGCTATCAGGATCGTATGCGAACCTCTGTGATTTTCGGGGCACGAAAATAACGCGCACGCCCCAAGATGAAGCATACTTCTTATCGGTGCGAATGGGAAGCTGGCCAAGGGGGTGTTGCGGTTGCATTAGTAGCGGAAGTTGTGGAACAGGTGGTGCTATTGGTGATGATTGGTGTGCCTTTGGCGTTGAGGCAGCGGGTGTCACGTCTTTCGACATGCCACTAAGCTGCTCCACACGGTCGACCCTGTTCTCGAGCTCCATGCTGAACTCATCCACCATGGTCAAGCGCTCGCCTTGCACCTTAAGCTGGTCGCTGAGCTCGGTCGTTCTGTCCACCACAGCCTCCACCTTGTCATCTATAGAAATCTTCAGGAGCTGCATGTTTTGGTACATGCGTGCCTGGATTGCTCTGTTCGTCCTGACAAGCTCCTCCCGTGCCATCCTCTCCCTGTACAACTCCTGCTTAAGATCTTGCTCTAGGGTCTCAAAGCGCTTGACCTCTTGCCTCAGCCTCTTCATGTGCTCTATGGCCTGGACATATTCCTCCATTGACACGGTCGAAAGCGGCTGTGCCTCATGGTTCCATGCCTGGTGCCCGCACCCGCAACGAGAGCGTACAGCCGAGTCTGGGTAGAAACTCCGACAAGAGCAGCGTTGACGGGCTCCATTGCTCGTATCAGACTCGGGTAGAATAAAGCCGCATTCTCCACGCGGAAGTTGAGCCTCGTGGCTGGGGGCGGGGTTTCCTGGCAGGTGGACCAGGGCCTCACTATTATTGCTATGGAACATCAGGAGTCGACCTCGGGCGGTGGTCGTAGTGTGACTGCTGGACGAGTAACGGGTGGCTCATGGAAGACCGAAGGAGAGACGATTGCTGTTAGAAGGAGCGTAGTCTTAAGGTGACGAGGACCCAGTAAAAAGCCTGAGGCACAAGTGTCAGCTGGGGATAAGGCTCTAGTGATATACAGGAACCAGTGGCCAGTCGGTAGATATGCACAAGATAAGCAAGCATAGACTTACAGGCAAAACCACAGAGCCGGTGCACACGGGAGCATCCGAGTTGGAGGTCACACAATCAAAAGGACTGGCAGACGTGTGCACCCGTGGGTGGTGAGGGACTTTTGAGCAGTAGGGAGCGTGGTGTTCACCAGCAGCAGGGCAGCGGGCCATGGGATGTGCAGGCACTCTTTCTTTTTGGCCGCAAACTAGCTCCCGCGCCGGGGGAGATCAGCCCCGTCATGTCTGGGGACTGTGCTGGCTGGCTGGCTGGCTCTTGTGGGCTCTGCTGAAAGCTGGAGTTGGGGTGTGGTGGCCGCCGAGCTAGGAGTAAGTAAGAGATAAGACTCACGCGCCAATGGCATGCATCGCGTGGGCGCCCCGAAACCATGCACCGGTCGCCGCAGGCCCGCCTTCAACTCCCATTGCGTGCCTGAAAGCCTGTCCTACACCTGAACAAGGGCAGTAGCCGCATGCTCCCTGCAGCCTGATCAGCGACTGAGGTTGTGGCCGTTGCTGTCAGCACTCAACGCTCTATCGGCCAAGGAGCACGCCAGCCCAGCGTCAGATACCGGCACTGTACTGTGGTATGCGCCCGTCTCCACAGCCCACACATCATTCCATGTCGGTTCAGACGGGTACTGTGGTAAACAACCCGACCCCACACTGGGTCCCGAGCCTTTTGGGCCATTATTCAAACCTCTTCGTCAGAGCCCTCGCGGCGCAAATGTCGCCTCCCTTGCCCCTTGCGCAAGACCCGTCTCTGGTAGAAGCTGTTCCACATGCAAACATAGCTGGACCAGTCGCAAAGCTCAGCTGTCTCGATGGGGCCTCTATCCGGCCCTGGGCGCCATGAGGAGATGATCTCGAACGTTTGTGTAGCTTGTGCTGCTTATCGCAAAGTCTTGATACACCCCACGTCCCCTCCGCAGCGCCCCCTGATTGGCCCGCCGCAGCTCAACCTCGAACAGAACCCAGTTCCTTCACCAAAGCGTCCTGCTGGCAAAATCCACTGACAGAGTCGGACACCAGCATTCCATGGCCACTGGGGGCACGGGTGGAAAGCACTCTGTGGCCACGGCTATTCATTCTAAGATGAATCACGACCCTATCTCATACACGTGTTCGCCTTTGGTAACCGATGTGGCCGACGGCCATGCAGCGGTCACGAATTGCTACGTAGCAGGAATACCATCTCCAACTTCCCATTATGCAGGTCACCTACCCAGCATATATACTCCCCACGATATACGTTTGAACCACGGCATCGAGCAATTGCCGACCACTCGTTCTGCATGAGGTATTCGATGTGGCAAGGCGCGCACCACCTTCATTGGAGGTTGAACCACAGCCTCACCCGCATTCCTCAACTTCTATTATCCATATGCCTCCATGTCAATCACCCACTGGTATGCCTGCAGTAGCGGTAGGCTTGAAACCAGAAACCCTTGCGTCGAGCCAGGATTTGAGAAACTTCTCTCACCTCAATGCTGAGGTTGACGCTGACGCAAAGCACGCCACAGAGCGTAATATGAGCATCGAGCCCTCGGCCGGCCATTATGATCCAACTCGCGCCATTTCAAGCGGACATATCCCACGTCTTGTATAACTGTTACACTTTGTGTTCTCAAATCGTCAATGCCGGTCCAACCGAGTACACAGCACAGGCCAAAAACGTGGACGATGTTTGCCACCCGCGCTCCGAACTCCCACTTCTTAGCGTGGCATGTTCGTCAAACTTACGAAACCCGTTCCCCCGGTGTGGATCTCATAGGGTAATGGTTGCAAATACTCTCTTCATCTTGACTGCGAATTTTAAATTTGAGTTCAGTAGTTTCTGTCCACGCTTGGTACCACACCGCTATTCTCGTCTTATTCCGCAAAATGGCGAAATCCTGCGACGTCGTCACGACAGGCTGCGTACGATTTCTTGGTTTGCTTCTAATGGCGCATTTCACTACCACTTCTTTTCGGCTAAAGCCCTGCTCGAAGAGGCTACCCTACCGGGAGCAGCCGTGGGGAGACGAATGGGCATCGATCATCTCCTGAAGTGGAATCGACGGTTCCTGTGCGATTTGCTTTTTGTTGATGTTGACTGTGTGACAGTGGGTTAGTAACTTTATCATTCCGCTGAACAGATTCGCCATTGCTACATTATCCACGTGCCAATTTAATAGGATAATGATGTTCGAACCAAAGATGGTGGGTTGACGGCAAGTTGAGTTGGCTTGAGTACAAGGGCTTGCTTTGCAAGAATAGCGAGTTGTACATAGGCCAGGCCTAACGTGTAAGATCTCGAAGTTATCACGCTTACGTCGTCCCTCTTGAGTAAGAATATGATGCGGAGTTACGAGAAGGTTAAGACGAGTTATTATCGTGTTTTGCTCTAATCGGAGTTCGGGCGCCGGTCGGAAGGCTTGGCAGTGGCCCAGTCTCAACTTCCTGTCTACCCTGTCGTAACGGAGCTCTTGGGTCGCCGTTTGGACACGGGATGCTTCAAGACTCAGCATCATTCCTTACAGAGACGTCAAGAGTCAGATGCCTGAGGAAAATTGGGCTGCGCATGGCGGCGTTCAAGCTGTAGGTGCATCCTGGCCTCGGACAAGTAGCATGCTGACCACCAGCATTACAGTGCGATCTATGTCATTCACGAAAGGCAGGTACTATTTTACAAATTATGACGGCAATCAGCAATATTCATTATGCTCGAACGTTGAAAATAACGTCTCTCGTATCACTCGAAGCACTGTTACTGATTCTAGTACAGGTGAAATGCGACCGTAAGGAGCCTTGCTCAAATTGCGTAACAGCTAAAGCCAATTGCCTCCGCAATAGGCACAAGCGAGCACCGCGCCCAAAACCCCGAACGTGAGTATATTAGTGCGATAAACATACGCCCACGAAGTCACGTGTATCAGCCTCAACGGGCAGAGCGTACCATGTGCCCCGCTGATTGCATTGGAGACACTAATCTCCGTATGCGGAGCGGCTCCGATTAAACACACATTCTTCATGAATACGTTTTGGACGTGCCTAGCAATCGTTCCTGTACTCACTGACCTCATTTATAGTGATGATAAGATACAATCTCTCGTACAAAGACTCTCAAGTCTTGAAGATTCCGTGCGTAGCAGCCAGCGAACCGCCAGCGCCTTGCCGGACCACAATGGAACGGCATCTCCAGATGGCGTTCCATCCGAACGACCTCGGAAGCGAAGGCGCACAGGAAGCCCGATAACCGAAGCCACTTCTGTGATAACCCCAACCCCAGATGTAGACTCGACTCAACAGACAGCCAATGAAGCGCGGCACCTGATCAGTAAGGAACTCTCGACTAACGGACTGCTCTCTGTACACCAGCGTTCGGTGCTCGAAACGGCGATATCCTTTGTTGATCAGCTGTCTCACGCTCCCGTGCCAACTATTACGGACCGCAGCACTTTTGACAGGTCGATGCATGTCTACAAAGAAATAACACAAGGCGAGATCCTTCATGTTATTCTTGGCAGTATGATTGCTCGGCATATTCACTGCGATTTGAGACTAACATATGCGTCTAGCTGAGACCAGAACGTTCGATGACTCTACTATCCATTTTCACGCACTTGACCATATTCCACCGAAATCTGTCGAAAAAAGCGCTCTGGCTTTGATGGAAGGCAGTGCTGGCGAGGAGACCATGTTGTTGTACAAGATTATCATCCATTTCAAGGCAGCCGTCGTCCTTTACGGCAACCAGCTGCAAGGACCGAAAAGCCCGGCAGTACAGAAGCATATCAGACAAATGGAGTACGATCATCTCACCGCAGCACTCACTGCTCTTGACAGTATCAGCTTCTTGACAACACCATCGCTCCTTCTAGTCCAAGTTTTGATCACTGGGGTGAGTGGTACTGCCCTATTCACCCAAATTACTCATATATTTTGGCTAAACCACGGATAGGCTATAATGATGCAAATCCTGGGCAACCCGGCAAGTTGTTGGGAAATGATAGCCTATGCTTCACGAGCAATCGTTGCCCTTGGCTACCACAACATTAATGACACTGAGGTGAAGAGCGAGCTCGACGAAGAAATACATGCAGCACTCGCTTGGTGCGCTCAATTTGATAGTTGCATGAGTCTACTGTTACTACGGCCCAAATCCCTGCCACCACTTCACGTCAAGATATCGTCCTTGGTCAAGCCCGACCCTGCTAATCCAATGGCCGTTTTCGAATTCATGGCCATGGAAATGGTCCCCGTGCATGACAAGATCTTGGAGCTAACATTAGAATCATCAAAAAAATCAGCGACGTCCCTGAAAGAGGAGGTAGCGTGGCTAAGAAAAGAAATGACGAATCTCTACAGTTTAATGGAGCAGGTATGGTTGATGAATGGTCAGCATTCAATTGCCAACTAGAGCTAATGTAGCTAGAATCGCCCTTCATATCTCATCGACACCCATGTGGACATTCTCCTCCATTGGAAGTGTCTCGAGTTCAAGTACTTTTCCACCCTGACTTCCGTCCATCGCCTGAGCCCATCGGTCACAACGCATCCATCTGAGCGGGAGGAGTGTCTCCAGAGCGCTCGTAAGGCTCTAGAATGCGTCAAGTTCATCGAAGAGGTTGGGAAGAGCCTGGGACATTTCATAGAAGGATACGATCCTTATCTAGCGTGGTAAGCGACGTTTCCACAGCCAACGCTAGCTTGCTTACTGATTGCACTTAGGACTCTTCTCTCCTATCCTCTTTGCCCCTTTTTCGTTGTCTTTTGCAACGTAGTTGGTACGTCTAATGCTCAAGATTTCCAACTCCTTCAGGATGTAACCGACGGCATCTCGACGCTGGTCACCGAGAACAAGTACGTCCACCGGCTCCATCGGCTGTGTGCCACACTACTTGGTCTCTGTAAGCCTCTCGTGCAAACGACAGGTTTGAATGGAGATCTACACGCTGGATTTGAAGCTGGAATTACGACATATGCCCCACCGTCATCTTTCGGTACAGCTCAGGATGTCTTGGATGAGTCCAAAGTCGACGACAGTAACGGTGATCTTCTGCCATGCTCGTGGAATGACGACATGATGTGGCAGCTGTTTCAGTCGCAGCCCTCATTGGACTGGTTCAACGCAGACATACTGGATCCAGCTTGGGACGTTAGTCCGCCCAAGTAAACATCACTAAGGTTACATCCAATTCTTTTGTCTATTATCTTCATTCATCGCCTCGTATACATGGATGTATTTAGCATGGAAGGATCACTGCGTATCTGAGCTACGAAATTTGAAACGAGCCAAACAACTCCTTAGAAACTGCCAACAATCTACCAACACAATTCCGCGTACGTTTCGGGTATGCTCCTTGTGTTCATCGATCGCGGCCTTGGGAAAAGGCCTGTTCAAACGACCCTGAAGGGACTATCAATCTCAAAGTTCAAACTCAATTCCATGTGCGTTTAGGGCATGATCTTTGAGTTTATCTTTTCGGGCTTTAGGAAAGGGCCTGCTTCCAACCACTTTACTACGCTCACATCCTCGAATCGGGCACCATATTTCTGAGTTCTCATGGAAACTGTCCCAGTGTCTTTTGAGCTCTTGTACACGGCCGCACCTTGTTTTCTCACAGCCGCGTACGTGACATTCATAGCGGAACTCCTTTGTTTCGTCGTTGCTGTATACAATCCCAATCTGTTTGAATTGCGAGTCCGATACAGTCTGCCGCGGTCGCTCGTTTGAGGCTGGGGCCGATATTTCAGAGTCCAACGATCGCTCGAAACGATGTTTGGTAGTCGGTGTAGATGAAGAAGTGGCTGCGGATTGTCGGTGAAAATCCAGAGCTTGTTCATCGCTTACACCACTTCGATGGTTGCGTTCTGCAGCGAAAGACCCCGCATAGGATCGGTCAGAACTAGAAAATCAGTAAATGGCAAAATGCCAATATCCCAGGATTTACACACCGTTCAGCAGTTTGAACCCTCGACCTATGTTGGGCACCGCTGAACCCAATCTGGAGTTGGCCAGGACGACCACCGGGAAAAGCCTCATTTGGCATGCTGGGCGTTGCCGCTGCATTTCCGACTGGATAGCCACTGGATATATGGAATCAGCAACGAGATACGGATCTGAACATGTAGCGCCACTCACCCATAATTCATAGGTCTTTCTTGAGCTTGTTCTGCATGGTACCACTCGTGGTTCTGCATCTGTTGCTGTGGTTGCTGGGGGTGCAGCGGTGGCTGAATAAACGCCGGAGAGGAGAAATTCTGGTTGTATTGATCTGTAGGTTCAAAGGGCTGATGAACTGGCTGAATTTAGAAACCAAATGTCGATCTTGCACAATTCGAAGATATGGAACCAAACGTACGACCAGCCACGCCGCTCCCTGATCCTTGTTGCAGCACTAATCGACGCTGTGTACCTGAAGCCGATGACGGGTACGAAGATCCACTAGGGTCATACCGAGGATCATTAGACGGAACCTTGCGATTGGACATTGAGTTGAAATTTGGTGGTCCCAGTGTGGCACCAAAGAAATATCGAGCTAGAAAGACGCGGTCACGAACCGCAAACGCACTTGGAATCGGACATTGGCGACCTTCAAGGAACCAACTTTATACAATGGAGAGCCATGGCCACGTCACTAGTAGCAATACCTGAGCTGTTCGATTGGAGGGCACAATACCGGAATGTCACATATGTCTCATGCAAGTCCAACATTTGGGCACGAAAATTATCTCCCAACGTCTCCGAAGCGGTGTAGAAGATGTCCGAAAGTAACCCCGGCACCTAGCGAATCGTAACTCCACCTCATGGCCTAAGTATATGCGCGCGACTATATTGACGGCTCTGTATCCATGTAGAGAAGCTCAAACCTACATTCACTGTTTGCAACACGACCTCAAGTTGAAGGCGGAAATCTCGCCCAAGGGAATGATTCCAACGCATGAAAGACGTGGGCAACTTGGAGGTGCCCCCGCTGTGCACAGGTCTGCTAATGGTATGGCGAATTGTACCATTGTCAAGATGAGGCGAATGGTCGCTTCACTTTTCAACTCTGCACAACGGCCAATGACGGTGCATTGTGGCTGAATGGGCCCCTCTTCACTGACGGTGACTGATTAGACGGCCAATCCCAGTACCCTATGCTATACTAACACGGTCCGTAAACGCTATCTTTCTAGGTCTATAGGACATAGCGGCAAGGAATGTCCGACCAAGTCTTGGCGATCTTGATTGATACCCAGCACCAAGAACTTTACCCTTGTTGCTACTAGATCTCGGAAAAACGATACTTCTACTTGGCCGCAGTCATGCCAAATCCTTGCTCGGATGATACACGTTGATCAAAAGTGAAAATTAACAGTTGCCACGATATGATGGAAGCCTGCAGACTAAGGTTCAGTTTACTTTCCAAGTAGAATAGCCAATATTGAATTGAATTTGAAATCGTGCGGCGCAACGATGCCCGACCTTAAGAAACAGAAAGGTACACACGATGTTGACTCTGCTTTTCTATGATCCACAACTATAGGTCAATTAACCCGGATTAACCATATATGATTGGTGGGTGATGGATTCCCAAACAAGATGAGTACATACAATGATGCCCGACCATGACCCCAGAGCATAAAGCATCACATCATTTGAAGCAAGGGAGAAACTTTAACGTCACTACAGCCTCACTTTCTTCCTCGCTTAGAACCTATGGCAGACCATCGGAGTGTGCGGTTTGCTTTTGTAGTTCGATTACGTTGGTCGTTGGGCTGTGAGAAGTTGCGCTAAGACGGATTGGGACCATTTCAGGCACGTATGCAAGATCAAGATCCTAGACCTTTCGAAGCTTGTTTTTTCCTCTATGCTTGCGAATTCAGATTACAAATTTGGCACACTCATACTCTATTGACGTGGAATGGGAGTAAAAATACGGAATATTAGTCGTTGGTCTTGATCGCTCTGTTCCGCTATGTATACCAATCTTCTTATTGTTCTCCCACTAATACTATCTGAGTCGACTTGGTCAGGGACTACAAGTCCCGAATACGAACGATGAACCTTCCGGACCTGGTCGCTCTACCTGTCTTTCCTAGGAACGGCCAACCACCGACTCGCTCACGGGCTTCACGGCCAATGACCTGACACTGAAGGTCCCTCCTTTTGCTTCTGCTGTATGCTCAGAGTAGCAATGTGCGTGTAGATACACCCACGTTCTGTAGGTCTTTGCGCATGTAGATGCATTACATTGAAAGAAAAGGATATCGAGACTAGCTGTCCCGTAGACAAAGCCGATCACGATATTAGGTTGTTATTTCGGCGGAGAATGTCTCCTAGGGTGAGCAACTGACAGTGCGTGCGGAAATGGAGCATCCAAAGGAGGAAGATATTCAGCGATGGACCGTTGCTGTTCGGTTTCCAAAGTTTCGTTGGAGTGCATGAATTGTGCATGGGTTTCCGGTACATTCGGACCAACCGACCAGGCCATGTTAATGTTGGGCCTTTTATGGACAAGAGTACGTCTCATGTCAGCTAAGCCATAGCCAAGCGGTCTGTAGGAGATACGTACTGAGCCATTGAACTCCCCTGCCCAATTGCCTGGGTCACATATGATGGCGTACAGAAAGGACAAGGCGTGTCAAACGTCCTTTACATTCCGCAATGTAGATCAGCCGAGCAGCGCTTGCTTGCTGACGCTCAAGTTTCTTTTTGTATTCGGTCAAGGTTTTCTCTCAGCCGTAAGTCTACACTGATGAGCATATTTCACCCCTTATCGTCCCGAGCCGATTCGCTTTTCACTTTTTGACAATAGAAGGTCCACTGAGACTTGATTAAGATACATACTGACAGAAGTTCTCTCCTGGCGGACTTTCAGAGAAAACGACCATGCATCTGCTTTGCAGGTTAAGGGGGATGCTAGTGGAGAGAGTACAGTGGCCGTCACCTCACAACGAGCTGAAGCCAAAGGGTTTCAGTGGGTTAAATTGGTCCTAGTGGGTATCATCCATTCATTCTTGGTCATGTTAACTGGGTACTCGCATCTCATTGTACCACCCACCATCATATGCTTCGTGCATTGAATCTGCCCATCATAAGTGACTTCTTCATATCCAGATACATCCACTCCTCTTGTATCATTGCAACTCAACCTCAACCTCCTTCCTAACCTCTTCACTACGATTCTGACTCTGACTCCTCCCCTTCCCATTTTGCCCACCTAAATTCGTACTTCGTGTCGTTACTTCGTTGTTGGAACCCGCGCTGAGTGGCGTTGCCTCCGTTCCAGCAGCTTCGCTTAGCCTGCTATCCCTTGACGCTGGGCTCGCCCCTCTACTTCTCCCGGCTCCACCTGGGCCACCGATGCCCAGCTTCTCTATGCTAGCGACGAAACCTTGCCTTAGATCTTGTCCTAACGCTGCAGCGGCATCGAATGGCGTCGGCGTGTTAGAAACAGTATTCGCTTGTTCACCGACCGCATGTATGGGCGGTGGATGAACCGTCGTTCCGGCACCCGTCGCACCCTCAGCCGTCTCCGTCCCTATAACGATGCGTTCTTCAGGACTCGGCGTACTCGCTCCACTCCTTCCATTTCCATTACTACCAGTATTGCTCGTCTGCGGCGTAAGATTCGGCGGTGCCTGAGGCCCAAAAACATTCATTTCCTCATCAGTCCTCCCAAAGCACTCGGCCCACCATCTAGCCTCGCCTTTGCGAGGGAAGATCATGCGTTCTTTGCCGCGCACCGCATCATCAACTTCTGGCTCGTATTTGGGGTTCATGAATTCCTGTTTGCGGCAGAGGAAGTAGTCCCATACGCTCCTTGTCCGTTCTTTGGCTTTAGTATCCACGCGCTCTTTCTCGTTGTCGAAGAGAAAAGTGCCGTATTGACACGAGTATAGGTGGTACAGAAGCCGCCGAAGAAAGCGTTCACTAAATTCGAAGCGTGTTGGGTGTTGATAGTGTAGTTGGTATACGCAATCGAGGAATTGATGGAAGACAGGTGACATCTCGTTTGGCTTGGTGACGCGATGTTCCTCTGCCGCTCCAGTCTTTGTAGGCCTGGGAGAAGCAGTGTCAGTGACATCTGCGACGTTTTCGGTGCCATTTGCCTCTGGAAGCTGGTTGAGTGACTCGTTGGACTCATTCTGGCGATTAAAAAGGCCCCGCGCACCTCGAAGCGCGTTCTCGAATGGATTACCGCCTGGACCGTCATTCTTGCGCTCTATTTTTTCGTTCTCGATTGTGAACCACTTCTCGTGACTTAAGAAACCGGACCGGTGTCGGAACATATGCCCGAACGACAGCCAATCCTTCTCGACGAGGACAATAAAGCCTTCTAGTGTACGGTAGTACGGGTCGAGAAGTATTTGGCTGAGAGCACTGAGCTGACTTGTGCGATCCCAACCATCTGAGCAATGGATCAGAACATGCGAGTGCATGATGCCCACTGTCCGGGCTATCAGTGCTGTACCATCCAATATGTTGGCAGTGTGCTTGATCCAGTTGCTCTTTGCCAGCAAATGCCTATTTGGGGGAAACGATGTTATGTCCGACTCCTTCAGTGCATCAATGACTGTATCGAGTGACTTCCGCATAACGTGAATGTTGTCGATTCCAAGGTATGCCTTTTCCGCTCCAGGGTAGTAGTCCATCTTCTCCGAGCCCAGTCCAACGGCTTGCATGGCATATGCGTTTACAGTCGGCCTGGCATCGACAATCAGATTCCGCTGTTGGGCTCCGTACACCTTCGGTATGTCAGTATCAGTCTCCGAAGATTCGGTAAGGTCATCCACGGTTGTTCTTCCCGTTGCAGAGTTCATAGCCTCGGTGTCCACTACACCAACAAAGGAACCGTTAGCACTGGACTCATTGAGGTTCAATACGCTCGAGTCCGGGGTAGAATCCAGGGGGGTCATAGATGGGGTATTTGCAGCTTTCCACCCACGATTGGTACCAAATATGGCTGCGACAAGCCTTTCATCTTGGGGGTTCCGGTTTCCGCGGAGACCCGGTGTGGGTTGCGAACTACGTGTTATTGAACAGTTGTTGATGGGATGGCGATAGACGAGAGCAGGTATCCGTTGGCGCGAGCGATATTCGCCAGCGTATCTGAGGACGCTGTCCGAGACTTTGGTAGGTACGACGAGGAGGGCGGGGTATGTCTTCGAGTACTGCTCCACACGTCAAGACGCTGTCACTAGCCTGCCGATCGAACACTGTGTACCTTGTATTCTACATTGACTTCTGATATCCGCCAGCCTTTCTCTGTGTCTTTCGAGCTGATGCCTAAGCGCTTCCACTCGCGGCGCGCATCATATATGTCCCACCCGTTCTGCTGATCCTCCGGAGGTTTCGGTTGGTAAGTAAAAGCCAGCAGCTTATCTAGTCTTCCAATCTTGCAAGAAAGTGCGCGTATACTATCATACACGTCGCGCGCCTTTTTCTCGTCGGGAAAGAAAAAGGCGAAGAAAGTGAAGTCGCGACACCGTATGCGGATGGAAGGCTGCTGACGTAGGACAGGCGGGCATGGTTTGAGGCAGCAGTAGTTGATCATCGGATACGTTATCCATACTTCTTTCTGCCGTGGCGGTTTTGCGTCTGGGGGGGCATCTGCAGGTGTGCTAGGCAGATAACTGAAGACGATATGGTGGGGCATGAGGTGTAGTGTGCCGTCGAAGCGGGTTCCTTTACGAAGGAGGTAAACATCTTCGACCTGTAACAGTCAATCTATTAGGTCTCGAGTACTGAAGGTAGTCGAAAGCGTACCTTGCTCACGCGTATCCTCTCCATGGTGGGCTAGTGAGTGTTGCCAGTTACCTGACGAACTGTGAAGGGAGGGATCTTTATAACTGAAGGTTGTACGTAATACAAAAGGTAAAAAGAAGCAAGAGCAAAGTGAGAGTGGCAAGCTATTACCACTGTCAGCTCTTTGTCAGGCGTGTTTGCATAGTCGACGATGGTTTGGTTTGCCCGCATGAGCCCGCGCGGTCAAGGTCCATCCCGCTAGCGTCAGGCCTTGGCAATCAACGTCACTCGGGAGCTGGCTACACGGGCGCGACATCGTCCTATATGGAGTCCCTGCGCATGGCAGATAATCAAGACAACAGCCACTATCACCAGCACTAGCAAATGTTCATATCAAGGCCGAGTAGTAGGAGAAGAAAGTTGTATTCATCAATATGCAAGGGTACGACCTCTCTTTTGCTAGATTTGTGCATGAGTAGACGGGACTCCCAACAAACTTAGGCGCGAAGAGAAGGACTCTACATATCAATTTCGCTATGAGCCGCTTACCTCTCTGGATACGAGCTAGCCACCAACCGTCACATGCTCATATCGAATGTACAAAGCCCGCCACACACAAAAGCTCCATGTCGGCATTTTCAAGAACGGATAGAAAGCCCTGCTAACATTATTGACCCTAAAGATCGTGTAAGCTCAGACAACGGTTAGAATGCCTCAATCAAAGCTCAGTAAGTGTGCTGCACCACTGCATCTAAGCTGGAGGGGGAGGCGGGGGCGGAACATCGCTAGGCGGGGGCGGAGGAGGGATGTCGCCTGGAGGAGGTGGAGGAGGCACCGAGCCAGAGGGTGGCGGGGGAGGAGGAGGCGGGCTGCCGGCAGAGCCATAAGTCTGGAAGAGTGGTCCAAGACCGGGGGGAGGGCCTGCCGGAGGTGCAGCAGCGCCATAGCCAGGTGCACCATAAGCACCGGGGGCACCATAGCCGGGAGCGCTCTGATCGTAGCCAGCTCCATAGTTGCCGTAACCGTACGAGGCACCGCCAGCGGGCGCTGCAGGAGCTGCCGAAGCCCAGGGTGCTGCGCCGTTGCCGCCACCATAACCATTGTCCTGGTTGTAAGACTGACCGCCACCACCACCGCCGCCGCCACGAGCCCAAGGTGCAGGTGCACCAGCACTGCTGTCACCACGGTCATCGCGTTCGTTGCGCGCCCAGGGTGCAGCACCGCCAGTTGGACCACGCTCCCAAGGCTTGAGAGTGCGCTCTCCTCCAGCGTCGCCGGCACCGGCGGCTCCGCCATTGGCAAATTCGATGGCTCCGCGAGGCTGACCGCCTGCACCGCCCATTTCGGCCATAAAAGCGTCGAGCTCGTTCTCGGGAGGGCCACCAATACGACCCTGGCTCGGGTTGCGGTCGCCGAAACGATTGTCGTTGCGCCAGGGCTGGCCGACCTTGCGATCGGGACAGTCGCGAGCCATGTGTCCAGCTTGGCCACAGACACGGCAAATGATGCTGGCCGTGAAATTCTGCTTCTGCGGGCAGTCGTACTTGCGATGACCAATTTCACCGCAGTTCTGGCAAGCCTGGTTCTCGTCGTCGCGGAGGGTACCGTTGAGGGCGGCAAGTTCACGGAGCTGGTTTCGCTTGAGTTCGTTCTGGCCTTCGGGGATGGAGGCAGCCTGAAGTTTGTTAGTATGGAGGTTTGATTTCAGTGAAAGTGTGCGACTTACAGTCTCGATGACGTTGTGAATGAGCTTCTTCGCCTTGTTGACCTTCTCCTCGGTGTCGGCCATGATCAGACAATGGAGATCTTCCTCCTGGTTGCTGGTGTGAGCTGCATCAGATCGTCCTTTGCCCTCCTTGACGGAGCCCTTGCCACGAATCGCGATCTTTGCGCCGGACTCTGATTCCATCTTCTTGAGCGTATTGCCACGCGGGCCAATAAGTAGACCAACTGTTAGTGCAAAAAGCTGTGGTTAGTCTTTGATCAAAAATTGTGTGATTAACAGAACGGTGAGGGTTAGTGACAGCTCTGCTGCAGGTGTGCCAGACGCGCATAAACATCGGCAGCCTGAGCAGACTGGTCAAGACAAAGGCTAGGGTAAAAAACTGGGGAAGGGGGGTTAGAGGGGTTAGTTCCGTACTGAAGTTAATCTCAGGGTAGTCATTGACCGGAACATAGACTTTCTCCTGTGTCTTAGTAGGCCGCCTGTAGTCGGCAGGTGGATGATAATTAGGAAGCGTCTTCATCGCCTTCTCAACGAGCTTGTGGCGCTCATCTTCGAGACGCTTGCGATAGCGGAACTCGCGCGTGTTCACACGGCGACCGAAATTGTCGTACTGCGGTGGAGGCGAGGGAGACCTATGCACACATGTTAGTACGTGGCTTGGTTTGGATCGCGAGGACACGCACCTATCGCCATCGGCTGGCACAACATCGTTAATCTTTAGCTTCTGCGTGATTTCCTCGATGCGCAAATGCAAAGTATAAGCGTCAAGCTGCTCTGTGGTCATGGCGGCATAAATAGCCGTGGGCAAGCCCATCAAGCCGGCAGCCTTGTTCTCGCTGGCATCGCCCCATCGGTTGCGCTTCTTGCGTTGTCTCGGGCCTTCAGAGTCTGGCGCATGCTTGTTAGAGAGTGTCTTGGGGGCAAGAAGGGGGAGACTCGACGTACCTCGTGTCGGGCTGCGACCGCGCTTCAGCTCAGACAAGCCCTCGGCGGGTGCTGCAGGATTGTAGCCTCCATCGTCCGGGTTGTCGCCGCCGACTCGACGACGGTTGCCGAGCGGGATGTTGTTGGAGCCGGTGATGCCCTGGTTGCGCCACGACATGTTGTTGCTGAGAAAGTTGGTGGTTGAGCGAAGGGAAAGATGCGCAAGTGGAGAAAACGAGCTGCAGCGGCCCAGGTGGCAAGCTACGCCCAGGCTTTAGGAGAGCGCTTAGCCGCTTTGGGCTGCAAAACGCGAAAGTCATCAAGCACGTGACCAACTCATCATCCTGCAAAACATTCCCCTTCTAAGCGTCTAGCTTAGGTTCGTACTTAGATATGCTGGAAAGAAAACTATTCTGTGTTTTGCAATGCCGCAGGTAAGGATACCAGGAGACAAGAGACTGGACAGCGATGGACGGAAGAGGGCCATCGAGTGGGATGAGAAATCACAGAACCACGAGTCGCTGACATCTAAGTTATACTATAAAGAGTTTTCCGAGTATATGATCAGTACAGAGTGCAAGAATAAGGTATATCGAAGCTGCCGCGCCCGTCTCTGACATGGACGCCAGCTCCACTGTTATACGAGGCACGCGACAATGTTCTCCACTACTTACATATCGATCTTCTGGCAGCAGCATGCTCACGCTATCTCAATTGTTCTAGTATACCAGGGCGCGTAGAGAACTGTGCGATAGACAAGCCACACGTAGCCTGAATTTCTAATCAAGCTCATATTCGTCATTGCCCCTCTTTGGACCCCACTTGAACATTACCAATTGTAGAACTATAAAGTCTCAGTATTTGGAGCACCATTATTCTCAAACAATCTATCCCCAAGGACTATTACCAATAGCACAATCATGTCCTCTCCAAATTCGAACATCACCCTCTTTACTACCCAGACGCCGAATGGCATCAAGATCTCAATCGCCCTCGAAGAGCTAGGGTACGTATATTTTCAAAGGGTACTTTTTACGATGTTCTTATGCCGCTCTCTCGTCATCTCTCTTATCATGGTACTCCTTTCTAGCTCCTTCTCGAGCAGGTTAGCCCAGCAATCAGAGTGACAGGGAGAAGAGGGAACGATCTTCTGATAGTATGCCTGATCACCCATCGCTGTAGCGCTCAAGAATATATCCAACCTCGTCTGTATATTCAACGCGATCTATTCTACGCGATAGCGGATCAAGATACATCATGCAAAAGCCAACTCCCCCCCCATCATCCCTTACCCCAGCCTTACAAGCCCCAAGCTAACCCACTCACCTCAGGCTCCCCTACAAAACCGAAAAGATTGACATCTCCAAAGACACCCAAAAGGAAGACTGGTTCCTAGCCATCAACCCCAATGGCCGTATTCCCGCACTCACCGATACCTTCTCCGACGGGAAACCCATCAACCTCTTCGAGTCAGGAAGCATCCTGCAATATCTGGTAGAGCGCTACGACCCTGAGTACAAGATCTCGTTTCCTACGGGCACGAGAGAGTGGTATGAGACGAACAATTGGCTGTTCTTCCAGAATGCTGGTGTGGGTCCTATGCAGGGACAAGCTAGTAGGTGCACTTTCTTGGTCTTATAGTAGACGAGGGGAGTGATTGGAGAGGGATAGGGAGGGGCAGATGAATGGCTTCCCACATAGGCGTGATACATGGTACTGGACGATATCTCGACGATGTCTCGACGAGAACAAGATCGCTTGTGAAGTCGCGATGGACTAGACCTCGACAGAACAATGCAGAGCTCGGCTAGGCCGACGGACCGTGTACATGCTAGCAGTAGTCGGCTAACAGCTACGTCTAGATCACTTCACCCGCTATGCTCCGGAGCATATCGAATACGGCGTCAACCGATATCAGAACGAGACACGCCGCCTCTACTCAGTCCTCGACAAGCATCTCGCTTCGGACAACAGGCCTTACTTGGTGGGCGAGAAATGCACTATCGCTGGTCAGTTCACTCTCTCTCTGGTTTCATGTTGCGATCTTCCTCACGTGTCCTACACACCATCCATTCAAGCCTTGCGTTAGTCGAAACCCCTATTAGGGTCTCCAATCCCTCTCGCGACACATGATTGGTAACCAAAAACACGTCGGTTCACGCTAGCGTACACCGATCACGGAGAGGAGCGTTGAGATGCCGCCCCGCACAATGCACAAACCCTTCTTTTATCGGTGGCGGGACGCTAATGCTTTAGTAGATATCTCTCACTACGGGTGGGTAGCATCCGCTGGCTGGGCAGGTATCGACATTGACAAGTATCCTGCCCTCAGAGCGTGGGAAGAGCGCATGACGAGGCGCCCTGGCGTCGAAAAGGGTCGCCATGTGCCTGACCCTCATACGATCAAGGAGCTTCTGAAGGACAAGGAGCAGATGGAGAAGCATGCAGCTGAAAGTCGCAAGTGGGTGCAAGCAGGGATGAAACAGGATGCTGAGAAGGCTAGAAAGTAAGGTCTGTGATCATTCGAGCGGTGTAGAGGTGGGGATTGGACAAGATCTGGGCCCTGGGCGGTATAGTCCGTACAGGTTATGAAGACTGGGTTCTTTCAAACCTAAAATTGTGGAGGCGGCCATGTCAAACGAGTTGATGTCCCAATGTCCAGGCTTGGGGAGGTATGGGGGAGGTATGGGGTCACTATCATGTCACTGGACAAGCATTACCCTGACAGGAATTGGATGAATCCGTCTTTCACTATGTATCATGCTGTTATTGAGGTCTGTGATGAACGCTGACGGTCCGATTACGCTTCGAAAAGGTGTCCAAATTTGTGTAAGAGACAAGATCCATCCGTCATCTCAATAAGATGCAAATTTGCACTAGAACATAGCCAGGCGGTCAAGATCGTAACAGAGACAAGATCCACGAGTGCTATGTTGCGCAATACAAACGAGTTGATAGGAGACCCTAAGGCTATCCGTTAGCCAGCCATGATTGTGGGGTCTGCATGATTGTGGCTGTCACAACACTAGTAACCCGCGTTTTGGATTACTAGAGAGAAAATGAACCCGTTTGACGAGTGATAGACGCCGGCTTAAGCTGCCTCTCATATCTCTGATACATTCTAGAAATTTCGGGAAGCCGATCATCAAGCCATAGATGGTATCAACCGTGATCGACAGTGATGTACGCTCGTGGGAACAACGTGGTCACCTCAATACACATCACCTACTGCCGTAATGATTGGCGGGTAACGTCATAGCGTGGCGTAGCTAGGAAGCCGAGTTTTCTTGTTGGTTGAATATCCATAATTGATAATAGGCCGTACATGTAAGGAGGACGCTCACTGATCTGTCGCACGCCGGTTGAGTATCGAGTATATCGAGTATGGTGGGCGCCGTCCCCTGCAGCTTGCCGTTAGTTGTAACTGCACGTCGTCAGCAGGACCACCATTTCAAGCCTATCTAGGCCTCTCCTCTCATGCAACGTCCCTCATCCAACCCTAGCCTCAACCCACCTTCTTAGTACGTGCCATTATACCCCCTTCCCTGCATATCTCTGCAGGATCTCAACCAGCGTGCGCTTGTGACTAAGTTTGATTTCCCCATATATCTGCACTAGCCCAAGGGTTTCCCCCCAGATTTGAGGCTGCGTGCCGTCGAGCATGGCTATCTCGCCTAGGCGAAGCGGCAGGCGGCTGCGCTAATCGACTAATCCTAACGGCGAATTACCAACAGGTATAACAGAACGCGCAAAACGATAAGATGGACACCAGGGCAAAGCGTCTTCGCTACGTAGACCGCGCGTATCCGCTGAACCGACTGCGCCTCCTGATCGAGCTGCATGTCTAATCCCCGGTATCGCTGATTGCGAAATCTGGGGAAGGTAGAAAAAGAAGTACACAGCATGCGGCGAAAGACTTCGGTACCTGGGTCGTATTATCCGGATTTCGCAACCCCGGGCGTCCACGTTTACCCTAATATCGGTAGTGGCTGCATGTAAACTGGTCACTTGTGCTAGACCCATAGTAAGCAATGATTATGATCAGGCCAACCGTTTTCGTCGTGTTCAAATTGAGGTAGAGAAGCTGCCAATAGGAACGAAGGGGGCCGATATACAAGCACGCATACGAAGCCGTTCATGCGGGGATCCGAGCAAAGGGCGACAGTCTCATAGACGCAAGAGAACAGTTGCCACACCGTTTAGTTTGGGAAAATGGGCTAGGGGCCCACAAATTAGCGTTTGTGGGGAAACCACTGGGTTAGCGCACATGGGGGTTTGGCACCATCAGGCAAAAAGGATACCAAGTGGTCTATGTGATGCTCTAACTAGATCACGACACAAACCCGCATCTGTTTGCACCAAAATAGGCGTAGACCTCTACTAGTTTAGTGTGTTACACAGACCACGTTCCATGGCGTAGAGGGAGGCGGGAAGTGTCGCAACGCAGGAGCCAGGACCGGGGGCTCTACTATTCGTCTTACTACGCAGCTGGAAGGTGGAGATTTCTGCCGTTATGCATGATATCCGTGCATGCCCTTGTTCTGAGGACTTGCATGCGTATTGCATATTTTCGTACTTGCGGCGTGCATGCTTTGGCCAGCAGTTGCAACGGCTACCGGTAGGGCCGACGAATTAGATTCCCCAAAGTAACAACTAACAGCTCGCGAACTAATTGACGGCCCGGCGGCGCTGACAACGCGCTTGGTGATTGCCCGTATGCGCGAGACTGACTCTTCGCATGTGATATATGATTCGGGAAGCAGCGTGCAGATCCACGGATGGTGGCATGAAAGCTTCTCTCTTGGCTTCGATGAGCTGTTTCAGTTTACAACGGACGGTTCGGTAGTTGGCGCGTGCCGCTCGCGGGCGACTCGGTATTGGGGACAAGTATTTTGACGAGTTGATGGTTCGTTCTTCTTGAAGGCGTAGAATTGCTGGATGTTGCTAAACGTAATGGCAGGGCTATGCTTTACTGCATAGTGCTTTTCAATTGAGCTATAGGCAGGCCTGAGATAGCACACATATTGCATACTGAAATTAGTCCAGTCTAGTGACCGTAATGCAGAACTACTTTGCGCCTCCCTGGGCCGACGAACGCATGACCGTATACGTCCGCTGATTCTCTGAAGGTCGCTTTCGACGGAGCGGTGACGTTGGGGCGAGTACATCTTGAACTCAGGCTTTGCGGTGAGCGATGCAAGCTCGCTTAACGATCCATGAATGCAGTCGCTTCCTCCTGCATGACGACGGTGGTTGCACACGAGAAAGTTGAGCTGTCCGCACCGACTGGCTAGTCTGCACATAGAAACGAGCGAGAGTCTCGAATATGGGTATCGCACCTAGCGCGAGTCAGGGCAGACGTCATTCGCCGAAGTTTCAGGTAGTGCTATGCATCTACGGAAGGATTGTTTGGTGGTAAGTGTTTCATGGTCGCATGGCGCCGTGGACTCTGACGCCCTGACGTCTGGCATCTGATCGCCGTGTTGTATCCCTACACAGGAACACCTCGAAACGAAAGGACGAGTTTCAGCAAGTAATCGCGTTACCAAATCGTGCGTTGCTCTAGTCCCATAGAGGTCGGAGGGAAGGAGTTGGATGCTAGCAAGAGCGGCACATGAAAATACCTGCCTAGAGTTTGATGTGCAAGAGAAGCCCGTGACGACCGTTATTCGTAGAGACGGCTAGGTGTTGCAGGTTACGTGCGTGGAGAAACTCCCAGGCACAACGTGGTGGGTGGCGTAGCCAAGGAGGAGTTGCGGAAGCTGATCTAACCCCGGGTGTGGATATAATGTGAAATATGACCAGGGTAGCGGCTGTTCTGTAGCGGGGTTGCTGTTTACCCGACCAACCAACGACCGGGAGACGTTAAGCACCACCCCGATAGTAAGTATTTACCACCCCTCTAAGGCTCGCTTGCTGTTAGTCCCACGCCATCACCGCGCCATCAAAATACTAGTAGTTTTAGTGGCGGATTAATGGACTAGAGGTGTTTGGAGACTCTAACTGAGCTGACTGTCGTATTGGACGATACCGGGTGATAGATGATCCGCTCCGGTGGTGTTGTTGTATTTTGACGCCCATCGCGATCAAATCAACCACCACCACCACCACCACCACGCCCATCGCGATCACGATCACCGCGATCTATCGCAATATATCGCAATTGATTGATCGCGATTGATCGCAATATATCGCGGTGATCGTGATCGTGATGGGCGTGGTGGTGGTGGTGGTGGTGGTTGATCGCGATGGGCGTGTTTGATCGCGGTGGTGGTGGTTGGGTTGATCGCGCAGGTGGTGGTTGAGTTGCCTAAGCATGCGCGCGTTACCTGTTCCACTCGCAATAATACAGTAATTTGTATACAAACTAGAGTGCCGAAGGGTGGCGCGGCGTGCCTTGGCTGCATGAATCTATACCGGATTCGGTAACAGGGGTGGTAAATACCTTACTATCGGGGTGGTGCTTAACGTCTCCCCCAACGACCAACCGTCTTGACCTTTCCTTGCCACGATGTGCGCCCACAACCTGGTTGCCGAAGCATCTGCCCTCCAGGGTCAATGAGCCAATCGCTCCCGGCTGCTATACATCCATGGAGACTGGAATTAAACAATTGCGTCTTCCTGATATTGCGCTCGAGTTGATCTCGCTTCTGGAAGCCCGTGTGGACGCATGGAATCTTCAAGCCACGATCGTGACACTGACCCTGTCCTTTCGCTGACCAGGGTCCTCCTCAAAGTCGGGGTGTGCCCTCGGCACGCCGCTAAAGCACTGCGCGCAGGCCCACATATGTTCCCCAAGGTCATCGCATGACCCGTAGGCCATCCCCAGATTTCTCCATTGACCGACTCTTTCCATCCCAAGTCCTTTCGCCCCGCTATACGGTATACTTTTGCGACGCTACCCGGTACAAACAGACCGTACCTAGGTCGCCGAAAGTTGAACTTCCCAGTAAGTTGGCCCGCTTCTGCTGCACCAGCGTCGAGTTCGCTGGAGCTCTTAATGGTGGGGCCAGCTACTAAGGATGTAGAACGCAGACCTGAGTGAAGGAGTTCTTGTACTTCGTTCGACATCGCCACGATGGAGCCCACGGCTGCAGAATTGCAGAAGCTTGAACGTAGAGGCTCTGGACCTGTGAAACGGAGGGTGAGTCGGGCGTGCGACCACTGTCATCGGATGCGAACGAGGTGTAACGGGCAGGCACCGTGCTCGCGATGTATAGGTCCGTCCACGTTGCCAAATTTTGGATATCAACTGACGTTTTCAGAGCTGGAATATGTGTGCCAATATAATCGGGAAAAGAAAAGACGAGGAAAAGTAAGCCTCCATGCAACTCCAGATGCGGCAATGTTCGTGATCCATTCGTTGGCACCGGCGGGGTCTTTGTGTTTACCCAATAGCTGGATATCCCTAAGCATCTTTTCGATGGCCGAGTAGCGACTACAATCTGTGTAGAAGCCACGAAGGTTACCTTGTTAGAGGTTTAGGCACGCTTGCAACGATCATGCTGACCACTCTCAGGTACCGAGACACATACAAAAGCAAAGAGAGGAGGCTGCTGCGGGGCGTAGCCCACAGACCCCGAATGGCCTAGTTCAACCCAATGGGTATTTCGAGAGGTCTGGCGTGATTTCCGAAATGGAGGAAGAAGTTTGGTCGCAATCAGAACCAACACCGGTGGTGCAGCATTTCTCAACAGGGAAAGATAGCCTGCATAACCCGTCCCCGGGAGAGTGGCAGGCTTTGAATCCTGGTTAGCTGAGCGTCCTTTTTCGGAGATGAAGCAACTAACCTTTGTGGCTAGGAGCGACTTTCAACCCGCCTGTTAACCACATGATGATAGATCCTCTGCTTCTGGGTTCTGGAGCCACTTATTCACCGATGCATGCTGAGATGCCACGTAATGAAGAGCTGATGTACGCCATGAACGGAATGCATCTCATCCCCGGTGCTAATGGTACACCGATATCAATGCCACCAGGATATGCGAACATAGGATATCCCATACAGTATCCAGCCGTAAGACAGTCGTCGCCTCACAGCTACGGCTCTGCTGATACCGGGTCGCCGCAGTCAGCGGGTAGCATCAGTTCGTCGCAACATGGAGGTGGGACCACATTGTGCAAGTATCCAGTGTTGAAGCCCCTGATACCACACCTCGGGACGATCATGACCATTTCGACAGCATGCGACCTTCTTGAGTTCTATTTCCAAAGCTCTTCATCGGTCTTTATGGAACCTGTGTCCCCATACATTCTAGGATCAGTCTTCAGGAAGCGCTCCTTCCTTCGTCAACATAAACCCAGGAAATGCAGCCCCGCGTTACTATCCAGCATACTTTGGGTTGCCGCGCAAACTAGTGAAGCCAGCTATCTCACATCATCGCCGTCGGCGAGAGCGATCATATGTCAAAAGCTCTGGAAATTGACGGTGGATCTGCTAAAGCCCTTAGTTCACTCACCTACCTCGCATGGCTTTGCCCCCGCTTCAGGAGTTTCTTCTTCCGCGCATGAGGCTTTCGGCGTTGACCGGGCGATAGGGCGATACGACGGAAGGCCAGATGGTGCAATGCCACCCACCAGTACTCTTGACGATGTGGCAACTTATCTTAACCTGGGAGTGGTCACCTCCGCAAGCGAATACAAGGCAGCCTCGCTCCGATGGTGGAATGCAGCCTGGTCACTGGCGAGGGAACTCAAGCTGGGTAGAGAGCTTCCTGAAGCCTCTTCCAAAGACCGCGATGTTCATGCCACGGCGGCCGAGAACGGGGAGATCGACGTAGGCATGTCGGACTGCTCCCATTCTGGTGTAGGAACCCCAGCAGCAGCAATTGTTGAGGAGATGAAGGAAGAAAGGCGGAGGCTGTGGTGGCTGCTATACATGGTCGATCGACATCTTGGACTGTGCTATAATCGACCATTGGCGATGCTGGACAACGAGTGCGAAGACCTTTTCCAACCCGTTCCGGATACTTTATGGCAGGCTGGCGAGTTTTACACTGGCCATACCGGAAGCCCGAGGAGGAAAGGCCTCAACTTTCAATGCACCTCGTACGTATGCGTGCACTCAAGCGTGCAGACCTGTCTTAAGGTATTCCTGGAGGATCTCGAGGTGCTGCTCAATTGTAAATTGATCTGTAAAAGCCCTTGACATCCTCCAGGAGTAGCTGAGATATGCTGCTAGTTGAAATGCGTTTCAAGATTGCTTTGGGCCCTGCTGACTGATTTAGGCATGATGTCTTTGGCTTTTTCTTACCTTTGATGACGATCCTTGGAGACATCGTAGATCTCAACGCGCAGAAGAACCATCCGAGGTTTGGCCAACGGACCTCTTGGGAGCTTCACGAAGCAGAGATAACGCGTCAACTGGAGAGATACGCATACAGCATCGAAGAATTCAAAGCCCAGCACGGTTGTGGTCCGAACGAGGAAGTCGTCAATCAGCCAAACGGTACACCGGATCCAATCAGGAGTGAGTGGATTCACCAAACAAGAAAGGTCGCCGCATACGCCACCCATATAATGCATGTTTTGCATATTCTCTTGCATGGGAAGTGGGACCCTGTAGCGCTTCTGGAAGACGACAACATGTGGATCTGCTCTCAATCCTTCCTCGCTGCCACTTCGAACGCCATATCGGCTGCACATGCCGTAGAGGAGATATTGGATGTCGATCCAGATCTCTCCTTCATGCCGTATCTATTCGGCATGTACCTTTTGCAAGGAAGTCTGATCCTTCTCCTATTGGCCGATAAGCTGTCTACAGAGACCAATGATGGGGTGATCAGGGCCTGTGAAACGATCGTCCGAGCGCACGAGGCTGCTGTTGTGACGCTTAATACTGAATACCAGGTCAGTTTCCCCGTTTGGTTACTTTGAACAGAGCTAATCAAAATACAGAGGAATTTTCGGAAAGTGATGATATCGACCTTGGCCCAAATCAAAGGCCATGGTCACGCCCGAGAAATGACGCCCGCGAAACGTCGAGAGGTGCTGTCCCTCTACCGATGGACGAGCCTGGGAAATGGGCTAGCGATCTAGTTTTTCGATGCACGATGTGAATACAGTGAACGAATGTATGAATATGATTTTGGTTTGACGCATAGGATTGACGATATACCTGAACGGCTGCGCCGTTACGGCTGGATGAGAATTTAAAAGATCAATTGTAGCATTCTTTCAAGCGTACAAGATATTACTGCGAACAATCAATGTTAACAGAATCTCTTTCGTGAGGGACCGGCTTACTTAAACTAGTTCTTTTTGATGGCAAATGATCCTACAGTGAGCCTGCACAAGATTCTGCATTGAGCATCCAATCTGCTTGCGGAACACCTCCGGGTTGTCCACTTCTGCCTTACCCATGCCGGAGATGACAGGGTTTCACAAGATGAGGACCCGGACGAAACCGAATCAGCGGCGACGGACGGCAAGTTCCAGTGCTTTCGTAACTTTTGTAACGGGCATTGTGACACCAAGGAGTGCTCTAAAGGGCCTGGATATTCCGTATGCGCAAAATTGCGTGAGACTGTCTGACATGCAAGCGCGACGTAGAACCAGGTGCGACAACAAGATCAACGGCGGGGGGGTGGACGTGAGAATAAGAGTGTAATGACGAGCCTGAGGTTCCTGAGGTTCCGATTAAGTTTACAGTAGTAAAGCTTGGTAGGAAGGTTCACGGGTGCGCCTACCTCTTTAGCACGGCACGTGACATGAAGGTTCCAGAGGTAGCTGCAACTCTCGCGTTATTCATTGCGTAACGTCACAAACAACAGCGCAGGATACTCATGCCGCTGACATACTAACTCCGAGAATACCACCGATGAGATGATCTTGTATAGTCTAATTGTACGGTCGACGTCTCATATTTAAGTGAGACATGGTAGGCGACCCATGCACGCATTTCAGCCTAAACGGGAAGCCACCGACCTCACTTCTGTCGATAATTTTCTTGCACTTTAAGTTGCAGGGAAGAGCACATTCACAAATGGCGAGACTGGCAGTTTAGGGCACCTATGCAGTAAAGAAGCGAACATCTATTATGGAATGGCTATGTACAGCAAATGAACTTCGTAAATGCAGTGACATGACTTTTACCCGAGTTCTAGCATAAGCGCAGCTGAAAGCGAGCCAAAAGCACCTCGTGAATCATAGAGAAGCATGGTGAATAAACATGCGACGTTATCATAAGCTCTTCTCAACCTCGATGACTTCCCTAATACCTTCGGCGACAGCATCGACTTTGTCTTGCGACAGTCTCTTGAGCGGTCGGCGAGGATATCCGCCATAGCCGAAATATGACTGGATAGCTGACTTTGTGCCAGGAATCGCCGCCTTGGTAAGGACCCAATCACCCTTGCTCAGCACTTTCTGCAGGGCAATGGCCTCGTCATATTTGCCTTCGGTCCACAGATTCCAGACCTTGACACAGGTCTTGGGAAGAACGTTAGCTCCGCCGGCGATGATGCCTGAGCCGCCGCTGAAAGCAGTCTGAGCTGTGAAGTCGGCCATGCCACCGAATGCCATGTAGCCGCTGCCATTGCTCTTAGTGGTGACGGCATTCGTAGCAAGGGCAACGCGAGTGAGCTTGCCGGTGTTGCCGCATGTGAACTTGGTACCAACAATGTTGGGGTGCTTGCCTAGCTTGATGATGAGGTCGCTATCCAAATCAATTCCAGCAACAGCTCCAGGATAGTTGTACAGAATGACTGGGAGTGGTGAGCCATCTGCGACTTTGGTGAAGTACTCGTAGATAGCCTCCTCGTCCATGGCGTAGCGGTAATAGCTTGCAGGGACGATGAGAACGTATTCGCCGCCAGCGGCCTCGGCTTCCTTGCACAGCTCAATGGTGAGCTTGATGCCATGTTCCGAAGCGCCTACAATGACTGGGACATTTTGATATCCAGCCTCATCCAGGGCTTCGCGGGTTGCTCGTGTGACAGCAGTCTTCTCGGCTCGTGATAGATGGACGGCCTCTCCGTTTGACCCCATGGTGACGAGGCCAACAAGGCCAGCTTCAGCAAGACGTACGGCATGCTTTTTGATTATTGGGATATCTAGCTCTTCGGTTTCGGGGTCAAAGAAGGTCATGGTAGGCGAGTAGATGCCCGGTCGGAGAGGGGTGCGTTGTTTGGCATGACCATTAGTGTGGCCGTTTGCTTCGTTGGATGCCATGATGATTGAAGTGTGACAGGTAGAAGTGTGGCGGGTCAGAGAAGAAGGTGCACAATAAACACAGCTGGGGATCCGGAGATGTGGAAGGAAAGCAGACAGCAACAACGGTTCACATACGGGCTCGGTCAGCTTTAATATAACAGCGAGATGGAGGCCATCGGCGTAAAGTAGAGCAGAGGAACTAGCCCGCCCGAGCCGACGCCCATCCCACCTTTATTCGCGCGTCTTCCATGGCTCTAGAGAAGTCAATAGTCGTCAAATGCGCGTCGCTCATTCGACCAGGAGCGGAAGACGTGAGACGGCGAGGGCTAGAGCAGATGTCGCCTGCAGGGCTATGGGTCATCTGGCGAGCTCGGAACACAACTGCGCGAAATGCGGGACGTGGTGCGGTCTTTTTACGGGGGTGACTAAGAAAATCGGTTGACTTGTGGAGAATGACGCCGTCTAGGAGCCAGGGTTGCATGTTCAACATAGTGCACAACAGCCAAGCGGCGCACCATTTGTTTGCCCATGTTGAACACCGGAAGACGCTGGATTGTTTCTCCACCAATCATTACTCAGCACACACGTGGGGGCGGGTCCAGCGCCACTGGCCTCGTGCCAGCCACTCTTGGCCCTGGGGAAGTTTGGCGCCACCCCTCCAACGTGACGCCTCTGTATTTTCACATATAATTCCACACACCTGTTGGCTCAGCAGTTCGCTTCAACCAGTCTGAGACTCCTTGAGACGGACTGTGGAAAATCTAGTGAAGATTCCACAGCCTCCTTCTTCTCCATCGAAAGCCCTTCCAATGACACTATACATGAGAAATGAGAGCGCACGCTTGCAAACGCCTAACGTCATCCGGCCGCGGTAGCCGGCAAAATCACAGCACGTCGTGTGGGCGTCTACAGGCATTGCCCCGCTTGCTCGTCCAACAATTACTCCGTCGATGTTATCGATAAGCCTTGTGGCCGATGCCGCGGTGTTTGAAGAGCAGTGAAGTGAACGCGCTCCCCCTCCAGTTGGCCCTCATCTTGCTCCACATCAGACCAGAACGCAGTGACAGCTCAAGTGTAACCTAATTGACCTCTACACAACTTCACAAGCACCAAGCAACTTGTCATCATGGCGCCGGTCGAGGTCTTGATGGTATGTTTACCCCTCTCTCCAAGGCATTCATGCACCCATTGGCACATTCCTTCTCGTTTTTGTTCGCCAGCAAGCCATCATGGTCATGCCATGCAACCTGCTGCATGCACTGTCCCCAGCTACATACCCCAGCTTGAGGTCGAACACGAAAACAGGGCAAAGAGCTAACGTTCTGCGCAGGTTGGTACTGGCGAGTACACAACGGGCTTTGTTGGAGGCGGCGCGTCCAAATCAGACAAAAAGGTGGGCGTCGTGGGTCTGACACTCTTCGACCTGCGAAGACGTGGGAAGGTGGGAAAGCTGTCCATGGTGGGCGTTTCGGGCGGCAAATTCCCCGCAATCCGTAAGTCGCGCATTAGTTGCTTCAATGCATGCGCAATGCTGATCCTAGACAGGCGAGCATCTCCAGAAGAACATTTCCGAGGCATACAACGGATTGGATGTGTCCTTTGAAGAGTTCCCAAAAGAGGGAAAGACCGATCCCGACGCGTTCAAGACAGCGATTGATGCGCTTCCTAAGGGCAGTGCGAGTGAGTTGCAAGCTCCAACAGATAATTTGGTTTTCTGACGTTCTCTAGTTACCATCTTCACGCCTGACACCACCCACTACCCAATCGCTCTATATGCCATCGAACGTGGGATCCACGTGCTCATCACAAAGCCAGCAGTTAAGCTGCTCGAGCATCACCAGGAGCTGCTCGTGGCTGCAAAGAAACACAATGTCTTTGTTTACATCGAGCACCACAAGCGATATGATCCTGCATATGCAGATGCGCGCTTCAGGGCACAGAAATTGGGCGACTTCAACTACTTCTACTCGTACATGTCACAGCCGAAGTAAGCCCTCCATATTTATACTAAATCAGGGACAGTGACTAATTATATGACCAGGAGTCAATTAGAAACCTTCAAGGCCTGGGCCGGTAAAGACAGCGACATCTCATACTACCTCAACTCCCACCACATCGACATAAACGAGTCCATGGTTCCAGATTACAAGCCGGTCCGTGTCATGGGCAGCGCAGCGAAGGGAATCGCAACCACCCTCGGTTGCGATCCCGCTACGGAAGATACCATAACCCTTCTCACCGACTGGGTCAAGAAGGATGATCCCAGCAAGCGGGCGACGGGTGTTTACACAGCAGGCTGGGCAGCACCACAGAAAGCTGGTGTACATTCGAACCAGTACTTCCACTACATGTCATCAACAGGAGAGATCCGGGTCAACCAAGCCAAGCGAGGCTACGATGTAACTGATGACGAGGGTGGCCTCCTCTGGTACAACCCGTACGTACCGCACTCATGCAAAGCTACCCGACTTGCTAACCATCTCTAGATTCTACATGAAGTACGCACCTGACGAGGAGGGCAACTTCGCAGGTCAGATCGGCTATGGATACATCTCCTTCGAGAAGTTCGTCGATGCCGTTAATGCCCTAAACGAGGGCAAGGTCACACTCGAGCAGCTCGATGCGCGCCCATTACCAACACTCAAGAACACCATCGCGACTACCGCGATCCTCGAAGCCGGCCGTAGATCACTGGATGAGAACCGCCCCATCGAGATTATCGAGGAGAACGGTGTCTGGTCACTCAAGTAGAAGCACGTCGACAGATACCAAAATTAAAGCCAGCATCATCTTTCGTCCCCTCTGCATTGCTTTTCATCCTTTTCCCGTATTAACCTGGGGATTCTCTTCCCACTTTATGCCAAAACCACACCCACATAACCCCACTCTGGAATTATCGAAGATCGGCATTGAGACAAAATGCCTCGTCCATACCCCGCGTTCGCGGTGATGCAACGCTAGCACGTGGGCTCACCCCCACGCGATCAGCTTCTCCATGTTTCGGCTGTCATTGAAGATCTGCTGGGGTCGTGCTATTGATGGCCTCGGGTGAATGCATGCCGAATGTCTGGCTCAAGTGGCTCCCAACAGCTTTTACCATGACATTTTCCTGCCCGAGGTATATCCGTGATTATTGACTAGTTACGCATTATGTGTGCCTTGGGGTGCATGCATCTAGTGGTCATGTTCCTACTATGTGATCCAGTCTTCTTCAAACCTCTTGGACATGATTCGCAATCGGGCAAGCTCCACAAAGTTCATAGTGTCTTACGATCATGTCAATGTTATTTTGTAACCTCGGTAATGTAATACTTGAGTTTTAATACGACAGGATGTAGCGATGATTTCTTTGATTGAAAAGGCTTATGAGAATAAGAGCCGCGACGATCAGACTTGGCGTAATTCATTCTTACACCACCACATTCCCATTCTCACTCAAACTTCGACGACTCCTGATACGGATCCCAGAACCAATCCTCCGGCAGCCCACGAGTTGCCAACGCCGTCTTGCAGCCCTGTATACCCATGTAATCAAACCAAGTATGCGTATTGTACAGATACATCCTCACCCTACACTCCCTCTCAATCAGATTCCGGATCGTCCTACGAGTATGACTAGAATCCCACTGCCACCTACGCTTGAACCCCTCAGGCAACGCAATGACAATGGGAATGTGCTTTTTCTGACGAACAGAATCCTCGCGGCACTCAATGATGTACTGTACGAATTCCTTCGAGATAGCCCAAACGAACGCTCCACAGGCTCCGTTTTTATCAGCCGTGCAAGCATTGTCGGTGCCTTGGTTCGGTGCATTCTGATCGATCGTGAAAGTAGGCTTTTGGTGGTAGGTCCCAGCTTGCTCATGCGCCAGGGACTTCGACAGGCCCTCGAGGGCATCTATCGCCACTTCGATGCTAGGCTTGTAGCCATTTGGAGAAAATGAATCAAAGTATACGCCCTTTAGCGAGGCGCCGCGACAGTCGACGATTAGAACGGACCAGTGCGATCCCAACTTATCTTCCTCATCGCCGTACTGTACATCGCTTTGCATGATGCTAGCTATCATCTCCTCTGTATAGCCCTCTTCTCTCATGTTGTCTTCAAGTTTTCTTCGCTTTTCGTCATCGATTCCTGTCTCGCGCATGTTAGAGAATCCGTCACTGATGGGGATTATGATAAAGTCCTTGTCCCTGCATTTTTCTGTGATCATGTAATCTGTCAGTGGAAGATTACCGACCTCATGCTGGTATTTATATAAGCCATTGGCGGACCACGGGTCTAAGAGTGCGATGCGCTGCTTATTGCAGCTTAGCATACGATCTAAGATAGCGAAGCTTGCAGTGATGATCTCGTCATCAAACCAGTCGCCCGGTTGGGTGATTCTACAAAAAGACTCTTCTGAAACCTGGCATGCTGAATCTTCGAACCATATAGCTTCGCTGGAAGCGTTGGGCGTGGAGAAATCTAGAAGTGGGTATTTGATGGTAATTTCCCTTCGTTCATTTCCAGTGTCCGGTATGTTCTTTGACGACGACTCCACGTATCGGTCTATCGTGAGCACATCGAAAGAATTGCGACGCTTTCTATCGCTCCACGATTCAGCTTTAGACCAGTCGTCTGTGTGGCAGTCGCGCTCCGGTGTTTCGTCATTCACTGTGACAATTTTAGCGTAGTATTCGTGCTGGACGCTCCCTTTACGCTTGAAATGATAATGGGTGAGGGTCTGCAAATTATCGATTGCAATACGTTCCGGCGTGTCTTCGAGACTGTTTTCGTGTGAACCGTGAAATTCCGAGCTGGATATAAGTCCATAATTGAGTACGGTACGCCTTTTATCTTCTAAGGACAGAGTTACACGTAGCTCCGTCATGGTCGGATGGGAAGGGTTTGGGATGATCGTCGCAGTGAGATCTAGTGCTTCGATATTCGAGTGATGATGATTCCCGGAAATGAGGATCATGAAGGATGCATGCAAGTCTATAACAAGAAATCGGGCGTGCACAATGCCTTTGTATATGTCCATTTCAGTGGTTAGTTGGCTTCGCACCAACAATGTCACCATAATCGGATACAAAGTGCCTCACACAAAGTAAGTGTATGCTACCTTCCAGTCAGATATTAGTATCACTTAAATACAAAGGCATTGTCTACCGCGTTCAACAATAAATTGTAAGCTGTTGTTAATTGAGAGTCCAGTCCAACCCTTCAACTACTTAATTACAATCACCCACACTTGCCGGCAGTGTAGCCGCAGCAATACAAGCCCCACCACATGGCCTACCTCTCAAACAAGTCATCGTCGGCGTACAAGTGGATCCTTCTCTACACTCCCGCTTCTCCCATCTGACATGACATTTCGTTCTCGTCAGCGGAGTAATCGCAGGAAGTAAAGTGGTATAGAGAATCGGATTGGAGGCGTCAAATATGAGAGTAGGGGTAGCGATGCATGCTCCCCCGCATGACTGACTTTCGAGGCAAGTTTGTGTGGGCGTGCAGGTTGATCTGGTGTTACACTGGCTTGTCCAGCCTACGTAGCACTCGGTAAAGGTTGTCGTCGTCGAGAAATTGGGAGTAGACGTGCGAGATAGTGAGGTCAGTGCAGCGATACATGCTCCACCGCATGGTTGTCCCGGGAGGCAGGTCATGGTTGGCGTGCAATTAGATCCAGTACTGCACCTATTGGTCCAGCCGACCATGCATTTGGCTGATATTGGCCCAGTGATGGCTAGTGAGGAGGCGCCGAAGGCGAGCAAGGGAAAGCTAAGCACGAATAAAGCGGAGACCTTCATGAAGCCAGATGTAAGTTGTAGATTAAGTCAAGAAGATTAAACCCTATAGATCGTGAGCGATTTGTGCTGCTGATATGAACAAGAAAAGAGGAAGGATACATATATTGCGAACTGCCCTCAGAGAGCAGCTAATGGATGTATTGTCTCGCCACATTTACTACTCATGTTCTACCCTCCAAGCTTTACTTGCCATGAGCGGACGCTTGACGACGACTCAACTACCTCTACCACAGTCAATTGAACCTAACTTAGTGAAAGCTCAATACAGGGCAGTGAACTCGACATGTGATTCGTCCCCGGTACGAGACGTGTAACCTCCTCCACCAATAAAACAAGAGCGGAGTATTACGAAGAAGTCTAACATGCAATGCGACGTATTAGGAGAAACATTAATGCTACGATGATCACCTGCTATACAGCCTGTGTTGAAGATGATCCGAAAATAGGGTTGAGGTTTCACTTTCACGCAACACGGTGCGTGTCTCGTGTGAATGCGAAACCGCCAAGCTGAGCTGGATGTTGTGGGGAGCACAAGCTCGCGTAGACATGCTAAGCCAGGTGAAGGCGCATATTTGTGACATGTCTTTTTTCTCCCTCTCTTCGCCTGCACCGCGTGTCTATCTCTTCTTGCACAGAGGGCATTTTAAAAGGCTCTTAGCCAGAAAGGGGGTGCTGAAGAAAAGCACTGTATGCGCCTTGCTACATATAGACTTTTCGGGAAAGAGCTCGATTTTTATGGTAGATACCCAAAACTTCTGCGGAGCAAAAGGCCAGCATGCCGGCGGTGCTGAGATTGGTGCCACCTGTTTGTACAATTGCATATACCCTCCTGCCTTGTATCAAAGCAGCTGCCACCAACTTCGTATTTCACAAAAGGAATGAATTCTCAATTTCTTTCGTTAGCAGAGCCGTATCCTAAGCCTGAGGAGAGGCTGGTCTGCAAATTTGGTAAAGCGGTGAGCCTGTCAGCGAAAGGGGGGCTTTCGTTGTATTACTTAAAGACCTGTCGCTTACTATAGCCATCGGTCCGTCTCCCACTGGGCCTACCGGGCATGGTAAGAAGATGCGAATGACTAGAATCTGTGCCCTTGTTAGTAGTAAGGCATATTGGACATACCAGGCTTTGATCAAACGAAAATGCTCATGGTGAAGGAAAAGACGTAGTCGGATGAGATGCAGAGCGCCTATTAGGGGTCCCGAAAATCAGGGCTTTGCTCTCTACCTGCGCAAGAAGCGAGCGTTGGTGAGGCCGAGGTTTTGCGTTTATTTGGGGGCGGAACTGTTTCTGATGTTTGGTGTGATTCGCAGCTAGCCCAGTCAGGGTCTAGCGTCAATTATTGGCTGACGGTTCTACGCGGCTCTGCCAACCATGACAAGATCGACGACCACTATATTACTCTCCTTCCGCGTTCGGACTCTTTCTCATGCACGTCAGCAATAAAAGATAAATGTTTCCGGCTAAGGTCGAACGAGGCCGTAGAATTTGCGCTGCAAAGTATTAATTATCATGCATGTCAGCAACAAACACTGTGTTTCCTACTAAAGTAGAATCATTGCCCGAGAATCGAACGCTAGCTAAATTGTTTGTGCAAACCCATTATATGCTCTGGGAATTGTTGCTAGGTAACCCTCCTTGGACTGGACTACCATCTAGTATGCATATGCACTCTCCCCTATGTATAAGTAGTGATGGTTTCCCGCCGTTTTTATCGCTTTACACCACATCTCCGCATATCTACAGCTACCATACTATTAGCATCCAATTGACATAATGGTCAAACTCATCCCTTACGTTACCTCTCTACTGGCCCTTGGTCAGGCTATAGCTGCCGCCAAGGCAGTTACATCCTTTTCCGAATGGGTTGATGGCATTCTCGAGAATCCCAATGGAGATAATATGACACCCGAGGAGGTCGTCGATGCCTTTAACAATGGGCAATTCAGTACTCCACCAGCAGGTACACCGACTGTTCATCCTACAATAGTGCCTAATTTGAAGCTGACATTTATGTAAATGTAGTTAGATTTGGTCGTAGCTTGATTCAGAAGCGCGCAACCTGTTATGAGCATCCTAATACTGACTGTCTTGTATGCAAAATGATCTCATTACTCCTCAAGATCTCAGCCGAGTGGTTTCACTAACATCACTCCTTTGTAGATTGTGGATGCTGTCGCATGCATCAACGCCGTCGCCCGCAGAGGCGCAAACGACTGCCGCAACGTTTATGAGCAGTGCCATATTAACACCGCCGTATTGACGACTGACGGCACAACAGACTCTTCTTGGTAAGCATCCCCAGATAAGGTAGCTCAGGATACCCTAGAAGTCAAGATTATCGCTGTGGAGGCTCCAAGAAACTGAACGTAGATAATGTAAAGCTAACTTTTGATCTCCTTATAGCAACGACGTCGCTCGTGGCGGGGGGTCTATTTTGGATCACTGCGTTCGTGCAGGTAATGATCGGGTAGAAGGGTCGGAGTTCGCGTATGGAAATGGAAGGGAGCTAGTACGACTTCGAAGAGCTTAGTTATGAATAGAGAACATGTTGAGGTTCATCTTTTGTTGACGAGCTGTCATAATGTTCGAGAGGTATGATTGGGGATATCCTTATGGAGCTCGACATTGGAAAGTTCATCAGCCAACATCCGGGCAAACATATCATTGAGCACAGTACTATACGCACATGGTTTAATGGGAACTGAACGAGTCTTTTACTGTCGCAGTGAGGCTGATGTATGAAGCATACGAGATTCCGGGGACCGTGGAGGCGGAAAGATATGTGAGACAAATGAAATTATGCAGAATATCCACGTTTTTATCTGTCTTGTCGGAGAGTCACGATAGTATCATTCACATGGTACCAGCTTCCTGTCTCTATCTACGACTTTACAGCACACCCGACTATCATCTGTTCAACCAAGTCAAGCAAGTATATCTAATTGAGTTTTCAGCAATTCCGAGAGGAGCCGCAAACATTTCGCTTACTTTATGTTTCGCCTTTTCTTTTGTTTCATCCCGCGCGGAGTAAAACATGAATCACATGAGTCAAGCTCTGCTCCCTTTGTCTCATGGAAAAGCGCAAACCTTTGGCAGACTATGTTGTCTATATAAACTTCTCTTCTCTAGGAGCCTTACTGAGAAGTGACCACGACACTCCCATTTTCGGAATATCCTCTACTAGTTCCAAGACCTCACCGGAAATCACCCCGAACTTCCAATTCCAGAAACAGAAAGGCCACGGAACTGATCATGACAAGTCTCGTCCCAGACCTAAACTCAGCTACAGAACCGACCTTGCGAAATACAGACTTCGAGTCCCAATTCTCCCAATGCACAATCAAAACCCAACCCTGTCCATTAGGCGAACCAAACCCCCTCGGACAGCCACTCTTCACGAGCACCATATATGTTTCCGATCTTGAACCTGAAGTAGCCGCTATTCTCCTCTACCGTCATGGTCGGATACTCCCAGATTCGAAGACAGTGTACGACATCTATGGCATGATTTCAACCGGTCAGGTTTTAAAATGGGATGGGCCATCTGATGAAACAACCGTTGAGAGAGGCACGGTTCCCCTGGATAAACGCCACGAATTCTTAACGCTATGCCTTTCTACCACGGTCGCCAATCCTAATCTATCAGCTCTTCAACAAAGTCAAGCATGGGTGGAAAAAGTGATAGCGGAAGCAGAGGCAGTGGGGTGTTTGATATCGTCTTAGCTTTGCTAACTACGCAACTACCGTACATGTAACTACTCAAATGACAGTAAATAGATTATCGGATATTGTAAGCCAATTCTCCGGTACAGTTGGCTACAAATCTAACCACGGCAAGATTCAATGGCTGAAGGCCATGCGAAACCTCCAATGCCAACGCTGCACGTTCTTTCGGGTCCTTCGGACAAAGTCTAGTCATAACACTCACCGCATCGACCCATGCCGGCATCCATCCAAGGCACTCCCAATCGATGATAGTAACGCGATATTCATCACCATCTTGCTGAAGCATAATGTTATCCAGCTTCAGATCCAGATGAGTTAGAGTAGGCAGTTTGTCCTCCGCTGTAACTGCGTTTAAGGAGTACTTGAAGTTTATCATTGTAAACAATGTCCTGTCACTGAATGGGGTCGAAAATAGGCCGATTCCAGATGCGGCACGAAATTTTGCGGTCTCATACATTGCATCCACAAAATCTTCGTACGATTTATAGGGCCCGCAGATCTTGTTTCCAGGGAGTGTAAGCATGTTGAAGCCGGGATCCCATCCTTGTTTATAGATTCGTCCGTAGTAGGGGTCAGATTCGAGTCTTACTTCGCGTAATTTCTTCAATTGTTCCGCAATCTTGGAGCCTATAATCTTTTGTACACCCGGGTCGAAAGTGCTCCATGTTTCGGAAGAAAGCGTTGTACCTGTGATGTACTCCATAACGAGATAGTAAAATCTTGTTTGAGTGCCTGGGTACCAGCCGAAAGGGTCTTCGCCGTCATGAGCGTACACCGCAAATACCTTGGGCGTTCGGACTTTTGAGTTTTTCTCAAGGTAGAGGAGATTTTCCGCCTCCTAAACAATTATAATTAGTATAGTGTTGCTTTAATTTTAGAGGGTTATTACCTGTAGAATAGTCTGGCTTGTCGAAAATTTCACAACGTATTTGTCAAAGACCCTGTACAACCAGTGTGGCCCCCGCATATGATCACGGATGTTCTGTCCACGTGCAACATCTTCTGCAGTGGGCAATGGCGGGTCAAAGCTGCCTGCTGCCGTGTAGGGTAAAGACATCTTGGTTGGTTGGGGTAACGATTGCGATAAATGTTCGTATATCATGTCCCAACATGAGAAGTATTCAATTTCGCGGCTTCCGAAAAGCTCTTCAATAATATCCAATTTGCAAGGTAAAGCCATTTTGAATTATGGATTTTATATCTGAGAGTCTACGTGCTCATTTATACTTTTACTTTCCAATTAGCAAAGTTGGGTTTGTCAACAAAGAATACATGTACTGCATCCTACTTCTTTCAAGTCAACTGGCTACACAACAAGGATCTCCTTACTGACCCCTAGCTCTCGAAGTTCTCAATATTAACAAAGACTTTTGTGACGCTCGTAGGATTCGCTAAGCCACTGAAGTGTAATTGTAGCTGTCAATACCTTTGTTCGAATCTTCCTTGTGTAGATTCAAAGAAACGGTGCAGCCGAGCTATAGTCGATTAACACAGACCAGCAAAAAGCATACAAAGGAAATGGGTTTGAGAAACAAGCTACAGTCACTAGCGAGCTCAGCTTCCCTTGAGCAGTCTACCGGGCAAGTCTCCGCATTCCGGCCACAATTCTGCCATAAATAGCCCACGGCACGTGAATTGTTACTGCATATCGCAGGGCTTACTTACGCTTAATCTACAACATGTCGGCTTGACATAGACTATATAGCGTAAACACAAGTCGAACTCCTTCAGTGATCATACGCTAGGCCCTGAGGGGAGTGGAATGACAGCTCGAATGCAAAGCATTCGAGATGCGGTACAGCGGGTGGAAGCTATGCTGGAAATGAGACAAGCCCTGTATGGTAGGTTGAGTATTCGTACTAATTCCTACGTTGAACAGGGTTGTTGTCAGGAACCTACTTAACCTCCATGAAAGCGAAAAAGGAATGAGTGTGGAATGAAAGCCAAGCGGCGCTCAAGACCGGAGACTGGAAGTGCAAGCGAGTGCGTCAGTACCCCAGTTGCGAAACTGTTCCTTTGAGGATCAACGTAGTATCCCTGGTTGAGGTTGTAGTTAGTCATGGCGAAGTCTGAACGAAGTGTGTAGCTGGGGGATCAACCGAAGGCATTATGATTCGACTAGACACGATCCTTGATTCAGCGCCATTCGCTAGATGCCCACAAACGCAGTCTACCTGGTCAGTACAATCTGACGACCTGAAAATGCCTATTCGCCATTCTTCACTATCCAGTATCAGTCACGCGAAGCAAGATGCTCGGCCCATATTTAGCCAGCTTTCCCAACCTCATCCAACTTGGTCAACAGATTCTGGACCTCTTTAACCAGCGCTTTCCTCTTCAGCCTCGCCTCCTGATCGCCCTCCGTCTCCACACCATCCAATTTGAAGATGATCTGTGTCAAGATCGTCTCGCTCAACTTCTTATACTCGAATACCCTCTTAGCCTTCTCGTCTGGCGGGTTATTCATGTACTGTATCGCCATCGGCACGAATTCGGTGTGGAATTTGCTGGCTATAGCATCAAGCTTGCCCATTGCGGTGACTGGGGTGGCGGCCCGTGGAGTGCTCTGTGGAGGGGCGGAGGTGGGTCGTGCGGTGGCGCTGACATGCGAGGGTATAGGGAGGTATTCTGCGTTGGCGCCAGCGCCTACATAGCCCGGGGTAGAATTACCCGAAGCGTTGGCAGAGGACGAGACTTTCTTCTTGCTCTTCCTGCCGCCGCGTTTGCGGGACTTCTTCTTGCCCGTGTTGTTGGCGCCAGAGTCGACGTCGTCGTCATCGTCGTCATCGTCTTCCTCGCCGTCGCTCCAAGGGCGTTGAGGTGCGGCTTCTGAGCCGGGCGCAAGACCGCCAGCAGCGGCATCGCCAACTGTAACCAAGATCTCGCTCCCAGATCCGTCACCGCGTAGGCCTTCCTCTCGCGCAGTCCGCTCGTCGTGCTTTAGATTTCGTCCCTTGTAGAACATGCGTATGCGCCCCGGATTGTCGATGCCCAATTTCTTTGCGGCCGCCTGACGCACCGTCCCAATCCTCAGGTCTCCATCACGTATGCTGTGCGCCGGGAAGTGCGTAGGGTAATGAGTCCTCTTCTCCTTGAAGATCAAGACATCTGTCTCCCGCTCAGGATTCTTGTCGTCCCAGTCCACTATCTCTGGGGCCTGTGCTGCCCCATTCCTCCGTAAATCTTCGTTTGTAATGTATGAGAAATCCGAGTCGTTGACCACACCCGCATTTTGCGAACTGTCCTGCCGGCCAAAGGGAGAGAAGCGGCCTCCCCAGCCCCCGCTCCCACCGGAGCGCGAGAACCAAGACATGGTGACGAAGATGGCAGCTAGTGCGATTGCAAGTGTAGTGAGGTAGGCCGGGTCGTTGAAGCGGGGGTTTGTGATAAATTCGGCGAGATCGTTGAGACCTAACTGTTGTAGGAAACGGGTAACCTTCGCGAGCGTGTCTGTGGGTAGATCGCTATTATCGGCTGTCGGCGGACTCGAGGTTGTGCCAAGGAACGGGTGATTCCTGAAGAAGTTGAAAGATTTCTTCAGATCATCCACAACCTTATTGGAAGACGCCACGGTGAATATGTTGTGCGACTGTAGCCCGCCGAGATAGCAGGGCCGTGATGTGTCCGCGCGTGCTTGGATGACGTAGTAAGCAGTTTGAGCGTGCTGAGCGTGCTGGTGGTGGTGGGGTCTTCTCTATAAGCGTGGAGTTGCTTGTTGATCGGCCAAATGTTGAAGCGGCCTGACGTCGATTCCGGCAAAGATCCGAGCCTCGACAGGGTCCTCGGCTTAGTCATGCAGTCACGTTCGTGTTTGAGGTGGAAGTCGGCTTCTCGCATGCGCAAAGCAAAGTATGCACTCATCCATTCGTTATATGATACAAGCAGCTAAGTATTGTCGTAAAGACCGACACGTGTCGTAATATGAAGTGTCCACAGAACACATGGAAACAAGAAACAAGAAAAGATTTTGACAGCCAATGTACCCCATTCGCCAGCCATTACGGCACAGATGTCATGACAAAAAGTAAAGAAAGTGACTGAAGGAAAGTGGTCATGGATCATGAATGTGTGTCTTCCAGGCCGTAACCAAAACGCCAGCATGCGATGAATGAGGGAGAGAACGACCATGCAAAGCTGATAAATCTGATCAAGGCCCCAAAGAGATTCCGGAGGTAGCTCAGTATCGCTGGCAATTTTGTGCACATATGAATAGCGATTCCAAATCAGCAAGCCCGAAGCGCTTCAACCCCTACGAGGCTGACTTAAGCCTTGCTTCGTTTGGGGGTAGCAAGGAAGTTGAGCCGAGACTTGCTGATAGCGTTGCTGCGTCCAGGAGTATGGCGAGACAGCTTGCTTGTGCTGGCAGGAGTCCTCGGAGGCGCGGTGGGCGTTGGTTTCATCTTCTTTGTGGAACGCACGTCCTCTTCAGCAGGCTCGTCGTTCTCCTTATCAGATGCTTCCTGCAAAGTGTCCAACTTGCGCTTCTTGCCGTCGGCGAAGGATGAGGCGTCGCTCTTCCGGACCATGCGTATCGTACCCGTCGATGCAGGACCTAGAGTCATGTTAGCAAGGTCCTAATGACAATTGGCACTGGCTGGGCGCTTTGGGAAGCAGTATAAAAGGCAGATCTTAAACAAATTGGTTCTAAGAGGTAGGCAAGCTAACTTACCGAAGTTGATGGGTTTGCCAGACTCGAAGGAGAACTGAGAGGGTTGATTTGGAATGTCGCCGCCGAACGTTAGGCGCCGTGATGGGGAAGCCGCTGGGGCCTCATCGTCCTGGGCCAGGTCTGGATATTGAACGCTCGGCTGAAGGGTAGGATACACGACAGCTCCAGCGGGCATCTCACTGCCAGCTCTAAACTTGACCGGCGACGGCGACTTTCCGAGCTCCACGTCGGCTGTCCGCGCGAGCGTGCTGCTGCTGAAGTTGACATGCTTCTTGACGGGTGCCGTAGCAGGGATTGAAGGAAGAGCCTTCTCGAAGTTCAGGGCAGGTGGAGGTGACATGTGAGTACCCGCTGCAATCTTCGTAGGGTCATCCGAGAATTTGCGGCTAGGAGTGCGAAGGATCGAGCGAACACGCTGTAGGTTTTGGTTTGCCTAGAAATTTGTTAGTCAGGATATGTCTTAACTCAACATGAGGCACTTTAGGATCTTCGAAACAAGGTAATCTCGAGTGTATATTGTGCGGCTAACGTACCTTGCGCATACTCTCACGAGCCCCATCTCTCATCGACTGAGCAATGGTTGTAGGGGAGAAGAGATTGCCCGCGGAAGGTGACTTCATGAGGTTGTTTGTAGAAGGGGACTTTAGCAGAGATGGAATCATCGAGCTAGACTTTGCAACCTTGACGCTCTGCGAACGAGCAATCGAGGATTTAGTAGGTGTCATCAGCCTAGCAGCAAGTCGAGGAAGTGCGGTCTGAGAAGTGATCTTGCGCGCTGGGGTTGGAGCTGCAGGCACAGGTTTGCCCTCTTGAGATATGGGACGAGTTGTGGCAGCATCGTCGGACTCGGTGCGCTTGACACGCTTTGCGGTAGGGTTTCCGTTGCCTTCGCGAGAAGCTGGGCGCCCATCAGAAATGAGACGAACCGTCGATCGAGAGCGCGGCAGACCGGAGCCCGTCAAGTCCATTTTCGACTGAGTCCGCTTCAGAGGTGTCGGGGGGATTTTGCTCGCGGACTCTGCAATATCCATCTTTGATTGCATAAGCTTCAGCCCGCCAGCGGTCGTACCAGCTGACTCTGCCATGTCCATCTTCGACTGTGTGCGCTTCAACTTGTTCATCTCAGGCTTTGCTACTTCGGGCTTCGAAGGCGATTTCTTGAGCGGCTGGCCAACGACAGGCTTGAATCGGCTGGGGTCGGCGCGGAAAGCTGATGGGTGATTTGCAATCGAATCCATCTTTTTGAACTGTGACATGTGGACGTCACTGAAGCGCGCCATCTTGCCTTTGGGCTCCATTTTCTTGCGCTGTGGGGACATGTCCGCCTTTGTGGAGAACTCAGTCGTACCTGTAGGAGAGTAGCAGTCAGTGGATATTCATGAGTAGAAGAGGTAAGGGTTCTATAAAGTGTTCCAGGCGTATGTGTTGGAACCCTCTCAACTGTGTGTACAGAGATCAGACGTACCAAACAAAGCGCGGCTTCCGCCACCAGGAGTCCCGCTAATGGCCGCGTCTTTCAGGATGTTGCGCGAGCTCGGGCTCAGTCCTGCTTCATCCTTCTTAGAGCCCTTCGATAAGGGGAATGGAGACTTGAAGCGGAAGCGGAAGTCGGGCGACGACACCACGTGAGCAACGTTTTTCGCTGGAGTAGGTACTGGAGTCTTCGAAGGTGTACCTTGGCCCACTGCCGTTGACTTGGGAGGCGCTGTATACGCGCCCAACGCCTGAAAGCCCAACCAGCGCGCTTCGTCAAGGACCTTGGCCGTGCTGGCGTGATGATGTGCTGGATGCATTTCCTGGCCCGCAGGCTTGATGGGCGTGCGATCCTTGGGCGTGCGGCTGGACGCGGCTGCGAGCAGTGACTTGGACGACTTGCTCTTGAGCGGTGTAGGCGTTGCTTGTGGGAGCTTCGACGTGGGCTGGCGCCCTTCAACGGTGGGCTTTTGCGGCGTCTTCATGTTGGGATCGGGTAGTTCTGGGAGCGATGGAAGCTCTAGGGGCGGCGAGGAAGCCGTATGCCAGCTGTCGCTCGACCTCATCGAGGTGTCTGCGGGGGTGGTTGACCGCTACGAGACGGATTAGCAAAGGTAAACAAACCCCAGATGGGAGGGAAGCACTGGGTGCAGGTACATACCTTCTGCAGTCGGGCGGAACGGCGCGCCATATTGCAATCAACGCAGAGCAATAGAGCGAGTAGTATAGAACGAGGAAAGTTGTGCGGAGACTCTGAAGTGGTCTGTGGGTGGAGAGAGGTTATGTTGGGTATCGGCTAGGGCTAAGATAAACAAAGAGCACGGGCCCTGGATCCATCCCAGACGGGAAGCGACGCCATTGGTTGGTGCTACCATGGGACCCACCGCTGCATAAACTGCCCCTAAGAGCCGTGAGAAACAGTGCACTATATAGAGGCACTATATGGCGGAGGATCTTGTTCATGTTTGTGCTTGGATATCTTCAGATGCTGGATGCTGGAATGCTACTTATGGAAAATCTCTCCAATGGTTGTCTCTAACGAATGCTTGAACTAGGGATGACATTAGAGTATTAAAAAACAACTGGAAGCTGGCTTTAAACTTCAACATAGATGTGGACTGATCTCGCAAGCAAGACCAAGTCTAGTTTGGAGTGACGTAAGGTGGTGTGCCGTCTTGTTAGTATGCATAGCCCTGGAGTAGGCTTTCTGGCCGACCCCGCGAATTTCGGGAGCCCGCAGGGATGACGTCGGGAATACAAATGTGAGCGTGCGTACCAGCAGCCTTCTAACTCGTAATGTTACCTCTCCTTACCCGCTGATACTCTGTTTGTTCTATGCTGTTCTTTCTCATTCCAGTTCTATGCCCACATTTCCCTTCTGCATTGTTTGTAGCGTTGCCGTTTCATCGCTCGTGACCCATCACACTACGGCTGCCGCGGAATACATTCACTTGAATTAGGAGACACGTCTAAAGAGCCTCTTTCTGATACAACTGCATTATCTGTCGACCCTCCTGTATCTGTGCCTCACTTTGCAAGCATCGCCTACGCCTCAATAACCCATCATGTCGGAGCTGCACACGGCCCTGGAGTGTCTGAGACCCAAGGACTTTGGCGACATACCAACTGACAATCTCCAAACATTCCTTCCAGAAATCCTGTCGAATGCCGAACTCATCGCAAACTCGGTTCCTCCTCCCCCGAATGGCACGCCGTACGAGTCGGCGCAGCGAACGCGGACAGACCCGACGCCCGCATCCAACGCTGCAGACCTTACCAAGTCCGAGGTACGACGGCCACCTCCAGCAAAGGAGCACGAAGAACTGCAGAAGTCGTGGGGGAAACCAGTCAAGCTGGGCAATAAGGAGGCAGCGACCGGCATGAGTGTCTTCAAGATGGCAGGACATGACCGTCATGGCGCGTGGTTCGCGCGGACGAGCGTACATGAGGGGCTCGGGTTTGCGAAGTGGAAGCGCGCAATGCAAACAGAGTTTCCAGAAAGTCTCGAGATTCAAGGCGGGCCTGGCGAGGGCAACGTGAGAGGAATTGGAGGAGATCAACGCTTGGAAGACATCACTGTGGACGGCATAGGAAAGCTGGAGGGTATGTGATTAGGCTACGGTGGTGAAGGGGGCATATCAGTACTGACACGAACAGTATACCAGCTGTCCGCACAGTTCCCAGGACCAACCTCCCCGCGGGAATTCATCACGTTGCTGATCACCTCGAGTACCTGCCTCACCGAAGCCTCCAAAGTCGACAATGCGATACCGCGACACTTCATGGTTGTTTCAATACCAGTGACACATCCAGAGGCTCCAATTCGGAGTGGGATGGTTCGCGGGTTCTACGAGTCTATCGAGATGATTAGAGAGATACCATTAGCCAGCACCAAAGAGGCGGGTGAGAGCGACGCCGAATTGAATCCAGTGGAGTGGATAATGGTCACGCGAAGTGATCCTGGAGGCGGCATACCGCGATTCATGGTCGAAAGAAATGTACCGAGTAGTATTGTGCAGGACGCAGTCAAGTTTCTTGATTGGGCTTGCGCGAAGAGCGAAACTACAGAAGACGCAGCAACGATCGGAGAAGATGGCACAATTGATACCCCACAGCACCACGACTCAGGTCGTGCTCTGTCAATAACTCAATCGAACGGTATCACAGCTGGCATAGGAACTAGCATAGCTGATAGACCCTCACCTGCCCTGCGGCGGCTATCACAACGGACTGTGCACAAAAGCACTGATGACCAACAAGGCCTACTAGGTCAGCTAAAGGACTCAGTTGGTGCGTACATCCCAGACGCTATCAATCCGGTCCAGCGCACATCCTCCAGTAGCTCATCGAGTGCATCCTCTTCTGTGGAATCTTTCGCCTCAGCTGAGCAATTCAATAATGCACCCGATGGACTCCCAATCGATGACTCGATCCCAACACCCTCAACAGCGTCACTGCAATCCATCCCAGCAATGACTGATGACAGCCCACATGCACGTGAGATGCAGAAAATTGAGGACAGGAAACATCAGCTCAAGGAGCAGCTCGAACAAGCGCGCGAGAAGCAAACCCAAGAGTTGCAGAATGAAAACCAAAAGACGCAGAAAGAAATGGAGAAGGCCAACGAGAAACACGAAAAGGAGCGAAAAAGGCAGGAAGACAAATTCCAAAAGGAGATCCGAAGACTGGAAGAGCGTCGAGAGAAGGAAACCAAAAAGCTCCTCGCCCGCCAACAGAAAGAAGCTGATAAGAACCAGCTTGGGAAAGCACAACGGGAACGCGATGAGTATAAAAAGAGAACAGACATCTTGGAGGAAGAAAACAAGCTGCTGAAAGAGCAGATTGGCGAGCTGCAGAGAGAAAACACGGCCTTGGTAGCACGAATGGGCAAGACGGAGAGTGGGCGGGAGGTTCTCAGGATGGTGAGGGAAGAAGATATGCAGGGGCGGACCAGGGCGAGCTCAAGGGCTAGTGGTACTTCGGTGAAGAGCGGGAAGAAGAGAAAGGAATCTGTTGATACGGCGAGGGCGGAGACTGAGTCATCGACGTCTTGAGCGTGAGCTCTGACATTCTGTGGTACCGTGTCTTGTTTATATTTCCTCTTCTCGTGGGCGGTTATACCATGTTTTCCACTAGTCCATTTGATTTGTGTATTTTAGTCCATAGATTCACGGTATGGTGATCATTCGACAACTCACATTGCGCCAAAGGGTGAAAGCCGAGTACATAGTATTCAAGTGTCTTTGTAGAGTTTCAGAGTTCATCAAGATAGAAGTCATCTGAAGCTCTAGTAGGCTAGATTATGTATGCACCGAGGTTAGTCGGCCAATAATGGTGATGAGAATATAACGGGCGACCTCATCCCCAATTCCTTCCTTCTGAGCACTCCCAATTATAAGACTGCTTCAGCTGCAATCATCTTGCGATCCTGAAAACTAACCCCACTACGGTAACCCTCGATGCCCGATAATAGCCGCAACTTCTTCCTCCACAAACACAAGCTTCTTAACAGCTTCGAAAGACCTCCAAACTTGCAAGAAAATTAGACGACAAAGCCAGTCCGTAGTAAAGACATCGTCGTGTCTAACATCCTTGGCGAATGACGAGTGTGGGCCGATAACCGGAGATCTGCAACAGCATCTGAGCAACCGTCCTTTAGGGCCGAGACGCATATCTTCGAAATCCAAGATAAGATACGCAAATATCAGCGGCGAAAAAAAGGCCTGCGACTTGAAAGAGACAGCTGGCGAGTATTGAAGCTCAAGCTCAAGGATACAGTGCACGGACGCCGGATAAGCCAGGACAGCAGTTGAGCCACCTGAACATTAAAACACTGTAATTATCCTAACTTTAACGCGTTATAACTCTACTACTATAAACTTAATTTAAAAAGTAATTAAATATATTAAATTATATAAAGCTAGCGCACTTTTTTTATACTGCAAAATTGTAAAAAAATTTAAAATTAATTAAACAATTTTATTGCAAAGGCACTAAAGGAAAACACGCTTTTATATAAATGCTAAATAATAATAATAATTACTTAACTTATAATAAGAGTATAAACTTGTACTATATATAGAAAAATATATAAAGTAAAGCTTACTACTAATATAAAAGATAATACAGAATTTTATAAATTTAGTAGCAGAATAAAAAGTTTTAAAATGCTAGATTTTTTAATTTTTATATTATTATAACGCCGAACTTACTTTTAAATAAAGCGCTAGAATTAATTACAACTACTACTAAGCTAACTTTTATAAAAAATATAAGCTATACTTTAAATTATTATATTTAAAAATGTGCGAGTATCGCATTAAAGCGCAGGATATATATAATATAAATAAAAAAAGCTTTTTTATTAGCATTATAGCTTGCTTAAAATAAGTTTTTTTTAAAGTAATTTAGCAGGTAAAAGAGTGTACAGCAGCTATCTAAAATAGCAATAAAAAATAAATAATGCTTTTAGCTTATATTTGCAGCAATAGAAATGCGCTACTGCTAGCGCTTATTTATAAAAGTAAATTAAAATTTTAATTAAGCTAGGTTAATAATATAAAAGCTAGGAAATATAAAGTTTTTTTTGCTAACTTAATTACAGAATAAATAAATAATAATTTTAGTTTAGCCTAGCTTAAATAAGTATTTAAGCGCTCTATAAAAGAAAAGGCAAAATAGTAATAGTAATTTTTAATTTTTAATAGCTACGGCAGCTATTTTACTACAAATTTTATAAATTTTTATAATAGTAATAAAATTTTTTTAGCTATTTTTTTTTTTTACGCAACTTATAATTTTTAGCTGCTAAATATAGTACTATTTGCACTTTTTTTTTCTAATTATTTGCAAAAACTTAACTGCTATTTTTATTAATTGCAAAGCTTTATTAGCGTTAAAAAAAATAACTTTTTTTTTATATTTTAGGCAGCGTAGAGCTTTACAATAAAGCTTAAAGTAATAAAAAAAATTTTTTAGGCTATAGGCGTATTGCTAATAGATGCGGAAGTTGTATTAAAATACTTTAATAATTATATTTTAAAGCAAAATAAGAATAAAAAAATTAAAAAGTATAGTAATAGGGATAGTTAGAATAAGCTGCAAAAAATTCTAAATAATACAGTTATAAATAAAGCAAAAGTTAAAGCTAAATATTTTAAAAAGTTATTATATTTACTACAAATTTAAAACAAGCTTTTTTACTATAAAAATAATAGTTTCTAGGCAGCGCTTAATACTAAAAAAAAGTATAAAAAAAAAAGTAAAATGCTTAACTTGCAGCAAAGGCAGGAGTACTATAGCAGCGCTATTTTTTAGAATTTTTAAAAGATCTAAAAAGCGCGCGCTTATAAAACAATTAAATAATATAAAGCTAAATAAAAAAAATTCTAAAAAAGTAAAATAAAAAAGCTAAAAGCTGTAGTAACGTTATATAAAAAAAAAATAGTAGAAAAAGCAAAAGCGTTGCAATAACTTACTAAAAAAAAGTGCAAAAAAAAAAAAAAAGTAAAAGCTAAAAAACTTATAGCTGTTTAGGCGCTTAAATAATAGCAACGTAATGCTATAATTTTATAAAAATTTTATAATATATTAAATAAAAGTAAATAAAAAGCCTTATAAAACGCTGCATAAAAATTTATAAAAAAGTATTATATTATAAGTGCTAAAAGTTATATTAACGCTATATTTATACTACTGTTTTTTTTACCTAAAACTACTTTGCGCAGCCGCTAAATTAAAGTTTTAAAAAAATTTAAATAGTACAAAAGTTTTGCAAGGTTTTATATAGTAATATACTAAAAATTTTTGCAATAATTGCTTTTATAGGTGGCTTAATAGCCTTATTTCTAAAATGTGATAATATTGATAAGGTGGCTTAACTGCTGTCCTGGCTTATCCGGCGTCTGTGCACTGTAGAAGACAGCGGGTACTTCGAAAACGCAATCTCGCGTGTGAAGACGCTGGCCTCAACTTCAACCTTTGAACAACGATAAAGACTACTCAACACTAAGAAGGCAAAACGAACAAAGACTAGTTTAAGTTAAGAGAAGGTGATTGACCGAACGCTCTCGCCAATGGCGGCACCGCAATCCAATTCAACCAACATGTCGACGAGCACGCCACCAAAGGAAAATGGATCGGGAGAACCTGTCAAACCGACTCTGCTGGCATTCCACGGGTCAGGAAGTAATGCCACGGTGCATACAGTGCAACTGGCACGACTGATGCGAGCGATTAGCCCGTACTTTAAAGTTGAGAGCCTTGAAGGTGAATAGTAATCCCCTTTCTCGCTCCCATCCATCTCACATCCTCCCACATCAAAAAACATTCTCTCCCAATATAGCATTTCAAGTACACGTGCATCGAACATGACAACAAAAGTACCATGCTAACACCACACAGCACCGTTCCCGTCCCCCGCAGGCCCAGGAGTCCTCCCCTTCTTCGACGGCTGCGGCCCCTTCAAACGCTGGCTTCCTCCCAGCGAAAAGGTCAGCCTGGAAATCATGCGCTCAGGGCAATCCACCAACGCCCTGGCCCCAGAGGTAGAAGACCTCGTGCGCTCCACGGTGCAAAAGATCCGCGCGGAAGGAGGCAGAGTCGTGGGCTTGATAGGCTTCAGCCAAGGCACCAAGGTCGTTGCGGGGCTACTAAAAGGCGTCGAGGTACGGCGGGCGCTTGGTACGCAAGCAGATGGTGGCGAAGAGTTGGCTTGGTTGGATTTCGATTTCGCGCTGAGTGTTTGTGGATCGTATCCGCCGCCGTTGATTCCTGGTTCGGTCGTCGATCTTGTTGGGAGGTCTGGGCTGTCGGATGTAGAGCGGAAACAGCTGCTGGATGCTAAGATTGCGGTTCCTACGTTCCATGTACAAGGGAAGCAGGATGAGTGGCATTGGGCGGGACAAGGGCTGATTGAAGGGTACTATGATGTAGCCGAGGGGAAGAGTGAGGTTATGCAGTGGGACATGGGACATCATTACCCTGTGCCGCCCGAGGATAGCGAGAGCATTAGGGACTGGATGGTGGAGGTGCTCGAGAAAATCGAAGGAGATGTACAGGTACAGCGGTGATGGAAGCAGGGGTTTCGAAGGAGTGCAATTACTTGGTTGATGATGTTTTCATAGTCGAGGATGGAAGCATGGCGAAGTGAATGAGTAGAATAGACCCCAAGAATCAACGAGTAAAAGGCACTGCAAGACCACATCCATCGCCATCACGTCATGGTATCACATTCCAAAAGAGCGGCACAAATGTCTTTGTCGTTTGAATCCATTCCTCGTATGATTTTCAGGGCAATAAAGCCTGTCTATGACCATGCAACCCATCACCTAACGCCCTCATATCTCCGCCCATTCATCCCTCAATGCTCCAAGCCATGCCTAAAAGTCAGACCATACCGACGAAAAGAACCGGACCGATGCGGACAAGGGAAGATGATGCGGAAGAGGAGGCCGTGTATGTTTTTGGGCATCGTGCGCGTAACGCGGCACGTTTACTGCTCGGTCTGGAAGTAGTTGAGGAGGATGCTGCGCTCCTGGGACTCCTCACCCCAATCCTTGACAACAACGCAAGAGCAGTTGACGACCTTGCGGGGGTTGCCTTCACGGTCGATCTGGCCTGTTCATACTGTTAGCCCATGTCCTCAGCGCACTGTCAGGGAATTACGTACAGAGACCAGCCCACTCGCCGAGCTGCTTGCCATCCGGGACCTTGATCAACGGAATCTTGTGCTCAGAGCACAGCGCAACAACGAGCTTCTTGTATGCCTCCTCCTCGCAAGCCTCGTTGAGAACGCACATGTGTGCCTGGCGACGGTCGAGGGCCTTGGAGGCCTCGCGCAGACCGCGGGCGAGTCCGTCGTGGATGAGAGCGAGCTTGAGGACTCCCTTGAGGGCCTCGAGGACGCTCATCTGGCCCTTTCCAGCCGATGCATCGGCGGAAACCTCGACCTCGGCGGCCGCGCTGACTTGGGACTTGGTATCGTCTTCTCCGTCCGACTGTGAGATGTGTTAATAGGGTTCTTGCACGTCAAGGTGGCGGGGTAGTGGTGTCAGGGCTGGATCACGATCTGCGCAGTCGAGATGCGCGATCGTAAAGATGGCTTCGGGGGGCAGAGATGCATACCATGATGATTGATTTCTATCTGTCGGGGTTCCTCGAAGAGTTGGTATTGATGGATAGGGAAGTAAAAGTTCGAAGTCCGCGCTTGAAATTCGCACGTTTGTGGTGGCTTGGCGCTGGTAGCGAGAGTCATGCACGTGATGTGGAGTGGATATCTAGCGCCAACGGTGCCGAAAGCAACAGGAAGAAACGAAAACTCCGAGATCGAGGCACGAGTCATGCGCTATTTTTATTTATAAGAATAGTACTTTGTGCATGCTTCGGCAACGTATTTGTTCCGGGCAGCTCCTCACCTAGCGGAGAATGACAGTGCAAAGCATCGACAAAGCACAACATATAACTAACTATGTTTGCTTTCAGGTCGAATTGCTTAGTCACTAGATTTTCAGCAACAGGCGGCACGACATCTAGAGGAGCAAAAGGTATCATAAAATGTCTGTACATGCTACTACTCCACACGCAGCTAGTTGCTGCAACTTAATAGACCAGCCGTAGACATGTTCCTCCATCCGTGTCTCGTTTGCAGCTTGCCCCTTACTCCAGCTTCGACTGCATTTCTGAAGCCAAATACACGCTCCCTCTCTGAAATGAAGTTAGGTCGACTAACGTTGGTAAACGGCGGAGACAAGGCTAGTGCTGCGCATGAATCGCCAAAGCTCCAAATAGTAAAAAGACGCTTGAGTGAACGCTCAGATCTGACAATATGAAAAGCAGCTGCGGGGAAGTTAAGCATATGGTGCCATGTTGGGGGGAAAGCGAGAGATATGAAAATAAACGCTGTACGCTACCAGCCCATAATACAAGAAGTGAAAGACTAACTGAAGGTATATTCACCCCCGTGTGAGCTCCATGGAACGCCATGTACAGAAGGAGAAGCATCTCGGAATACAGTTGGTGTGAACGCAAAGGAAATGGGTATATGAAGTAATGAAAGCTACATGACAATGCAGCCACAGCCCTTCTTCTCCTTAGCCTCCTCCTCTTCCTTGGACTCGGGTAGCCGAGTGGTGGTAGGCTTCGGTTGAGGGGCCGTAATAGGCGGCGCTAGCTTCGGCGAGAGAGCACGAGCGCCTTGGGGAATCGTTGGGGTGAGCTTATAGCCTCCCTGCTCAGTGGTTGGTGATTTAGCAAGATTCCGGTCAATCTTCTCGAGAGGCGATTGTTGCGCCGTCGGACTGGGTAGTGGCCATGTTTCGTTCTGTTGTGCGCTTTCAATATCGACGGGCTGTATTTGCGAAAGACGCTTGTTGGGCGGCTCGTCATTCAGCAACCGGAATTGCTTGTCGTACATGGAGCCTACTCTGCCCTCGTTCTCCCATTGCTCTTGCTTCATTCGTTTCGCATGCGTAGGAATGATTTGCTGATCTGGAGGTAGACGTGGGTCTGGTTTGTACATTGTTGCAAGCCACGGAGCGTCACCTTCTGGTCGATGACTGGTAGTAGGACGAGACACAGATCCACCACTGGTACCAGGGCGCTTTGGAGGCGAGGTGCCCGAAGTATTTCGACTCTTTGGCTGCGTCTTCCGGACGCTGGTCTTTCGTGCTCCAGAGGCGGGGTTCGGCTTGCCCAGAGTTTTGGCCTTGACCGGATATTTCTGAGGGGACTTTGGCGGTGTCACACTGCCGGTTGAAGAAATGTTGCGAGTATGGCCGTAAGGTGGGGTTGTCTGGCGCCCATCCTCTACATCGTCGAGCAAAGCCTGACTCCCCACGCTGCCGCTCCGTATCCGCGCACCATTGGTAGCTATAGCGTCGCCGCTCCAGTTTGCACTGCCTGTTCTAGACCTCGGCAGTGGCGCATCGCGATCTGCCACCGAAGACGGTACAGGTATACCACTAGTCTTGGGCAGAGGTATGCGAGAAGTGCTCGGTCTCACAGAGTGGTTCATTCGTGTCGAGTTGGGCTCAAGCTCTGGTGCGCCTTCTTCCTGAGCCCTAGCACTCCAAGCGCGGAAATCCTCCACGGCCTCTTCGTCTTCAGCTGGTATGGGAGAAATGACTTTTCGAGGCTCATAGTGGCCTTCTTCATTTTGCGAGAACTCAGTCATCTCCGAATTCGTGCGATCTCGTGACCTTCGGGTAGCACTCTGCGAACGGCTGTTGGATCTACTGCTGCGTCCGACCCTAAACCCTGCCTCCTCTAGTTCCTTGGTTTCGATCTCTTTGAGCTTATCTCGGTGTATCCAATTGTTTTGGTCGTACTCGAGTGCAGCCCAGTTTGGATCTACTGCACCGGCCTTGGTAGGCTTCTTCTTACCCTTTGCCTTTGCGGGGCCCGACGGTCCTTTTTTATTGTTGGCATGACTCTTGTAGTACTCCAAGACACTATCTTGTTCACTGTTGCTCGCGCTCATGTCCCCACTGGGCTTCTTGTGCAGCTCATTGACGCGGTCTGGGACGAGATATGGCTGACTGTTCTCATGGTATGCATCCTGCGATTCCCAAGTCGTTGAGCGAACAGGTTTTGCGAAGCCATTGGCTTGCGATGTGAGGGGCTGGCGGGGGGAGTGCGCGGACGTGACGTATTCAGACATGTAAGGCTCTTGATCGTAGGACGCTCTCTGAAATCACCGTCAGCAAGGCCAAAATATTGTCTAGTAGCTTGAGTATTGGGAAGGGGGGTTGTGCCGATCAAGTTGGCGCTACGGTGCGGCATGATCACCACCTGCAGTAGTGTGCGGAGCCATAACGAAAACCATGTGACATTGTGACATCAGGGTTGGAATGATCCTACGCACCGAATTGTTTAGAGGCACAGCGAGATCCCACGAGGCCCCTCCGTGGGAGCTACTTGGGGGTGTCAATTGCTGGACTGGCGCTGGGTTCTGGCGAGACGATACGAGAGCGGCCATGGGATGTGCTACTGATCAGATCCAGTGCGGTCAACAGCGCGCCCAAAGCCTTGAAGGTACTGGAGGCTCCGTTTGCGGCGGCGAGAGAGTGCTATTGCGCGATAATCGACGTGGTGTAATGTCTCGAGCACTGGGCAGGGGCGCAGCTCCCAGGGAAGGAAAGGGCCGTTTGGTGTTTGTAGATGTGGTAAAGGCAGATGCGGAGAAGATATGCTCCAGATGCTGAGCAAAGTGGCTATGAGAAAGACGCCATGGACGAGCAAGAAGAGGGTAGGCTCAGGTGTGGTGACGCAGGGCGAAGGCTATGAGGGGGTGTTTGCATGCACGAGCAAGCAGCTTCCCTGCAGGTTTGGTGGTCGCGGCGAATTAAGAAGGGAAGTTTGAGCAAAAGAAACAAATGAATGGGAGGGACCGAAGATTGCCGCGCAGCTCAACGTCCCGTAGCTGAGAAAGTGTCGTGAGGAAGCGCAACGGTGTGAACGGCAAGGAGTTGCTTGGAAAGAGACGACCCGGGAGCAACGCCTCTAGTGGTCGGGGATCTCTGTGATTCGCGCTTGGCTGGGTTACGCTCGGACGGAGCCTTGCAAATGAATTTCGGCGGCGCGTCCAAAGGGGCATGGTGTCTGTGATCTTCCGCATCCTCGAGACGTGAATGGCAAAGCTGCAAAGAGGGTGAAGAAGCAAGCAGTTCTGTCCTACGCTGTCCGTTGCTCCTGGTCCAAGAGCGCGCCCAACTCCCGTCCTCTCCTCTGTATGCCTCACGGAAACACCAAGCATTCGGGTAAATTCGAGCCGCGTATGGCTGAAGTTTGATTGACTCTGTTGCTGCTGTGCACGCAGACTGCCCCATGCACAATTGTCTGAACAAAGCTTCCATGCGCTGAGCCATGCCCGATGTTGACAAGTCCCACCAGGGCTATAGCCCGGAGTATATAGGGAATTCCAAATGGGCTGCAACTGGCTCTTGGGCTGTCAGTCATGTGCTGGAGAGCAGAAAGTATTGGTACACATAATCTGATCAAACAGATGGTGTGTTGATGGAAGTCACGTTGTCACTCCACTGACTGACCCATGGTCTCGGTAAAGGGGGGATGGCGATGTTCCCCCACAAATAGCACCCTGATGCCGGGCAACGCTATGACAGCAGCCGTTTCGAAACGTTATAATAACTCATAGTATATCATTGCGACAGAAGTTACCATCCAAACGTCTCATCGAACCAAAAGACATCATTGCCTTTCTTCACCCACACTTCCACATTCCGTTTGAGATCCTCAGTCAGCCTCTTCGGCCCACAGCAGATGACTGCCGTTCTCGTACCCTTGCCAAAGACCTCATCCACGACGTCACTCATCTTCGGTCTGCCATACTTCACTACTACCCCCTTCCTTGGCTTCTCCATTTGCTCCTCCGTGCCCAGTAACTGCTCATTCTCTTGCATCTCAATCGCATCTCCCCCTTCGTCCTCGGGATCAATAGCAAAAACGCCGGATGCAGATGCGTCAGCATGCAGACTCGGACCCGATGGCCGTGTAACATAAACTTCGACATTTCTTGGGCCCTGCAACAAGCCGTGACCATTCGCTTCGGCACCTGCGTCTTCCTCATGCTCGTCGTCACGAGAAGAGGATGCAGGAAACGCCCACTGCGTGTCGGCAAGTTTCTGGACCGCCCATATGCACCGAATATGCGTACCTGCAGACGTTGGGTCGTGCGTTTCTAGGATGCTTCGATATATCGGAATGATAAATGTTGCACCGACTCCGCCCGCCACCAAAAGTACATTGTCGTAGTCGGAGAAGTCTGGGAGGTGTGCCGATGCGCCATACGGTCCTTCGAGAACAATGGGTAAAATCGGAATGTCGCCGCCAGCCGTGGGAAGCATTTGGATACCGCTACCACCTTGAGCGAGTGTACGCGCTAGGTCGGCGAGGTACTTTGTGTTGCCGTTTAGTGTTCTTGCGACGAGTAACAGCTCCTTATCCTTGACCGGTATTGACGCCACAGTAAAGGGGTTCGTCTTGTTGATCATTAGCCATTGGTCGTAGAAGGTCGGAGCCTTGGCTTTGCCCCACGGTCTGCTAAGATAGACGTGCTGACCGGGTTTCCATTTCAGTGCCGAGCTCATCGATGGTAATGGTATGCGAATCTGAACCAGATTTGTGCCAGGGAGTACTTTGATGGTTCCTTGGTACCTCTTGAACCGTAGCGTGCGGAAGATGATATGCAAAGCTTCCACTAGGACGATCTCGTACACGTAGATGCGGATGTGCGAGACGTGTAGATACAACGCTGGGATGATCAAGTTTGCAACAGCAATGTGAGAGATGTAAAAGATCCGGTAGTTCCTTCTGCGGATGAAGCCTAGGGCTGTCGTGCCAATAGCGGAAAACAGAACGATGCTAATAATGCCCCAAATAACATCCCAGGATTTGATGCGCTTTGCGAGGAGACCGGACAAGATGAAGAAGTTGAAATAGAAGATACCATGTAGGACGAAGAGGAAGTATGTAATCCGGCCTAAAATCTCATGCGAAGCCTTCAGCTGCTCGTGAGATAGTCGTGTGAGCCACTGAACCGGAGAGTAGGGTGCTCTCATCGCTAGAAGGTAATGCACTGGTATTTGCGATGCGCCAACTTGTCCAATTCGCTTAGTGAGGTGTAGATAGTCTACTTGCGTCAATACCGGGAGCAGACTCATAATTCATTATGGATATACGTACCCTTTCCTGTATGTGCGACGCAAAGGTACAGCAACCATACGGTCCAAGCACTCGCGCCTATCCATTCACTCCTCGTGCCCCAATTCCAACCTGGGATCATGTCCTTTCGCATCCACCACAGCAGTCTGTTGCCAGTATTTCGCAGGCTTCTCAGCCACCCTAGCCTCCCATCTGAGCGTTTATTGAAGGATGGAGATTTCGGTGGATCATATTTCAACCCGCTTTTTACCAGCCAAGCCAAGAAGAAGCTGATTTGGAAGGCTGCGAAGATGGCCAGTACAGACCACTGTGCAACAAAGCCATACCACTCCAGATATTCTCGTCTTTGGTGTTTTTGCTTCTTGTCCAGAGTTTCGAAGTAGTATCCAAAAGCCCAGTATCGGTCGGTTTTCACTTCGTTGTGGCCTTCGTGGCGCCGCAAGAAGTCCATGTCGAAGTCCGACAGATGAGATTCTCGATACTCAGACTTCGGAAGAATGCTGCTTAGAGGAGGATCGGGTCTTGGTGGAAGCTCGGAAGGTAGGCCTCGGAAGGCGCCGCTTCAGGCACCGACGAATAGAGATGTTAATGTTGTCAGACCGGTGGGGAACTTGTCGACATTTAGTGTAGCTGACAAAACTGGGCCTGGAGGTGCGTTCGGACTCTGACGGATCCAAAGCTGGTAACGCCGGAAACCTGGACTGTGAACCTATGGAAACTTGCTCATGGACGCATCTCGCATCCGCTCTTGTACTCTTTCTGTATTATTAGCTTTACGATAACATCCAGGGGTTGAGATCGCATCCAAAGGTGAAAGGGACGGAAAGCAAGCATCAATACCAGCGCGCCTATTGAAGGGCCCGGGGGTCCGTGTTCATAGGCCGACGCGGAAACCCCACCAAACCGCCGGCTTGGACCCTGAGTTGCCCTCTATTCGTTGTACAAGTGATCGCATCCGTCGTTATTTAGCTTTTGTATACCTTTGTGGCTTTATCGATATGACCGCTACTGCTGCTACTCCAAAGATTCCTCTTTGGCTCGACTGTGTCCGTAAACCGCTCGCACCTTCCTCGACTTCCGTACTGACACCACAAGGACACTGGACATGATGTGAGTCTCAGACCACCATACGTCGCTACTATCGCTTACAGACTCCTCTCTTCTCCAGGACGCGTATGCTCTCCTGATTAGCGCCCACGACCCTCGCGTCGAGCTCCTAGGTGTCACCACCGTCCATGGCAATGCTGCGCTCGAGCAGACGACATTCAACACACGGGCGATTCTCGAGGCAATTGGACGGCGTGATGTGAAAGTCTACTCGGGTGCGGCGAAGCCCATTGTTCGCGAGGCCGTACACGCTGCCGATATCCACGGTACATCATACCTCCAATGCGTAGACGGCATAGTCGACTGATATGAGCAGGCGAGTCTGGCCTGGATGGAGTTACGCTTCTGCCTCAGCCGATCGAGCCCGCCGCCACTGATGTTGACTATCTGGAGGCTATGTATAAGGCTCTTATAGCTACCCCGCCTAATACTGCTTGGCTGGTTTCGACGGGCACGCTGACAAACATTGGACTGCTATTCCAGAAGTACACCGATCTGGCGGGCCATCTCAAAGGTTTGAGCATAATGGGAGGTGCAGTTGGTGGTGGCTTCACCAACGCTCCCATGGGTAAAGTCAAAGGCGAGGGAGAACGCTTTGGCAACTGGACGGCTTATGCCGAGTTCAACGTAAGCTTTTCGGCCTGGAGTCTCCATACTGTTGATGCAACGTACTAACAAGTCTTTCAGATATATGTGATACTACCCGCCATCATCTAGCTGCGAATGACACTGACAGAAGTAGTGCGACCCGGAAGCATCGGCTTTTATCTTTTCGCATCCGATCCTCAAGCCCAAGACGACATTGATCCCGCTCGATCTGAGCCACTTAGTCCTCGGTACAAGCGCTGTTCGCCGAACCCAGCTCTATGGATCAGATGAGCCGCTCGATGCATCATCCGCGAAGAGTGATCGCACGCCATCTGCTCTACGCGCACTTTTCACCCAGATCATGTCCTTTTTTGCCGGCACTTATGCTGAAGTATTTTCGATAACGGATGGGCCGCCACTTCACGACCCTCTCGCTGTTGCTGCTGCTATTGATCCCGACATTTTCGATGACAAGGGCGGCGAACGGTTCCAGGTCGATATAGTTACTGAGGGTGTTCATTCAGTCACTCAATCCGACGTTGGAGAGCTTGGCAGGACGAAGGTTACCAAATTGCAGTCAGGCGAGGGTGGCTGTAGGATTCCAAGAAGCGTTGATCTGGGAAAGTTCTGGGGGAGCATTGAAAGCGCACTCAAACGCGCAGATGCAGTCAGTCCGATGCCGAAGATTTCGCGCGAAGATCTAGAAAAAGACGGTGTTTTTGTTGGGATAGATTGAATGGTTTTACACCTCTTCTTGAAGCTGATAGAGACATAGACTTTGATCCCTTGGACATATCATCATAGCTGCGTACGAAATTTACGCAGAAAGACACTATAGATGTTCGATCCTCGTAAAGACCTGCATGCTTGGAGAAATGTGGCCTTTAGCCTATTTCCTGTAACACAAATCCCGATTGTGCCATGCCAAGCTCATCATCAGTATATAACAGCATACACGCGGCGTTTCTTACCCGTCAGGATAGAGGGAGAATTGTTAACATGACCACGCAACAACTTCTCTTTCTACTCTGAGAAACTGGATAACCGACAATCCTCGTTCGAGTTTTGGACTTACAAAATTTGGCAATACGAGCACTTAGAATAGTAGGACAACAATTTTGATGGGATTCGTCAAAAGTTCACTGCCGTGGAGTTCCAGTCGTCCGGTAACCCCATCAATCTGATATTGCTGGTCAGGTACCGTAAAGCTATGGTCACTCGTTCCGGCTGGGATCATCAGGTCCTTTCTGTTAGTCCCGAGACTGCGTCTATATCTTAATTTATCCGAGATGATCAAGTGCCTCTTTCCTGTAGCTCAATAGCTAACCGGCTTAGCCTGGCGTTGGGAAAGCCCCATCGAGAAGTCCGAATGAATGAACTGATCTTGCGACTACGGATACCGCATATCGGCAGAGCGGAGTCTTCCATCGCAATCAAAGGTGCGTTAGGAATTAGTCAAGGGTAGGTATATAGGCAAGCTTCCTCAATAACCTTGGTTCTACTTTCTCTAGCCTCTTCCACCTGTGTTGGTCGTCCCGTCGGCTTCGACTATCAAGATGAAGGTCTCTTACATCCTTGCTCTTCTTCCCCTGGTGGTCGCTTCACCAGCCCCGGTCCGTCCTCGCCCTACTAGAGCAAGGCAGGCCCTAGGCCTCGGCGGTCTCGCGAGAAAGGCAGGATTGAAGTACTTTGGCACAGCTATCGATAATGTCGTTCTCGACAACACGCAGTATACCTCCATCGCCTTCGATAGATCTGAGTTCAATCAAGTCACCGCGTCGAATGGACAGAAGTGGGTGCACATCGAGCCCAAAAGAGGCGTCTTTAACTATACTCTGGGAGACGAAATCGTCGATCCGTCCAAGGATGCAGGACAGATACGTCGATGCCACACGTTCCTGTGGCATAACCAACTTCCCAAGTGGCTGACGTCAGGAAACTGGACGAAGACGACCTTGCTCAACGTGTTAGAGAATCACATCAAACACGAAGCAGACTACTATTGGGGCGACTGCTACGCATGGGATGTGGTAAATGAAGCATTCAACGACAACGGGACCTACCGCTCCGACATTTGGCTCGACACCATAGGCCCAGAATACATTGAACACGCCTTCCGATTTGCACGCAAGTACACGTCGCCCGGCACCAAGCTGTACTACAACGACTACGGCATCGAGCGCGTGAACAGTAAATCCCTCGCCGTCCAAGCCCTCATCAAGGACTTCCAGAAACGCAAGGTGCCGATTGATGGCGTGGGCTTGCAGTCCCACTTCACCGTCAGCCGCGCACCATTATACACCGACGTCCGCGCCGCACAGCAACTCTTCACCTCTCTCGGTCTCGAAACCGCTCTCACGGAGCTAGACGTCAGACTGGATTTACCCGATGATGCGCACAAGACGGCTACGCAAGCGAAGATCTACGCAGATAGTGTGCGTGCATGTGTAGACGAGAAGAAGTGCGTTGGCGTGACGGTGTGGGATTTCTGGGACCCGGTATCCTGGGTTCCGGAGACTTTTGCTGGCGAGGGTAATGCGTGTCTCTTGGATGCCAAGTTTAATCGCAAGCCGGCGTATTATGCTGTTGCGGATGTGTTGACCAGGGGGGCTGCGAATGGGACCAGGAGGGGGTGGTGAATAGGGGATGGGAGGCTGCTTGGTAGCCAGCTGGTAGTAGATTGGAATGAGAATGAGTTAAGAGTTACTATAGCCTGAATTGTTGGAATGCAAGCTGTAACTTGTATCTCTTGGCGCTGGTTTCGAGCAGTTGCAGAATCGAGATGTTTTCGGCATGTCAAAGATGGAGTCTCAAAACGAGATGCCTACGAGGAATGCTGCGTCGCTTTCTCGAGCGCATCACTCACTGCTGTTTTTTTGATAACTTTTCGTTTGTCCATAGTCTGAGTAATGACCATGACTGGTAAGGATTTTAAATGCGGGGAGAAGGTTCCTCGTGCTTGGCAAGATTCCGCTCTGAAGATTTCCTTGGGAGCTGCGGAAAAGTCGGGACAAGACTGCTTGCTTGCAGTCAACAAGAAGCTAAGAATGCAGCTCAAGCCCAAGGCGTCCAATGCTCTTGGAAATGCATCGTCAAGCCCTTGATTTCAAAGCTTCCATCATGGTATTGCAGATTGCAGATTTGGCGGACGAAGTGATGGTGGCTGTGCGAGGGCGGGTTCAGTGTGGCCACGCGTACACTTGGCTACAGCGATAGTCTACGAACTCTACACCAGTCTGCGTACGAAGGCTTGAACCACCTCGTCATAGCAGTCTTCGTCGACGGACAAAAGGGTTAAACTTGTGTACCTTTTTCGTCCAGACGTCGGTGACGACTGAAGAAGGTAGAAGCGGGAAACCCAGTCTTGGAATTACCGAGGTTGATAGCCCCTTCCGTCAGAAACAACTACGAGACGAACACTGTGTAACATGGTGCTGTATGAATTTGGACAATGCTTATTGCGCCGTGATGAAGGGCAGACACACGACGTCCATCAGCTGACGACGCCGTGCCATTCCGTGCAAGCTCAATCAGCTCAAATCAAACAAGAGCCCACGGCACGGCTACGCCAATACGTCCTTCAATATGCATAGCCCCAATTGCCAAACCGCTCAAAGGGCTTGGCTCTTGGCGGGCCAAGCAGAAGTGTAGGAGTGGAAAACTTGGTTCCGCTCGATGATACCAAGACCGAGTATGTGGAGCTTTGGGTATCAGTGTGGTTCGGCTGTTGAGAAGTTGAGTGTCTGTTCTTTTTGGGCAGTGTCGTGTTCCATTGCGTAGACGTTGCAAGGGGCAGTTGAGCTCTTGAAGGACAGCTGGATCCAGCAGCAGTGCGCGATAATACGACGTGTGGGGACTACGGTGAGCGATGAGGAGGCATTTTGGGTCGCGAATGGTGGACACTTGGAAAAGCATAGAGGGAGGCTCTCAAGCTCGGGTTAGGGGAAGGTGACGACTGTGTGGGTTATACCCCAGTTGGAGAGAGTGAATAGCCTCGTCGCATAGAGCTCCAGCTCGTCGTTCAGAAGGCGTGCGCAGTTCTTTGTTTGCGACCAAACTTGGGCATTAGGCGACTAGCCCCAGTATTGCCACCTCGAGTGCCGAATCGCACCAACGGGCACCCGTATCGCGTGCACGATGCCAATGTCCTCCGCCCAACACAGCCAAGTCGCTCCGCGATGATTTGAATACTCTGGGCAGTTTCAACCTAGCCGCTCGGCACTGCTGTTGGAGGCGTGGCCACGCTCATGCAAGACAACTGGGCAGCTTTGCTAGGACAGAATGGCGATAAGCAACGGCACAAGAAGCGCGTTCGAGGGCGGCCGTCGTTCCCAACTACAGACAAGCGACTGCACACTGCCTGCGCGCGCGGTGCAATAATTCGGCCTGGGGGGGATGAGGGATAACACCCGCCAAGGCGCCGGCCAAGGCGCTAGTGCATGCGCTAAGGCCAGGGTGTGAATCAAATCGCCCCCTGCAGCCAATGGACGGACTCCGCAGCCTCCGCACCGGCCGCGACGCCGACAGCCGGTTTTCTCTGGGCTTTTTCTTCGCCCGCCTCCCGCTCCGCTCGCTGCCCTTCTACTTGTAGCCACTTTCCCCCAGCCTGGGCGTTTCTCTTTCCCTTCTCTCCACCCAAGCTTGCGCCGTCTTCTCCAGGGCTTGTCTTGACTTACTTGCGCGCATCAAATCCCACTGTTTGCGCGCTCCCATCTCTGTTGCTTTGCTTGCAATCGACACCACCACCCATCCACCACCACCAACACTCACTTGCCAAGAGACTCGACCACTACTGCCATGGCCGACTCTCAGAGCACCGTCCCCGCGACGGCCACGACACCTCAGCAACAACCCCTAGGCACGCCAACCCAGCAAAATGCACCCACCCCCGCCTCTGTCGCAACCAGCTCAGGCGACCAGCTGACCTGCCAGTGGCAGAGTTGCGGCGAACGCCTGCCATCGGCCGAACAGCTCTACGTAAGTCGACCTCGTTCGAGTCTCTGAAGGTTGCCAGGCAGGCTGCACTTTGACATGTTGGATTGTCAGCTGTAATGCGCCTCGTATACCTTCAGGCTACTTTATAATATCAGTTATCCGAGAGAGATATTGACTGTTCAACAGGATCACGTTTGCGAGCGCCATGTTGGTCGCAAGAGTACTAACAACTTGAACCTCACCTGCCAGTGGGGCAACTGCCGCACCACCACCGTCAAGCGTGACCACATCACTTCTCACATCCGTGTTCACGTTCCGTTGAAGCCGCATAAGTGCGACTTCTGCGGCAAAGCTTTCAAGCGCCCACAGGATCTCAAGAAGCACGTCAAGACGCACGCCGACGATTCCGTGTTGCTCCGCTCGCCTGAGCCCAACCGTAGCGGCCCGCCTCAAGGCTATCCAGGACAGAATGGAAAACGTAAGCACTTCTCCTTGGTCCCTGCCTCCATCCCTTTCATGTCGCCCCTATTTCCTTTACATATCTAACCGGCGTTCTACAGTTGTCGCTGACTTGCAGGCGCTTGCCGCTACAGCGAGTGGATATCAGTATCCCGATGGCGCGCTGGGCCCCAATGGAGGCTATGGCCAACAGCACCCAGGTGGCGCTCCGGCTGGCTTCTATGGAGGCCCACCGCAGAACTCTGCCTACGGCCCTGTCTACTACGCTGTCAACCAGAGCCAGCAACTCAACAACGACTACGAAATCAGGAAGCGCGCAGCATATGACGCCTTGAACGAGTTTTTCGGAGATGCCAAACGTCGCTCAATTGACCCTTCCACTTACTATGACGTCGGACAGCGACTTATGGGCCTCCAAGGAGTCCAGCTTCCAGTCCTCGGCGGCGGTTACCAGGGCATGTCTGAATACGGCGGACACGGTGGCACAATGGTTGCCCAAGCGCAGCACCCGCCCATGCACCCTTACTCTCTGCCGCTCCCTAACCTGAGGACCAAGAGCGATCTTTTGAACATTGACCAGTTCTTGGAGCAGCTGCAGAGCACCGTCTACGAGAACCCGAATCAAGCGGCAGCTGCTGGTGTGCAACACCCGGGTCACTACGTTCACGCCAACGCGAATTACCGTTCTAGCAACTCACCTCCTGGACTGTCATCTAGCCACTCGCAATCTTCTCACGCCACGGCTATCGGATCTACAAATGCCGAGACTCCAGCTTTGACCCCAGCTTCCAGCGTTTTGTCATACAGCTCGCAGCACTCCCCTGGTGCAGCCCACTCCGGAAGCACCGTCTCGCCTACCGTCAGGACTTCGATTGGCAGCATGTACCCTACCCTGCCATCTGTTAGCGCAATGTCGGACATGTCTGCTGCCGCTCCTTCATCAGGACTCGCCCCTGCATTTGATGCCGATGGCCGTCGAAGATTTTCAAGCAACCTTTTGCAAAAGGCAGCGCCAGATCGACGAGGCAGCGACTCAATGGATACTTCGGATGACGGCGCCTCTCCTAAGGATCGTCGCGACTCTGAGCAGGACAGCCTACATCACAACGTCCACCAGCTGGCAATCCACTCACCAAAGGTAGATCCCGCATTGCGATCACCTAGTGTAGCCTCTTCAACTGCCACAGAGACGGGCGAGTCGTCACAACAGTCCTGGGTGGAGAACATTCGAGTCATCGAGCGACTTCGGGCCTATCTCAAAGACCGACTTGAAGCGCACGACTACTCAGGGGATGAGGAGGAGCTCGACGTAAAGCACGCGATTGAGCGCCGGATGAGCGACGACGATGCGCACAATCTGTATCCCGTACTTCGCGCTGTGCAAGAAGGCCGGGAGTAAGTTGATGTAGCCTGACGGGTCTCAGGGTGCTTTGCGGAGTTTGGGTAGGCGTCGAGGTGTTTCCACATGGTAAAGGGTCTAGGTCGACCACATGGGATGGGAAAGGTATTCTTTGTTGACGCACGGTGACGTGTGCATTGTTTCAGCTGTCTGTCTTACAGTCACTACTAGGGATTAACGCCTTGAACGGCCGGGTTTGTCTCTTACACATTTGTTAGTAGCAGTGTGCGAATGCGATTATTTACGCTCTTCTCTACACCCAGTTCTCCTGCTGAATGCGACAATGCTTGATCATTCCCTACGGCTTCTCTTGTGGCGGTCACAATTCCAGGCCGATTATCTTGCAACCTGGCTGCATCTGCTGAATGTCCACGCTACGTGAACACATTCAAGACTTACCGAGGTTGTGCCTCTACAATCGTGCACGCGACGACGAGTTGTTTCTGTGCCCAAATCTCCGTTATCAGTCGCCAAGCTCGTGACAAATCTAGTTGGCTTTGATCTCCCCCACATCGACAGCCGTTCGTGTTGATCGTTTGATCAAGCGTTCCCCACGTTGCTGCTATCAGAGCCAGGCCAGGCCAGGCCCAAGACAACGGGTGCTCCGATGGATTGTAGAACGTTGCCCCACAGGGAGCCGCGCTCCTTCGCATCGATCATCTTCATCACTCTCTTCAGACCATTTCAACATTGACCTTTAGACAACGGACGAGCGTTCGTAATCGTGACTAGCAAGCTACCGAGAGTATACAGAGTCTTTGAGATTAGCACCGCGCAACCATGTACGGTCGAGGCGGCGCAGGGAATATAAACGCCGCAAAGGAGTCGAGCAAGAAGGCTGGTGAAGTGCGTAGTCATACCACCTCGTAGTTCCAGCGCGGTTCTCCTTCTGCGATACATACATACATGCTTACAACTCCCATCCAGGACATCGAAGCCAACCACCCGCCTCCCTCCAGCGCCAGTGCCACCGCACCTTCCCCTCCCCAGCAAGCACCCTCCAACAACGCACCCCCGCCGCAAGACTACGCACACATGGGCCGCGGCGGCGCGGGAAACTTCTACCAGCCCTCGACCCTTGTCGCGCAAGGCCAGTTCACTCAACCAGCCGATTCCACCGCGCTGCCCACGAGTGCGAAACCGCACATCAGCACGCCGTGGCATCCGGAGGGCCAGGAGATGCCTGTTGCGCGGTCGGGGAGAGGCGGCGCGGGGAATTTCGTCTGGAAGAGTGACGGCGCGGGGAACAAGGAGAAGGTGGAGGATGAGGAGAGGAGGCGGGAGGAAGTTAGGGAGGGGGTGGAGAGGGATGTCGAGGCGGGGTTGGCGAGGCCGGCTGGGGTGGTGTTGGGGAGGGAGACGGAGAGGGGGTGGTAGTTGGTGTGTTGTGTGGTCTTCGTTTGCTTTGGATGATAGTTGTGGGCATCTTGGAGTTCAGTCAGGCGATAGATGGGACTGGATGGCATCAACAGTCTTTTTTGACGCTTGTAGTTTAGTCAGGTGGTAGATAGGCCTCGATGTCGTCACGGTAGTTTGCACATGTCAGATCATAGTGTGAAGAGGACTTGGAGTCATCTACCACGGGTTCATATAGCTCAAGCATCAGTTATGAATAATGATTCACGCAATTTTTGAACGAATGGCATTCAAACAACAACTGAGCTTAGAGCATCTCAAGACATCCAAGTAAAGAGAGGGGTATCTCGTAAACATCCGCCCCGCTATGCTACAATGAATCCTCTATAGTACAAGTTTCCAACGTCTCACGGTAGCGACCTTGTGTGTTTACACTAGGACATACAGGGCACACATCTATCAGTCGTTAGCATTATAGCACATGCTCAAGGGTTAGCCAACTTACCATGCTGAGCCCTAGGATCATGCTGCACCAAAACAAAACATTGTTGAGCAGAGTCCGTCCCCTGACGAACTTGCTCCTCTGCACCATAATGATGGGTATCTGGAGCATCATAGCAAAGAATCCATAGCCTCTGAACTTCCTAGTTATACAGCCCATGACCAATTCGTGGGCAAGAGCCGAAATAAGGAAGGTGATGGTTGTGGCCACAGGTCGAGACATGTGATTCTTCGAAGCCGAGTATACGTGTCGACGGAAGAACAGATGCACTGGCCGATTCCACTCACGACTATAGGTAGCGATATGTTAGCACTTTTCTGAGAATATGGAGTTTTTTTTTCTGAGAAGCGAAATCAACGCTGGCAAAAGCGGACTATACAACGCAGTAGGGATATAAGACAATCGAGAGCGTCTTATAAACAAGACTGATTACTTACTATCCGCATGTTAGCAAAGACATTCGAATAGTATTCATGGTAGGACTTTCTTACCGAGAATTCAAGCCAGTCGCAGCTATTCCACCAGTCTGCATAGAACTGACGATCCGCAAATCCTTTACTGTCTTAGCTGGGCGTACATAACGGGCGAATGGTGACTTACGTGTAATCTCCGCAAATGCACCCAGGATGTACTCGAAGATGACGAGGAAAACGAGCAGAAAGGTGATCATGAAGGGGAAGAGCAGGCGCCCTATCGTCTCGCCCATAATCAGGCCGAAATCGACCGTACTATTCGAATGGTGTAGTCGTAACGCCGACTGGTCCAGGACCGGTAGGATGAACTCTTCTGCTGTGATTACCATGAGGAAGATACACCCGAACACAGCAAGCGTCTTGTAGAAGACCTCCAGAGGGCGGATCTTGGCCGTACGGGGATATTCGATTTCGTAACAAAGCGTTGGACAGAAGATAAAGTCCACAAAGTTATATAACGTAAGGTTTTCTGGGTAGGAAACGCGACCAAGAGGCGAGGCGAGCTCGAAGGCAAGATCTGCTCGCAGCTGGCTCAGATAAGCAGCGTTAGCATCTTCGGGTTCTTCGTCAGTAGGAGACAGTGGGAGATCGTGTAGGTGGGTTTGAGGCTTCGGGTAGCGGACCGCTGCTGCTTTGCTGGCTTTGTCGGGTGTATCGAGGTCATTCAGGCGCCGTAGTGTTTCACTGAGGTGACCATTATAGAAACTGCCATGGTCAACCACGGGTTCCTATCCTTGATTCACGCAAATAGACTTACGCATAGGAGTGCATCTTCATGAAGATGGCAAGCAGATGCAGAGTGAAGAAGACTTGGGCAGTCCAGCTCCAGTCACGCACAAAGGGATAGCTTTGCATATGTTAGCACATGTCGTTGAAGAAGTCGAAGAATCAACGCATACGTAGTCCAGAAGGTAAGCCATATCACTTGGTATATGCTCTGAATTATCATACCGGGATTACTCCAGCGTAGTGCCCCGCCACTGAGAAATAGCCTTTGCAAAGGCAGTGATAATGCGGTGCTACACACCATAGCACCGTCGACTATACCGAGTTCCCATACCTTCTCTTTGAATAATTTCCATTGTCGTAGCTGTAAAGGATATCCAGTTTCCGTCAGGTTCCGAAGCATCGTTGTGATGACCATAATGGCCAGTCCAATCCAAAAAAGGACGAAGAAGCCGCGGAAGTCATGGTAGTCGCTGTTCGGGTCGAAGTGGGAAACGCGATCCACATACTCGATAGTAGGGAATATGCGCTGCTTCTGCTGAGCTCGTATCTGTCGTCGGGCAGTAGAGGAAGCTTGAACTGAGGGGGGCGCATCTGCGGGAATGGGTGTTGATCGACCGCTGCTGCGATTAGCTATGCGGAAGACGAAGTGTAATGTTGTCTCTACCTCGATATGCCCGACCCAGGGTCCTTGAGCGTTCCGTCCTTGTTGAAAGCCTCCTCGCTTAGTTGTGGTTTGAGCAAGTCGATGCGTGTCGGTTTGCGCGGTCGCGGGGAATGGTACTCGGTGTGCCCATTGTGAGGTTTCGCGTCCACTGATGTAGATTCGGCCATGATGAGAGGAACAGTGTACACAGGGAGGCGTTGCAAAGAGCGGAAGACGCGGATTCAAGGGTGCTCTCAGGCCAGATTGAAGATCAGCAACTTGCCCGGGTCACTAGCTACTGTCAGATGCGACCGGGAGTGCCGCGGTCGGTGAAGGTGGCAGATGATGTTCACGGCAGCAATTCTTGGACATGAAGAGGAAAGACAGTCAAAGGAAGGATTTGTATTGGTAGCTACATAGAAACAACTTGAAGCGGCCTAGGTGGCCATGCTGCGTCAAACAAGATAGATGGTTCGAAACGCGGTGCCGGTTACATCACGGCAGCGCGAGTCAGACAGGCTTAGGCTCCTTCGAGCAGGGAAGGTGCGTCGACACGCTGGATTAACGACGGCCCGCTTCAGTTGTAAGCCATACCCCAACGCTCCCGACTAGAAGCCAACAGCAATAGTTGATGCGCAGAAGCATCCCACGCCAACCATACACTCTTCGCCGACGAACCAATCCACTCCCGATTCTCTTGAGCCGCGCTTCGATTGACCGCTCAAACGTTGCCTGGGTGGGGTCCGAGAGGCCACCACAATGACTTCTTGTACGCCAAGCATCGCCAGCTCCCAGCGTTGGACATATACTAAGGATTCCTAGTGAAGCAATTCATTCGAAATGTGCGAGCCGCAAAAACGATAGCAGACGAGCGGGCCGTCGTCCACAAGGAGAGTGCAGCGATTCGCTCAAGCTTCAGGGAGGAAAGCCACGATTCGAATGTGAGGTGCGTTGCAGCATGCTGTCAACTGTAGGGCCAACCATTCACATGCAAGTAGGAGAAACAATGTCGCCAAGCTACTGTACCTCTTCACCCTGGGTGAGAGGACCCATTTTGGACAGATCGAATGCCTGAAACTGCTGGCCTCTCCGCGCTTTGCGGACAAGCGACTGGGTTACCTGGGGACAATGTTGCTGCTGGACGAGAACCAAGAGGTTTTAACACTGGTCACCAACTCGCTCAAGAAGTACGACCCTTGGTTGTGACTAGGAACATTGGTCGCTAACACTCGTGCAGTGATCTGAACCACTCGAACCAATACATCGTCGGTCTGGCGCTCTGCACCCTCGGTAACATTGCCTCCGTCGAAATGGCTCGAGATCTGTTCCCCGAAGTGGAAACCATTATATCGGCCTCAAACCCGTACATACGTCGGAAAGCCGCACTCTGCGCCATGAGGATATGTCGCAAGGTGCCAGACTTGCAGGAGCACTTCCTGGATAAAGCAAAGTTGTTGTTGCAAGACCGAAACCATGGCGTTCTACTATGTGGCATCACATTGGTAGAAAGCCTGTGTGTGGCAGACGAGGTAGAGGACGACGAGCAAGGCATCAAGGATATCTTTAAGCCTATAGTCCCGGGCTTGGTCAAGATGCTGAAGGGACTATCGTCTTCTGGCTATGCTCCTGAGCATGACGTAACAGGCATCACCGATCCATTCTTGCAGTGCAAGATTCTGCAACTACTCCGAGTTTTAGCTCGTGGCGACGTTCAAGTGAGCGAGCAGATCAACGACATCCTTGCGCAGGTATGACGCCTTCATCGCCTAAAGGATTTATGACTGACTATCAAAGGTTGCTACGAACACCGACTCGTCCAAAAATGTTGGCAACTCTATCTTGTATGAGGCAGTGCTTACAATTCTCGATATTGAGGCCGATTCCGGTCTTCGCGTACTCGGTGTGAACATTCTTGGAAAGTTCTTGTCGAACAGGGACAACAACATCAGATACGTCGCCCTCAACACATTGATCAAGGTGGTAGCAGTTGAGCCGAACGCCGTTCAGCGACACCGAAACACCATATTGGACTGCCTGCGAGACCCCGACATTAGTATTCGAAGAAGAGCCCTTGATCTCAGTTTCACTTTGATCAATGAAAGCAATGTGCGGGTATTAATTCGGGAGTTGCTTGCTTTCTTGGAGGTTGCCGACAACGAGTTCAAGCCGGTAATGACTTCTCAAATTGGTGTTGCAGCAGACCGGTTTGCACCAAATAAGAGATGGCACGTCGACACCATGTTGCGGGTTCTGAAGCTTGTGAGTCCACTCATGATTGAAACTTTTGTGGGTTTCGCTGATACAATTTTCTAGGCTGGTAACTATGTCAAGGAGCAGATATTATCATCATTCGTCCGACTGATCGCGACTACACCTGACCTTCAGACTTACTCTGTACAAAAGCTCTACACCGCTTTGAAAGAAGACATCACTCAAGAAGGCCTCACTCTTGCTGGCTCTTGGGTAATCGGGGAGTACGGTGATGCGTTGCTGAGAGGCGGCCAGTATGAAGAGGAGGAGCTTGTCAAGGAGATCAAGGAAAGCGACATCGTCGATCTCTTCGAGACGATCCTCGGCAGTAGTTACGCGGGTCTCATTGTTCAGCAATACATTATCACAGCGTCGATAAAACTGACAACACGGTTAAGCGACCCCGCGCAAATCGAGCGTCTACGACGATTACTGCTAAGATACGGAGCAAATCTCGACGTGGAGACCCAACAGCGTGCGGCCGAGTATGTCAATCTGTTTGGGCACGATCAAATCAGAAGGGGTGTTTTGGAGAAGATGCCACCGCCTGAGATTCGCGAAGAGTCACGGGTACTTGGAGAAGCGACCAAGAAGCGACAGTCGAAAGTCCTCAAGAAGAAACCTGCGCAAGCGGCGACGGAAGACCTACTACTCGACCTAATGGGCGACTCTGGGCCTTCCGTGGAGAGCAACGGCGCCAATGGTACTCAGCACAGCCAAGATCTACTCGCAGATATTCTTGGTGGAGGAGGCCCATCCTCCTCATCGCCACCTCCTCAGACGTCTGCCACGCCTCAGTCAAATGTTGCGAATATCATGGACCTCTTCAATTCCGGGCCTAGCACCTCTCCCGCCCCTGTACAGTCACGGCCTCCTCCACAAGCAGCATCCATGGACCTCCTTGGCGGTCTCGGCGGCACGTCGTCACCGCCAGCTCAGAGTTCAGCTCCCCCGGTCGCGTCTGGACCCCCTGTTCTCCCCGCATACAACAAGAACGACCTCCAGATTACCTTCCAACTTAAGCGCGATGCGAACGCCGTGCAACTCCTTGCGCGCTTCCGAAATACCGGTAGCTTTGGTCAGCTTTCAGCGGTCAACTTGCAAGCTGCTGTACCGAAAAGCCAAAAACTACAGTTGCAGCCAATAAGTACAAGTGAGCTGGAGGGAGGCCAGGAAGCAACACAGCAAATGAGAGTTACATCTGTCAACGGCGTAAGTTGGCTCCAAGCACAATCAATCCGTATCAAGATTACTAACGTTCGTCCAGACACCACCAGCGAGGTTGAGGCTAAGGTTAAAGGTCAGTTACTCCGCAGGTGGAGGCCCAGTAACGGAACAGGTCGATTGGTCTGAGCCGACCTAACGTACATACTGGGCTAGAAACAGTGTGGTTGTCGCGATTGAATAGAGAAATGGAAGCCTCATGCGCGACTCTTGCTTGTCTGTGCCTTATATTTGATGAACCATCGCCACCAACGAGGAATAGCATGGAAAAATCATGTTAGAGTATGTATGCGCAGATATCGAACACGGGGATAAGAAGCGGGAGGGGCGCCGTAGAACCTTGAATGAATGCACGCCTCGCTCCCCGGTAGATCACCCCCGCACTCTTAGTGGACGACTTGCCTAGCTTTCCCCTGCACATCCTCACACAACAGAACCGTCGATCCTCATATCGCATGCTCAAGAGCCCGCAGCCGCAGCTTGCCCTCGAAAGGAGGTAAGGAATATGCGATGAGCCTCTATGACGCCAGCATTCTGTCAGCGAACAAGAGTGAAACTGACGGAATGCACAGCTTGACGATCGACAAGCTTGTACGAAGTAGCGCGCACATGGCCTTCATAGCATGCATGCGACTATATCCATGGCCGCAACTCCGTCCTGACACCTTCCACAAAAAGATCCTGTCATGCGCTACTACCACATGTCCACCGAATCTACAACACCGGCGACATTAGGAAGCCGATTGCAATATCGACTCAGTACAGAGGGTGCAAGACCGTCGCTGTGGGGTCATGCAACAAGCCTTCGGCAGGCCACCTCCCTGTTAAGATTCAAGACGGGGTAGTATGCAGCGTATAGTAGTACTCCACTATTAGGTCCAGTCGTACCCGGTAGGTCCGAAGGTACTGTATATAACGAGGTACCCGCCATGGATCATTTCCCCTCTATTCCTTCCCAGCGGGTTCAGACTATTCCTTAATTGCCAGCATATTGGGTCATCATGACATGGTTTACACCCCTTTTTCTTGGAGCCGCAGCCCTTCCTTTTGCATCTGCGCTCCCGTCAAACACACCGAGAGACATAGGCGCCTATGCCAACGTCAATCCTAAAAGACAGAATGATGTACCAAATAGAGCGGCCAGGGCACAAGCGGTAGTCGACACGTTCAAGTTGAGCTGGGAAGGCTACTATACGTACGCCTTTCCAAACGACGAACTCAAACCAGTTACAAATGGTGTTAGCAACTCACGGTATATTTTGCTGTGGAGATAGTAGTAGCACCTCCACTAACCAACGACGTAGAAACAAATGGGGTGCGTCCGCCGTAGACGCACTATCCACTGCCTTGATAATGAACGAAAAGACCATTGTGAACCAAATAATCTCCTACATCCCCAGCATAGATTGGTCCGTCCCGCTCGATGAGGTCTCATTGTTTGAAACAACCATCCGGTACCTGGGCGGCATGATCTCAGGCTACGACTTCCTCACTGGCCCACTAGCCCACCTAGCAGACGACAGGGAGAACGTTGATGCACTACTGGCGCAAAGCATTAATCTTGCGAACAATCTGAGCTATGCTTATGAGACACCGAGTGGCGTGCCGTGGAATAACCTCAACTTCGCGACTCGGGGAAATGATGGAAAGGCCAACGGCCTCGCTACTGTTGGCACTTTAATCCTCGAATGGACACGTCTTGCTGATCTCTCTGGCAATTACACTTATGCGGATCTTGTCGAGAAGGCGGAAAGCTACTTGCTCGAACCCTCTCCACCATCCTCTGAGCCCTTCCCTGGGCTGCTGGGTATGAGAATCAACACGACGACTGGCGAATTTCTGGACGCGAGAGGAGGCTGGATAGGCGGCGCAGACTCATTCTACGAATACCTGATTAAGATGTGGATATACAACCCTGAGCGCTACGCTACGCTGAAGGATCGCTGGATCGTCGCTGCAGACAGTACTATCAAGTACTTGACCTCGCACCCCCAAACCCGGCCTGACTTGACGTTCCTAGCAGCGTTCAATGGCACGACGCTCGACCTGAGCAGCCAGCATCTAGCGTGCTTTGACGGTGGGAACTTTATTCTCGCTGGCCAAGTCCTTTCGTCACAGCGCTACATCGACTTTGGCCTCACCCTCGTAGATGGCTGCCACGACACTTACACACAAACTGCGACTGGCATTGGCCCGGAAAGCTTCTCCTGGGACCCTGCTCGTGTGCCTGCTAACCAAACTGCCTTCTTCAACCGCACAGGCTTTTACATTACCAGTTCCGATTACGTTCTCCGCCCAGAAGTCATCGAGAGCTACTACTACGCGTACCGTGCCACCAGTGATCCAAAATACCAGGACTGGGCGTGGGATGCGTTTGTTGCTATCAATGCTACGACGAGAGTGGGGAGCGGGTACAGTTCGATCAACGACGTGAATGCAGCGGGCGGAGGTGGCTTTCAAGATTTCCAGGAAAGCTGTAAGTGATCACTTGTAAAACGCGTGGAGGGGCTTTTGCTGACTTTGAACGCACAGTCTGGTTTGCAGAGGTGCTAAAGTATAGCTACTTGATTCAGGGGCCTGAGGCGGAATGGCAAGTGGGCAAAGATGGAAAGAATTCTTGGGTTTTCAATACAGAGGCACATCCTTTCAAGGTACTTGGCACAGAGAAGCGAAGCCAGTGAAGATCGTGCGCGCGAGCGACTTGATATCGCGGGGTATATAATGTGGATGAACAAGGTTGTGAACCTGGAGACACGTCGTGTTGCCTTGATCAAGTGCTACTCGAAGAAACCGCCGTCGCTCTCCTCGGCCTCTTCTTGTGCCTTCTGGGCCTTAGCCGCGCCAGCCTTCCTTCTTTCTCGACGATTTTTACCCTCTTCAACATCCTCGTGCTTTGTGATGCTCTTCGTAAATGCTTTCTTCTTATTGTCCTTCTTTGCTGGTGCAGCTGGCATGGCTTCTTTGCTATAACGTAGCGTATCCAGAGTGCCTTCCGTCATGGCCTTCTCTACAGCCCTCCACATCTCGACGTTGCCTTTAGGTCCATCAACCTCTCGATTGCCCTTGTCATCGTCTTCCTCTTCGGCTTCTGCAGATTTGCCGGTCTTCGACTTGGGGTATAGCGAGGAATACGGCTTCATCAGCGGGTAGTATATCGCATAGTTCACATCCACCTCTGCATTGTGTATCCGCTGGTTTAGCTTCGTCTTCTGTGGTTCGTCTTCTGATGCGGACATTTCCTTCTTCAGCCTCTTGAGTATGCGCGTTGCTCTTTGTCGGTCTGTCCATGATCAGTATTCTCCCCGGACGGATCTTTTGCGTTTGCCACAACTCACCGAAGAATCGCACCTGATGGTACTTCCCAATCATCTTCTGCCTGTAATCTGCCTCCCTGCTGCTCTCAACGTTCTCCTTCAACTCATGCTCACACGCCTCTAATTCTCTCTCTCGCTCTATACGCATGCCAGCAGACATCTTGTGGCCTTCGACACTCTCCACATGCACGAGAAGGCGCTTCAAGTCTCGGATCCGGCTTTTCAGCGCATTGTTGCTGGTGGTCTTTGAGATGTCATTGGAGACCTGAGGGCGCCTGGGCTTTGGCTGGCCGTTGCTGGGCTTGAAGGGTTGGTGTTTTTTGAATGGCTTGGATTTGGAGGGTTCGATATCCGCAAACTCGGCGTGCTTTCGTTTCTGCGACATCATCTTGTCGTGTGTTGGCGCAACAGGTTGTAGAAGTTTTGGTGGACCATGAGGCAGGGAAAGTTTTAGCGGGGCGGCAGAACCGCCCGACCGCCTTGATGCACGCCAAGCCATGTCACGAGCCGTTACCTTCACTACTCCTCATCCACAGGACTTGCCAGAAACGAAAGATGAGGCCCGTATCATTCAAATATACCCTTGTTCTCTCCTTATTTCCTGCCCCATGAGATTGTCTATCCTCTTAGGACCTCGTACCTTTACCACGGCGGTATTACAGGCCCTCCACTAGTAACATGGAAGCAGCTATAAGATGGTCGCCCCACTCAACACGCGACAACCGGCGCTTTTTGATCATTGACGTAGCAGGAAACCGACTGCGGCTCTGTCAGATCGATGACTTTGAGAAGAGCAAGGTCAAGTACAGGCAGATATGTATTCGCGACAAATTACCCAATTACACCGCTTTTGACTGGTCCAAGAAGGATCCCAGCATTGTCGCTATAGGGTCTGCCTCTGGAGAAGCCATCGTTGTTACTCTAGACCCGGACAAGCCGGAGAATGACTACGTTCACTCCTTTTCCATTCGGCACCAAAGGAAGTGCAATTCCATCGCATTTAGCTCAAAGAATCTACTGGCTACGGGCCTGGATAGGGTTAGAAACGATGTCTGTCTCAACATCTACGACCTGAATGACTCGCGGTTTACCAGTAAGGATGAGCCATATAGGAAGTTGGCGAGTTCAGAGGCTATCTCGAGTATCAAGTTTTTTGCCGGACAGCCGGACACGCTCGTTGCAGGCGTCTCGAGACAGTATGTTCGCATCTACGATCTCAGAGGTCAGTTTATATCTGCAACTGGACAGACCCTTTTGCTCATCCATGCTAGATTCGAGTACGACTGGCATTGCTCAATTTCAGACGCGCCAGGTACACAATATTGCCATTGATCCCTTGGACGAGAATTACTTTCTCTCAGCTGGCACGGCAGGTGATCCTACAGTAATAGTCTGGGATACGCGATTCGTCAAGCAGCGCGGAACGTCCAATGACACTGCAAATAGTGGAGCCGTTCTTGAGTTCAAGCCTGTCGTCGATAACTCCCACTCGGCATCTATCTGGAGTCTACGCTATTCTGGCACCAAGAGAGGAACGTTTGGTGTTCTTGCCAATACAGGCGAGTTTAGAGTTATCGAGATGGCGCAGCATTCTCATCAGCCGGCTAAGACTGCGGATACGCCATTCGCTCGGACATGGGCGTCCCCGTACTATACGAAAGCTTCACATCATCTACGGTACCCTTCGCATGACAAGACAAATCAACAGGACGAGAAGGGGCGCGTCATGGCTTACGACTTCATGACTACTGGTAATACCCTCAGTGGGCAATGTGCATTAGCTTTGCATTCAAATCGCGAGGTTGAGGTTTTGAGGGTACCGCCACCGGTGCCTCGCCTCAATGTCAGCGCACTCGAAGAGATATACAAAGACCGGACTTGTATTGCGAGGCCAAGTTCGCCCCATGGCACGATCGCAGATGACCTTAGTGAAGTGCAAAATGAAGTACTGGGCGAGAAGTACGGCTTCAACCAGGACGACAGAAGCATTCTCTCGGCGAGCATGGATAGAATGCGCCTCAGCAATAGCCAGCGGAACCGTCCTCTACTTTCAGCAACACATCCCAGCCATGAAATTCACGAAGACCTTCTTAACCTAGGATATCCTCATGTGAAACTTTCACTTAGCGACTACCTCGCAGTCTTGCAAGCCCCCAAGCGCCGCGTCCAGGAAGGATACTCGCTTGATTGTGCCCGCAACAAAGCCATCGTTTCTAACGACCCCTGGCTTGTCGATATCTGGACCCTTGTCGACCGAATGGATGCACACGCTTCGGGTGACGGCATGGTCGGCAATGGCTTAGACTTGATGTACCTGGGCGTGAGCTCGATATGGGCGAACGAATTGACCATGTACGATGAGCGACTCATCGACCCAGATGCGAAGACTAGTCAGGAGATGTTCAGTGACGCGGTCAAGGAGATTGTCGAAGGGGCGGAATTCCCTGCTTTCGAAGGCATAAAGACAGAGTACCCCGAGAATCGACAGTTGTGCCTGAGTCTCTGCGGATGGTCACTCGACAAACTCGGTGTGCAAAAAAGTTGCCAAACCCTAGCAGACGAAGGAGATATCTACAAAGCCATTGTCCTTGCCGTCTTCCAAGGCTACAAAGACGTGGCTCTCGCCTTGCTGCGCTCCAAACTTCAGCAGAAGAAGCTTCCACAAGATGATATCGGCCTCGCTGCTGTAATCTCCTGTGCATCGCCTTCATCCGGTGTATCCGCCGACCAGCGCGAAGCATGTGCCTGGATGGCAGACATGACCTCCGATCCCTACCTAAAATCCCTCCTAGTATACTTCATCTCTGGCGAATGGACCACGGTCGTAGGTATGAGTCAGCTATCGCTCAACGACCGTGTCGCAGTCGCCCTCAAATACCTCTCCGACAGCCAACTCTCGCATTTCCTCAACATAGCCACGGCAGCCGTGATACGCGAAGGCGATATCTCCGGCCTCCTCCTAACAGGCTTCACCACGCGTGCCCTCGACCTCCTCCAAGTCCACATATCCAAGCACCCGTCTAGAATCCAAGACGCCGTGCTCCTCCTCTCGCGCGCCTGCCCGCTATACATCCAAGACGCACGCTGGACCCTGTGGAAAGACATTTACCTCTCTCACATGCAGACCTGGCGCACCTTCCTCGAACGCACACGCTACACCAAAGAGCACAATCTCCGCAGCGTCACGCGAGAAGGCCGCAGCGTGAACAAACCAACCCAGCCTAGCCTGACGATCCGCTGCCTTAATTGCCAGCAAAACCTCGCTCTACGCAAGGATCCCCGCTCTGCGAAACAGCGCCTCATACCGACCCCAAATCAGCCTTCTAAACCGACCATTGGCCCGCAGAAACAGCGCCAGGCGTCTTCCCCGGCGCTCGCGTGTCCTAACTGTGCTACTCAGATGCCTAGGTGTGGACTGTGCATGTTGTGGCTGGGTAGCCCGGATCCGGCCAAGCAGGGTGCGTATGACAGTCTCAACGGGGAGGATCTCGAGGCCCGGTTGATGGTGTTTTGTATGAGTTGTTCGCATGGGTTTCATGGGCATCATGCGCGGGATTGGTTTGCGAGGCATGCCATGTGTCCTGTGCCGGATTGTGGGTGTATGTGCGGGCTTCTGAAGTAATGTTTTCAATGCTTTGCGGGTAGGGGTAGATGTTCAGGGGTTGGCGTAGCTGCGGTCTGGTTCTTTGGCTTTTTGAGTTGGAAGACATGTTTGGTTTGCATTTCGGTCATGCAGAGGATATACTTCAAGTAAACAAGGTGTTTAGAGCTTCTGTTTGACTGAAACTACGCGTGTCCTAATCGTATACCATCAACACGGACTCACTTCTACAAAATACTAAAGCCACAAAGGGTATCGTTGCCGTTCCGCGTCCCACAGTTCGGCCGTTGCATCATCCATATGAGAGAGTGTATCCCAGGCCATGCCATGCCATGCCATGCCGCTAGTGATGCTAAAAAAATAAAAATAAAACTCCGCTGTATGATGCAGATGGAAAAAGAAGAAATTGGATGGGAAACAGCCAATCACAAGTGCATATCCAGATATGCATACCGTGGGCACAATTGTCGAAGCGCCACAGAGCAGCCACCTAATCCTGGCCTAACATCTCGCTATCATTACCGAATTCTTCGTCCATCTCGTCGATAACCATGCCATTCGCTTGCGCTGTGACATTGATAATGACGTCGCCACCATCTTCGCCGTCATTGTACATGGTTCCTTCGTTGTCGCCAAAGGACGAATCGCGATCCTCATTCTGGCCATTCGTGTTCAGAAAACCACGCAGACGCTGTACGCCGACGCCACTGAAGACACAAAACACGTCGCGTTGGTGTTCGTTGAATTCAGGGGGGGCTTCGCGGCAGAAGACGAGGAGGTCGTCGCGGAGAAAGGCTTGCACGCCTGTCAAGGAGAGGTGGGTCAAACGCGGGCAATTGTTAAGGAGGGCGTGGATACCCTAGTCAAGTCAGGTCAGGGGAGTGCAAGTAAATCAGGGGGGCGTGTAACATACCGCCAAGGTGAGGTTGGTGCAGTAGCTGAGATGAACTCTCTCTAGCACGCTGGGGGCAATTGGTCCACCAGAGCCCACTTGCTTAGGTTTCGCGAGTGCTAATATACTACGGTCTGTAATGGCTGCGCATTTGACTAGTCCTATTCGTTTCAGTTTTGGAAGCATGGCTAGCTGCATAACTGATGCGTCTGTGAGATTGGTGCAGCAGGCCAAATCGATATAACGGATTCGATTGCACAGCTTCACCAGCTGTGCAACACCCGTATCCGTGATACGCGAGCAGTGACCCAAGTGAATATAATGCAGGTTCTTGCCCAGGCGTGTGATGGCCAAGACGGCTCTGTCTGTGATGTTGCGGCACTTTGCAAGGACGAGGTTTCGGAGTCGTGGCGCTGCATATACGATCTTCTGAACACCGGAATCCTGTAATTCTCCGCAGTCGGTGAGGTCTAGAATACGGAGGCTCTCATAGGTAGCATCGGACGGAAGGCGGAGGAAGGCTTGGTCCGTAATCCTCCAGCAGTGGGCCAGGCGTAACTCCCTAAGATTCGGGCCTTCGGTGATGAGGGTGGTTATAGACTCGTCAGCGAGGTTCTTGCAGTCGTGAAGGTCGATTTCGAGGATGTAGCGGCAGTTTCTCGCAAAAGCGATGATGCTCTTGTCGCTCAGTTGCGAACATCCGTTGAGTTTGAGCCGCTTGAGATGTCTGCAGTTTCGGGCCACAGCCTCGAGCGACTCGTCTGTGATCTTCTTGCAGTTTGTTATGTTCAATCCCTGCAGCCGTACGGCATGTTGTGCCAAGGCAAACATTGTCTTGTCGGTGGTCGCATCCACGTTTGTGACATCCAACGCCAGAAGACTCCGGTTATCCTCGAGCATAGCCACCAGACTCAGATCCGTCAGCTTGGTGCAGTTGGTCAAGGTCAGACGCTCGACGCGCTTGCATCCAGAAAGAGGTTTCAGTGTGCCATCGCTGACTTCGTTGCCGAGCGCTGACAAGTTGAGTCTCTTGATCAGACTGCTGTAGTCGAAGAAGCTGTTTGCCTTGTTCACGGTCCAGATGGCACTCTTGACATTGGACCATTTGTTTGTGGACGGCCTGTGCCAGAGGAGACCTACGCTGTTTCTCGCCCAGTCCTTGGAGACCAGCATGCAGTTCTTGAGGTCGGCGGGGGAGGACAACTTGGCGAAGACGGCGATCATGAGCTCGGCGGGGAGGCGTGAGATGGGCGAGATGCGGTTCTGTTCTTCGATGGCGCGCCGGCGAGCGTCGTCGTCCGAGTCTGGAGATAGCGAGGGCGCCAGGGAGGAGAGAGAATCGTTGGACTGCAGCATGAGCGAGTCCTTGTCATCGTCGAAGCCGCGCTCGGGGGACGTGGAGGCGGACGAGTCGGAGCCTGAGGCACTTGTATCTCTCTGGGCTCTGCGCGAGCGAGACATGTTGGGTGGTCTGCGTGCTGAGGTGCGCGGGAAGACGGGGAGTTTTGTGTGTTCGTTCATGGTGGTTGAGGCGGTTGCGTTTCCTGCGGGCAAGGGAGGGAGGGAGAGGAGGACGCGGGCTGGGTTGGGCAGGCGCTGGAGGTGCTCAGGGTCGCAATTGGGCGGTAGAGAGGAGGGAGGGTGGCGCTGGCGTGGGCGGGTCGAGTGGTGGTCCGCTTACTATTGCGGCCGACAGTCTTGTCTTGCCAGCGGAAGCTACTGGAGCGTCTGATTGACAAGCAGAGTAATAAGGCTTGTTGAGGGTGAATGCGCTGACACGGGACCGCGGGTCGCTCTAGTCGCTAAGCGGCTATGACGAAGCGGGCAGCAGCAGGCCTCAAGCAACACAGGACGCGAACGGGCGGGGGCGATGGGAAGAAGGAAGAAGCGCGGTGCAATGTAGTACTGCTGGCAAGTCACTCTTGTCGTGCTCGAGGGGGGTTAGAGAGGGTGTTGTTGGTCGAGGAGGGAGAGGGGGAGACAGAGGATCAAACGCCTCACCTCGACTGGGCTGGCAACGCAACAGACAGTGGACAGACGGCCGCGGCAGCCCAGGGATGGATCGTGGCATCCCCGCCAAGGCTGTTTCCCTGCATGACGCCCTATTGGGTCTTGTTGTCCTGTATGCAAACACGACGTCTATTCTCTCTCTCTCTCTCCCTCTCTCTTCCAAACGGCCACCGGTTGCTTCTTCGATGCCACAACGTCTCAAGACAAGAAACGGCCGCTTCGCTCGCTCGCGTGTCCCATCCCATGTCTCATCGTCGGCATCACGGCCCCTCACCACCGACCATCTGGTTGTTGGAACAGACGACGCGCACGCCTGACCGCTGTTGTTGCTCGTCCTCGTAGCCTTGTCTCAGTCGTGTTGTCGAGGGCTTTGTGAATGCGAATACATATATATATCCAGGCTGCGGTTCGGGTGCAAGATATGCGTTGGGCTGTGGGTGAGCAGCCCACTAGCTGTCGTCTTCGCAGCATCCACTGTCCTCAGCAGGCAACCAGCTTGCGTGAGAGTCTACTCTATGGTCAAGTTTTGAATAGGTTTAGCCGTATCAGTCTCGTATGTCTGGATGCGTGACCGTTGACTTTGCTGCAAACATGTTGTCGCAGCAGTTCTGCCCAATCGGGAAAGACGACCAGATGACACAGCCACATGGCTTCGATGTGATACCTTGCCATCAGGCAGAGTGGGAGGAGAAGCTCGGGGGAAGCTGGGCACTGTGGGAGATGTAGAAGTAGACGTTTCGACTATTCAATATATGAGATTAGAAAATACAAGCAATAGAAGCAGTACAGTACGCTGTGACCTAGGAGCATCATGGCCACTTGCCTGTGATGGAGCACGCACCCTCGACTGGTCGCATCGCATGGCAAGCCATGGCATATCCTAAACCACGACTCGCCGCCATCAACACCTCCATTACGCCTATTTCCTAGTCCCCGACTTCCTCCTTCATCTTGATGCGCCGAATCTAGCCTGCTCGCCATCCTGCACCGCAGCAGGCTTCCACACCGCCCGCAATGCCCTCCGCTCCCTATGCACCCTCCGCCGCCCTCCACATGGCCCAGCAAGCCGCATACCGTGCCCCGGCACCCATCGCCGTCTCCAATGCTCCGCCAGGCACCTTCACTCACGGGACAAAGGTCCAGGTCGGCAGTCACCGTGTCACCATCGAGAAGTACCTCTCCGAGGGCGGCTTCGCACACGTCTACCTAGTCCGCGTCCCAAAGTCCGATGGCCGCGCATCAGAGACAGCTGTGTTGAAGAGAGTGGCTGTACCTGACAAGGATGCTCTGGCAAACATGCGGACCGAGGTCGAGACTATGAAGAAGCTCAAAGGGCATAGCAAGATTGTCGTCTACATGGACTCGCATGCTTCGCAACTGAAGGGTGGGGGCTACGAGGTCTTTCTGCTCATGGAATACTGCTCAGGAGGAGGACTGATCGACTTTATGAACACACGCCTGCAGCATAGGTTGACCGAGCCTGAGATCCTGCACATCTTCTCCGATGTTGCCGAGGGTGTTGCGACCATGCACTACCTCAAGCCTCCGCTACTCCACCGCGACCTCAAAGTCGAGAACGTTCTGATCACTACGGTTTCGAACAACAAGATCTACAAGCTCTGCGATTTTGGCTCTACTGCACCCCCGAGGCCTGCCGCTACTACTGCCGCCGAGGGGAGACTGATCGAGGACGATGTCCAACGACATACCACGTTGCAGTACCGGAGTCCCGAGATGATCGATGTCTACCGGAAACAGCCAATAGATGAGAAGAGCGATATATGGGCGCTGGGCGTACTTCTGTACAAGCTGTGCTACTATACCACACCATTCGAAGAGGTGGGGCAGATGGCCATTCTGAATGCCACCTTCAAATACCCCTCGTATCCACAGTTCTCCGACAGACTGAAGAAGCTTATAGGTATGGGGAAACTTTTACCACATGTCGGCATCGACTGACGCTAAACAGGGTGGATGTTGCGAGAATCTCCCCAGCATCGACCAAATATCTACCAAGTAGTTGCCGAAGTCTGCTCCATGCGCCACCGAGCCGTTCCTATCAAAGATGTATGGTTCAAGTACGCACTCGATACTTCCTTGCTAATCCCTGCAAGATATACTCCGGTCGAACTGAGTCGGAAGCGCGAAGAAATCAGCAATTACCACCTACCGAGCCCCAAGTGTCCTCGCCTCCAATCATAGGTTTACAGAAAGTCGCCCCTGTCAAGCAGGTACAACAAATACCGGAAATCACGCCTATGAGGAGAGGTAGACCAACAGGGCCAGCCCAGACACCAGCCGCAAAACCAAGTCCTTCTCCAATGCGAGGCACATCATCAGACCCGTTTGCGGCTCTTGACTCTCAGGACGTTCAAGTTCGCCGGGCTGCAGCTGACGAGCTCGCGGCGCGTTTCCCCTCCCTGGATGAGTTTTCGTTGCTACATGATCGGGGTCAAAAGTTCGAGTTTGGGCAGATGCCCTCGCCCTCGGACCCTGTCCTCACAAAGCGAGTCACAGATGCCCTAGCTGACGATGCCTTTGCCTTGTCTCCAGCCACCAAAGTGGAATCTGCGCCTACACCAAAGCCCTCGTCCAAGCTACCCTCAGCAAGTGTTTCAAGGTCCACTTCTGTCAAGCAACCAAGATCCTACGAACCCAAGGACAGCCCGAGGACGTCAAATCCAACCATACAACAACCAATCCCACAACACGTAAATATGGTGTCTACTGGTGTACAGACATCGCCCCGTTCGTCTCCTGCTCCACCCCAGCAGAAATTCCCAGATGTCAATAAACCGCCTGTCTGGAAGGTCCCCATATCCTCTCACCACAATCGGGCATACAGTCAGCCACGCGCGCTCGAAAAGGCGCAAGGAAGCCCTTCCCTGAAACCCGAGTTCGCGCTGCCTGCACGACCATCACTAGACTCGAGATCAAAATCTCAGTTGTCAAATCTCAGCATACCCAAGTCGCCAGCATCTTCCCGGCCCTCTTTAGAAAGCCAGCGCCCCTCTGCTTTGGACCTTGGGTACACCATTGACCGCTCAAAGTCTGCAAACTCCAATGCCCGACCCGTCAGCATGCATGTTGCGTCAAACCTCGACTATCTCCGCGATCGCGAAATGGCTCCGGGCCGCAGTTTCGATGCGCCCTCGTTGCAGCGTCGCTTAACCTCGACTGCCATCGACGATTCCGAGCCTGAACCCGAGGAGAAGAACATTAGGTCGAGCGTTGACTTTCTTCGGACGATAGAAAAGGAAGATCCCAGCCACAAGCACAATCATCGCCGCAGCAGTTCGCAGTCTAAGAATGCTAAGCGGGGAAGCATAACCAATATTGTCAAGGGCAGGTTCGGTGATGCTTTCCGCCGTTTCGAGACGAACAAGACGCCGGAGCACGAGCGCGATCCGCCGCCCTTCTCGCCGACAGACGTCGATCCACGAGGAACCAACGCACTAACGCCAATTGCGGGTTCCGAAGCAACAGGCGGTCTCAGCGACGACGATCGCAGTGCAATAGACGAGACACAAGAATTATCCCCCGAGCTACGCCGAGAGCTCGAGAAGCGAAAGCTAGAAGACGAAGAGCGCCGTGTCGAAGCTGCAGCCGCAGAGTATAAGCAGCGAGTCGCTCAGCAAGGGCAAGGGAAACCCAAAGTGGGCCCATCAAAAGCTTCAACCATTCAAAACCGCGTCAAGAATCTACTTGACGAAAGCAAAAAGCCAGTACCAGGGAGCAAGACCGCAGAAGGATATGGAAAGTACACTGACACGGGCAAGCCATTGCCAACACGGCCACAAGACCAATCCGGTATGCGACAGGCTCCCGCCATTGCACGCAAACCAGTCAATGTGAGCTCTACTCCACAACAACAAGATCTGCTGTATGCCAAACCTTCTTCTATCCGGCCAAACATGCCCCCTCCTATCCCCTCGTCCTCCGCACCGCCTACCATCAACCCGCGCAACCCCTCCGGCCCACCCCCGCGCGCACCCAAGCCAAAGGCATTGCAGACAGGCGGCTCAGCAGTCAGCGTTTCCGGCTCGCCGATCAAAGCCAGCCCCGTTGTCAAGGATAAGCCACTACCGGCTATTGCGCCCGGCGAAGGCAGTACTGCAAGTGGCGAAGACTGGGACATGGAAACTTTTAGTAAACGCTATCCAAGCCTGAGTGGGCTAGAGATGGTGGAGACGGAGATTCCGCGAGGGAGGGTGAGGGATGTGTAAAGCGCACTTGGTGTTGTTGCTGAATGTAAGCGTGCATGCATGTGGTATACTGAGAAGGGAAGGAATCTTGACGGCAGATGAGCTGTTTGGTTCAGCTGAGCAGTTTTGTAGAGCATCTACGACAATGCATAGAAGCGCTTTTTTGTGCAACCACATATATAGATATTTAAGCAAAGCATGCATGTATACAGCAGCTTGCAATAAATACCGTAAAGGAACGTTCGCTATATTCAGTACATCCAAGGGTAACATTGCTTTTGGCTGTATCTCTCGGTGATTGTTGTCTTCTTGTTTATTGCGCAGTGTAGGGCTCTGCTCACGGTAGCATCATAAGAGAGCGGGATGAGAAAGACAGAGAAGGTAGAGAGGCAGGTAAGCGAACACTGTAGGAGAGAAGTGCTGCATGATTGTTAAAATGTAGAAGGTAAGACAGCAAGGCATAGTCACAAAGCATAAGAGAGAAGAAGAGAAGAAGATTGCAGTCAACACTGTGATTTGATTGATGACCTGCAAAGAATCCGTGCACCCCGAATACCTTGAAGACAACATTGATGAAGACCTTGATGAACCAGAACCTTGACAACCTTGAAGAACATAGACCACCTTGAAGAACATAAACCACAACCTTGAAGACCATAACCAGAAGAAGTTCCTTGCACCATGATAACCCAGACCTTGTACCAACCGATAAAGTTCCTTCCACAATGTACCAGACCCATGACCACAACCAACCACCATCCATACCAAATCCAACTCACATGACTGGATGGGTGCTTGCAGATCCAAACGACACCCGACAAAGTCTCTCCCACCAGCGCTCTGAAACAGTCCACTTTGACCTGACCCAAAGGGCGCCCATGGACTGAAGCAGGGAGATGATCGAACCGATGCAAGTAGGCCAGGTTTAGTAACCAAGTTACCATTGACCCTCTATCCTCCTGACACCAACATCGGTTGACCAGAGATCCATAGCGTTCCTCATCTTCACCTGACCAAAGGCCATTGAGCTGCACCCATACCAAGTCATCGTCGTGCGCCGCGGTCGGGGAGGAGAGTCGAAGCAGCCTGTGCTTAAAAGCTCCCAGGGGACTGGTTCTGTTGTGACTCGTCCTGTGTATATGTGTGTGAGCTCTCCATCTTGTGCCGAAGGTGGTGTGAAGGTAAGGTTGAAGTTGAAGTTGAAGTTGAGGTTGAAGTCGAAGTGGATGATGGAAGAAGATGATGAGCCTGATGGTGAAAGGCGACAAGATGGAGAGCTCAAGTGGAAGTGTAGCGAAAGTGTTTTGTTTTTGTTTTCTAAAAGATGTTAGTGGATGCAGGAAGGAAAGGAAGAAGACTTACTTTTTTTGTTTCTGAGCAAGTCAGACAAGAGGTCAGTGAACAACAAAAGAAGGGAAGAGAACAAACCAAGAAGGCTTCAAGGCCATAGTAGATGACACTTGGAGTGAGTTGAAGTTGAGTTGGATGACGTTCAAGTCGACACGCTCATGTTGGTGTGATGTGAGGTAGAGGTGTTGATGTGACTTGATGGATGTTGATGGATGTTGATGTGATGATCGAACATGTTGCTTGCAGAAGGTTGAAGATGAGATGCAAGACTTGATGAGATAGTCTGATGAAGGTCAGTCATGGTCGAAGGTAGTTGAGGTTGGATGAGACTTACTCAAGGATGCCAAGTGCCAAGACAGGATGAGTGAATGTAAGATGCCATGATGGAAGACCGAAGTAAGGTAAGGTAAGGTCGAAGCTCGAGAAGAAGAGTGATGATTGAGAGAAGAGTGCCGAGCTGGAAGGAGGAAGCTGCTGGAGCTGGTGTAAAGTGGGTGGCTTGATGGAGTTTGGTGTCGGGGGGAGGGAGGGGGACGGTTTATATATGTTTGTAGATCGGCTACCAGCTTGGCGGCGCTAGCACCACGTGATGGTGACTAACAGCGTATTGCCGAAGATCTGGCGACGCTCCGGTACAGGTTTTGCCGGGTGGAATGGCTAGGTGAAGGTGGAATCGTGCCTAGTGAGGGTGAGTGTGCTTGTGATCGAAGGCAGGCAGCCAATAGAGGGGCAGGTTTAGCCGAGGGCAGCGAGAGTGAGGTCGGAAAATCAAGATAGAGATGTCGAGTGGAGCGAGCGTGAGGATATTGGACATGTCTGTATCTGAAGATATCTCAGTGAGGTCGTTATATGACTTGGGACTCGCTGTAGGTGAGATCCATACTTCGCAAAATAGCAGGCAAGGAGGCAGTAGCCGGTCGAGATTGCGAGCCATGAACCAAGTGCCTACATGAACTCAAGCCTATGCCGTATGGGTAGAAGGGAGAGGAGATTGCTATGCATGGTTCATCTCACCTACAAGGTGGCCAGATGCCTTGAGTTGACTATTTTCTTGAGGGAACTGAAGAAAGGCTACTCGCCGTGGGAGAAACTCTAGTTGGCCCAAAGGCAGGACGATTATCGAGCTCGCCGGCCCTGAGAAACAAGGTCTACTGCTCGACACCGTTGCAAGCATATAGAATAGCCTCAGTAGCTCATACGACAGTTTGATCATGAAGCTGGGCTCTGAGTCGGGCAGAGTGCACTATAGTGAGACCACCGTCTCCACACGGCAACGGTGATACCCACGGTGAGAGCAGTGACTTGCTTGATCTCAGCCAAAGCAGATGGAACCCAGACAGTGAGACTCATTGAATCCGCAATACTCTGGAGGGCGCGACGCGACTCGAGCGACTGCATTTACAGCTAGAATCACCTTCTAACCCGCCCAGAGGCACCTTCAGAGCGCGATCGATACCCTCAGTGACTAACTAATGCCGCCGGCAAGTCTACTATGTAAGGAGCTCTGCCGGCGATATCCTACGTCCGGAGCCACACTGAAGATCGTTCATTTATCTGTACTCATATCCAGCTTGAAGAACCAGCCTTGCGGACTCGACCTCGCGGACTCGATCTTGCCGTGAGGTGAGACAATCACTTTCAGAAACCGTTACCAGCAGTTCGAGCCAACCCATCTTGTGAGAGTAGTAAGCCCAACCTCATCATGCACCGAGAAACCTACAGAGGCTAGGCGGCGGCGACAGAGATCCACTAACGGTGAGTCAATCAACTTCTGTCATAGCCATTTATGACAGCAGCAGCTTTGGCAGGGCGCTCGCTAACTTTTCTAAGGTGCTATACGGCTTCTCGGACAGACAAACCTGCATCTCCAATCTATCTCATGGCCACGGCGAGACTACACGACCCACACAATGGTGCACGAACGTGGCGGAATCATACGAGCAAAATGGGCATGCGGGCATGCTACATTGTCCGAATAAAGAGACACGAGAAGAAGGAAAAAGCATGGATATCCTGGCAGGCATAGAATTAGGAGCTTGGAAGCCTCTGGCGACTACAACGGGCCTCAAACTAGCTCCTGCTCCGCTCCGGGAAGGATATATAAGGGACATGGAAAGGCATTTGGGCTTTAGGAAGTGACTAGTATAACGAGCGGAGGCAAGGAAAATGTAAGCTTCCGTGGTAGGGCTGGAGCCAGTTTCAGGACATGCTAGACGAAGCGACTCTGTAAGAGAGTTCATCCCTAGGCCAACAAGTGATTAGATGCAAATACCTTGGCTACTAGATTCGGGCCACAGCTACGACCTTGAAAGCACATGCGGGGTAGAAGGAATGCTGCGGTTACCGGCCTGGCGATGGACGTTAGTACCGGGTCCGGCATCGACTTCAATCTCGACCGTGTCCATTGACCTCATGTGTGTGATGTGACTGCATAATGATCAATAGCTGAGGTCTTCTTACATGGATGGGAGACATCCGACGGCGTACATACCTCTGCTGCAATGCCGTGCTTGTGCCTTATCCGCTAGCGTCTCTCGGAACAACTCCTAGTAGTGGTGAGTGGCCAAAGACACTCCACATATGAAATGCCGACGTCTAACAACGGAAGCGGCCGGCTGTCCCACATCAAGGCCGAGCGAAGGCGAACTAAAACGAGCTCAGCGATGAAAATATGGAGACCACTCTACATGATGATTGCAGTCATCATCAAACCCTGTTCGGGTAAGAGGTAACCGAGCATTTGACTGACAGTAAAGATAAGAGAGGATGACTTGAGGTATGATGGTGAATTGTAGTACGTTAAGATACTATCGAGACAATATACTAAAGCTGGTATAAAAGATATGTAGTATAATGCTGTAGGCAGAGGCAAATCATGCGAAAGGAAAGTCTGCAACCTGATCAGGCTTTGATAAGATCCTCATCAACCTCCCAGTCTTCCCACGTCGGCTTATCGAACCCGTTTGGTCTTGAGCTGCGAAGGAAGCCGTTCCAGTAGCCTTCGATAGTGACGACAGGCCGTATCGTCCGGACATTGGCGTTGAAGCCTCTACTGAAGCATTGCTGCATGTGCCGATCTTCGAACAGTTCTGGATGCGTCCTCCGCATCGTTTTCAATGCGCGCTTTCCAACTTGGTCAACCGAGTCGTGATGTCTTAACTCGAAAAACTCATCGTCGTGCTGCTCTCTTAGCTCTGCTATTATCTGATTATCGTAGAGTCCTAGCTGAAGTAGGTAAATATCGTATTGGACCAAGGACGTAGTGCCCAAGTAACTGCCACCAGACTTTGCTCGCTTGTATAGGCCAACAAGTGCAGCAACGGTCCCCATACAACCAGTTCCGTAGTCGCTCATGGGGAAGGGCGGTACGACAGGCTCATCCAGACCCATGGCCAGACCTTGAGCCCAGGCAACGCCAGTGACGCAGTCTGCAATCTGTTGCCAGCCAGGCCGCGACGACCAAGGGCCAGTGTGCCCAAAGCAGTTCTCGGCAACGTAAACAAAGCCTCGACCACGTTTCTGCGCAATCTCAATAAGTTGGTTTGGTCCATAGCCGAGACGCGTTAGGCTTCCTGGTCGATAGCCATCTAGTACAACGTCTGCAGAGAGGAGTAGCTGCTCGAAGATCTTCCGGTCATTTGGATCTTTCAGGTTCAAATCGGTGGTGTGTTTCCCTATGTTGGCGTCGACTTGGAAGAAGGGTACGTCTGAGAGGTTTGGTGAAGTGACCTTGATAACTTCAGCCCCATATTCAGCAAGCCCACGACCCATGGCTGGCCCTGCGATGATCCTACAAAGTTCAAGGACGCGAATACCGGAGAGGATCTGTGGTTTTGGGGCCCGTGAAGTTTTAAATGGGAAAGAAACTGCTGGTGTTTGAGTTTCGAGGGACTCTACTTTCCAGGGTGGCTGTGCGAGAAGTTCTTGTCCATGCCGTGTCGCTTGGAAGTCCTCCCACTTCATACAAGTGACACCAGCTTGCTGAATCTTCCCGTTCATCTCCTCGAGCTCATTTGCAGTGAATTGCTTGACGTGGTCCTCGATAACTTTGATGCATTCGTGGTAGTCAGTAAGATCGGGTCGATGACCCTCTAGCCCGATCATATTCAGCGCTTTCGTCGCTTCCAGAGAGCCATGGAGGTGGAAGAACTCTCCGGGGTTCTTGGTTTGGTAGAGATTAGCAGACAATCTTCGATAGAGGATAGACTGTGCTTGGAGAAGATCGGTGTCTTGGGCGATCAGCGACATGCTCAGCGTAACAGCACAGATGAACACTGACCTTTAAGCAGCTTTTTGACCTTTGGATCCGACTTGTCCAGGCCTCCTACAGTTGCTAGATAGGTCGATAATAAGAATGCAGTCGCCCTTTCTAGATCTACATTGATGATCCGTGCTTTTGAGCCACCTGAGAGGTCAGCTATCGCTGAAGCGACTCCTGCTTCAACCGCCTTCAATGCTGATATAGCCTCGGTCTGCTTGAGTGGACTCGGAAAGTATGGGCTTCCTGTGTTGGCGGTCGAGAAATCGACTTTGGCTATGTGAGGTAGACATTCCTCGGGAAGGTTGTCCTGGGCCTTGGCCAGTAGCTGTTCAAGGGCTGACCGAGTGCCGGCCAGTAGTGTGTTGACATTTGAGGATCCGTTAGTGCCCTTGTCACTTCTCTCAACTCCAAGGTAAGGCGACATCTAGAGTTGCAACCCGGTCTTCAAGAAACCGGCGAGCTTGGATGAGATTCAGGAGGCGAGAGGGGGGAGATACTGGAAGTAGGACCTGGGGGTCATGATCGTGGGTACGGCGGTACAAAAGTGATTAACCGCATATGAAGGTCAATCTCGTGTGGCTGTGGCAAATGTATCGGGTACTGACCGCGCCGTGCATGTTGACGGGTGTACACAAGCGTGAACATTGAGTTGGCCTCTGAAGATGTGGGTTTTGTGATGTTCGCATCGGCAAGGTCGCAGCAGGACCCCCATCCGACCACCGCGCTTGTCCCGCGCCGTTCCGGGCGATAGTCCAAGCACGTTCCCCGACCTTCTCCAGCTTTGAGGGGATGACAACCGCGGATCGTCTGCGTTATTCCTCATCGTTGTCAATTCGTCTGTCGCAGCCACAAGCGAAGAGTGCGAGACCCGTCCCGCGGTAGCCTTGAGGGGAAATGCGAATTACGGGGCACTCTGTGCTCTCTCGTCACCGACGTCCCACATCCGACGAGACCATCAGCCTTCCGTCGCATCGGCAAAGCACCCAACCTCATCTCACCGTGACACGTGATTCTTCGTGCTGCTGCCGCCGGCAGCGTGAAGACTAATGACACGGCCAAAGGTCCCACCAGGTTGGTTTGCGTCTGCTGTAAATCAATAGCGGCGGCTAACATGAATTACCACAGAGCACAGGCAGCGGACTGCGCAAGCATGCGAAAGCTGCAAGAGGAGAAAGCAAAAAGCGAGTCACATATTTCTTACATATTTCTTACATTGCCCACTAATCAATTACTGCATCGAGAGATTACGTGGGAGCGGTATGGACAACGCATGTCAAGACCCTTGTCGACTACCCGAAGGCCTCCAAGACTCTATCATATATGACTACGCTAGCACGTACCATGATTCTTGCTTGCAATTTCGAATTTCGGGTGGTTGACACGGATTTCGGATCTTTTAACCGTATATTGTGCCGCGTTGAGCCATCCGTTACCTCACGTTTGCGTTCGACAAGCGGACTTTTAACTAACAGACTGCAGTGTAATGGTCTTTGCCCCTGCAACACATGCGACAAAGTAAGTCTCAGTGCTTCTTGAATTAAGTTGGTTATCTTCAGTGCCACTTCGGGATACTGTCTTGGAGCTTTCCAGGTCGACCGCTAAAACCTAGTGGTCCACGGCACCACATCGATTATCATCATCTTTATCACACGTGCTTACACTAGGCAGCGGAAATTTACATGCATATATACGGATCGAGACCCCACATCTCCCAGTGAAGAACGGCCACCAGCAAAGAAACGCGCAATCGAAGGAAGCGAAGGCGACAGCCCATTCTTCAACGAGTCGACGTCGGATAGCCCCAGCAATGGATACAATCACCATCATCCGTCACCGCCGTCTCTACACAGACAAAAACCGTCCATTCATCAACAACCTTATGTTGCGGCGCGTGCACTAAGCGTCAAGCAAGAGACACCCTTACCGGGGCTAAGACCGACCATCGAGCTTGCGGGCAGCTTTATCCAGGCTCCAACGAGCGATGGCAATGCAGAGTCACGACCACTCGCATCACGAGGCACCACTGTCCACAGCGGTCCAGAGGAGGAAGCAGTAATTTACAGTCAGAGTAGAATGCTACAAGACCCAACAGGCAGGGTGCTCTATATTGGAGACTCAGCAACGTTGTCATTCCTGCAGCTGCTCCGGATGATGGTAGAAACCGTTGCCGGTTCATCGCCTTTCACGACTGATCCTCGACGACACAAGATCGTCGAAGGGCAATATTCTCTGCCATCCGGATACCGGCATGTATGTGACCTCGCGAACCTCAAGCACCCGCGCATCCTTTATATCCTCGTTCGAGATTTCGACTCTTCAAGAATTACTTGGACTATGGGCATCAGTTCCTGATTGTCGTTCTCTCTCGTTGTTCTTTCTCTATTTATTGCACTTGACTAACTACTGCTACCTTTAGACACACCTCCTCCCAGACGTGCAGACCGCTCGTGTACTTGTCGAAGCCTTCTTCATCAATACTCATGGTTTACTGCAAGTGTTCGAACGTGACCGCTTCTTTCAGGATTTGGAAAGATGTTACTCGGATCCACTGTTGGTAGAACACTCATGGATCTGCTTACTTAACCTGGTATTTGCTATTGGATTGACCATGGCTACACCACTTTCTGGGAGCCCGGAAGCCCTCATCATCGACAAGCTTCGGAGCGAACACCTTGACAGAGCTGAGGTTTTCTATCTCAACGCTAAGAGCCTGAACGACCCCATGACAGGGTTCGAGGATCAGGATTTCTGGTCTGTGCAGGCACTGCTCCTCATGTCCGTCTACATGTTGGCCAAGTCTAAACGCAACACTGCATTTGCGCTGCTAGGTATGGCAGCACGATCTGCGCATGCTCTCGGGCTACATAGAGAGGAGACCATGGTGATTTTCAGTCCCGAGGAGCAAATACAACGGAAGAACTTATGGCGGTCGATATTCGTCATAGATCGGCTGCTCTCGTGCTCACTAGGTCGACCAACCGCAATATCGGAAGACGACTGCTCAGGAGACACACTTCACCCGCCTGAACAGTACCTAGACCCGCTGTTCAATCTCAACGGGGATGTCACACCGGACTACAACGTGACTGGCTCCCAAGCTTTGGAAGCCGCAGTACGAAGCTGCTCGGTAATTGGTGTCATATTGAGAAAGGTTTACCAGCAACGAAAGATCAGCACCCGACTTGCCCAAGAGATTGCAGATATCTGCAAGGCATGGCCACGCGCTCTGCCTTCCATCTTGCACTGGCGACAAGCAGCCAACGCCTCACCAAGCCAAGGGGTTGCCATTCTTCATGTTAATCTGTTTTACTGTCATTCTATAATACTTCTGACGCGACCATTCTTCTTATATATACTCAATCTCGAGACGCAACGACATGTTAATCAAACTAGTACACGAGGCCCGAGACCATATCTTCGCATGGAAAAGTTCAGCGAGGCTTGCGTGATCGCCTCGACACATACGATCTTGCTTGTCCAGAACGCTTTCGATGCCGGCTACCTTTCTCGCAGAAACCCAGCGGTTATCTACTTTCTATTCGCTGCCACACTCGTTATTCTTGCCAATGAGTTTGCTGGTCTGTACAAAGTAGACGCATCAGACACGTGCATCTTGAATGCATTCACCATCATGAACTACTGTGCAGAAAGCGATCAACAAGCAAGTAGATTGGTCTACATCCTCAGCTCCTTCCGCGACGTCGTCACACAACAACGCATGAGGCGGAAACAAATCCAACCGGAAAACGCGACACTACCAAGCATAGCCTCACAGCTCTACGGCATCCCGATGCCTAATCAACAGCAGCAACAGAACCCAAGCACCAGTCTCGCAAACTCAACGGATCCCATGAATGCAACACCACGCCTCCACCAAGTACCTATCCACATCTACCCAGGCATGCAAACCACACCACTTCACGAACCCACCTTCCTACTACCCCATCAGACGCCCCTACAACACTCCCAACCACCATCCGATTTCTCCGTCCACTTATCCCCCATACAAGACCCCTCCGCTTCAGCCGCCCACTCTGAACCCTTCGGCACCACCGCTACCTCAACAGATGCTTTCCCCACGCCCTCGAAACCGCCCTCGCTATCCATGATGCTGGACTTCTCCGCGCTCGAAGCTACAAGGGTGCCGAGTTTGCATAGCGAAGAGAGCGGACAAGATGAGCAGATTGATTTCGACGCGCTGTGGGCTTGGCCGAGTAATACGCCGGCGATGGAGAGTCCGCGGCCGGGGCTGGATGGCCTTGCTGCTAACGGTGGTGGAGGTGGAGGAGGAGGAGGGATCACGGAGAGGGTGCAGGAGATTAGTGATAGTGCTGTGCCGCTGTTTGGCGTCAGTCGCGAGGGCACTGGACATGCTACAGATTCGTAAAGTAAACCTATGGTGTAAGAGGTGGTTGCAAAACGAGACGGACAGCTGAAACCTCAATGGAATCCTTGAAAAGGGTCCTTCTCTCTTTTAACGGGGTGTTAAGCGTTTTGGTATATATTTCGGCTAGCTCGGCAAAGGATGAAAGGGAACGAAGGTACGATCACATAATGGCATGGTCTGTTTGGTAGGGTAGGGTGGGTATGGCCTGGGCTTTCATGACCTTGTGTGTGTACGTATGTATGTCTGCATGTATAATTTCGGTATATTGTTTTATTTATGCTATCATTGTTCCTTACAACGGTATCGTAGCAGTGCTATGTGGATGGTAGATGTAAAATCTCTATCTAATCATCCTTGAGTCACCTTCGCTTGATCCGAAGTGTAGAATTCTGTAGGCCTTCGTGGTATTTATCCTTCCCTTGAAGTCTGCAGTATTTCAACGCTCATGTCCATTAATTCATGACGCCTTTGACAACGCATCTCACAACTCCTCGACAATGCGCACATCGCTCATCGCCGCAAAAGGCGTTGAGTTCTTCTCAGACTCCGCCGAACTATCATCCAGCGCCCATTGTACGGTTTTCTCGAGAACACGCCTGCCGACTGGCTCAAGGGGTAGCCTAATAGTAGTCAGTGACTTATTGCGCGCAAATACTTAATCTTTACTCACCAATGACCGGCACCCTTCACCAAAACCACCTGGCTACCCTTGACCAGATAGTCTTTGACGTTACCGAGTGCTAGACGTCTATCGAACGCAGGATCGTGTTCACCGAGGATGAGAGTTGTTGGAGTTTGCAAGGCACCACGTGGCGCGCTGTTACCTAGCAGCGAGCCAGAAATAGATTGGTGTCGGGAGGAGGGATCCGAGGCCAATTCGAATAACGCAGCGGTGGTTTCTAGCGATTTCTGCCACTGTCCGGTGAACAGCCCTTCGCGATATATGCGGATCTTTTCAGCCATGCCGCGGTCCCTAATCCTGTTCCTCACAGAGTCGCCGTATCGGTGTCCGTTACCGTCTACTTGCTCAATTTGGGACAATGCAGGACCAGTAGACATAGCCATAGCTTCGGCGGCCTCCGTCGTGTTCAGTCTCGCAAAGGTCTTCTCGTCCTTGTTTCGGTTTCCTTTCCCAAGTTCGTGTAGAACGCGCAGGAACCAGTAGTTCCCGAATGTTGCGAAGAAAGTGTTGAAAGGCCATGGTAGAAGAAAGCAGAAGATGTAGAATGACCTTCGAAACTGAGACACCACTGGGCCTAGTGCGTGTAGGCCGTTCTTGAGGAGGCGAATGTTGAAAGGCGATCGGATCCACGTATGGAGCATCTGCTTTGCCAGAGACACCTGTGCGGCAGCGTTCGATGCTGTTAGGTGAGGAATGAGTGCGCTTGTGATGACCCAATGATCCGCCAGCTCCTTTGCTTCAGAAGCAAGTCTGGCACCAATGATCGCACCCCAATCGTGCGTGACAACCACGACCTTCTTGTTTTCTTGTAGGAACAACTCCCTCATGCCGATGATGAATTCGCTTAGAGTCTCGAGCACCTCGTAGGAGTCATATGCAGACAAGCCATCTGAGCCACCGTATCCGGGTAGATCCACTGCGATGAGGATGTGGCTTCGTAGTAGCTCGGGAGATTGAAGGATATGGCGCCAAAGGAGGAAGGAGTCGGGGAAGCCTGGCGGAATGAGGCGTTAGCATGAGGATCATAAAGGCTGGGGGAAATAAGAGAGAGAGGCGCCAAACCGTGTATGAAAATGGCCACGTTCTTTGGTGCTGAAAGCTTGAGATTCTCATTGACGACATAGTGCAGCCTTGGTCCTGCGCTGGTCTTGAAGAAGGCGTGCTTGAAGCCGGGCAGAGGCTCTTGGTCAAGACTCCAGTGCTTCTTCTGGGCTGCAATGGAGTTAACACACGCACATCAAACAGAGCCTGCACTACGTACCAGCAGCTAGTTCTTGTTTCTCCTTCTCGCTATCTCTGGCCCACAGTGCGCCACTCTTAATTGCCGCTGTGCTCCATATGCTGGCGAGGCTGAAGAGACCGAAACCGAGCTTGAAGCCATACCAGCCGAGGTCTGCGAGAGTGCCGGCCATTTTGGTGAGTTGTTGTTCTCAAAGTGCCGTGAAGTAATTCAGGCTGACGGGGTAATCAAGCGAGCCAAAGCTTCTGGAGCCGACCCAAGAATTGAGGTGTCAATGGACCGTCGTCGCCAAATTAAAGCGATGTGAGCAGTGTTGATGGTGATGGTGGTAATGAGACAGTTTGTCAAGGACGAGCAAACATTCAATCAAACATCAGGGCGGGTGCCATGCATTCTTTGAAGCGGCCATTACGACGCGCGTGAAGGCAAGGAAAAAAAGGAGCAGATGACCGTCAATCATCTCCATGCGGAAGTCGCAACCAAGGGTCCACGACGAGTGGCCCGCAACGGCGATCCCCAAGGCATGACGAGGGTGCGTGGTCAGAGCTCTCTTCCATATCGGGATAGCTGGGTGAACATCCGATCGCTGCCCCGCCTTTCAGATGCTTGTGCATTTGTTAGATGATATATATGGTAAATCGCATGTTTGAAGATAATTGCCAATGTTTCAGATTTCCCGGATCTGGCATCTCAACTTTGCTTCGCAACTCGCACCAAATGCGGCTCTCACGACAGCAGCCAAGGCAGATCAAGCGGGATAAGTGGCTTTTGGCCGCTTAGAACCACCCAGTCTTAGCTCTGACATTCTGACTATCTACGACCAAAATGAGAAAGCGAAAACCATGTCAACCCGCTGTAGGATTGTTTGGTGGAGAGGCAGATATTCTGTCTACATAAACCTGTTGTGTCTAGTAGTTGAGCTCTATATCTATGCTTTGGTATGAGCCTGGAGCGTTTGCGACTTGCAGGAACACAATGTAGTATTGCGACGTCAGAGAGGCTGAGCAGCACGAAGATGGCACTAGCCATCGTATGCTCTGTACACACTCGGGACGAGGCGCAGGTTGAGCGGGACTATGAACCGCGCTGAGCCCAGCCTCACACTACCACCCGTGGTGCGTTGCTTGCATGTGTAAGCGGACATCACATAGTGACCGGTACCACTATATAGCCCTAACTGCCCCCTGATAGCCATCTTACTCCTCAGTGAATACTCTACTAGTACGATGCCCTTCGGATTGGTACATTGAGTCGCCTTCCTTGTTGTTCCCAACCCCGTGCTGTCACCTTGAGAACCTTCTTTCTGCGTGAATACGAAGCAAGGCTCGTCAGTAGTTTCGCCCCTCTTCTCCAGTCTCCTGCTTCTCAAACGAACGTGTCTCCACGACAGTGCAGTTGTGGCACAACGATACTCGCAGACATGCAGTCTATGCGTTCGATTTTTCTCCTCTTGCTCGCCAACACGACTGCAGGGTACCTGGTCCCAAACCCGCCTGGTAAATACAATGTAACTTTGACGACTGGGACCCTCGTCGACTACACCCGCAATGGCCCTTGTACCGCAACGCCAACGCCTCGGGCATTGATGCTGTCAGTCTTTCAGCCTGCGACGTGCGCGTCTACTGTGCCCGTCTCCTATATGCCCAACAAAACCGCCGAGTACCAGGGGCCATTCCTCCAAACGCAATTTAACATCTCCGCCAACCTCACACCCCTCTTCCTGGAAGCTCGTCTACCAGTGTGTCTGCACGATTCCAGCGGCTGCTCACCCCTTGATGACGGTCCTATCCTGCTCCTTTCCCCTGGTTACGGTATTCCTCGGCTCTATTATAGTGTCATCGCCTCCGCCATCGCCAGTGAGGGCTTCACAGTCATTACCATCGACCACCCCGAAGACGCCAACATCATTACCTATCCTGATGGCCACGTAGTCTACAACAACGGCCCGAGCAACCCTACTTCGGACGTATACACCCGGTACCTGTACGCTCGCGTGGCTGACGCATCTTTTATTATTGACCAGCTGAGCAACGCGACCGCTATAGCCGAACTGCTTCCCCAACGCGGGCCCCGACAGTTCCCGACCGATCGCGTCGCCATGCTGGGACACTCTCTGGGCGGCGCCTCCGCCGTCATCGCCGCTGGCCAGGACCGCCGCCTTCGCGGTGCGATCGACTGGGACGGCACTCTCTTCGGCTCTCTGCCCCCGTCGGGATTGTCCCAGCCAGTGCTATACATGTCTGAGGCGAACGCTACCGACCCCAGCTGGCTGGCCGCGTGGCCGCAGCTGAAGGGTCCAAAGTTGTGGGTCGCCGTCGCGAACACGACGCACGAGAGCTTCACGGATGCGCTCACGCTGTTGCAGGCGGTCGGGCAGAACACAGCGGCTTTCGCGGATCTGCTGGGCACGATTGTGCCGGCTGAATTGGTGCGGATCCTAGCAGCGTATACAACCGCGTGGATGAATGGAGCGTTCACAGGCAAGGTAGGAGGGCCGTTGCTGCAAGGGCAGGAGCCGGAAAGATTTCCAGAGGTCTCGACCGTGATGAAAGACAACTTTTAAAATGATGCGAGACATCTCGCGAGATACGCACAACTCGCTATCTTCAATGGCCTATGGGCGAGGTTGTTCAGGAGCTCTCAGCGCATGTGTAGCACCACTTTGAATCCCGACTCATCTTGTATAATAGACCTATGTCCAAGTTCGGTAGTGGTCAATACCGGGGTCGCGCGGTACTGCGCATCGTGAAGACCAGTCGTTGTTTGCGGATTAGTCTCCTGCTATGTCGGATTTTCTGCTACGCAGTGATGAATGTTATGTCGAACAACAACTGTTGAGACAACATGTCACTACCTCTTGACTATGATAAATCTGGACGCCGAACTTCGTAAAAAGCTTAGGAAGAGATTAACGCTCGTAATCTCAGAGAAGATCTAGAAGACCTACCAGATCCCTACTTCAAACGAGATCAAGTATGCTCTATGATCACTCGAATCGCCCAATCGGCGAGCTGGCGACGTGACGCATGCGTAGAACCATAAATCGTGTGTCCTATGATGGATGTCTCCCTCATTCGACAGGTGGCTGCTGGCATTCATCTACTAGCCCTCAAGACGCAGCGAGAGCTCCGTGCTGATGAAGTTTGTCGCAAGGTGACATCCATCTCTTCCACCTCATCAGGGGACCTACAATCCGAGAGTGCCTTGGTGATGATTGAGCACAGCTCTTCGGGACAGGGCTGGCCAGGAGTAGTTCTCGGTCTTAGTTTCAAAGCATTCAAGACACTCATCATCTCTTTCCCCCCTTGACCCGTTCCATAACCCTCAGCTCGGCACTCCTCTGCAACCTCAGATCTTCTAATTCTCTCTCCACTGTCCTATTCCGCTCTACCGCCTCGCTCCTCCTCTCCATCCGCTCCGACGCCTCTTTTGTCTTTTCCCTAATCACGTCTTCAACAACACGCTCTAACTGTCCCGCATCCTCAATGCCGTGTTCCTGTATGAACTTATCGGCGAAGTCCCTGACCGTATGTGATGCGGGAGCGGGCCCGCCAGTATGATACCCATTTGGATGCGTCAGGTAGAGGCCAGGAATCGGCGAGGTGTGCGTGCGCAGGTGTGAAGAGAGAGGGATAGGAAGTTGAGATGCTGGGATCATGTGTGGTTGGCGTGACGGTGTTCTCGACAAGTCGTTTTCGGGCGGATTTAGAATGACTTCCATTAGGCTATTTTCGAAATTTTCGTCATAAGGGACTGTGGCAGGTGAGAAGTCGACGACGGGATTTTGGGGCTCTGGCTCGTCGCCGGGGGTGAGCGGCGCGTTGCTCATTACGGTGTCTTCGGGGGACATTATTTACGGTATAAAAGTTCAGACGGTAATTCGATGCGGAATTCGAGTTAATGAGCTTTTGCGATTCGTTATAGTGCGAATATCTGTGTCAGTCTAGAGGTTGTTGCGATGATGTACTACTGGAGCCATGCATGACTAAGCCACAATTCCCATCGCGACTCCGCAGTTTGTCGCGACTTCGCCGATTGTTCCCTCTATCGACAGCCCGAGACACCACAACCCTCCCACAACCCACCGCATACCCAAACTTTAAACCATGGCCGACAAACTCCGCGCCCAACAGCAACTCGAGGCGCTGCAAGCCCGCTACATCGGTATCGGGTCCGCCGACACGACGAAGCACGAATGGACCTCGAACATTGCGCGCGACTCACTGTCAGGCTATATCGGCCACCCCCCTCTACTTCAGTACATGAGCATTGGTCTCGGACAGCCAAGGGAGAAAACGAGGGTGCAGCTGCTTGAGAGGATGGTTAGACCTGTTGGGCCGCCGCCTGAGGTGAGTGATTGAGAAGGGTTTTGTGGATAGAGCTGACAGGAGAATAGCAACAAGATTGATGAACTTTGGATTCAGGCTACGCTGGGCTTTTAAGAACAAAGGAATACCTGGGCAAAAAGGCACTACACAATATGCGCTCAAGACTGGGGATGAAAGAGCACGGCGCTTCGAGCAGTCGCAGGGGGATATGTGCGCTCACGTTTCATGGACTGGTTATAACTGAGCATTGAAAGATGGATATTGCCCACATGGAACGCTGATGCGTTTGTGGGGACGTGGTGTCTCCAGAAGGTACCCTGGATATGATCTAATATGAGGCCCCAAACATATGCCGATGCACGCAATATGATCTCTTCTTGTGACATCCTAATCGCTGTCACTCGCACTCCCCGTCGGCCCATCGTCATCGTCCTCCACCACATCCCCGCCAGCCTGCATCGCAAACTCGCCTTTCTGTAACATACTCCTCAACTCCGTGTTCCTGGGGTCTACGAGCTCGACTGGCTTCAGCTTCGCCTTGTTCCGTATCCTGGGGTCACAGCCTGCGTCAAGGAGGATGTCGACGATGTGGTGGCCTGCAGAGGCCCAGTCGGACTTGTCGAGGGAGTTGACATAGCGCACAGCTTTGTGGAGGGGTGTGTCCTTCTCCATGCGGTCGATTTCGTCGATTTCGAGGCCTTCTTGGTCAAGGAGGATGTCGAGGATTTCATCTATGTGACGCGTTAGCTTCCCTCATTAAGTACTCTATCGTTATAAAACCCCAATCTTGTAATAAAATGTCAAAGTGCTACAGCGTTATTGTTTACTTACAGCTTCCGTATGTTGCCGCAACGTGCAGACATCCATTGCCAACAGCGTCTCGTGCGTTGTTCAGTGTGCTTGCTACATACTCTGTTGGATTCTTTCCAGACTTTGATGCGGCAGAGGCAAGGTCTGCTATAGTCTCTTCAAGCAGCGAGGTATTGTTCCGTCGGCAGGATTCGATGATCAGTTCGCGGGGGGATGCGCCCTGGAGCACTGTCAGCGGCCAGGCAAGTATCATTGTCTTTTTGGGTTGTGTACATCCTCGTCCGCCATCGTGAAAGCTTCGAAGGGTTAAATCTAAGGGCTACGATTGCTTCAATCGGACGCGCGTGAATATGCCAAAGTCGTGGTTGGAGGGGTATTCGGAAGTGCGAACGTCGAAGAGGCCACTCGATGCTGTGCTAAGCGATACTGGTATGAAGAGCTATAGTAGAGTGAAGTATAGTGACCTGTTCACGACCAGCGCTTAGCAAGCTTGCAATGAGACAGCGGTTACCTAAGTGCGCGTCGCGGGAGGCTCATCGCCGCCCAGGTGGAGTCGGTGTCTCGCCCCGCCCTTTCCCTATTTCGTCACTAGCGCCAGGGTCGCCGTAACTTTTGACCTCTTCGATGCGCAATGTGATCGCGTTCAAGCTTCTACTTCCTGGCCCACCTAGCAGTCGCTCGCCATGTTACTCTGTGAGTTTGACGCCTTGACTAGCGCATGTAGCTTTGGAGACCCTATGCTAATCTATCTAGTCTGTCCCACGTGTAGCAACATGCTGCGCGTCTCGAAAGTCCCGCCCGGGGACCCTACAACCGAGGATTACGTCGGCCAGAACCGCTTCGAATGCCTAACCTGTCCGTACCACTTCGTCATCCACAAGAGATACTACGAGCGCAAGTACATGAAGAAGAAGGAAGTGGAGGATATCCTGGGAGGAAAGGGCGCATGGGATAACGTGGATAAGACGCAAGGTAAGCCTTTGCTTGGAAGGAGATACATAGAACAGAGGAGAAAGCGGTAGAAGAAGGGAAATGGTGTTGGAGGCTGACGACTACACAGTACAATGTCCAAACGAGAAGTGCAGGAATGACGAGGCGTATTGGTATCAGCTACAGATTAGGAGCGCTGATGAGCCTATGACTGCGTTCTACAAGGTCAGTTGCCCTCCATGTTCCTCTCTTTGGCTTGACTAACTTGGCGTAGTGCACAAAATGCTCGAAAGAATGGCGAGAGTGATCTCTAAGTTCCTGCATTGCATTCGAGGAGTTTGGAAGCGATATTTCTTTTTGATATACCCCGGTTTGGCAATATTGACTACATCTTCATACTTCTTATGTGCCATCCCCATTCCACTGCATAAATACCCCTGTCAACATCAGTAACATAAGCCTTGAGAAGGAGATGATCTGTGCGGAAAAAGGTACAATAATAGTGACTACGGGTTGAGTTTATGGCATGTGGATTCATTACCAGTCATGCTACGCACGTATGGGTCATCTGTCAGTTCTACGAGAAGGTCTCAAAGGCTCCTCCATCCTAGTTGAGCTACCGTTAGGTTCGTGAAGGTACTTGGGGTGAGGAAACGTTTGTGATTATATTGAGTTGACAGTCCTACGAAATCGAGATAACTACTGACTAGGCCCTGTTACAATAGAAGATACACACTGTTTTTTGAAAAAATCCAAGGCCTGCTCATTGAGTTCTCTCTACAAACTCCAAACATCATAGAGTAGCACGTCGCCCTATTGCACTACAAAGAACTCAGAGAAGCCTCAAACATTGCCGCCCTCAATGTACAAGGGGGAGTCAGGAGTTTAGTGCCGTTGGAACTTCTCCTGACTGCTCTAACAAAGTTGGTAGTTTTAGTTGTATATACCCGGGTAGATATCCTATCGCAGTTTATAGCTAGTCCTCGCTAGCGGCCGCAATCTTCACTCCGCGCAGTGCTCAGATCGACAAAATTCTACTCGTTATCCTGCCGCAGCAGGACTGATCGGCTGTAGACCACGCGTCTACCTCCTGGGACCCGTGACCCTTGTAGCGTGTCCACACCTCTTCAACCTTATCTTGTCGTCCTTGAAGAGAGAATTTCTCTAGTATGAGCATATCCAAATCATCGGTTACCATGTCGTCCATTTTTTTCTTGAGGATGTTACTGTCATGTAGGTACCTCAGCATCAGCGTGCGCGCTCGAAACTCGATCTTGTCGATAGTAGCCAGGATTTGCAGGAAACCCGCGCGTTCAGGTGAACGAGTGCCCCAGTGAAGCGAGCCATTAATAACAACCGTGACGGAACGGAGGTGATTCATGCCCGTGGAGCCAGATCCCAAGTTTATCAGAAGTTCCAAGGTTCGGACACTGGGACAGCTGCGGATGTAGAGTTTCGTGATATAATCGCGCATGTTTCGTGGAGGGTAGTAGATGACACTGCGCTCTTCAGAGTTGTAAGAACGAAGCTCGTTGTTCATGATGCCCATTTCGTTCTGCGAGTAGAAGGCCTCCAAGGCGAGGCCTTTAATTTGAGGAATCGAGAGGAGAGGTAGCATCGTTCGCCAGGAACCTCGGACGTGACGATGGCGCCAGTGAGGGATCTCTTTCTTGAAACTCGAGGCGAAGTAGGTGTCGCGAGGGACAGTCTCCTTAAGGATTTGGAGCTTCAGTTCATCTGGCAGGCGGTTCCAGCCCGTGAGAAAGGGCGTAGTTGTTTCAGCCATGGTCGGGTCGAGGTTCCGTATCAGAATGGAGTTGAGAACAGTGGAAGTGAGGGCGGAGAATATTAAATCTCGAATGCAGCGGTCGAAACTTATGGGTAAATGGCGCTGGTTGGCTTCTTAGTGAAAGGTCATGATAACAATGTATGACGTGACAAGCAAGTAAGTGTGTCCATTCACTCTTCTAGCACAACAAATTCCGAAGTTCTTTGCCATAGTAACGTAACGATTCACTCTATGTTCAGTAGGTGGTGGGGGAGTGATGGATTCACGCCGATAGTGAAAAAAGCGAACAAGCAATTAGGATTTTATAGAGTTTTATAGGAATCATGAGCGAACATCTACTTAGTGTCGTAGACCTGGGAATGTCCTCAGGGTGTAATGAGATGTGATCCTTACAACACAGGTCCGAGTCTACAAGATTTGCGATGGTTTGGAAGGGCAGCGAAGACTAAATCTGAGCGGGAGGCTGCTCTTAGGTTCAAGAACCGGTCTATTTCTTTCACGTTTTACGTTTTACGTTTTACAACAGAAAGCTGCGCACAAGCGGCGTGTTGGAGCAACAGTTTGGGACAGTAACCCACGAAGTGAAAGGCAGAGTTCAGGCGACTGGCTAGGCATTGTCGCAATACCTGGTTGGGCCTGAAATCACATGTCGACATAATTTTAGAGAAGGGCGGCGTGCAAGATGGTTATTGCAAAAGGGCGGTTCGTTCTCGCAACGTCGGGCGTCAATGACAGCCTTTGGTGAGTCAATCAAAGAGAGGCCTTCAGATGACTCGGGTTTCGGACTGTGCATTCGGTACACCAGGAAAGACGGATGTGAACCATGGCTATCGGCGGAAAGAAGAATTGGATACGGTGTTGTGCAGGTTCTAGGCGGAGGCAAGACTGGAGAACGCTCCGCCTGCATGCAGCAGACTAAGACACAAAGAATAGAGGGGTTGGGTATGATGCAGAGGTACCCCGCTAAAGACCAAAAGATTTTGCAGTCACAGTGTCGAATATTTCCACATCTTGATGTATTAGGAGTCACGGATTGTATAGTGATTGTGTACTGGCAACTGCACAGGTACACGAACGGCGGCTAGCCGTTGGGTGCCATGACGTATTGCAAGAATGGAACACGGGTGTTGTTATGGGTCTTGAAATGACGGCGCACTCTCTATTGACACTCGTATGAGGAAGCTGCGGCTGTGGCGAGTCGATCTGCAGGCGGTCAGGGAAGACTAGAGAAGCTGAAGCTCGAGGGCCAATAGAGGCAGGGGATTATGCCTTGTTTGCCGTCGAATTCGTCGCAAGTGAAGGAGCCCTTGCAACGCGCGCCAGGCTGCCCGATCTCAAAATTTGCATGCGTTGGAGGGGCTTAGCGCTGAAAGTTCCGCTGTCCGTGCGCGAGTCCTCCCGCTCATATTTAGTCTTCGCTGCCCTTCCAAACCATCGATTTTTTCTCTTTGCCTGACATTGCCGATAGACGAGCTCTACACACTGTTTGTCCACTCTGATCTCCCTCCCTTCTGCCCTCTAACACCCGCCAGGTCATTCAAAGCTACATCAACTCTACCACCACCAAAACCAATCCATACACACAACCGCAATCATGGGGTGAGTCAACCCCGCCAGCTCGAGCATCTCGACGCGCGCCACCCACCACACGAACAGCTTGCTGACCATGACTGCAGTAAAGAGAAGATGCACATTAACGTGGTCGTTATCGGCCACGTCGATTCCGGCAAATCGACCACCACCGGCCGTAAGCCCTCCTCTCCAAACGACTGCGGGGTCACAACAACTTACACTGGGAAACAGACTTGATCTACAAGTGCGGTGGTATCGACAAGCGTACCATCGAGAAGTTCGAGAAGGTACGGCATCCTTTTTCTTTCAGTTGGACAGCCGCAGCCCTCCGTCGCAGCCTCTGAGCGCTCTGCCATATTTTGGCTTATCGTGACGAGGGGCAATTTGGGTGGTGGGGTTGTGCGAGCTTTTTCGCGCTAGTGCTAGTCCCGATTGGGACTTCGCCAACAGCAACACCATGACGCACACTTCATTTTGCGCATCCAGTGTTATCACTGCGGTGTCCAGCCACTACCTTCTTGCAAGCTTCACAATGCTAACGACCCTCACAGGAAGCCGCCGAACTCGGCAAGGGTTCCTTCAAGTACGCATGGGTTCTTGACAAACTCAAGGCTGAGCGTGAGCGTGGTATCACCATCGACATTGCTCTCTGGAAGTTCGAGACTCCCAAGTACTATGTCACCGTCATTGGTATGTTACCTCCTCTTCCATCGCACCTTGTACACCCCACTAACACGTTATAGATGCCCCCGGTCATCGTGATTTCATCAAGAACATGATCACTGGTACCTCCCAGGCCGATTGTGCTATTCTCATCATTGCCGCCGGTACTGGTGAGTTCGAGGCTGGTATCTCCAAGGATGGCCAGACCCGTGAGCACGCTCTGCTTGCCTACACCCTCGGTGTCAAGCAGCTCATCGTCGCCATCAACAAGATGGACACCACCAAGTGGTCTGAGGACCGTTACCAGGAGATCATCAAGGAGACCTCCAACTTCATCAAGAAGGTCGGCTACAACCCCAAGCACGTTCCCTTCGTGCCCATCTCCGGCTTCAACGGTGACAACATGATCGACGTCTCCAGCAACTGCCCCTGGTACAAGGGTTGGGAGAAGGAGACCAAGACCAAGTCCACTGGTAAGACCCTTCTCGAGGCCATCGATGCCATCGACCCCCCCAGCCGTCCTACCGACAAGCCCCTCCGTCTTCCCCTCCAGGATGTCTACAAGATTGGCGGTATTGGCACGGTTCCCGTCGGTCGTGTTGAGACTGGTATCATCAAGGCCGGTATGGTCGTCACCTTCGCCCCCGCTGGTGTCACCACTGAAGTCAAGTCCGTCGAGATGCATCACGAGCAGCTTGTCGAGGGTGTCCCCGGTGACAACGTCGGCTTCAACGTCAAGAACGTCTCCGTCAAGGAGATCCGTCGTGGTAACGTTGCCGGTGACTCCAAGAATGACCCCCCCAAGGGTGCCGAGTCCTTCAACGCCCAGGTCATTGTCCTCAACCACCCTGGTCAGGTTGGTGCCGGTTACGCACCCGTCCTCGATTGCCACACTGCCCACATTGCCTGCAAGTTCTCTGAACTCCTCGAGAAGATCGATCGCCGTACCGGCAAGTCGACTGAGAACTCCCCCAAGTTCATCAAGTCTGGTGATGCTGCCATCGTCAAGATGGTTCCCTCCAAGCCCATGTGCGTTGAGGCCTTCACCGACTACCCCCCTCTTGGTCGTTTCGCCGTCCGTGACATGCGTCAAACCGTGGCTGTCGGTGTCATCAAGTCCGTCGTCAAGGCCGACAAGGCTGGCAAGGTCACCAAGGCTGCTCAGAAGGCTACCAAGAAATAAGCGATCTGTTCTCGGGTTGCTTCTTTCTTTCCTTTCGTCTCTAGATACCTGGTTCTGGGGATGCGGTGGCTTGGGAAAAGCTGTGATGACTTCTTGAAACGTGTCATGCATAACGGTCTGAGGAGATGTCCTGGCGTGGTCCTTCCATAGACTTCATAATGATTTGAATGAAAGTATGGGTGGACAACTATCTGTCTTGCATGCTTTATCGTGATGTACAGTGTTTTGATGCCCTGACTCTAATATTTTTGCCACTTTAGCGTGTCGTCGCCCAGGCCGTCAAAGTCTGCTCTAGTGTACACTGCCTGAGCTGCTCCTCAGATCACTCGTCAAGCGTTGCAACTGCACTGCAGGTTAGCATGCGCAGACATCACCCTTCCTCCCCCACTGCGCCGATGTATTGTAGCATAAAATTGGGAATTGGCTTTAACAGCACAGAGAGATCAGTCCCAAGGTTGTGCTTGGGATGAGATTGTGCATGTTTATAGTGATGATGCACTGAAGATGTTGAGGGAGCTAACTTAGCTATATGTAGGTCGCGGACGAAACAACCAGGTCCTCGTCTTGCGGCTCTTACACACTTGTGGTTATTTGCTTATCTGATTATAATAAATCTCAAGATAGGAGTTTGCGTCGCTAGGGCTCAAACGGGTGAAGCGATGAAGAGGTGGCAGTGGTCGGCGGTATGCTTGCTACTAAATCCGGCGGTGAGCCGTCAAATCTCAAGAACGTATACTTGCCAATTCTTGATTAATGCATTGTTACATGCATAACTAAAGAAAATCTTGAGTATGCGCCAGTGTCGACTGATGGCCAGAGTTCCCACCTCTTCAAGCTTAGCGCTGCTCGCTACTACCTGACCAAATGGCCGCATCGCTCCTCAACCTCAGAGCAGACTATCGCGTCTATATTCAGTTTGTGAACAATTGAAGCAATGTCAGCAGATCTTTTCGCGGAATTCGGAGCTAGCTCTAGCTCAAGCCAACAACAGCAGGCTGGGACACCCACGAAGGCTGGCCCACATGCTGCGTCGCCATTCAGCTTCTTCGACGGCTTGGGCACCGCTCCCGCGCCAATAGTTCAATCGCAACCTGCAACACCGCAACAACATTCTCATAGCTTCAGTCTAGCCTCTACACATACTACGATCGCTGAAAACGATGACTGGGGTGATTTTGAGGGTGGCTCATCATTCGAGCCTGCCCCTCCGGTCAATCAAGATCCTTTCGCTTCCGCGCCCCCTCGGGTTTCACAGCCTCTGCAGAACTCATGGGACATTAATCCGGCCGCTCACGACACATTTGCGTCCCAAAAGAGACAGCCTTCTCTACCCTCACAAGAAACATGGCAAAGAGCACCGATTATGAAGGCAAAGAAATCAGCAGACCCAAGCGTGCTATTTGACGCAGAAGATGATCTCGATGATGATGATGATGATGATTTTGGGGACTTTGAAGGAACAGGCGAAACAAAACCAACACCAGCAGTCCCAGTGGCTAGCTCTTCGGCGCTTGCTGATCTGTTGGAAGACTTGAGTGTATCACAACCTCAGCCTCCTGTCGCTAGGGGAAGAGTTGAAAGAGGTGCAAACAATACTCCGAGAACGGTATCTTCAGTTAAGAAAGGCTCAGCTACTGGGGCTGGTATTGTGTCTAAGCCCAAGCAGCCATCAGCGACACCGACTTCAATAGCACAACCGAAGGATGATGCTTGGGACACGTTTGAAGACTGGGAAGCCTCCATCCCGACTAAAGCACCAGCAAAAGGGTCGAGCAAACCAGATGCTGTTAAAATCTCAACCGCGGCTAAAACCTCTACATCACCTACTCCTATCCTATCTCCAACGACAGACGACCCGCAACCTGGGGAACTGCCGCCGACTAATGTACCACCGCCGGGCGTTCTTCTCTCGCTTTTCCCATCAATGTTTGCAGATGCACAGGATAAGCTATTTAAGCCCATGGCGGCCCAGACTCTACCTATCAGGAACAAAATGCTAGCCGAACAGGCTACGATCGCCTACCTTCAAGGCTACCTCATCCTAGCAAATGTTGCAGCACACGTCATAGCTGGGCGAAAACTTCGCTGGAAGCGGGACCAACATCTCTCACAGGGCATGAGAATCGGCCCGGCATCATCACGAGCGACGTCAGGCATGAAGTTGACGGGAATTGATAAGGGTGAGAACATGAAGGAGGAAAGGGAGGCTTCTGACGTTGTGAGGGTTTGGAAAGAGCAGGTTGGAAGACTACGGCATGTCATCTCAGGCGCGAACCAGATCAGAGCAGGCACCTTGGGCCCCGCACCAGACCTCCAGGAGACGATGCCAGTGAAGGCATTGAAGCAATCTGAAGGAGGGATCCCTGCACGACAGCCCTGTATGCTGTGTGGATTGAAGAGGGACGAGAGAGTTACTGCGGCAGATTTGGCTGTTGACGATAGCTTCGGAGAGTGGTGGATCGATCAGGTCAATATGCATCGGGGTAAGGTCGTACTGTTAATTTGCTAATACCCTTACTGACTGCTTCCCCAGGATGTCGCAACTTTTGGACTCAGCACAAAGACAAACTTCGACAACACTGATATTTCCCCAATCAGCGGACTGCTTGGAGGCCGGTAATGCATGTAGCACGTGGCAAAGGCGTGTTCCTTATTCGATGGCGAAGCAGCTCCGAACGGCCGCGTTCATTACATGCATGAACTACTAGAAATAAACAAGTAATGACGCAATCATTCGAAATGCCATCTAGCCGGGGAAGAAAGCTGTCACTCGATTGTATATCACTGTCGTCCACAAGTCTGGTTGTAAGGATATGCGCGTGCGATGAGGGGCACGAACAAGATGCATAATTTACAGGAGTCGGGCGGATTGACGGGGCATGCACCATAGTGACAAATGATAGCGGTGCTAGTGGAGGGCATGTGGCGCTGTAAAGGGCCGTAACTGACAGCGGGAGCCTGTGGTTGAAGGCAATGCAGCTGACAAGTGCGCTCAGCAGCACAGGTCATTTTAGGTTTCGAGTGACTCGGATCTGACTAGGTGCCTATTCAGTAAACCCCGCTAGTAATATAGGTGTTATTTTAAGTATAGTATTAAACTAAAGGCAGCTAGTAATACGCGCAGTAATTTGGCTTAAATAAATTTAAAGGCATTTTATTATTATTTAGAAATATTATTAATCCAAACTGCTGAAGATACCAGTAATATTTGTCGTGTTTAGTCGAACGGCCAATAGCGTTCGTACTCCGCTCGTTCCTCCTCGCTCTCCGCCAACTGCTCAATTAGCTGTTCTTTCATTTCCTTGAGTTCGGCTCTACAAGCATCGTACCGCTCGTGATCGATGAAGCCCTTGTCCGGCCACAGTTCGCCCATAGTTTCCTTCACCTGCGCTAGAAGCTCTGTTCCAGCCACCGCACCATCACTTTTTGACTTGATGCGCTCAATGTCAGCATGCGAAAAATCGAATGGGAACGGACTCTGGCCTGTGACTGCTGTTAGGGTCGGCCATGTGTCCTTCAAATCGACTAGAAGAGACTGAAAGTGCGCCTCGCCGTACTCAAACATCCTGTGTGCCAGAAACAGTAGCCCGTATGACGGTGTCTTTTGGAACTCCGTCACCTCAAACAAGCCTGGATTCTTCGCTTGCATGAGTTTTCGCCATGCGATGAAAACATTTAGATGCGCGTAATCACGCAAGGCTGCGGATTTCTCTTCAGAGGAAAGTCCAGAAAGATCTGGCTTTGGAGTCAAATCGAGGTTCTCTGGCGCGAGGCCATCCCAATCGAGGAACGCCGGATCCGCATTGTAGTTGAATAGAGGTGAGATGTGGCAAGACTGCCAATCTATGATGGTTGTAATCTTTCCGGGATTGCTGGGATCGACGAAGATGTTATCAGCATGCAAATCGTCGTGCCAAAGGTATGGATCGCAAGTAGTATTATCTTCAGGGAGGATTGCATCGAGGATGTGTTGGTACTGGCCGAGCGCAGTGAGCTTCTCTTTGGGATCTGGTTGATAAAGCTTGGGGCCACAGAACAGAGCTATCTGTTTCGGCGGCTTTAGAATCTGAGTTGCTTTCGTTTCCCTCTCACCGATCGATCGCAAATACTGGCTCAACGAGGACCCTACAAGAAAGTCAGAAATGGTACGAAACTGTTCTGGGTTGCAACGTACATGGTCCTCTTTCGATGTCTATGCCCGCCCGCCCAGCATCATGCCAGTCCCTGCCGGTAGCTGGTCCTACAACGAATTCTGAGTTTTTAATGACCACGCCGTCTTGGACGTAATGGCTCGCCGAAGATGAACGCACATCTTTAGCATAGTACAAGCCGCCGTAGTGCGAGAATGAAATGCTCAGCCACCTCTTTTGAATCTGTACCAGGGCAAGCAGCACTTGAAGCTTTTGAGGCAATGCTATCGCGTCCCAAACTTGAGAGAGAGGAACACCCTGCGCTTTTTCCATGATGATGTATTCAGCTCCAACTGAATGCGATTGAGCATGGGAGTTCCATGCGTAAACACGAGGCGCAGGTGTATCAAGCACTCTCCTGGCCTATAACAGTATTCAGGTCAGTCGGAACTCGACAATCATCAGCTCAAGAACACTTACAAAATCCATTGTGGCGACTTCACTAGCCGTGGTGTAATGTGCGTGGCCTGCATTTGGGTTGGGTACCTTGGCAACAACCTCTTGTCCATCGTTCATGAGCATCAGGAAGGCTTTGTTGAACATCCCGTCCGTGAACTTTCTGACGTCGACACACTGAGCAGCTCCAACTGAGTCTGCTGCAACCTTCGCGAGCTCATTCATATCGAACGCAACCTCTCTATTTCTGAGATTTTCATTCTCATCCAAGATAAAACGACCGCGTGTGAATTTGAAAAACTCATTTCGGGTATTCCAATCTTGAAGCAGTTGAGCGATGTGTTACTTCGATTTTTAGTTGACCACTAGGGAACGCGTACCTGTAGTGTGAAAGCTTACTTTTGTGGACGATATGCCATTTGACGACGTATAAGGTCTTAAGAAAGGTATATTGATCACCCTGTGGTTTTGAACATAGCCACGGAGAGCAGAACAGGTTCTCCTCATGCCCGGTATCATGCCGGGGCATAAATCCCGATCACGTCTGCTTCAACGTCCCAACAGCTTTATGAGGGATGATATGGCTCAGAAGAACACTTTGAAACATGCGTGTACCTTGCTATGCGTAATGTGGAAGATGATGGCAGCAGGAGGACGAGAATTAGCACGTGCGCTCCCCTTGCCAAAAGAGGCCTAGGTGCACAGCATTTGTTAGGGAGGGGTTGCTGTCTCTATGAACTCGAGTAGTAACAGCAGAACGACAGGAACGTAGGGAATGGAATGCGAATCAGTATACACGTCTAGCCAATGCCGAAACAATATGGATACGATGCGTTCCTGCAGCGCTTGTTCGTTACTCACTCCAATGTGCGAGAAGACCACTTCACCTCGCCAACTAGGCACCCGAGGTTATTCAGACCATGGAACACGGGCCTCTTTGTTATCTACATGGCGGTCGAAACATTTCCGCGATCGCTAATCGAAGCGGTATAGCACCCTGGGCATCGTCTCACGGATGTGATATGGAAGAAGAATGAAGGACTCAGTTGGTCGATCGTACAGCTATGAACGAGGGACGCTATAAATAAGGCTAGTAAATACTAGTAAAAATATAAAAATGTAAAGCACTAATAGGACATCAATATTCTTAGGTATTTTATTTAAAGCTCTTATATTATTAAATAGAACTTATTTCTTGCCTTATGTTAACTAGACTTTCTAATCTAGTAATTCTAGTAGCTCTACCTTGTTCTACTGAACAGGCCTTTGACTAAATACGAGCTTTCTATCTTTGCGCTACTTGTATTAGATACAGACACAGTAACTACTGTTGCTGTTGCCTTTGCCGTTGCCGTTGCCGTTGCCGCCTCTTTGTCGAGACGATCTGGTCGATCTGTAGCGTGGACCGTGGATGCATGTGGAATCGGTCTGTGCGGGGCAGCAACCTGGGTGCAATGCAAATACTCGGTCTCAAGTCGCATAGCGGCCGCATTAGTATCTCCCACGCTTCAATTCCATCGTTGTCTGTCTGTTAACTGTAGCATTTCTCGCCCTTTTCGCATTGTTTACTGAATAGGTCTTCGCCCGTTGCAGCTGAGCCCGCAAGCCCAAAGCAGTCTCGTAGCTCAACCCCACACCACTTGAAGCCTTTGCACCACCCGCCGACGCAACCCCATACCCTGAAGCGTACTATCCAGTACACGAAAGTAGTGTAACCTCTGACAAACCAACTGTCCTGTCTGCCACCGTCGTCCGCTTTGCCCGCGGTTACCGAACCGAGACAGGTATCAAGGCCTGGGAACAGGCGCCCGCACGCCTCAGGGAATGAGCAGGCCACACGATTATGGTAAGCCATATGACCCTTTCCTGAGCGAGCGCCGTCATGCCACCATCACGTCTGCAGCCAGTATTACCGCTAGGCGTAGTGGTGGGCTTTCTTAGCTTCACCGCTTCCTTTCTCAACATTTTGTCTTGTCGATTGTTGCAGAGAGAAGTATTGCGCCGAACTACTGCACGTAGCCAGCGCACCACCCGCGACTCCAGCAGTCTGGCATACCATACCATTTTCTCTACATTTGCTTCCGGGTCCAGACATTATACCTAGCACACCAATATGCTCATGGGCTCGACTGCTGACACACTCACCCCTCCAGGCTCTCTACCAGAAGAACCTCACTTCGATTCCCAGCCAAACCCGCGATACACCCCCGGATATGCCCCGCTGGTCAAGAATAAGAGCACCTCGAACCTACTCTCACACTCGAGGCCTCTGCCCACCATAGACACGACAAAGCGGCGGAGCATCGATGCGGAGCAGCTGGACCGCTTTGCAAGGTGAGCATTACCAACCGAAGACGACGACGGCGATATGGAGAACAAAACAAGTTTATTGGCGTCAAGAGTAGTGGCTGATGCATCTGCTCTAGGTCACCTATCCTCCCCGAGCATGAACATGGCCGGGGGGCCTCTGGTCTCCGCCGCATTCGCCAACAGCCAGTAGGCCTCCGTATCCCACCGAAAACCCAGCGATCGACATCACTCAACATTGCCACACCGCCGACATCGAGACGTCCCTCTATAACTGCTCCGTCGGCCCCAGCGTCTCCAACGTTTGCGTTTGGCGAAGACCTCACCCGCTTTCCGTCCGAGTCGCTGCACTCGTTCTCGTTCGCAACGCAATCCGAGGAGTTCATACACAACCGCCAGAATGTGCTGAAGCGGTCCATAGACTTCATGCGGGATAGGCTGGGGTGGGCGGCGACCAATCCGGGGATAGCGAACGCTCAGGCAAAGCTCAGCGGCGACCAGGAGGTGCAGAGCATGATGGAGTTGTTGACCAGGGCGAACCTGATCGGTCAGGATGGCACAGGAGCTCACGGCTTAGGCTCCTTGGGCCCCGTCACGGGGCCTGCAGACATGTCTGGCGAGAACCCATTCGACAAGGGCTTCATCGCTAGCCGATCGGACAGCCCTGACAGCATGCTCGAGTCTACGAAGCCGCCGGTACACAGGGCCACTACAACGGACATCGCCGAGACAAGTAGTAGACCGGATTCTCAGGACACGAGGAGCACATCGACTTCTGACCTCGCTTCGGAAGCATCCAGTACAAGGGTAGCAAACGCCTCTCCGCCTCCACAACGACCACAACGTGCTGCTTTGAAACGGACACTCACCGATGTGGCTTCTTTGACAATACAAAGCCAACTGCACGATGCCATGGCACAACCGTACCTATCAGGAGAGCAAGGGCAGGTCAATAAAGTGTTATCTCCAAGCACAGTTCCAGTTGTACCACCCAGTTTCAGCGGCGCACCTGGCCCACACTCGGCAGGATCAGCGCCGCATGGTCATGGTAGTCGATATGTGCCAGCTGCCCAGGCTATCTTTACCACAGAAACACGGTCTCCATGGACCATAACTTCTGCAAATGATCTGGCGTGCTTAGTGTTCGGGGTGACAAGAGCTGAAGTTCGTAAACTGGGTATTTTGGAGGTGGTTCGAGAGGACCGGAGAAAGTGGCTCGAGGGCAAGCTCAAGCATCCTGACACTAACTCGAAAGCATCGCGCGATCACAACGCACAACCTGGTGTGTCCTCGACATCGAACTTGAAAGTAGGCAGTGGGCTTACGGCGAGGTTACTCAGCAAGGCCCCATCACGGGTTGCGGCAGCAAGGAAAGCTCAAACAGACGATGGAAGTGGATCGTCTTATTACAACGCAAAGAAGACAGGAAAGCTAAACCACGAGTCGAAGGGATCAAGAGGCGTCTTGCTTTGCGGCGATGTCATACCCATTCAAAAGCGCAACGGTGAGACCGGGTCTGCCAGCCTATGGGTCAAGGAGAAGCGAGGCGGTCTCATTTGGGTTCTAGAGGAGATAGCAGAGGATGTTGTCTACATCAATGTCGATGAAGTAGGATGTGTCTCCAAGGGCTGGGGAGCGACGGAAGCTGTATTCGGAAGCGATCGGTTACGGAGAGGCATGGATCTGAAGCGACTAATACCTGGCATTCCGCGCCTCAAAGGCACAAATACTGGTGCGCTGGACTACGATACCATTGACGAAGTCCGCAGCTTCACGGCACGAACGTCCAACAGCATCAACATACCCGTTACTGTGGAAGCGTTGCTGGGTGAGCCAATATTCCGCGTCTCCAGCTTTCCGCACATTGCTGGCATAATCGTGCTGTCATCTTCTGATCTTACGATCACAAGTTCGAACTCCGTCTTTTCGTCTGCTTTGTTTGGCCAACCACGACCCGAAGGTGTTCACGTAAGCAAGCTTATACCTGCATTCGACAAGATACTACATGTCATGACCGACGAAGATAAGATTGAGTTGGTCGACGGCATAGTCATCCCTGAGCATAGCTTCCGGCGCGCCCGGGCACTTCTTGCTATGCGAGAAGGCAGCGCAGATGCCGCAGCCATCTTCTTAAGACCAAGCGGGCTTCCCGCCTTACACCGCGATGGATCCGAAATCATGGTCGACGTGCACATGAGGGTGGTCAAGAGTGAGAAGACACCTCAATTCGATGAGCACGCGATTGAAGAGGAACATGGCGCATCGAAGCCACAGAAAGGATCGGAACTAGTGTATGCCTTATGGGTAACATACTCGAGGCAGCTTCATGCTGTTAACCATGGAATTGGCCCGGTCACACCTCTCCTATCACGTCCGCCATCACCCCACCAACCGGAACCAGGACAGTCAAATGTCATTGTACATGAAGAGCCAGAATCTCATCAATCGCGAGCGAATACGCCTCCTGTTTCGTTACTAACTCAGCAGCTTCGGGAAGCTACACGACCTGACACCCCAAGAGCATCACAATCGAGGTCAATGGCACCACCTCCGGTACCAGTGAGAGAAGAGCCACCCAAGAAGAAGACGATCGGTGAATTCGTGGTACTGGAGGATATGGGCCAAGGCGCGTACGGGCAAGTCAAGCTCTGTCGGTTCAAGAAGGTCAGCAGCAAGAAAGTCGTGATCAAGTACGTTACAAAACGTCGTATCCTTGTCGACACTTGGACACGAGACCGCAGACTCGGCACCGTACCTTTGGAAATCCACGTGCTGGATTACCTCCGCCGAGATGGCTTCAAGCACCCCAACATCGTCGAGATGTCGGACTTCTTCGAAGACGATATCAACTACTATATCGAAATGGTTCCGCATGGCTTACCTGGCATGGATCTCTTCGACTACATTGAACTTCGGGTGAACATGGAAGAGAAGGAGTGTCGTAAGATCTTTGTACAAGTTGCGGAGGCAGTTCATCACCTGCATACCAAGGCAAAGGTGGTACATCGTGACATCAAGGACGAAAATGTGATACTGGATGGCGAAGGCAATATCAAGCTTATTGATTTTGGGAGTGCGGCATATATCAAGAGTGGGCCTTTTGATGTTTTTGTGGGGACTATCGGTTCGTCTCCCTACTACCAATCCCTCCCATCTCACCTCAGAGCTCTACCAAATCTTCTGACCACAACCCACTAAACTACAATAGATTACGCCGCCCCCGAAGTCCTAGCTGGCCGCTCTTACCGTGGCAAAGAACAAGATGTCTGGGCCCTCGGCATCCTGCTCTACACCGTCATCTACAAAGAAAACCCCTTCTATTCTATTGATGAGATTATGGATCATGACCTCCGGGTGCCATGGGTCATGAGCGAGGAGAGTATCGATCTGGTGAGGCTGATGCTGGATAGAAACGTAGAGAAGAGGATCACGATTTCTCAGGTTCTAGAACATCCCTGGTGTAGAGGAGATGAGACTGAAACTTGAGCACGAGCACGAGAACGATGAGCCGTACACCGTAACGAGAAGTTACAGCAAGGTTGGGGAAAGTGGGAGTGAGCAGTGCACATGGTATAGACGCCCAAGGAACTGCTTGGGCAGCACGGCAAGCCGCGTTTGACATATAAGAAGGCGGGGGCGACATATAGAACGATTTGACGACCGACGATGATGATGTTTTGCATGTTTCTTTTTTTGCATGAGCGAGCTAGCTAGCTGCTGCGTTCCCCAGCCCCCATAGGCTTTGGCCTTTGTTAGGCTTCTTTCTCTCTTTCTTTTTACCAATTCTTATTCTTATCGTTTAGTAGCGGCGGCTTCATATTCATTTTCACGCCTCTGTAACATTAGTCTAGAAGACTGAAAGCGAGGTGTTACAAATGAAGATGAGATAGAGATATATCCAAATGGTATACCCGACTTTGAGTTGTATCGCGTTGTATCGAGTCATCCCTTGAATAAACGGGACGCATGGTTGTATCCGGGGTTGAGTTCTTGATTATTTGATTACACTTAGGCCCCAACCAATTCGAAGAACATAATCTTCTAATCCATTTTCAGACGGCTACCCATTCATAGCCTTGTCGCATCGGAGCTTGGCAACTCTTGTTTCGCGATGCAACGCGTCAGCATCAGACCGTAAACTTCACGGCCATCCCCAGACCATCTTCGATCCCGCCAAAGCCCCGGTCCGTAAACTATCCGCGAGAACCGCAGTTCATAGAAAGACGTCACTCCGGCCGTACACCGCCTTGGGAGTGGTTTCAGCTGGATGCACCGCCACATGCTGTAAGCGCTGCACCGTATTCGACCTAGTCTTACGTCACGTTTCGGACCCCATTCACCCAAAGCGTTGAGCACTCTCATGCTTCAAGGTTGGCCTGAGGCTGAGGTGCAATGATATGATCCTTGTTGTGCTGAAGAGAGGACGCGACCAATAGACGAGGGCCGCCACAGTAGGGCGCCACAATAAGGCGGGCAGCAGCCACTGACACCCTCTATCTCAGAATGGGTTGGCCAGGTTTCGTCAGACGTGGAGCTTTGGAACATGTTCGATGGTTTCCCCTCCTGTCCTTCTATTTGTAAATCGGTTGGCCGCACTGCGACAATAACAATAACCAGACCACTACCGAGTTGGCAACGACTGCACGACAGCAGCACTTGGCCACATGCTGTCCCCGAACGATATCGCGCCGAAGAGCAAGGCGGCTAGTATCTGGTCATTCGACTCAGGATATGGGTCTACTACCTTGGAGGATGACGAAGCCTTCCAGGTACCTCCTTCGACCGGCCGCGGATCCAGTTGCCAGGCAGACGCTGATGTCCCTCGGGTCAACTATCACGGATTCTCGAGTACCCACCAAACACCTCCTCAGCCTACACAACAACCTATCGGCTTAGGTCTCGGCAGCTTCTGGAATGTCCACGTCGAAGACCAATTACGTCTAACGAGACCGGAATCTCCAATTGGGCCCGTGACCACCAAACTCAACGTCTTTACTACGAAAGTAGGTTCGAGCACCGACTTCCTTTGCCCACCTTTGAGCGACAGCCAAGACACTTGTGTGACTTGCCAGCTATGGAACATCACGAATCCTGGGGAGAACCTCAAGTGCAATGACTGCCGCGATAAGAACTTTATTGTACCTCAAACACCCCGATCGCAAGTCCAAAACCTGAAAGCGAAACTCGACGTACCGCGACTTGAGATTCCATATAAACAACAACCCCGTAAGCATTCTATTAACAACAATTCGACACGATGTTCAGCCTGCGAAATTTCATCGCTCATTGAGCCCGACAGGCCTTCCGGCTGCGCCACTTGTAACCCGAACTCTAATCTCCTATCTCCGATATCACCAAACCTACCATCGAAAGTGAAACGCTCGTGTGCAAGACGGCCTGCTAAACTTCCACCCCGTGCTTTGCAATGTCTACAAGCCTGGCTTCTAGACAACCGGAACAATCCGTATCCCGGTGCAGAGACGAAGCGCTCACTTGCTCAAGATTGTGGTATCACTGAAAGACAAGTCACTACATGGTTTACCAACGCTAGAGCGAGGCGAATGAATGCTTCAGTTGATCGATCGAACCCGCAATCCGAGGATGAAGGGAACTACGAAACTGGATTTTCGAGCGTTGGATCAACACCGATTTGTACCAGCGGCCTTCCGTTCGGCTACAGGACTCCACTTGATCGAAGATGCTTGGATACTTCCAACATTGTTGCCAATAGCTTTGAACAGAAGGCTTCAAGGACATCCAGACGAGGGAAGAAGAAGGATTACAGCCGTATGAACACCATATCTCCCATTGATGATCTTGCCCCTTCTATTCCGCCGACACCGTTGACCGCGATCGCTACTCGTGAGGGAAATGTGCAGCAGACATGGCAATGCACCTTCTGTTACCAACATATTGCACCCAAATCCTGGCGCCGTCATGAGGAGACTCAACATCGTCCCAAACGCAAATGGACATGCTTACTGAATGGTCCACGCCTGACTCTGCCCTCTCGCTCCAATCCTCGCACAAATACTTCAGTTGTATGCGCCTTCTGCATGGCCGAAAATCCGAGTGAAGATCATCTGCTCCGGTCGCACCGCATCGTTGAGTGCACGAACAAGAGCGAAGATGAAAGAACGTTTCTGAGGCCAGACCATCTAAGACAGCATGTGAGGAACTTTCACAAAGCAACTCTGTGGGAAGTGGTCCGAGATGGGTGGCGAAAGGATGGGCCAGGGAAAGATGAGATTGAAAACTGGGTATGTGGCTTTTGCGACCAAGACTTAAAGACGTGGGACATCAGGGAGACCCATGTCGCTGGTCATTTCAAGGACGGTATGACGATGACAGATTGGAAAGAAAGCAAAAGACTAGAGCCAACAATCGAATCATCGAAAAAGCGGCGCAACTCGAATGCAGAGTACTCGAACATGTTCACCAAAATCGCTAGGACGCTAACACGCCGATCGACTCAACATCAACACGAGCATAAATCCCCATTAACCACTCAATTCGCCGACGCCTGGGATTCGATAACAACGTCCACAGACCTATGTGCAGCAGAGTCAACTCTCCTACCTGACACGATTTTCGACACTTTCATGGCGGAAGTCTGCGGCAATGGCGTTGACTCTTGCGACCTGACTGCCACAAGTTCGGGTGAACAGGTACCCGCTTCAAACGACCGGTATGACTCTGCGTTTCACGATGAAGAAGACATGGGACTAGACTTCAATACGCTGACTGATGCATTTTTAAATGGGAGTTTTACGGAGTTTCAGGAACCTTGGGACCAACAGCTCGAGTAGAGACTTTGTTTTGAGTGGGAGCAAATTTATCCTGGTTTACTATCGTTCCTCTGGTACTATTTCTCTCCCATTTCCACTACTTCTATACTAGAGGGGGTTATATCTCCCCGTTTCTGGGGGTAGAGAAAGTTCGTCTTGGCAGCCAGATTGCTAGCTTTCTGTTCTGTTAATATAGGCAGCAGTATCGCTATCATATAGCTAGATTTAATTCTATTGTTCTGCGACTGACTATCGCGGCTGCTTTATGAGTTTACGGAATCTAGTCTTTCCTTTACTAACTGTACTGTCCCGTATAATAATCCTAACAATCCGAACTAAGGCAGTTAAAAACGCACTAACTCGCTAGCAATGGTATAAGCAACTGATCGGATCAAAAGGACTTCGCGTACACCGAGTCAGCATGTACACTTCCGTACGGTAGGAGCTTTATGTAAAGCTTAAACCGTTTTGTGTGCAGGTTTATCAGTTTCTGCGCGATTCATAGAGTTTCGTTAGTCTGATTGATATTTGTAGGTATTTTAAGATCAGTCCTGATGAAGGATATATAGATTGAGAATGATGAGGGAAAATCGTAGCCGGGGGTATGTGGAAAATAGCGGGGCGAGCTGATTTATACAAAGCATTCACACGCACGATCATCTGTACGTTCTCGTGCCCGATGCTGCATGAATTTTGCCTGTCTATGTCATGTTGACATCTGTTATTTAATCAACACATCCTCTTGACAAGTAAAGAGGAGGACTATGGTGGCCATGCAGTGCTGCTTCAATGGTGGCATGGTACCATTACGAAGTAGAATTGGCAATGGTGGTGGGGATCCTGAAACTTGGAATAATTGGGGGCAATAGAAGGTTGCTTTATTGGAGGTAACAGGTGCCTCCACTTATAGACGGCTCAGCTGATTATCAAAGTGCTCATATGCACGGGTGTTCGGAAACTGTGGGTCAGGGAGGGTGGCAAGTGGGGGACGCGTTAGTTCGCATGATTGGTATCATTTTGCATATTGTGGAAACACAAAAAAGCCACTTGATTCAAATAGATCCATGATTAGTGCTTTAGAGAAGTATGAGTTGTGTTGAGTTGGTGCCATATATTGAGGAGAAGCCTACTCAATGTCATGTTCTCAGGTTTAGCTCCAAGAAGGATTTATTCAGGTATGTTAGTAATGGTGCTGTAGTCAACTTCAGCTCCTGTGACACATCGGAAAGGATTGTTGCCAGTTGCAGTCGGGGTGTTGGCCTCGGATGTGTCTCGGTCTGCGAGCATTGGATCGACTGCAAGAATAGCCAGGTCATCTGGAGGCAAACGCGGGCGGGAGTCCCACAAATTATGATATTAAAGCTGGTCGGTAGTTCCGGATCGGCTTATAGAATTGCCTACTTGAAGTCTAGTAGCCGTAAGTGAGCGTCTGTGCGATATCGGCTGCTAAGGTTTAGGTTTAGGTGCGGTGCGATACCCATACAGAGAGCGTGAATATTGTGAGCCCCTGGTCATACTGCAAAAATCGCAGCAGTTGATAATATGCCCTCCTCTAACTTTTCCGCGGAGAGCGGCTAGTAAGATTGATCCGATCGCCGGTTACAATTGTGTCCCGCGGCCCATCTTTCGGCTCGCGCCTCTCTCGGTTAAGATAGGAATCGCCACACTTTGACTCCAACATTATCACCTAACTACTGTACCTTTTTAGGGGCCGACCCGCGACGTGAAGTTCGGTTGCGTTATTAGCCGCTGTTGTGGAGCACTTTTCAGCAATGATAAGATTATCGAACGATCTAATCTGATCAAATTTTTCACGCTAAGCACCAACCCCAGCCACCATACTCCACCTCCCATCCCGCTTAGCCGCCTATGTTCGATATCAAGTAAGACCATAAAATTCGGGTTTAGTAGCCACAATTCTCAGACCCTGTAGGGTGGTAATGGGATCCTAAGGACCCTAATAGGTCAACTGTCGCGGTATATGTCCTCAAAGGATCTAAAAGGTCGCGAAAGTGGGTAATGGAACGCGCGCATAGAACGGCGGGTGAATCGGGAATGGCAGGGACCCAAAGAATACAAAAAGGACTGTTTGTCACTTTCTGCCGCTCGCGGGCCACAATAGATTTTCCTTGATCTAGTCGTCGGATTGCTTTTGCACTCTCCCAATCGTCCGTCATGGGGTTTCTCAATCTCTCCAAGAACAAAACGAATGATATCTCGCCCGTCGAGGCAGATGCTGTCGATTCCGAGAGAGGAACGGACCCCAATACTATACCCGAGAAGGACCACGATGCAGAGATTATTTCTAGCAACGCGCAAGCTGGTGTCAAGGCTGTGCAGGCTGCAACCACTGTTTGGACGAGAAATCATCTAATCGGTGCCTATGTCATGTAAGTCTCTCCAGGTTCCCCATCCCTTACTATGGGAACTAACGATTATACAGCATTTGGTGGATCTACTTCGTTACCGCCCTCCAAGAGGTCGTCGTCGGAGCCATGAACCCCTACGTAACCAGCGCTTTCAGTCTGCATTCACTCACTGCCGCGACCGGTATCATGTCATCGATCATTGGTGGTCTAACCAAGATCCCTTTGGCCAAACTGTTGGATATGTGGGGCCGTCCCCAAGGCCTTCTGTTGTCGCTGTTCGTTTGGATGGTTGGATACATTATGATGGCTGCATGCAAGAATGTGGAAACATATGCGGCTGCTCAAGTGTTTGCTTCTACTGGGTATGTATTCTTTGGCTTCGAATGGGAGATATCACTAACGAGGTGCTAGATCCCAAGCCGTCTCATACATCCTGACCGTCTTCATCGCGGATACCTCCACACTCAAGAACCGTGCACTTATGCTCTCATTCGCCACATCCCCTTATATAATCACAACCTGGATCGGTGGACCGGTCGCAGAATCTGTACTCGCCGGACCAGGATGGCGTTGGGCGTTCGGAATCTTCACCATCATTATCCCCGTTGTCGTTACACCTCTGGCCGCCCTGGTCCTCTACAATGACCGCAAGGCTAGGAAGCAAGGACTTCTCGAGCCAAGAAAAATCCAGTGGAACGTCCGAGCTATCACCAAGTTTTGCGTCGACATCGACCTCATCGGTATACTCATTTTGGTTGTAGGCATGGCCCTCTTCCTCCTCCCATTCAGCTTATGGTCCTACCAAGCCAAGAAATGGGAATCCCCCATGATCATTGCCATGATAGTGGTTGGCTTCGTCCTTCTCCTCGTGTTCCCCATCTGGGAAAGATTCTTCGCGCCCGTAACCTTCATCCCATACCAACTGCTCCTCGACCGCACCGTCTTCTTTGCCGGCATCATGTTCATCTTTGTATACTTCAACAGCGCAGTGTGGGGCGCATACTTCAACTCCATGCTGCAAGTCGTCTGGAACCTAAATGTCACCGATGCAAGCTACGTCAGCAACATATACCGCGTCGTGTCCTGCTTTTTCTGTTTGGCTGTTGTTGGACCGGCCATCAGGATTACGGGAAGGTTCAAGTGGGTTGCATTGTACTTTGCACTACCAATGGATATCCTCGCGATTGGCCTGATGATCCATTTCAGACAACCGGGCGCGAGTATCGGCTACATCGTTATGACGCAGATTTTCGTCGCCGTGGCTGGAGGCACTATCGTCATCGCGGGTGAACTCGCAATGATGGCGCCCTCAGATCATCAGCACGTGGCCGTTATACTCGCCGTCCTCAATCTATTCTGCTCGATTGGCAGCGCGGCTGGTAGCACCGTGTCTGCTGCTATCTGGACAGGGACTTTCTACGACAATCTCGTGAAGCACGTTCCAGCCGGTGTGAACGCCAAGGAGATCTATTCTTCGCTCCCCACACAGTTGTCGTACAAGTGGGGATCGCCGGAGAGGATGGGCATTGCGCAGGCTTATGCGGACTCTCAGAGACTAATGTTGATCACCAGCATCTGCATGTTGGCGGCCGGTCTGATTGCTTCAGCATTCTGGCGCGACATCAATATCAAGAACATCAAGCAGGTCAAGGGTCGCGTGGTTTGATCGAACTCTCTGTTGCCCCGGTGGCTTGCTAGGAAAGCTTAATTGCCTTGATGGTTCCCACTGAAATGCTCCACGGACTTTGGATAATGTATTGCTAGATGTATTCTAAAGAAGAAAAACAAGTAACTCCCTGGCCTTTTTAGGACTATGTAAAATCGTGGAATTCCTAGAACTAGGTCATGAGAAGTAGCGAGTTGAATGTTCACTGTAACAGTCATAGATTATTTCCCATACAAGAGTCAAGAAGACATGGATGCGGAAATCCATATCTACAGCTTTTCCGTCAAGGAGATCGAGCTCTAAAGCTAGCTTTTTGTATTCATTATAAATATATGGTAAATATCTAGTTTCTGTTAGTGGTCGTCAACGTTGCTTTTCTTAGAATGCCAAAGGGATCAATTTCTTACCTTAGTGGCCTATTAGCGTAGTTACCCTGTATTTGTGATCTCGGAACACGTTTTCCATGAGGCTCAACTCGGCCAAGCTGCTAATACTAGACTACTCGTGACGTCGAGAAATATTCTTACGGAGACAAGTAATCGTCCCCGACGCGATCCTGGCACTACTTGGGGGAAATTTGCGTGAGGATTCATAGCTCGAGAGCGGGTCGTGATGTTGGGCCTCCAACGTTTCGTGTAAAGTTCAGATAGATTGAGCATACCGCAATTTGTCGTTTGTTGCCTAGCTGCTCTGTTATTGAATCTTGTTTCTCTGTCATTCAGATTGCAAACTTGAGGTCCTTGAACTCCTTTAAAATTATTCTAGAATACATCATCTATTACGCGTTACGAATGTAAGCTACTTCCATTGCGCTGAGGACCGAGTAAAGAAGGATTCTTTTAGTTAAACCTCATGTTCAATGTCTGCAACTCGCGGCACTTTGTGTAGCCGCAAGCCACAGAAGGTCGCAACGAGCTCAATCTAGATAGCATCAGAACACACAACTCGTTCACACGCATGAAGGGACTTACACATTGCTGTAGCGTCTCAACGTCCTCCTTGGTCACACCAATTCGTCGCGTTCCTCGCAGATGCCATGCAGTCTCGCGAGGCAGGTTCTGGATCATGATCCCGGAGAGTACCGTCAGCTCGGTCTCGACGTCGTTCAAGATACTATGATCGGAAAGGTAGAGACCGTAGGTAATTTGTTTGCTGGTCCAATCTGTCACGGCGTCAACAGAGATCAGTTAACATCTCGATTCAACTCACCAAAGTCTCTCTGCGATGCTAGCACATCGTCGATCTTCCCCTGATTGTGTTGGTACAGGCGGCTTTGCCATGCAAAGCCGCGCTTCGCGTTCGCTTCGTCACATTGCCATCCTTCCCTACACACTGATCAATGCCTGTCTAAACACTGCTCCTCTGGGCCATCTCTCATACCTCGAAAATGTGTAGTCCTTATCTTCCGGTCGCGTGATCGCATCGATATCGAAGATGGCTTCCAGAGGCTTGCATACACCCACGATGACTATCAACTTGAACAGCGTCTCTCTTATTCTTCGCATCAAACCCTGGCGTTGCTCGGATGTTTGATATTCAGGCCGCTTGATAAGCTCTTTGTAAAGGAGGGGTGCGAAACTTGGCTGGCCGCCGCCGACGATGGCCGCGTACTGTATGCTGTCATTACATGCACCGGTAGACTTTGAGGGTGTCATCGTACTGCGAGTATGTACCATTTATCGTCTCCAAGCGTCTTGGAGGGGAACTTTTCTTCTAGGGCCTTGAAAAGCGCAAAAGCTTCGTCTTCGGTGGGATCGCGAGGGATTGGGAGCTCTTGGGCAGCCATTGTGACTCTGGTTTCGCTACTGGAGTGTGTGTTGTCGGTGAGTGATACTTCGAGTAGCAACAAATAATCGCATCATCAATCAGAAGTCCATGGAACCTATACCCGGTATCCGATGGTCAACCATGGTGCCATGGGAATGAGCGAATCGCGACGCGTCTTCAGAGCGCGTCCACATTTGGCGGGGTAAAACACCCCACAGCTCCGGAGTAGCACGACCCCTCCCCGACCCGTACCTGAAGGATCCCTCATTGGGGTACGGAGGTGCGGTAGCTTGCCTTGCAACTATTCATCGGTTGTTGACCGGATATCCGTAGCAGTTTCTGGGACCATAGAATAGGTATCTGCTTGAGAGCGGCCCTCATGTATTGGTCCATTCTCCACCAACATCCGCCTGTAGCTCTGTCTCACATTACAGCAATTTGATCATAACCACGACCTCTCTAATTAGAAACAGCTATATCCAGATCAGCAATACTGAAATCCGAAGGCATGGCCGATAACAACTCAGGTCCCTTCCATCTCCCGAATGGCAACCCTAAAACGGTCATTGTCACGGGCGGCGCAGGTGGAATCGGCGCCGAAACAATCCGCTCCTACTACTCTCACGGCTGCAACGTTGTGATAGCCGATCTGCCTCTCGCCAAAGATGCGGCAAACAAAATCATGTCCTCCCTTGCAGACCCCAAGCGAGCGCTCTACCATCCAACCAACATCGTGGACTGGGAAGATATGAAGGGTTTGTTTCGAGAGACCAAAGCAAAGTTTGGGCAGGTGGACATTGTGATTGCGAATGCCGGACTGATGGAGAGTAAGGGCTTCTTTGACTTCGATGAAGACGAACATGGGGAGTTGAAGGAGCCGAGTGAGGCTTGGAGGGTTGTAGATGTCAATCTAAAAGGGAGTATGAACAGTAAGAATATCGACTCCTTTTGTTTACTATAGATGGAACTAACTCTTGACAGCACTGCGGCTAGCTATGCACTCTATGAAGTCAAATTCATCTGACGCAGACGGCGCACGAGGCTCGGTGGTGCTCATCGCTTCGACGTCTGGATACTTCGGCGGTACAGGAGTAGTTTCGTACATTTCATCCAAGCACGGTGTCGTCGGTCTCGCTCGCGCTTCACAAAATGTTGCGAACAAGCTTGGGGTTCGTGTCAATGTTGTTGCACCCTTCTTTACGCCGACGTACATTACGACAGGTTACTCGGAAAAGTGGAAAGAGAGGGGTTTGCCAGCGAATACGGTCGAGGATGTGGCGAACGCGATCGTGTCTACTAGCACTGATCCAGAGAGAAAAGGGCATAGTATGATGGTATGTCTAAATATATCATCATTGCAGTGCGATTGCTGACTAGGGCATTCAGGTTGCAGGAAGCCTACTCAAAGAGGTCGAAACAGCCAGAACAGCATTGACAAAAGAGTGGCTAGGCGAAGAGATTGCCGATGTCATGGCAAAAGGCGGAAAGTTCTTCGAGGACATGGGCGGTTATACACTACCGAAAGCCCGATCGTGAGGCCAGAAATTTGGCTGATGTTGAATTGTTCAACTGCGGTTACTATATCAGGGACAAGCTATCGTATATTGATCATCACTTGTCAAACTGGTCTGTACATTGCAGCCTATTTCCCCTGCGCTGGAGGGCACTTGACCTGACGGTCTTGGTAGTTACCTCTAGTATCCAAAATTATCACATTGCTCTCATCTAAATACACCAAGTCAGCAGGGACTTCAGATCAGGACCCCAGCCCTTTTTCAAGTTGGCCCCCACGATATCAAGACCGACACACATTCCTGTCTCGCGAAGCTCAGAATTATTATCAATGTGCGAGTTTCCCATCGGTTACCAGCACAACGCCTCCCTATTTCAAACATCGCTTTCAAGTTTGGCCAACAAATACCACGCTTCGACAGGTACATGAAATAGTACAACGAAGAGAGAGTTCGGCCGGGAAATTGCAAGCTGGACGAAGGCACGAATCAACTTCCGAGCAAGCACTAGTTCCCGACAAGATCTATACTCCTGAAGGACTAGTACTAAGCTAACGACTACTTTGGCCTATAAGAAGCTGTTGCTATTAGTCTTGAAAGTATTTTCGTAACTTGCGGTCAGATGCCCACTTGTTCATCGCCTAAACTTCCCCCGATTGTACACACATTTTTCACGCCTCCCATGCAGCTGTAATAACACATCAACACAACGGCATGATATAAACGAGAGTGACATAAGTGGTAGGAAAGGTGTTGTAGGCAACCGCAATGCGACCGAGGATAGATTAAAAAGTGACGAAGGTGGCGTCCGGTGTGAACATAAGAACCAAGATGCATGCGCTTGGCACACCGAGGACCCCAACGACGGGACAGGAACCTGGCCAATCGACTGGATGGGAGTATAACAACCCATTTTCAGCTCATCGTATCCATCGCTTTCAGAAGGGAATGCGAGACTCGACGCGGCCCCCAACCTCTTCACGGGAGCATAACGGACGATGCGAGCTGAACCTTTCCAATGGCAGCCTTACCGTCAAGGACTAATTTAACTTTTCGCATTGTAGAAGTCTCACAGTTAACTTATATATTCGTCTCGTGTACCCTTCATACATGCGAAAAAAACCCTCCACGCAAATACACACACATTGTCTCCATCACAAGCACTTAATCCTCACCATGCACGCGATCAACCTCTCCTCTCTCCTAGCTCTTGGCCTACTCTGCGCTCTCCCTCTCGTAACAGCAGACTGCTGGTCCAGGAAATGCAGCATCGACGGGCTCGGCACATTCGCCTGCGGCACCGCCTGTTCCCGAAAGGGTTATCGGTACCATGGGTATGAGAACTACTACAAGCTAGGCTTCCCGCCTCGCGCCAACACCGGTGAGTCGACGATTCTCAACAACCCTCGCTAGATGCTGTGATCCAGAAACTGATGATATATCAATGACGGTAGTGTGCACGTGCGGTACGTTTCACTCGGATGATTGCGGTGTGTGCAAGAATCGCGGGACGCCGTGTAAGAGCCGCAAGGCGGAGTCGGATGATTTTTACGCTGGACGCGTGCCTGGTTGTTGATGAGCGCGCTTTCCATTGGGAAACCCGTCGGGGTAGCGTTCCGGGAGCGCTAGAACGGCGGGAAGAACAAGCGAGGGAATTTGAGCCGAACAGATGTGAATAGGTGGAAAGGATATCCAAGTTTGATTTCAGTCATCCAAGATTGAGGATGACTATTTCTCTAGCTACAAATTGGTACTGGTTAAGTTGACAAGATGAGAATGAAAATATTTTGGAAAATCACTTCGTTTACTTGATGCAAATTCGAGCAAGCGATCATTCCTTTGCTGATGCTTCAGAATACGCTCTTGGCACAACCCATCCTCCTCTTGGTGCATCAAATAACTCGAACAGAAGCAAAGGCAGAGGGGCACCCTAGATCAAGAGCCGTACTTGCTGGCCACTAATTCCATCGAAAGAAAGCAGAGTTTGACGAACACGCTAATACACAATACTCCAAGAACCTAGACAGCGAACAAAAAACGCGCCGAGGTAACCCAGTCTACCCATGTTTTTCCTGAGCGATCTTGCTCTTGATGCGGCGACTGGCAGGTAGACTCATCGCTCGACGTCGCGGTGTGCCCCCGTGAGAGTGCTGCTTCATCGACCGCGGCGTCTTGAATCGTGCGCAATTCCCTTGACATCTTGTCTTCCAGGCCTTTCATCTTCAGTGACACCATTTCGTCCATTCTAGTTGCCATAGTAGCCTGTGCTCGCTGGAGGTCTTCGAGCATGTCGATTTGCTTCCATTGCATGTATCGATTTGCTTGTGTATGAGCTTCGTTCTCCAAGGTTTTCAGCCTGTCGATGTGTGCCTTGAACTCGGGCTGAGGATGCACTATACCTCTTTGGGCTAGGGGAACTATGGCGCGTAAATTGCATAATGTGTTAGCTACGGCTACGAGCATACATGCGAAGAGGTTGACCAATGCTGCACGAAAAGCCGTTATCGTGACCTCCTCATTAGCATTCCTTTTGGCATGGTGTACTAGGGTTTCGTAGTTCGCGGTCCTTGTCCAAATTTTGAGTAGTTCTCTATACGCCTCGGCGGCCTTTAAGGCATGTTCCTCACTGTCGATCGCTCTAATCTTAGTTCCTGTTAGTTTGGCATCTCTTCAATGAAGGAGTACTTACGTGGATAGCCGAAAGATGCACCAGCGCCCGAAAGATATGTTTTTCCAATGAGTATTCTGTATTCCAATCATTAGGGTAGCTTATTCCATCCCATTTGAAACTTTGGCCATGACCAAATGCCATCTCTATTTCCTTCATCAAACCAGAACTCTTGACTATTGGATGAGCACCTATCAGGGATAGCATTTTCGATGAGGGTGTCGTCAAGTGGTGGACACCAGCACATATGTCTTGTGTTCTGGATGCAGTCACAAGCCTGGGGATGACAGGATTTGACCACCGAGAGCAGAGAAAACTCGTCTCGAGATGTAACAGCCGCCTAAACAAACTCCACGAACGAAAACCACCATAGAATCCAAGACCTGTATCTACTAGATCAATAGCTTCTCGCCAGAGACGACCGTCAGATGACAAAGTTGCGCCGTTGAGCTCTAGCAGCACAGCGATATTTTGGTGAGTGACTGACGGGTCAAGCTGGGTATTTCCAAGCCGGGCTGCAAGCAAGGCGCTTCCAAATATACCATGAATTTGGTCGACTTTAGCCCCATGCTCCAGCAAAAGTTCAACAATCTCTTCGTGACCGAAAACGGAAGCTGCTTGGAGGGCATCTCCGAATGAACCGCCAGGCGCGTTGGGGTCCGCCCCAGCCCCTAGTAAGACAGCGACAGTATCATAGTGACCGGAACTAGCAGCTATGTGCAAAGGCGTTCCGATAGTCCCGCAGGCCTTATTCAAGGTATCTTTGGGACCCGAAGCTAGAATCAATTTGACCATTTCGACGTCCTGTGGGCCATCACATGCGGTGCATAACGCTGTGCCAAAGGTTCCGGGTTGAGCGTCAGCATTTGCTCCCAACTCAAGCAACCTTCTTGCGACATCTTTATGTTGTAACTTCAAAGCAATCTGTAAGGCAGTGCCCCGAATGCTTGGGTAGTCGGAATTAGTCGTTCCAAGTTCTAGTAGCGCTAGTGCTAACCTTGGGCATGAGTGGGCGAGAGCAGCATGAAGCGGTGTGGGGGAATAGTCCTCCCCACCCCCCTGACGTTCTTGGCGTAAAATGCGGGATATCTCGTGCCATTTGAGAAAAGCGTCCGTTTCTGCTGATCTAAAAGCTTCGATCAGGCGTGGTGGTATTGGCCTTGTCTCAGCTTCGTCCGAGGCACTCTCGCAGACTTTTCTATAATGTTCCAATACATGGTCGCTCGAGTAATGGAGGAAACGCCCTGGCATTCCCTTCACTAGCCTGCCAATACATCGATCAGTCATCTCGAGGTATACCTCCTCTTGTGATAACTTGAAAGTCTTGACATCTTCAAAAGGGGAGAGCTTCTCGGAACATAGGAAATCTTTGAATGAGGGGTAGTTGAAACTCACTTCGTGTCCGTCAATCCGAACTAATTTCGGAGTACAGATTTTCGTAATGCTATCCGAGGATGTCAAGCCAGCGTAGTCAACCACCTCTTCGGTGTCCAGACCCCACTGGTGGCAACACAACATGATGAATATGTTCCGAGCGGTTGCTCGATCTCGCGATAGAATACTGTAGAGAGCTTTAGTATAGAAAGACTCCATCGAAGATGGTACAGCGACTAAGGCATTCTTCATCTGACTTTCATTGCGGCATCTGGCGATCTCCTCGAACCGAGCCGCGACGGAAAAGAAGGTACTGTTAACTTTAGCAACATCTGTGAAATATTTCTGCGGGTTGTAATGTACCGGCTAGTATCCCTACGAATGATGGTTGTTATCTCCGCTATGGTGTTTTTGGAGATGCTCTGAGAAGAAAGGGTTGACAGATGGTACGTCTCGAAATCGAACAGATCGCCATTTTTTTTCACTTCGTACGCAGCGAAAGTTGATCTGGGCTCCGGACTAGTCAAAAGTCGTGCTATCTCTTCTTCATAGTTACTGGATAGAAGTATGTGAAGATTTCCGTAGCCACGTTCTGCCAGTATTCGCACTGTTTCAAACATCACTGTGCGCAGTGAAGAGTGTCGCGATGACCCACACTGGTCCAAGCCATCCATAACAACATAAATATCGCAGTGTGACTTTTCGATGAGGCTGTGTAGGATGCGAAGGAGATCCTCAACGGTGAGAAAAGAACACGATCGCCGTTGATTGTAAAATGCTTGAACAAATTCGGGTATAGCGCGGCCACTGGGTATGAGCTGTCTGATCAGGGAGCGCAATATAGCTTCTAGCTCGTTAATCTGAGTTGCAGCATCGTCTGCGAACCAGTAAGCAACGAGTTTGCGGCGATCCTCAAGATAGGTAGTGGTGAGATGAGCGATGATACTGGAACTGAGGTTCCCATTAGTAGAAACATATGACTTCCGAGATGCTATGTCCTTACCACAAGTAAGACTTGCCAAAACCAGCTACATGTTGTTAGTAGATGGAACGTAGCTTTCTTAGGAGTAAACCAACTGCGAGCATACAGCCACAGGGACTGCTGGGGGTATTTCTGCCAATTCGTGAAGGTTGATGTATCCATAAACCACTTTCCCAGTTTCTTGTTGACTTTGTACTGAAGGAGATCTTTCTGGATTCTCTTGAGTCTAGTGCGCTGCTCAGGGTAGAACCAGTATCGAATGTGATCTTCGTATTCTGCTGAATAGTCCGTCAATCTTTGCAAACATACATCGATATAATACGACATACATGTGGCGTGTTTCAAGATTGTGTTCACTGTATCGGTGATGGTGTCCAATCTGAAAAGCACTTCGGCCACCTGTGATTTTATCGTTGCGCTTTCTTTTTTTCGGTCTGCCACGGTCAGCTAGTAGTTGAGATTCTTGCCGCAATTTAACAGACATTGATGTGTAACATGTACAAGCCAGCGACTAATGGAAGCGTCTTGTGTTGCGACTACGTCTTTGAAAGTCTTCAAGGGCTCCTCTACCAAGGCGATAAAGCTCGCTACAACTCGCCCTAGGCTCAATAAGCAGGAGATCGCAAAAGAGAAGGCCAGACCATAACACACTGCACAAACCGCTGTTCCATGCACTGTTGACCTCGAAGGCGTACCGAAGTGTAGAAGCATACACTGCGACGATACTGTTTTCCATGTGAGGCCAATCATCGATTTCGGGATCCCCATAGTGGAGCTCAATGCTAGTATATTGAGCGAGGATCTCAGCTAAGAAAGCCGATGCCTCAAAAAGAGATTGCGTCCGATTGAGGTCGTTCTGCACGAGCTAAGAATATCAGCAAGTGAGAGAGATAATCGCGAAACTGAAGAACCCATACCTGTAGGCCAAACGTGATGACTGACCACGCTGTTGCTCCATACCCAGTCACATCGAATTTAAGCCCCTGGGCCACCAAGTCTTTCAGCTCTAGGACGGCAGTGACCACAGTCGTCGCCTGTGGAGTTACAATGGCTTTGTCACATTTCGTCCAGCCGCTCTCTTGGCATTCCGCGCATCTTGCTTGTGTGAGATTTGTGACTTCCTGAACGAAGGCGAGGGGTTTCCAGGTGTTTTCAACGCCATTCACGGTTTGAAGCAGTATTTTCTTTTGCTCTTCGTCAAATCCAGCTCGTTCATATGCGAGTTGCCAAAGATCCGGCTTCTCGACCCGGGGGCGCCCTTCGACTGGTGGGCTTGGTACATGTATCGTCAACGCTGTAGTGGTTTCCGACTGTGGCAAGTCCCCCGTGGTGTCCTCAGGAGCGGCAAGCTCAAAGCGTGTTGTCGGGACCGTCAGAGAGGCTGGGTTACAACCTGATGATGCCTCTGTATTAGCCACACTGGATAAATTGCGGCGATCCTGACTCTTGCTCCTCGTAAGACGAGCCCAACGAGAAGATGATTTCATCTCGAGTACGATAGTTACTGAAGAGAGCGAGGCAGGAAATGAGAAAGAGCGATGCTTGGAAGGGGAAGGCAATTCGATGCATGGCACAGGGGTATTAAATGCGAAGAGGTACTCGTCGAGGCTAGCCTGTCAGCATAACTCAAGCGACACCGCGTCGCACAAGCCGTCGTGCCATGTCTGGCGAACTACTGTAAACGGGGGGCGAAGTGTGCAAACCAACGTTGTCCAAGAGCCAGCGAGATATCCTACACCACTAGTCAGCGTCAAGTGTCATGCGTCATTGCGCGAGAAAGGAAGGAGGCACCGGTCCAATCTCCCAACGCTCTCGTTCAACCGACCTCCAACCAGTGACACCCAACAGTGCAATGAATAGAGTGCTTGTATACAAATTCGGACAAATGGTATTTGGCAAAAGACTATACCGCCCGTAGTGAGAAGCAAAAAGATCCCACAACCCCATCCAAATATATAAACGAGTAACCTTTCCGTGTCCCCGCCTGACCTTGGCTGGGGACAGATATGATGTGCCCTGCCACAGATAACGCTGTGTAAAGCGTAACAATAATTCCTCCGCGCCGTATGACTCCTCCAACACCGATTTTGATGTACAATGCAGTAATGACCCATTGGCCTTCCATGACTCGATTGAGCTCCGAGCGAAGTGATGGTAGTCGTTATTAGCCCTTCTAAAACCCTTCATCTTTTTGGTTCTTGCCCTGGTTCTTCCTCGCTGTCTCCTTCTCCTCCTCGGTAAGCTCGATCAAATCCGCGCCCTCCAAGCGGAATCCCTTCGCGTCAACAATGTGCTCATTCGCATGCCCCAGATACATCTGATGTAGCCGCGGCAGTAAATACTGCATAACGCCGTCTGCTAGGTTCTTGGCTACAAGACCTTTGTCGACCCAAAAGTGGCGCACAAAGACACCCTTGCAGCCACCTCTGTTTGCAGCTTCAGGCGCGCCGTTGGCTTCTACGCATGGTAGCACGCGAATGTCGTCTGGTCGGTCGTAGTCGTAGCGTAGGTAGTTGCCGAAGGCGGCTTGTTCGTGGGCCCAGTCTAGCTTCCATCGTGCGCAGCCCTGGTACTTCGTTTCTGACGGACATTCCGCCCACGCCTTGTACATCTCCTGCGTTCTCTTGCTCTGTCTCGCGATGACGAATCCAGTGTTCAAGTAGCGGTTGCCCTTTTCGTCGTAGTTCTGTGGCTCGTTGGGGTCGATGGACATCATGGCGAGGGTGTCGTCGGTCATATTCCAGTAGTTGAGGAGCCATTCGAGCGGGAGGTGAGGGTAGTGGAACATGACGTCGGAGTCCATGAAGACGATGTACTCGTGGGTCTTGAGGGCTTCCTTCATCATAGGAACCTTGACCCAGGTGCCCCAGCGGTCGGCGTAGTCGGGCGCGCGGATGAATTTGTAGTCGTAGCCGTGGATTTTGGCAAACATGAAATGACTGAGCATGCCCGCAGAGAGCGGTCGCATGCCCTTCCACTTCAAATCGGGGTTCATGAGCTGGCCCTCGCCCGTCAGCGGCCTACTATCGATATCCAATATGAGCACCTTCTTCCCCAGCTTCTGCTTAAACTTTGGCTCGCCATGCAGGCGATATACATCTCCGTCCTCGTCTGTGAAATTCCCGGCGTCAACGGGGTGTAGTATGGGGCCGTAGAGGGCTTTTATTATCGTAGACATCGATGTGTCATCATCGGAAAAAGATACGTTCTGGGTGTGGGGGTATCTGTCACATTGTATTAGCAACCGCAGTCAGGGAAGAGAAGAGGCTTGGGAAGAGCATACGTTGTCGACTTGAGGCTGCTAGGTATGTAGCTGGACGGATAGCTGTAGTAGATCAAGGCGAAGACCATGGGGATCAGGGTAATCAGCAGGACGCGCCGCCATCGGGCTTGCGGTCCCATGTTCGCAAGCGCCTGGTATGAGTAGTCCGCCATACCCATTGGTTTTGCGAACCCTCTGCGCGTGAAGGGGCCTTGGGTGGACTGAACCAATGTACAAGTCGGTGGAAGTTCGTCAGGGCGGAGGTTGCGGGAGCAACGGTGGCCTGGCGCGGAACTTGGGTCGCCAACACCAGCAAGTGCTTCGAAGTACGGGGTCGCGGTGACTGTAGAAGTCTCGAAAGTCGCAGCTATAAAAGGTGTGTACAGCGAAGAAAAAGAAACGAGCGTGAGAAAGGAGTCGTGATCGTCAAGGAGGCAACGTCAGCCAGACTTTCAGTACCTCGCAGGGGCCAGGGCTGCGAGAGCGCCGGGGGCAGGTTAAGCTCAGCTTTTTCACCGATGGGGTATGGCGCCCGGCCAAACAAGCTCTCCAGGGCTGAGGTGGCGTCGACTAGATTGAGATGCGCGCAATGGGTATAGAGACTGGGAGCACTGAATATTTCCCCTGAAGTTGTTCTGATGATTGCTATGCATCAAGTTGAGTGCGCCGCGCAACCCTTCGGCATTACTTTGCATTCGGCATTACCTGCCCATACGCATGCACGCCTTGTCTCACCGGCATCGTATCAAATCTAAAAATGGCTTCGATCGACACATGCACATGCGATTGGACGGTCTGAAACATTGTGCATCATCTTAAGGTTGTGGTATCGTGCTACATAGTACAAGCTCTTCCTCGCAGCTATCATGTTAAACGGTCGCACCGCCTTCGCAACGTTTGTTGCCTCGTGCCTCGCGCCCGACCAGAGAGAGAGAGCAGCTTCGACACGCGCACTAATATTACAATGTTAAACTTCAAGCAAGCGAAGCAACTCGAAATCCTTTGCGATTCCAGGACTGTCTCTTGCGCAGCTCTCAATGAGCTTCATCATGATCTGCACCCACTCCTGCCATCCTGCTGGCAACGTGTCCTGTAGCTTCGGATCTGGCGACCGCGCGACTGCATGGAACAACAACACTTGCCCAAAGCATTGGCAGCACCAACCAAATTTCAGCGGCAGCGCCGATAGCATTTGGGTACAGAGCCCCATCGTTGTCGGCCAGTACATGCCTCCCCGAAGACCCTCGCGTACTTCATTGTACTCGGCATCGTTGGTGTAGGCGGGAGCATGGAGTGCTTTGTAGAGGAACGGACGGCCGATGTGGAATTTGGCAACGAGGTAGCGGCTACGGAGCATGGCTTTGGCGATGACGTGCGCTGGACTTGGCGAGTCATCGGCGCTCTCATTGTCTGAGAACTGGAGTGATGGTGGGAGGTTCGCCCGCCACTGCTCCAGCTGGTGATGCATCTCTGCCGTCATGCTTGCACTCGGATAACCCTCTCTGTCGGCGAAGTAGTACAGACTTTGCTTCACACGGGTAAGGAGGATGCGATGTGCAGCCTGTGCAAGGAAATGAAAATTGAACAGGGAATCATCTTCATCTGTGAGAAGTCCTGAGATGGACGTCTTGGGACGAGGGCACGGCATGAACTTGGGTAGTGGTGTGTCAGACTCATAGTTCAGCAGGCCACTGTGGGGGAGAAGGTCCAGCTCTTGTGTGATGACACTTTCGTACATCAATGTGTTCCAGAACAGCCGCGAGAGCATGTCGCCTTCCCATTGATCGAAATCTGTGCTTTCTGTGTGCCCTAGAATGCTTGTGCAGCAGAGAGCCGCTCGATTCACCGTTGTCCATGAATCGAGCGGCCGCAGGGTTTGCGCGTAGTAGAGTGTCAAGAGCATGTAGAACTGGCCTGCTTGGAGGTCATTTTGACACATGAGGAAACCAAAACGCTTTCGAGCTTCGTTGAAGAACTTCAGACCTGATGGGGTGTCTACTGTGAGCTCATACCACTCGGGGTGGACGAAGCCGCCGACTGTCGATGGATGACGAGAGGGAAGGGCGAAGTTGCCTTCCTCGTGCGCCTTGACCGCCAGGCAGCCCAGTGCCAACACAGCCAGGACTAAGCAAGACTCAATGTCATGCCCAAATTCATTCTCCATAGCCAAACCCAATGTGCTCGAGTAAAATTGGAACCTATCGAGAATAGGCGTGTTGCGGTGGAAAACAGCAAAGTAAGCATCTGCAAGTCCTTTGACGGCAGACTGAGGGAGACTCATTAACCAGGAGTCAGGAAGCGTGCCATACGGACGATCAATGTGTATTGGCAATGCCACTCTATGGTTTTCGATGTCCATTATATAGTCTTGCGGGAGCTCAGCGCGCGCAGAGACAAAGTCAGCGGGTAGTATCTGTTTAACGGAAGGCCAGAGTGCGACACGGTGCTGGCTGAAGGAGAGCGACACTCTGTTGTGCGTTTCAGGTACAGAGAAGGGACTTTTGCCTGGTGTTGTCGCAACTTGAGGCGACATTGCGAGCTCGTGTATGCTCTTTCTATCATTGCGTGAGTGGCTTGAGAGAGTGACTGGAACATGGCTCCCCGGGCTGGGGTGGGAGAAGGTTGACTGGGGCGACCGGTGGTCGAAAAGCGGTCCAGGAGGCGGAAGTGGCGCTACAGACGAAAGGTTGGGTGTGGTGATGGCCGCTGTCAGGTCCTCTATTTTGGACTCGAGGCGACGGATTGCGTTGATAGCGACAGCCATGGATTGGTCCTTCTTGGTGGCGCGAGGTGTTTGGTATGTGCATTCCAGGTTCATGGTCCTGCAGTACCCGCATCTTGGTCTATCTTCATCACATCGCGTCTTTCTCGACCTACAAATGTCACAGGCCTGTCAAGGAGAGTCAGTACCAAGTTGAAGGTGAGTATGCTCCAGCATACGAACCAAGGTGGCCATGAAGGACCGCGGCTTCTTCAACGATGAGCCCTCCCCATCCTCGTGACTCCCGCTGCCCTCGGCGTCATGAGACGCGTGTCGATCAGAAGGCTCGGCATACGACGGGGAGGTTATACTGTCGCGAGGCCGCTTGGTCATAGCATATTACATAGCCCTGGAGGTTGAGGCTATCTAGTCGTGCATGGAACGGCGCGAGTGGCCTGCTGCTGCACGGTGAGATGACTACAAACCGGCTGGTGGGGCAAACGCGGCCGCACGGACGTGTTTTGGTTAGCTAAACTAAACACAACCTCGTCCATGGTGCCTGTCTTTCTTCTCCACGACTCCAACCTCACTTCGAGGCGCGCAACCTTTGGGTAGCTGCCCCGCCCTCTCATGGCTGGTGCGCAGCGCCTGAATTGCGTTGGAGTCGTCTTTTACTGAGAAGAAAGCGTAACAGCACCGCTTCTGTCTGACTTTCTGGCGTTTTCAGTTGATATCATTACTGACACAAGATTTAGACTCGACGATTCCCAAGTTACTTGGAGTTTCGCTCAATATACTGTTCTTTTAGTCAAAGTGTGGCAGCTCCACTTGTGTCTAATGTTCTGTTCATGCTACTGTTCAATCGTACTGATAGATTCTCAGGTCCCATCATGCTCAAGCAGCTACTCGGCCTTTTGATGGCCTTGCAGCACCACTACGTGTTTTTTTGTTGCGTTCTGTTCTGTTCTTATGGCTCTGGCAAAGCCTCTCGTGTCTGACTTCCTGATTCATCCATCATGGAATGTGAACTGACTTCTTGAAGCTATAATTTCGACCTCTGCCACGCCAAAATATTGTCAACTGTCCAACTGTTCAGCAATTTCAACTGGAGTTGCCTGCATCATGCCATTTTCACTCCATGGCTGGCCTGATGTGTGGCGAGTCGACATGCTGGACCCTTCACGCCATGAGACCTCTGACCGCTGTCTGTCAAACTTCGTTCCCTTTTGAAGTATTTGGCACGGCTAGGCCCGCTGAGCCCATGTTGCTGTTCTGCGCTTCTCTAGCCGCAGAGCCGTGCCATTCCATGCTGCGGGCAATGCTCAAGGCGTCATTGTCACGATGCTGCACGAGGGACCCTGCTGCCGCACCACATTGCCAAACGCGACAACGGGTATCCAGACGACGTAGCTGTTGATTGAGCATGTTCACGCGTCCAATGATAGTCGCACAGTTCCCCAAGCGCCCGCAGTACTATGAAGCTATGTTGCTGCCAGCCTCATGTCGGCCAGCGTGTTCGCTCTGCCAAGCGCCACACAGGGCTTTCTGCTCCTGCCCATTTCGTTCCGCTCAACGAGGTGTCATGGCCTTCACGCACGCCCACTTGCAATCAGGCCACGGCACCGCATCTTCACGGTCATCCGAGGAATCACATAGCCAACTCCGCGGAGACCCCCTTTTCTTCCTCACTAAGCGTTATCTCTTTTCTTGCAAGAAGTATGAAGGTGAGGCCTTCATGATAGAGCCACGCTGCCGGCAATAGTCCGGCACCACGATAGCGCCATGCCGCCGCCAATAGGCTCTTGAAGAGGAGGCTATGTAAGCAGAACTGAGGTTCTTGCAGGGGCCTAGGGGTCGGCAGAAACCGCTCGTACAGTGAAGCAGAAGCAAAAGGAAGCTCTCCGTCCTGTCTGCGACGAATGGGAGGCCAGGAATCGATTCTACCTGTCACGGGTGCGAAGGAGCACGACAGAAGCTTCCTCGAATCTGGCATATCTTCACCTCCAAGCGAAGAGACAGAATCATCGTGAGAACGCCAGGAGCCTGCTGGCAGCCCCCGGGGAATTGCCAGTACTGTCTATATAAAGGGCGCCCCCCCTTGCACTTTTTGACTTTTTTTCAGCCATCCAACATCTTCTCACAGCTGTCACTGAATTGTCTTCTCATCTCTCGATTCTTGAGTCTTCCACAAGCAACATCTTCCCAGAAGCACCATTCTCGACTACCATGTCTCTTCCACAAGCACCAACCGAGAACACCATGTCTCACGTCATCATCCCGGCCGCTGTTGAGCCTTCTGGCCCTCAGTTCCAGCGGTTTCCCAACGAACTCCTCCTCGAGATCATCAAGTACTCGGTCGCCTTGTCGCCCGACTCCAAGCTCGGCAACGTCGTCGACAAGAAATACTTCTACTTCCTCAACTCCTTAGGCCCCTTCTTCAAGCTCCGCAAGGTCTCAAAGCTCTTCGCCTCCCTCGCCACCCGTGCCTTCTACGAGGTCAACTACTTCAAGTTCGTCTCCATCAACGCCAAGCCTGGCCAAAAGGCTTTGGATACTACAATCCCCATGCTCCTGCCTCCTATCCACGTCCGTGGCTACCTTCGCCGCATACATCTCGCCATCTGCCTCGCCGACTTCTTCACCACAACGAACCGTGGAGACGAGGTCCCACAAGCACAACGTTGGTGCGCCCAGCACCGCATCACTACCATCCAAGACCTCTTTGCCCATTGCTATGGTGCTCGGCATCTGCGTGCGCTCAGCGACCATACGCTGGCTTCTGGCCGTCTTTCGGAGGTGAACCTCCACATCCTCACCGACTTCCGCTTCCTGGATGCGGCAAATTTCAAGGCAACAATGGCGCTCTTCACTGAGGCGCTCTTCGTGGTGACGGCTGGCAAAGTCCAGATCACCGTCACCAACGAATGGGGCCTCAGTGAGGCCTGGCACACAGAGCTGGTGAAGACCATTGGCGTCAAGGAGCAGTAGGTGCTGGGTGGTTTTGTTATGGTGGTGGACGGATGTGTGGCTGGGTGGTCACAAAGTTTTGATAGTCACCCAGCTGTTGTAGCTGACAGCATATGAATGACATATGGTCCTTTCTAGATGTATACTTGACAGTGCCTTGAGTCCCTCCACGCTACTTGATGTGACCAGCCTGCAGCATCACAACATGCACTGAAGCCTTCCCCGCACCCCCATAACCTACCTATACACCCGTTAATCGTGCATTGAAGTCCGAAAGCCAATGCAAGCGGGGAGTATTAATCCACTCAACCTCGCTCGCGTCCACCTTCAACAAATTCTCCAACATCTTCTTCCCGCCCTCAATCACCACCTTACGCGCCTTGATAACAATACCAGCCTGCCTAACAAAATCCAAGAACTCCCCATCATACTTTACTCCAATTTCAGTCTCGATCTTAACCTTCAACTCCTCCAACCGAGCAAACCCCACCTCCGCGTCCGTAAGCTCAAGCAGCGTCTTCCACCCCGTCGATCGCCGCAGCTCACGCACGCACGTCACGCGCTTCTCAAGCGCACTATAAGGCAACGCCGTCTTATCACCCGCCGTCATCCGCACATGATGCTCAGCAACTTCGTCCGCGTTAAAGTACCAGCTGCTCACTTTGACGGTGATATCGAGGCGGCGCAGCTGCGCGCGGATCGCTGGTGGAGGCAGATAGACGCCGTATGGCGGGATAGGCCTATACCCATCGGAGCGGTCGTTGCACAGGAACTTGTTGGTCCTATAGAAGGCTTCTAGGACCATGGGGTAGAGCGTGCGGTTTAGTGTAAGGAAGCGTGCTAGCCTGCCGCGGGGGGCGATGTGGCAGCTGAATGCCCGATAGGTGATGGGTCTTTGCTTGCTCATTTCTAGGGCGTGGTAGAGGATCATGACGATGAGTTCGTTGGGGACGCGCTGGTAGGCGCTGGGTTTCTTGTCGGTTGTGTGGGTGAGCGAGGCTGAGTTTGCTCGCAACGACCAGGCACTTTCTCGCGACATCAAGGGTGTTGTGAGGCCCAGCGCAGGTGAGATGGTTGGGTGTGAGGTGTTGGAGTTGGAAATCATATTTGGACTTGCTGAGATGTTCTGGTGAAGTGTGGTTGTATGTTGTGTAGTTGTATGGTATGTGTATAGTTGCAAGTGTGAAGTTGTATATGTGTATTTGCACGTGTGGAGTTGTATATCTGTAGTTCTACGTGTGTAGTTGTATAGTGTATAGTTGTATAGTGTGTAGTTGTATGGTGTGTAGTTGTATAGTGTATAGTGGTGAGTGGTGTAGTCGTGGGTGTTGTAGTTGAGTTCTGCTGTACTAATGAGCATTAACGGGCGAAACTTATATATGAACTCCTTGCATCCATATTTCGGGGTCAAAATTATGGAACCAAAATGAGCTCACCAAATCTCGGATTCAATACATTGAGACCTCAACTCAGCAGCATGGGAAAGTCAGCCATTATCTTCTCCCGGACCATTGTTGAGATTTGGAAAGAAGACTCAACCAAGCTAAGACGTAATACTAGTGCGTGAGCAAGTTAGAGATTCCATAGAAATAATGGTAGGAAGGGATGCTGACACAATAAACATGCTCTAACCACCTTGCCGACGGCCTTTACTGTTCCCTTCAAATTGACGCATTTCGTTGGCCAATCAGCCCTCATCTGATTGCACTGTCTGCTCTTTCCTTCGGAACTCATTATTGGCCTCAAAACATGAATATTTCCCCTACCATACAGGCTTGACCAGAGTACCACAGTCCATATAATCTTTACGGTCATGTGAGCAGCGATATCATGAAGAGATGACAGAGGATATCGAAAGCATGGAAAGCCCGAACGAGGGCTAGGGGCAAATATGCTACCGAGGGTCGAATAGTACACGTCTTAATGACCGACCGAGTAAGTGCAGGATGAACGATACATGGTACCACCGAGTTGATGTGTATTGGTAAAGCTCTAGTCAGTGAGATACCTTGCTACGATATAGTGAGACAGCTATGAAGCGTGATTAGCACATGTACGATACTTCTCGTTCGCATGGAATGCGAAAGTACTCCCCGTCCTCAAACCGCGTTGCTATCTAATCATACATAGCCCTTGTGAAGACTGAGATGATTCGATGCTAGATACTTGGATGAATTAGCACGTTTCCCTTAGCTCAACGAACCCTCAGATGTACAAACACCTGGAATACGTCTCAGGGCTGTGTTAATAGGCACCCAATGAGTCCCCGCTGTCTCCACCTTCATCTCTTGCCCTTCTCTTCTGCGAATGCCGTGGTGTGATCCTACGCAATGGGGGCCACATCTCTACTAAAACAGACAGCCTCTCATTATTCGTTTCAGTAGTGCTCTGTAAACTTGCATCAATATCCGCATTGGTTGTCATCTTCGCCTAGATGAGGCGAAATGAGATCGGACAGCGCTAGATCATGTGTGCTGCTTCGTGAGACTTTTTATGGCCTTGGGGCTTTTAGTAAAGGCAGCTAAGAAGGAGCGTCTTAATTAGGTGACGAGGCAACCTATCTTAACTCTCTGTGCTTCGGGTTATTGTGGAGTAAGGAGTTAGTATTACCGTTCTCAGGTGCTATGTAGTTGCGCTTTCCCGGTGCACGCCAGCATGACTCGCGTCACCGTCCCCACACCTACGCCATCCTCCATCAAGATATCAACATCTCGATACTACTCACGATGCCTTGTACCCGCCCCAACCCTTCCTTCAATCGCCTAAACTACCCACCAAAATACCCGTCTCAATGTCCCATCTCCCGCTGACCCGCGCCTCGGTCGAAGACGCTCATGCGCTCATACAACCCCACATCCACCGCACGCCCGTCCTGACAAACACCACGCTATCGAGCCTCGCATCTACGCCTCAAACTACCGATGCGCTGAAAGGAACACAATGGGAGGGACAGCAGCCCGCGAACCCCAAGTTCAAGCTGTTCTTCAAATGCGAGAATTTCCAGAAGATAGGCGCGTTTAAAGTGCGCGGCGCGTTTCACGCGGTGATACGCCTCATACAAGAGCGGGGCATTGAAGAAGTGAGGAAGAGCGGGGTGGTCACGCATAGCAGTGGTATGTCTCTATCACTACGATTTCTAGAGTAGAGGCTACTTTGTTACCTATTGGCAAAGGAAAACATGATGTATTGTATCTAGACTGACGACTCGGATCAGGAAACCACGCGCAAGCCCTCGCCCTCGCGGCGAAATCCTTCCAAATCCCCGCACACATCGTCATGCCAAAGATCAGCACGCCCTCCAAGATCGCCGGGACGCAGGCCCAGGGCGCTATCGTGCATTTCAGCGGATCTACCGCGCAAGAGCGCGAGGCCGCCGTCGCAGAGGTTATTGCACAGACAGGCGCTACTTTGATCCCGCCGTACGATCATCCGAACATTATTCTCGGCCAGGGCACCATGGCGTTGGAGATACAGAAAGAGGTTCAAGAGCTTCTTCAGGGGAACTCAGAGCTTGGTGTGCACGGGGACGTACGTGGGATAGATGCGGTGATTGCGCCGTGTGGGGGTGGAGGAATGCTCTCTGGGATTGCAGTTGCGCTTCACGACACAGGCGTCAAAGTGTTTAGCGCAGAGCCGAGTTTCCAGGGCGGCGACGATGCGCGGCGAGGCGTGGAAGCTGGGGAGAGGATTACGACTGTCAAAACACTTACCATTGCGGATGGGCTGCGGACACCGCTAGGCGAATACACCTGGAAGATCATCTCGGATAAGAGCTATGTGAAGGGGCTGTACGCTGTCACGGAGCAGAATATCAAGGATGCGATGAAGCTGGTGCTGGAGCGGATGAAGTGCTTCGTCGAGCCGAGCGCGGTCGTTGGCCTCGCGACGATCTTATACAATGAGAATTTCCGGAAGATGGTGGAGCAGGAAGCCCCGGAGGAGGGGTGGAATATTGGAGTCGTGTTCAGCGGAGGAAATACCACAATTGACGCTATCACCAAGATGTTCGCTGACGTGCCGGAGGAGACAAAGGAGAGGGAAGAAGGCGTTCTGGGGAGTGACGGGAAGAGGGTAGCGGAGAATGTCGCTGGATGAGTAGCCGAGAAAAGATGGTGTTCAATGCATTCCCAGCGCATCCGTTCGAACCTGAAAATGGGCTTTTTACAACAACTCGCCAAAGTCACTTGATATTGGAAAGCGTGATGTTTTTGCGAGCGACGCGCAATTATGGCATTACTGCAAACTATATCGTGGTCTTCATTACTTCATCACCACCCACCGCAACACCTAGTACAGCTCAACCGCCGGCTTCATAGCAGCCAAGTCCCTCTTGGCATAGCCCGTCGAGTTGGTCGAGTTACCCTGCGGCAGCGTAGTGAACGGCACCGTGCTCTCCAGGCTCTCGATACGTCCGAGCAGGAATTCCAATTGCCTATACGCACTGCTAGGCTGATACTGGGGTACCATATGTCCACTCAGCGCCTGCTGAACGAACGTCAACTTGCGCTCCGTATGCACTTTACCCATGATACCCTTGGCGCTCAAGCTCGTCATGCTCAAGTCTGCATGGTACGGCACGTAGAAGTTTTCAGTTGGCGGAGACTGGAAACCTTGGAGGCCGCCCCATGTCATATTTTGGATGGTCATGAGCGTGCCGTTGTAGAGGAGGATGTAGTCGAGTTCGCCGTGCGCGATGATTGTGCGATCCAGACCGTCGATGATGCGCGGGATGACTTCCCAGCTAGACTGGCCCGAGGTGTCGGTGTCCAACACACCATTCTGGCATTCAGCCCAAGGCTGAATCGGCGCGTTGATGGCCTTTTGAACCGCGGTGCGATTAAAGTAAATCTCCGTACCAGCAACAACGTAGTCGAAGCTACCAGGGAAACCGAGCACGTCCCAGAGCAGCGGGCAGGTCGTGGAGATATCGTAAACGTCGAAGCAAGGGTTTGGGTAGAAGACGGCATCGTAGATGTCTTTCCAGAGGCCACAACCTTCAACTGTGGCATTATTCGTCGGCTCTGGAAGCTTGCCCGAAGGTGGGAACGTCAGGTATGTCTCCGTGTAGTTTGTATATCCACACTTGTCGGCACGCTCATGAATATCCTTCAAGAACGTCTCATTAAAGTTGAATAGACCCGACCACTTATCGACAAACGGCACAGCAGGGATGTCTCTGAGGATAGTGTCCTCCGCAACACTCGGATCGTAGAACATGACACCCTTGACGTCGTAGAATTCCGTATCGTTCTTGCTCAACATGGCATCGGCAATGAAAGGCACGTAGCGTCCAGCGTAGGATTCACCCGTAATATACACCTTGCGGTTATTCAGGCCGAACGTATTGATGAAGTTCTTGAAGAAGCCAAGGAACTCCTCCGCAGTCTCTTCTTGGCTCGTGGCGGTAGCATTGCCCTGCGAGAATCCGGTGCCAACGGGCTGTTCAACCCAGACCATATTAGTCAAGTTTGCCCAATTCCATGGGTTATAGACGGCTTTTGGTCCACTTCCGTACTGCCAGGAGATCGGGCCGTTCTCTTGAAGAAAGCCCTCAAGCGAAGAACAGCCTGGACCTCCGTTGAGCCAGATCGTAATTTCGTCGTCGGCATCCTTGTTCTCGGTAGGGAAGAACCAGAAGTAGAGTTGGGAGGTCTCGTTGGATTTGTCGCTGATGGGTAGAAGTCCAGCATAGGATTCACCAATGTCGAAGTTGACATCTGGGATAGCGCCTGCTGTACCATTTACCACAAATTCTACATGGGGTTAGCTAGCTTTTAACATAGTTTGAATGAAGTACTTGCTCTTGGACGCCTCGGTGGTAATAATAGGTTCAACCTGACGCCTGCGAAGCGGCGCGGCCTGTCTAGGTCGGGCGAAGCTCGGCCTTGAGAGTTCAGTCTTCATGCCAACAGAGCGAGCGCTTCGTGCAGCGGCGCTGGCTGCGAGGCCGCCAAGGGCCACGAGAGAAAGCAACTGCATATTTGGTGACACCGAAAGCACAAAGTCCGACTTGGGGTTCAAGAGGGCTTCAGCTGGGGCAGTTGAAAGCTCAGAGGAAACTGAGACGGGCAGAGGGCCTTCAAGTAAGGATGCGAAGAGCGTGGCGGCGACGTCACCTCGGAGCTTACCCTGCATGCGACGCGACAGCTATCTGCCCTGGCTTTGCACAGACTGATAGTCGATAGCAAACTGGGGTCGTCGACATACCTGATTAGGCAGGAGGATATTGATCCTTCAAGCCTGGTGAGACCGGCCATTGCTCCAACTGCTGCCTTTTCTCGTCACAATGCTTGCTGTGATCTAGTCCAGCTCATCTCGCAGTGCTGTGATGTAGGGCAATATCATCTGGTCGTACATGCGACATAGACCCAGGATTGTGTGCTGTTCAGGTACCAAGCACGATGCAGGCGGGGAAAGACATGGATGCCAGGCACACGACCATATCAACGGTCCGTAGTTTGCACACAAGCTTCATCAAGCCCCGCCATGCCAGCCACCGCCGAGGTCAAGCTCCGATAAACCCACTCTTTAATGCTTGATATCGGGCGAACAACTGGATCAAGCTGTGTGCTTCCGGCGTTTTCTTATCGTGTTTCTCAATTTCTCAAGCGCGTCGCTCTTTTCGCGTAATGGCCTGTGCCAGTTCGTATCGCATGATAGGGGCGAGGCGGCATTGGCTGCCTTCAAAATGATGACGATCTGCTACTCCGCCTTCCAGAAACCGGCGGTCGCAGCTTCGCCAGGCCGACGAAGGATTGAACAGCTGTGGTCAATGCTTGTTGAGCTTGTCAGGCTTCCCGTAAATTAGCTGTCAAGCCATTAACCGAATAAGGCAGCTCCAAAAGCCGTCTGGGTCCGGCGACCGAAAACCAAGACTAGAAACCGATCGTAGAGTGGAATCGACTCACTCGTAGCTGTGTGTATCGCTGAGAGGGCAATTGACTGTGTTCAGCGTTCCGTGAGATGGTTGAGCTCTGAGGTTAGGTGAGGAGTCGTGAACGTCGTTGAGATGTCAACGGTTGTGGCGTAATGACAAACGAATCAGATCTAGCGTGGCGTTGGTAAAGGGGAGCTACGACCGTCACGTCACCGCAGACTCACTGATAGACATGAGAGAGGTACACTTCAAAATGGAGCCATGCGAATGCTTCATATTTCATTATTCTAGTTCTAAGATTCAATGATCCGCCATCGGCGTCCGCATTACGAAGCGTTAACAACTCCGCTAAACGTCGAGCCTAGAATTTACCTCCAAGACCACGACGTCCAGCATATCCACCAGATTGCGAGATTCGCAAAAGCTTCTCGAAGTCTGGAGTGCCGTGACCGGTGACTGGGTCCCAGCCTTCAGTGGCATTCCACGAAGCGTACGGCACCAGTGGCGCCTTCAGGCCCGAATAGATCGACCTGCCAGTGCATCCAGTAGAGCCTCCGTTCACGATGTCGTTGAGGCCTCTATAACCCTGAGAGTAGATCCAAGGGTTCAGGAAGCCCAAGGCAGGCTTTCCGGTAGCAAGGCGAGCGTTGTTCAAGAGCGCGACGACGGACGCAAAAACAGGCGCTGAAGCGCTAGTTCCTCCAACTGAAATCTCCCTGCCTTTGTCTACGACGCGGAAGCTTCTACCTTGAGCGGCGACATCTGGGAACCCGCGACCATCGCGGTTGTAGAGGCCTTCCCAACGGCTGCCGAGCTGCTCGAGGTAACCAGATACAGCATCCTCCTGGTAAGCTGGGCGCAGCCATAGATCGGAGAAGCCTCCAGACGAGAAATCAACAGCCTGTTCTGGCTCGACTCTAGCGGTACCACCTACGGAAGTGACATACGGGCAAGAGGCAGGGAAAATTGGTAGGAAGCGGGTGGTGTTCTTGCCATCGTTTGTCTGACAAGCTGACCCGACACCAGTATCGCCGCTGGAGAAGATGACTGACACACCGCGAGTGCCGAGCTGACCGATCAGGTCACATACCTTCCTAGCGTACTCGGCAGGCACGCTCTGCTCGTCTTCGCCATACGAGGTTGTTAGCACCTGGGGAAGCTTCTCATTCTCAAGGCCGACAAGGTACGTGAAGAAGTCCAGATACGGCTCATTTTCGTTATCAGCTTGAGTTGGTTGATCCAGGTCCGGGACAAGAATGCCACGTCCAGAGGTGCTGTAAAAGTTGGTCTTGATCGCGGGTGCTACCAGACCTGCCGTGTATTGGACGTCGAGATTGGCTTCTACGCTGTCTTTGGTGGAATTCTGGTCGAGGAGACCGCCTATCGCACATATCAGAAAGTATCAACGGGGAGCTACAGGTATACGCACCATTGACGGAAGTGAAACTAAACTTGCTTCCAACAGCATAAGGGGCAAAAGATCCAGCAAACTGATCAAAGTCGGCATAGCGCGCATACTGCTCGAGGAAACCATTGACACCGATAGTGACATTAGCCTTCTGATCGGCCTTGTAGCCGGCATAGTTATACAAATCGGCCAGACAGGCCGGGGTAATGGCAGTATTGCAAGTCGCATTGATCGCCTCAACTGAAAACGGGGCTTCTTCCTGGGTAAGAACGTTGCTCCGTTGCGGTCGGATCTGGCCAAATCGAGTAGTCGGCTGGATCATGTCGATATGGCTGCGAACCTCCTTTGGAACCGAGTAGCTTAGGGAACGGATCTTCTTGATCGTGGGACGGATTTCACTCTGGTACGTTTTGAAGGACGTGCCCATCATCTCTTCTGCACGCTTGACCGGAGCATAGAAGTTAATCCACTCGCCATCGTTGTGAATGTCTCTCGACTCTATACCGGCCGACTCGAGCCAGTACAGAACAGCAGCCGTCGATTCCGCACGTGGCTTGATGAGGTCTTTGAGCTCCCCACGCTCTAAGTGCTGGCCGTAGCGAGGGTGGCTAGGGGTAGACACCTCCATGAGAGTCCTTTCGAACAAGTCAGGATTTTCCTGTCATAGTCAGCGAAAGAGATCGTAAGAACATCTAGAGAGGCTCGGCACACTCTGCAACCACCAATTGAGATCTGCAAAGCATACCATGCGCCTCCAGTGTTTCAAGAGCGTGTGTACTTACCGAGCGTACAGCAATGCGGAAATGCAACTTGCGATCTTGCGACGGAGCTCCGACTTCATTCCATCCCTCAGGAACGCGGCGCAGGTGTTCAACGGTCTCGCTACCGTCCTCAATGTGATAAACACCCGAAGTCGTCCCGCAATTGACACCAGCGATGGCCAACAGGCCCGTGAAGAGAGCGTACCTCATGGTAAGAACTGGGGGGTGATATCGTATGAACAATCCGAGGAAATGCAAACAAAAGCCCGACAATGTAGCAATAACACTCGGAGAACCCAACTACCTGCGCTTCTAGGCAAAGTCGCTCGAACACAGGGTGGATGAGCGTGAAGGTCGAGAGACGATGGACGAGGATGTTCCTACCGGGGCACAACACCACTTATATCACCCTTTCAACATTGCCTCTGGCGTCATTTTAAATAAACAAGCTCTCTAAATCAAGAAGGCGCGAAAGCAACAACCCACCCCTTCCCCCCGGACGTTTCATGCAGGTCCGGGAACCAAAACGATCGCCACCCTTGCACACGGCCAGCTCAGCCCTGCATGTGCCAAACGCGGTCGTGACACGTCGAACAAGGGCACGATTACGCCAAGCGAAGCGTCGCTGATTGGACGAGAAGCTCATATCCATATCATCGCACTATACGCGCATGAATCGGCTGTAGCGGATGGGATGCCACGGATGGGAACCAAGGCTACTTTAGGCCGGAGAGCACCGGGGATGAAGCGGCTGCGTCGAGTATCGTCGTCTCAGTATTATGCGGCTGTGTGGCACAGTGACATGTTCAACCCCAAGATGACAAGCAACGACTTGGATGGATGAGGAGGAGGAGCAAGGCGGGCGGAGAATGCTTGGGAAGCTTAGTGTAGTTTTGGAGAATGTGAAATGTTAGCGCTAATGCCATGCCTCGCTGTGGGCGGATACGCCGGCTTTCCACGGCATTTTCGTTGTACTTCGCGGTCCGATCTTGACTTCATCCATATTGTATCTGAAACGTAGTTGGACATGCCAGAGGGCGATCTTGTCTTGGTTAGGCCTGCGCCAAGGGACTTGGCGCCTCCATGGAGATCCTCTGTCAAAGTTAGCCTGGAGGAGTACAGTTTTATTGCTTCTTGAGACAAAATTTTGTCAAAGTTGCCTAGAGAATTAGAGTATTATTGCTTCTTGAAACAGACTCTTGCGAACGACGCTAAATGGATGCATCTGTAATACTTGTTACACTAGGCGTCGACGCGAGTTCGTGACGAGGTTGACTCTTCAGATAAACGCGAGGGTGCGTGTAGATCCCAGGCTTCATAGCTGATAGGCTTGGTCCCTGCCTCTCTGTTCCCCGCCGCTTCGGATGAGTGGGTCTGACGCACGGTCATCACGTTGCACTCGTGAGCGTACCTGCAGAGGAGGGTTCTACACGTGCGACACAGTTGCTTTGGAAACGCTATGAAGGTCTCACTGGACGCCATGTCGTGCCTTGTACCTAGATTGAGCACCAACTCTGCCAAACAATCGTATCCAAGAGCCCATGAAGTATATTTCCTTAGCGCTTTCAGGGGGTGTTCTATACCAGGCCTTTGTCACCCACTCTCCTCATTGGCTTCGACTATTCCCTCGAATCCATTCTCTAAGATCTCGATCAAATCATCCAGCTGCTCCACTACAAGATCCGTGTGTTGATGCTCGGCGAGGTGCTTATTTGTTTCATTGACCAGAAGAACCGTCGCTGCTCCAGCACGAAAACCCGCTGTCATATCATCGATCGAGTCACCGACCATGATTAAGCTCCTACCTCCATCTTCATGCATCCAATCTTTTGCAATGTGCAAGATGCCTGCGGGGTCAGGCTTCGGTGGCCTGAACTCTCGTGTCACGACCGGGCTGAACTCCGAGGATGGCAGAAAGGTGGTAAGGAGGTGATTGACAGGTGCGTCAAAGTTTCGCGTACAGATGCCCTTCTTGATGCTTCGTGAGTCCAGGTAGTCCATGAGCTCAACGAGACCAGCTTGTGGTTGTTGGGATTTCATGGCAGTGCGCTCGATATTGCGAATCTTCTCGTGGGCTTCTTCCTGCTCGCTCTCTGGTAGTGAATAGATGTGATCAAGTATGTCCGTTGGTTTGCTGATTCCGAGGGCTGCCCTGATTGGTATGAGTAACAGTCCCCAGCTCATGTTACTTGCTCTTACCGCATCTCTGCGAACATGTAATTTTGAGGCAAACCTGTGCTTTGGTCAGCGCGTCGCCCTCTCTACTTCTAGTCTTGTGAGACAGGACTTACATAACGTTCCATCTACATCGAACACGATGCCCTTCAATAGAGGCCTGTCGTCATCTTCTTTCCTTTTTCTAGGATCTAACGGTGCAAACCGCCGAGGTCGCACGGGCGGGGTCATCGAATTGATCGACCGCGTCGCGTTCACGTAAGTTGAAAAGATCCGAGGAATAAATCGGGGAGCTCCAGTTAGAATTTTGAGATGATTGGAGGTTTGTAAAAAGACGGCGCTCATGACTGTGAGGTTGAGCAAGTCGATCTGGCCATCCTAGGATGTGGGTCCATTTCAGCCGCGCCTGCGCCTGTGGCTTGTATGGAATGACGTAGATCTGCATTCATTCCACTCCACAGCTCTGCATCGCCCATCTTCTGTGTGCACACAAACACTCACTACTTGACGTTCACGTCAATTCCGTTGGCCAGCGCCATCGGCGCTTGAATCGAAAGCACTCCGGTTCCAGATTCGACCACTACAAGATTGGATCGTGGCCTGGGTGTTGACAGTCCTCTCAGTTTACTTCTCATCGCATCACCACTAGCTCTATAAACCGTGTTGACGTCGCACCGCTTCCTAACACTGCACTTTCAACTGGTAGTCTTGTAAAGGCCCGAAAGGTTGTGGCAGGCTTAGATGGAGCCGAGACGCTATGTTCCTTGCATTGGACGCACGAAGCCAAGGGCGGTGCAAAGCAAGACTGAGCGCGGTGCATCCTTTCTTCATCATTACTTCAATTACCATGAAATTGGGACTACTTTATATATGACTCTCTTCTTGCGCAACAGTAGTACGCCATAGCGAACACTCCCCCTTCCATTCTCGTGACCTACATTCGCGATACTGAGCTAGATTGTACCGTGGCCATCATTCGGATATCGTTGCATAGAACGCAAACAGATTGGGGCTCCATCATTCAGCCTTTGGGAATATCGCGGGGTTGCAACGAAGCATAGGATGGTTTTGTCCGACCTCAGGAGCAGCGACTGAGACACGGAAAGAAACAGTCTCGCTAATATGTCGGCGCTTAGAAGTAAAAATCAAATCCGCGATGGCCTCATAAAGTATACCACTCCTCTTTTACTCTTTTATTTTAACTCTTAGTATTGACTGAACTACTTTCTCCAACATTCACACCACTACGTTAACTGGTCTCGGTTCGTGTCACCATTTTGACTCAAGAGTGCAGTTATCTGGTACTATTTCTATATGGCTTTAGTTGGGACAGGTGTAGATGTCCATTACCTAAGTGTGGTATTATGGGCAAGATAAGGCTGTAGACACCAGTCCATAACCAGATTTTGACTGCGGCGAGGGCGGCGTGTACAATCTTACTATTACAAACGTCCTAGGGTAGCCAGTTAAACAGAGATGTCTTTATAGTATCAGAGCTTGCACGGGTATATATGTCAGCTGTAGGTATCAATATAGAGTAACCATCGTAAATGATACAATATGGCTGGTAATGGCGCTGGAAAGGTGCGAAGTGCGGGACTGTTTGACGACGTTGCATACACAGTACGATGGTGCAAAGCTGCGTGGTGGACGACCGTTGGTTAGACCTATCCTGGAAGATTCAATGTAATCACGAACATCTCCTCGCCCAGAGTGTTCCACGGGACCAACTATAGCCCCCCTATGGCGTAGGTGCTATTATAATCTTTTGTCTTGCGACGAGCTGCGGCGAGGGCTCGTGAGCGCGGATCGAGATGCACGGAGGGCAAACGGTCGCAGACAGTTGACATTATCAGACATCTCAAAACTCAAAGGAACCCGAAATTATAACATACTCTTGTCGTCGGCCGGCGCTTGATAGTCTCAAACTTGCTTGCTGGAATCGAGGTGAAAGCTTGTCAACGGGCTTGACTGAGAAAAACAAAGCAAAGGAGCCGCAACTATCACAGAGATCTCTCACCTCTGTATTCTTCAGATGCGGCCTATCCTACCTATCGCCTACCCAAACACCTACTAAGCTCACACCGAGCCGAAGCCAGCCAGCCGGCCATATTTTCAACCGGCTCTGAGTAGCCAGGCATCAATATGACGAAGTCAGGACTTTTTCATGCTGGCATCGCAGTTCGATCGTGCGATCGCGGTCGGCTAATTACGGAAAGAGTAGCATGTCGCTACGACACGCAAGTATTAGAAAAAAAGAAAGACGTTCGGGATTCGGCAAGGAAGCACGAATACAGGCACAACATTCTCAATATCCTGAGAGCCGCGTGCACCCAACCAGCAAGCGCTAACCAAGAAGACGTGGACATGGAACATGTTGAGACTGAACCAGTTGAGAAACTTCTTCACAAGTTCGTGAGTTTGGCAGAGACACTTGACCATTCGAAAGCTGTGGCTATGAACTTTGGAGACAAAGAAGGTGAAGAAGAAGTGCCACTTGCACGAGCGTGGAATGACGTACGAGAAGACGTCTCTGGAAGACCAGGTGTATCGCTCGTTCATCGGATGGAGTTCTTCGACTGCCCATCTGTACGTGATGGTCTTCTGCATCCACTCTCCGTTGCGCTTCTAGCCTACCGATTGGGCGGGCCTATCAATGCAGCCAATACAGCATACGCGCACACATGGAAGCTACCCGAGATGTCTGAGGAAGAGAGCTTCTACACGGAAGGAGACAGTGGAGACCTTTTTGACGATTATCGAATAACGATGGTGTGGGAGACGCAGGAAGAACAAGCAACGAGCGCTTCCGGCAAACATCATATCTTCTTGACTGGCGATGCGACACCAAGGCCGCTTGAGATTTTGAATCCTACCCAGGCCAAAGATAATGCCCCAGTGACCATCATCTATGATTCCAGGAGTGCGGCACTTTACTATGATTGTCCAGAGCCGGAGGCGGTTAGAAACAGCGTCACCCTGGATTTCCACCTCAATACTATTACAGATAGCGATATCCAGTTGCTTTCAGCCAGCTCTGAGGAAATGGAATTGGAAGAAATCACCCTGACGAAGCTATTGACGAGCTTCCCCGTCGTCGACTACACTACGCGTTTCCACCGACTACTCTTCGACACCGAATCGCTCAACGCCATTGTCGCGAAGCTTGCTACGATCGATGTTCCGACACCGCAACCTGTTCCAAATACCTCCAAGCCATTGCTCGAACGTTTCGAAATATACAAGAGGGAGAATTGGGCTCGCGTCCCGCCCCTGATTAAGAGCATAGAGAACGATATCCCAATATCCGGCACGTACAGTTCAGCCGGTAACTTCTTGGACACCCTGATTATGAAGGCCCGCCGCGATGTACACCTACCGATTGGTATGAACCTCTTTCCACAAACGCCCCTAGCCGAGAACCGGGAGTGCGCACGCAAGCTCGTCCGCGACCTACCAGGCGAGTTCGTCGAGGATCGGCTCATGAACTATGCTTCGACTCTAACCGTCTCGTATACAAGTCTAGACCTGCTCTCGACGCTGGATCTGCACAAGATAGCAACGCAGATAGAACGGCGCTGCCTCGAGATCATCGTGAAAGGCTTCGTGGACAACGCGTGCCATATACCTTCCATCGCGGCCCTCGCGTCTGCATTTGGGAGTGCACTCAACGGGTCCAAAGAGATCCACGTCGCCCCAGAACCATGGGTCGACGACAGCGATATGCAAGTATACCGGACACGATGTCTCTACTTGTTCTGGTGCGCGGACTGGCTGGTCTGTTATCTTGGAAAGCCTGAGATGGGGCCGTTCATGGTGATTGATGGGGAATCAATCAAGGAGGGGTTGGTACGAGTGAGAGCAGAAATTGGGCGTGCGGCGCAGTTGCTGCTGAGGAACTGGGCTGCTTGGAGCATGTTTGTGGAAGGGCTGCCCAAGGGAGGGTTTTTTGTCCGACGACCTGGGGAACTCGAGGAGGCAGGATAGCTTCGCGGGCCTTTGCGACTTTTTTTAGATGGTCGACAGTAAGGTCGCTGAGGCTGGCTGGTCCAGGTGTTTCATGATTCGTGTCTTCTCCGCGGTTCTAGGGGCTATTCGGTCGATGCCGGCGAGCCATGTTTCACGGCGGGTTTGTCGACCGTTCGCATTGATGGCAGATGGGACTAGTATGCCGAAACAGGCGAAATGAAGAATGGATGGAACAATAAAGATTGATCGTGGAGACTGGCAGGCGATGGCAGTTCATGCTAGCGCCACACTAGTCCTAGTCCCCGTTTCAATCCCGGCATGCCATCGGCTCTCCCTCCTGAATGAAATATTCTCCGTCACCCTCTTCCTCAAGCGTCGTCTTTTCCATCAATCAACACCGTTGTAGCGTCCGCATGCCCACATATGGCCCCATTTCGCTCGTTGCACCAACCCATCTCCTCACAAAATACATCTAGACTCGACGGCGGTTCCTGTTTCGTTTCACCAAGCCTCTCCCGCAATTTGGGCAGACGTGTGGGTTAATGCTTGTTTAATGACAAACGGCACTAGATCTTCCGAACGAGAGGCTTGGTTCTCTGGGCGAGATTGCTTAAGCAGATCTCATGGGTGCAGCTATTTTCCCGTCGCTACTTGGGGTCACAGGAGACAGAGACATGCAGTGGAAACGCATCGCATCACAGAGCACGGAAATATCGCAACTGCGGCGTGCATGATCATGGAAGAAATGTTTCCACGGGCGTGCCTGTCAGCCAGGTCCACAGGGGCGCCACCCGCTCGGACTCCTCATCTCCTAGTCGGCCCTTAATTTGTCGTGAGGACAAGCCTTGCCCAGAACGACAAGCCTCGGACGAACAGGCTCGTGACCACGACTCTGGGTCCTTGCCACATGTTTCGAGGGTAGGTTTGTAGCTCTGGATGTTTTGTATAAGTATCTTGGTCGGTACCCTCTCAATCATCATCAAGTCATTCATTCCATTCAATCTTTACTACCTTCTATTCACTCAGTCACTCACTCTTTATCAACCATCATCATCATGGTTGCTATGTATCTTTCCTCCCTGCTCATCGGCGCTGGCGCGCTTGTCTCTGCTGCTCCTGCTGGCCTGGATGCGCGTGCTGGCTGCACCTTCACCGATGCTGCTTCTGCCATCAAGGGCAAGGCTGCTTGCAGCGCCATCATCCTCAAGGGCATCGTTGTTCCCGCCGGTACTACTCTTGACCTGACTGGTCTCAAGGCCGGAACTTCTGTCACCTTCGAGGGCACCACTAGCTTCGGTTACAAGGAGTGGGAAGGTCCCCTGATCTCAGTCTCTGGTACCAACGTCAAGGTCATTGGCGCCCCCGGCAACGTCATTGACGGAAACGGTCCTAAGTGGTGGGACGGCAAGGGTGGAAACGGTGGCAAGAAGAAGCCCAAGTTCTTCTTCGCCCACAGCATGAAGCAGTCCTCCATCACCGGACTCAACGTCAAGAACACCCCCGTGCAGGGCTTCTCCATCAACACCTGCACTGGTCTCACTCTCGACCACATCACCATCGATAACACCGCTGGTGATACCGCCACCAATGCTGGCCACAACACTGACGCTTTCGATGTCGGTTCTTCCTCCGGAATCACCATTTCCAACGCTGTCGTCAGGAACCAGGACGACTGCCTGGCTGTCAACTCCGGCACAGATATCCACTTCATCAACGGCTTCTGCTCCGGTGGTCACGGTATCAGCATCGGCTCCGTTGGTGGCCGCTCCGACAACGTCGTCAAGGGTGTAACCATCACCGGCTCCACCATTGAGAACTCTGACAACGGTGTCCGCATCAAGACCATCTCTGGCGCTACCGGCTCCGTCAGCGGCGTCACCTACAAGGATATCACCCTCAAGAACATCCAGAAATACGGCATTGTCATCCAGCAGGATTACCTTAACGGATCCCCCACTGGCAAGCCCACCACTGGTGTTCCCATCACCGGCCTGACCATCCAGAACGTCAAGGGTACCGTTGCCGCCAAGGGCACCAACGTCTACATCCTCTGTGGAAAGGGCAGCTGCTCCGGCTGGACCTGGGCCGGTAACAGCGTTACCGGTGGAAAGAAGAGCACCGCCTGCCAGAACATCCCCTCCGGTGGTGCTTCTTGCTAAGCGCCTTCGGGTTCCATCTCCCAATCGCGGCGATGAAGCCTGAGTGGTGGTAATTTTGGTGCGGCCTCGGGCTCACGTCTTTTCTCTTGTACATCTTCATATTAGTATATATTACATTCGCACACAACTTTGTTGTGCTTCACTCTACCTTTGGGTCCTTGCTCTGTCTGCTTTTTTGTGATTACCTTTATTCCAATTCATGACTCCCCATCTGCGCTTTTAACCTCAGAATATTTTCTAATCACAAACGTTAGCCTCTTAGGCACGAGTTGGAGCCTAATCCAGCCGCGTGATCAAGGTCACACGAACTAATCTATGAATGTGACTTACGCACGTCAAACGGTCCTTTAGCGCGGATATACTGGCATAGTCCGCTTGCTCCAACAACGTCACCTTTCACGTCTCTTACTCTGTCTACTTAATTTACGGCTTTCAACTCGTTCAACCTCTCCAACAACATGGACGGTGATCTTGCAGATGTCGAGCCTAACCCAGAAGACAACCCTGGGCATGGTGGACACAACTTGCCAACCCACCCAGATACTCTCAGAGAGAACAGAGACGCAGAAGTCTTTGCCGCCCAGAACGAAGTCATCAGCGCCCTCCCTATTGACGAAGATGCCCGTAAAAAGCTGCAAGGTGCCCTTGACTCCTCAGGACTATGGCCTTCATGCTTTCGCCCCGATGGTCCTCCGGCCGACGTCCCTGTCGGTACCCTGGAGAGGTGGTCCATGGCAGATGATCGCGCTCTTCTCTGCATACGACGGAACTGCAGCCTCTTGCCCAAATACTTCGGTGCATTATTCTTCCCGAACCGTGGCAAAAGCGCAGCGGTTAGCAGGTGGGCAAAGCTGGTCGCAGATCCCCACACGAGCTGGAATAGGGCTAACGATGAGTTGCTGCTTAGGATGTTCGAGGATCATGGAGAGAAATTTGAGGAGTTCAAGGACTTCTTTGAGGGTCATCTTCGGGCGTACGATCTAGAGCTTGCTTATGCCTTCGCGAAGAATAAGAAGGACAACCCGCCGAGGACTGCAAGGAAAGGGCTACAGACAGAAAATTAGGCGCAAAAGAGCCTGCCAGAGGGCTTTCCAAGAGAGGAAATAGCATCTTTCATACAGATCTCTAAAAATGCGCACTGCTTTCACTGGAACAAAACTGACTCACGCGGCACCACAAAGAAACGTGTTACGGTGTCTGCACGGTCTATAGCTCAAAGTAATTATATTATTCCATACTGTGATATTGACGCAATTACACGATAACAACTACGCGATCGGAAAACACCACCATGAGCAACGAGGGCAGCCTGCAAGGCCGCATTACACTTACGGCACTGGCAACTTCCTTCAACATCCATGAAGCAGCGCTCAAAGTAGCTCTCGAGGGCGCGTTTGACCTTCTCACAAGCATTCAGAATCCTGCGCTTGCGCTACATATGACGTTAATTCGACTCGGATATCGCTTCAACCCGCAAGATTTCTACGCTGTGATGAACGCCTTCCGCCGCGATTTTACTGGCTTTTTGGACGACGCGGAAATTGGTAGGAAGGGTCGTGAGGTTATTCGTGGGCTTGTGCTAATCTTGGATTATAGATGCAGAATTGCACGTTCACGTACCGCGGATGCGCTCGAACCCATACCGCGGGATTCCTGGCAGGCATTTTCAAGGGGAAACCGCTGCTCCTCGTGGCTCCGTGCAAGCAGCCCGTGTGAATGCCATGGCACCGCCTTTGTATCCGTTCTTAGGGGCATCCAGTCACGCTGAAGCGTCCTCTTCGCCATTCCGGGCATCCATCGGAGTTCTCGACTATTATGGAGCGCCTTGGTCATCGGGCCAGCAATATCCAGTGTCTCAAGCAAGGGCAAGCAACCAATTGGAAGACGGCTCTGTGAGATCGTCTATGCATAGAAGTGGTAAGTACTCATTCTTTGTGGGAAAAGCGCGGGCTAACAGTTAGTTCCACTGGCAGGTCATCAGGGAGAAATCGCCACTGTTGAGCGCTTTCCAACTTCCTCATATTTTGAGCTGATAGATGGTCCACCTGAAGCGAGTCGCAATAGCGCCATGGGTACGGAACTAGGGGATGATGGAGATTACGAGGGACTTAGTCAATAAGAGGATTTGGTGGGATGGAAAAGCTGCTGATAAATGGCAGTAAGAGGATTTTCAAAGCGCCTACGCCCTAGTTGAGCTATCGCTGGTTCTGTGAAAGTACTTTGAGTGCGCAGTATCAATACCAGTGATCAACATATTCTGCTATCATGACGATCGCTTCCAATTAGTGTGCTGCACTCCCAAAGCGGTAGACTGAAGCCAATTCTCCTTCACCACCTCTGTGAAAGAAACCCGTCGATTATTTTCCCGTCCGCCCGCATGACTTTCTGTAAAGCGAAACTTTCATCGAATAACAAACTTGCATTTGCTTGAACAGCTCCCACGAGAGCCAGCTGATTCCCCAATCGAATGACTAGATCACCCTCTTCTTCCTGCTGCTCTCAGCAAACCCCCTGAAGAGTCGTATATATATGGAGCCCGAAATCTAGGTGAATCCAGAAACAACAAGGGGAGCAAGCCTCTGAACAATTCCCTCAGTCGTTTGATCCCTTCCTTCACTTTGACTTGTATATACGAATTTCACAGAATCTATACTTCAACTTCGATTTCACCCGTCCTTGGGGACGCCTGGGGTCCATATAAACAATTGTTTCCCACCGTGTTTCTGGATCTGCTCAATCCACACCTCTACTCAACTCCACTCTTCTATACGACGATACCCCCCAATCATGATCGACTCTACGAACCCTTCATCAAGTTCCAGCGACGGAGAGTCCAACGACTCTAGTCACCGTCGCTTCCAACACCTCAACGCATCCCTGTTCCCAGACAACAGGGACGAAGACTACGCGTCTGCATACATGAACCAAGGCGCAAACAACGCCTTGAACCGCCAATGTAAGTCACACTAAACCCATCCGTAGCCGTCTTACTAACAGTTCACTCGTAGCTCCGCCATCAAACCCAGGACCATGGAGCGATCCATCTGAATCGTGGCGATACGACCACGACCAAGTATGGACAGGCGAAGCATGGGTGTATGCCCCCCGACCTCACCAAAGCAGCTCAACGGCGAGCAACACACAAGACCCTGCAGGACCTCAGGGCAATCTCACAGGTGAGACGATACGCACAACCTCCCTGACAGACTCCTCGCTAACGCACAACTCTACAGGTCCACCTAACCAACCCGCCGTTGCTGCATACAGCAATGCAGCTCTACCTCCTGCCAATGCTCCTACGCCTGCCCAGGCGTCCTCTACATCGTCCACTGCACCGCAGACAAGGCAGTGGACAAGCGCAGAAATCCTCCACTTGTACAAGTGGAAGACGATCAAGAAGAAGGGCAACGCCCTGATCTTGAAACAGTTTCCAGGCGAGACGGAGGAGTCGCTCACTGCGGCCTGGAAGCAGTACAAGGCGGAGGGCGAGCGCCTGATGGAGCAGGAGCGGGAGGAAGGTGAAGAGGATGAAGAAAAGTAGGAGCAGGGGTTGGAACAACAGAGGCACGACCAATAGCAGCGGGAATAGCAACAAGGCTCGAATTAGAGTGTTGAGACGAGGAATATAATGCGAGTTGGAGAATACATCGACTAGAGAGATGTCGAATGAGCTGGTGATTAGTGTGGTTGAATAGAACTAGGGTGTCGGAATTCCTCCTAGGGTGATTGCTAGTGGGATCGCGTACATGGCGGGTCTTCGTCGTTGTCTTCGTCCTCTTCTTCCAGGGACGGTCAACTTAGTCCGCCACATTTCGGCGCGGGCGTGGACTTATGTACGCAAGGCTTGTACAAAGTCAGAGCGACATATGCGAGATACCCAGACACACCATAAAAGTAACAAAATAGAAAAGACAGCAAGACATCCTTCTACACTGAGTTAATTACGCGCTGTGTTTGCGTGTGTTGCGGGCCGTTCATCAATGGGGGGTATTTGACAGGGCGGGTTTAATCTTCATCTTGGTCTATGTTCTCACGAGGGCGAGGAGAATTATAACTAGTTCCGTGATATGTAGGCAAAGATGCAAGCATACACGCAAGCATGAATTGAGGAGGTATTTCCTAGCCTGGCACAAGAAGCCTGGTTAGCGGTACGAGAACAAAAGCAAGATAAGTGTACGTTACATGTCAAAATCTTTTCAAGTATGCTCATAGAAAGCTCGAAGTCCATTGGTATCAATCCCCTCCTTATATAAATCTAATCTTCATCTAAACCCTCCCTCCTTCTTCCTTCTACTACCCATGTCAAACCCCTCAAAAAATCACTGCTTCTTCGCCAGCGCCTCCTTCGCAAGCATCTTCTTCTTCTTCTCAGCGCGATTAAACGCGGCCTCAGCCCCAATGCCGCCAAACACCAGCCCCACACCCACCCACTGCATGCCCGTAATCTCATGTCCAAACCACCAAACGCTCCACACCATGGTAAGCATCTTCCTCGTAACCGTCACAGTAACAAGCAGCAACGAGCTAAAGTGAGCGAGGGTGTGGAAAATGAAGACTTGCCCGACGGCGCCGCACGCCGCAAAGGTAAGCACGTCCCAGCCGACAGACGGGTTGGCAGTGACAAAGTGCAGCGCATCGGCGAGTTCGCCGTTGCCCGTGGGCGCGAGGCCGAGCCAGGAGCCCAGGGGTGTACCCGCGATGTAGGGCGAGACGAGCAGGTAGCCGACCGTCAGCGCGGTGGACATGATGTTCTGCGCACACATCATCTGCGGGCCGGTGAATCCCTTGAACGAGCTGAAGATCTGGTCCTGCACGGTATTCGTCAAGCCGTCGAAGAGCAGATTGACGCCGAGGAGGAAGAGACCGAGCGTCTTGGACGCGTCTGCGCTGAGACCCTTTTTCGCCGCCTTCTTCGCCGTCGACGGGTTGTGCAGGGTGAAGACGGCTACGCCGAGCGTCACGCAGCCTATGACTAGGTATTTGTACAGCGGGTACCGCTTCTGGAAGAGCGAGATGTGCAGGAACATGACGGGGAGCAGTTTGCAGCTCTTGGCCAGGATGAAGGTGACATAGTCGATGTGCTTTAGGCTGGCGTATCCGAAGGGCGATGCGAGCGAGGATGTCACGGCGATCAAGAGCAGCGGGAAGAGGATCTTCTGCGAAGGAAAGATGGGCGGGATTCTGCGCGCGCCGGTCTGGGGGTCGCGAGGCGCGGACAGGACGAGGTACAAGAGGCCCGAGATGGCAGCAAAGGCGGATTGAACGGTGTTGAGGAAGATGGAGTATGTGAAGCGCGCGTGGGTAGGGCCGTGGGTGGTGGTCGTCAGGCGCTCTTGGATATGCGCCCAGGTCATACTGCGACATGTCAGTCCTTCTGCTTCCCCCTTGCCGTTCTCTAGAGTAGTTGGCTAACTTACAAACTGGCATATATTCCCCCTACACAGATCATCAACTGCAGCAACCCAGCGTCTTTCTGTTCCTGTGGATTCCGCGCATGAAGCTCTGCCTGCTCTTCAATCTTCTGCTCAATCGAGTGAACCGCGCCGTCTAACTGATGCGAGACACCATTCGCCTGCTTGTACGTCTCGGACGGTACGCGCCGTATCGGCGTGGAAGATTTCGACCGCGCCATGTGTGTTGCGCCGAGATAGGACACGAAAGGGAGCGTGTGAGCGTAGAAGCCAAGTTAAGTAGCCGTAAAGGAGTGTGTTTCGCGCAAGACCGCAGCTTTAATTCTCCAAAGATAGACTTGAAGTAAGAACGAGAGAGAGAGTGTGTGTGAACACCTGGCTTTTGGATCTGGGTTATATCATCATCATCACCCTCGGTTCAGAATGTTAAAGGTGGCATCATCAAGGGCACCCGGAGCTAAGACGGGGGCAACGCGCACCGCACAGACCCACCTTCTCAGCCTCAGAGCCTCGGAAATCGGAACGGCGGCTTCGGAACGGTGCCGATCGCTACGGGGCGCCGCGATCAGATAAGGGTCAAACTTGGAGAATATATAATAATGTAATGCTTTTTATTGGTTCCCTGCAGGATATTTTGTGATATACGTGTGTGTGAAGTAAATCTACTGCTGCTATGTATATGTATCCTCCTCCTCTTCCAAGTCTGTCGGCGTGGTAAGCGGGCTGCGCGCTTACCGCTCGAAATTGCTGTCGTGAAAAATCGTGAAATCCGAATCTGCCGAATAATGCTCTCGCTAAAGGGTTCCAAAAACGCCTCGTGCCTAGAAAAAGGCCCAGTCCCAGCCCCATGCATGCGAGCCCCCTCCCCACTGAAAGCAAAGCAAACAGCAAAGCAAGTCAACTCCGGGGCTCAAAAATGAAAATGAGAAGGAAACTCCCTGCAGGGAACGAGCCCTTTCACGCCTCGCCCCTCACAATCCTCGCAATCGCACTCTTGACCAGCACCCACATGGGCCCCGCATTAACCTCCTTCTTCCCAGCAGCCGCCACCTCATCCATGCCACACTTCCTCTTCCACGCATCCCGCCACACGCGCTCCGTATCTTTTTGCTTGAGCCTCATGAGCTGCCCCGCGCGCTTGCCCTGCCTCCTATACCCCCTCAAAAACGCATCCCACTCGCTCCGCTCCTTGACAAAAACGACGACGCCGTTCCCGGCGTCAATGGGCTGGCTGCCGCCGCTAAGGATCCGGGCTTCCCACGCGCTGCCGCTGGACTGAAAGGTAAACGTAGATGTGTGCAGCACGTAGTAGCGTTTCTTTTTGCCGTATTTGGACGCCGATTGGCTGCGCGGCGTGATCCAGCGTTCGGCGCGCGAGTAGATGCCGTCTGCGAGGGCTTCGTGGAGCAGGTCTGACGGCAGGTATTGGCGGCATGTAAGGAGCAGCTTGTTCCGGAGCAGGGTGAGGTTGATGTCCGGGTGTGCAGTGGGGATTTGCGGCGAGTGCGAGAGAAGCGGTTTGCTTGTGCGTGTGGACCTGGCCGGGGGTTTGGAGACGCGTCCAGATACTCTTATGACGGTGAGGGGGTTGGAGAATTGGTGGGGTGTGATGGTCTGCGTCTGGACGGGTGCCATGGTTTGTAGTTTGGTTGATTTGATATGGATCCAAGTTGTAGAGTAGAGTTAATCCTCGTTCAGGCAGTGAAGGCGTCGATTCGCAAAAGTGAGGAAAAGATCGAATGTGCGGTCAAGCACTTCTTTAAACCAAGACGCACCCCTCTCGATCCGGTATAGTGACTGAAAAGATAGTTCGGAAATCGGTCGGGCGTCAAATCTGTATGCTTAGTCTACGAATCCTTGCAGGCTCTTGGGGAGAAGGATAAGCGAGACCACCTCTGCCGAACCTCACCGCATCCTTTGATTTGCAGCCTCTCAACTGTCAGCTATTACTTGTCTAGGTTGGCAGCCGAGTAATTTGTATTCGTAGTCGAATATTCTGGAGGCTTCACTTTTGCATTATCATATTCGTTCAAGCTTCGGTTGCGAGAGAAGGCAATGAGCTCCTACCATGACGTAGAATTGCTGAATACGAGCGAAGGGGCCAACAACACTGACTAGTGACGAGGTACCGTGCCTGCCTCAACGATTCACATGTGCACAATGATACTCATGTGGCAAATTCGGAGGGACATATAGTAGTCAGCATATCGCAAGAGAGGGACCTTGATTAGCACACGCCCTAGTGCCAGATTCATGAGTATCATTATATGGTAATATTGTTCTGGTGTCAAGCAGACAAACAGCAACGAGGGCGTAGTGAGAGAGGATGAAAGAGTCAGGAGGGGAGGTATGAGGGAGAGTCATTAGGAAAGTACATGAGGTGATGTTTGTCGGGGAGAAGTGGGAGGTATGAGATGATGAGAATGATCTCGTTCTTTCTGTCCTGTCTCCTTCGCCAATAACCCCAAAAGATGGACGCCAATCTGCCCGGACACAGTCCGTCGCAAGCAGGAATGCTATCCGGATATCAAAGGCCATAAGTCATGACATTCGTGAGGCACGCAACTTGCACTCGACTCTCTCGCCAAGTCATATAGAAAGAAAACAAAATGATGCCTCAAGCAACCCATGGTATCCATTAGATAATAGCAAAAGGAAACTAAGCAAGTCTTTGCTTTTCGTCGTGGTTTTGGTCGGCTTCCGATGCCAAAGGGGCAGTGGACAAGACGACAGACGCGGAGGCCAGAAAAGGAACAAAGACTCAAACGGCCTTGCAAGTGCTCTGCATCTTCCCAAGGAGGTTGCCTTGTCTGAAGTCGTACAGACTACACTGTCCTGAGCCCGAGTCGGTGCGAGTCGTTACGAGCATACAACAGCTCTGCTGCCTCTATTCCTGTGCCTGGCTGCGGCGCATCTTCTCGGCCTCGAGGTTCTCGTACAAGAGGTATAGCGCCTTCTCATTGGCACTGGCACTACCAGTGATGGTGAACATGCGCTCGCCAGTATCGTCATGGGGAGCCTTGGCAATCGAAATGCGGGCGCCGGACGTCTTGCGGATCTCGCTGATCTTGCTACCACCACGGCCAATGATGCAACCAACCATGTCTGAGGGGATGCTGATGTTCTGCGTCTGCATCTCCTCTCCATCTTCGGTGTGCGTTGGAGGCGGGGGGCGGGTAGCGGCATCGGAGCCAGATCGTCGCGAGTACGTAGGTGGTGCGTCGCTGAAATCGGCGCCGTGACCAGTGCGGTTGTACGAGCGCCCAGCAGGTGCGCCAGCAGCGCCACCATTGGAAAGTGGACCAGGGCCAACTCCTGGTTGAACCCTTACAGCTGGATTGTAGAGCACGGTGCCGTAGCCGCGCTCATGGTCATCGATTAAGCACTTGCCAATTTCCCAGATGGCCTTTTCGATGCCCGATGGGGAGCCCTGGACTTCGACGATGCGCTCGGTCGATTGGGGCAGCATCTCCTTCTGTGCGACCATGCGGACGCCAGAGGCGTCTTGAATCTGCTTGATCTTCAAGCCCTGGCGGCCAATGATGGTGCCCATCTGGTTGTGTGAGATGAGGAGGCGGATGGCTACACACCCGTTAGCTTGCGTTCTGTAGTTTCAAGCAGCGCCTCCATGTACGTACGATGAGTGCCGTCGCTGCGGATGAGACCGCCCATGCCCATTGCGGGTGCGCCCTCGAGCAAGCCCTTGGCGACCAAGCCGTACGCCTTGGAGATGCCGGAAAGACTGCCAGTGACGGAGAGCACGCGGTCGTGAACGCCCTGGACGACCTTGCTGACACCGGCGCGCACGCCAGTCTCGTCGCGCAGGTCAGCGACGTTCTTGCCCGCCTTGCCTATGATGACGCCGGCCTCCTTGGAAGAGACAATAGCGCGCAGGGTGAGCTGCGACTCAGCGTACTCTTCCTCGGTGCGCGGGACAACGTCGCCTTCGCCGTCGATGGCCAGACGGTCGAGTTGGTCGGTGACGCGGCCGGCATCCTGGCCGGGGCCTGACTGAGACTCTTCTGTGGACATGGTGTAGGAATGGCCTAGGAGAGTGCTGCACCTCGTATTAGTGACGTAGGACGCGATGCGCGCAACAACATCATGCCACTTACAAGAGGGGAGGTCGCGAAGATCAAGCAATGACCTAGGTGAGGTGGTGTGGAGAAGACGTGTGGGAGTGTCTTCGGGCTGGCGCGTCGAGGTCAGTGATTGTTGACGTTGGTTGAAGAGCTGCTTAGTGGGAGCTACTCACAAGTGGAGAGGGAGGTGGCGGGGGAAGTGGCCGGTGTGGATCGGCCAACAGGTGAGAGGGGAGCAAAGGGCGGCAAGGGGCGGAGAGGGAGGGGAGGAGATTGGGGGGATGTGTGGGAGAGAAGAGAAGAGAGAGGGAGAGAGTCGGCGGGAGCGGACTATGTGCAGTCGGTTTGATGAGAAGTTGGGTGACGAAACGAAGATTCGGCAGAGCAGGACGATATTTGGGAATCACGTTTATTAGCGAGGCGGGCCTTGCCGTATTCACTGAGACGCAGGTGCAGGCAGACAGGAGCTACGGAGAATTGGGGGGGGAGGGGCCAGCAGAGCGTCTCGTGCAGAAGCTGGACCCGCGCCTATGGAAGCCATTACTTGTGCATTGTAGGCGCTGCCATGGCGCGTATATGTGTGTGTTTGTGTGAAAGCCGGCTGGTCGTCAAGCTTCAGCGAGCGCCCCATCCGCGAAGCACCACTGCGGGGTCTCGTAGCGCACAGACCATAGCCAACGGCCATCCGTCTCCACGACGCTGCAGCCAGGACCAGGACCAGGACCAGGAACATTCACACTGCGAGCCAACGACAGATGTATCCGGTGATATTGGCTCTGGTCAGGCTTCTCATTGGCCCAGCCTCTCTAATTGACACCTCTAGTTGACGCCCTGCAACTGCACCTGCACTTCAATTCAATCAAGGTTGACTCGACGCTCCTGACCTGACGTGTACCCTCAAACACTACTTTTGCGCCTCGAAAACTACCTTCTGCACCTTCATCTTATCGAATATGTCGTAGCCTTCGACTGCTTCACTCAATGGCATCATCTTGTCGGCCATGAACCTGGAAATACTATTAGTCACTCTGCTCCCAGCAAGCCATCATGTCATGTCAAGGTCACTCACCCAAGCTTGTCCTGATGCCTCTTCAAGCCCTCCAACGCCTCTTCAAAGACACTCCTGACTGGACACCTGCCCATCTGCACCCTGATGTTCTTGCCATACGCCTCGGTGCCTGTCCACGGTATCTCGCCGTTGTGCACGCCCACAGAACTGATGACGCCCCATGGTCTCAGCAGCTCGAAGCCCATCCTGAGAGCTGGTGCCAAGCCCACTACTTCTATCACGACGTCGGCGCCACGGCCATCTGTGAGCTCTTTGACGCGCTTGTCCAGCCCCTCGCGGTCAGTCTGGACTAAAAGTTGAGATACGAAGTCAGTAATTGTCTCGCATGCACAAAATTGGTACACCAGCGTTACTTACAGTTCCACGGTTCAGCGCCAAGCGACCTCGCGAGCTCAAGACGCGAAGGCACCGAGTCAACAGCGAGTATATGTTTCGGCTTGTAGTCAGTGATATTGCAAAGCGCACAAAGCGCAACCGGCCCACACCCAACCAGCACAACCACACTGCCCCTAATCTCCTCAGCCGTAGCCTCCTTGAAAGCATTCTTGACTGCAAAAAACCCTGTAGGGAAAATATCCGCCATCAAGACCAATGCCTCGTCTTTGATTCCAGACGGTGCCTTGACGGCCGTCGAATCCGCAAGCGGTACACGCACGTATTCTGCCTGCGCACCGTCCAGCGCTGTACAGCCAAATAGCTGGCTCTCGACGCAGCGAGAAGAGTAGCCGTGCGTGCAGTAGAAGCATTCACCGCAGGACGTCGTAAAGGGAGAGACGACTCGATCGCCTACTCGGAGGCTTTTCACAGCTGAGCCTACTTGGTGCACGTGGCCTGTGAATTCGTGGCCCATGATGAAGTCGGTGCCGGATGGCTGGTGGCCACGGAAGACGTGTAGCTCGCTGAGATGATTTTAGATGGTATTATTTGGTGTTGAGTAGGGATAGTCAAGTGTACCTCCCGCATAGTGCTGTCTGCAACCCATGATTAGCTTAATTTGGTGCTATGTGTCTTGAAGTAATACCTTGTCGACTTTCACAATAATGTCTCTTGGCTCTTTGATCTTCGGTATCAGTCGATCCTCGATGATCACTTTCCCAGGGCCCTTGAACACTACTGCCTTCATCGTGTCTGTTGCCATATTTGGTCTGTACCTGAATTTGACGGGATATGAGAAGCCCGGAGATGTCGGCAAGGAGCAAGAGAGAATTACGAAATGAAGTAGAGAAGAGTAGGATGTAATTTCAAGAACGAATGTGGCCCGAGATCTGACGACACAAGCTCAATAGCTTCTCGATGATCAACGGCAGCTTGCGCCCCGCCGAGGTCGCTGCGGGGTATTCCGGCACCTCCAACGGAAGCAGGTAGCTGCAGAGTGGATTCATGCATTCATATCAAATTGCAGATCCGTGAATATAACTATAAAAAGAAAGTCCTATACAAGCTTGTCAGCAATACACGAGCTGTGTATACACATCTTTGAGAGATGACGCGCTTTGGCTAGCTATAGCTTGGATTGACTGGTGAGTATCAACAAAACCTGTGCATGGGGCCACAAAACCCCGCCCGTACATTGATCTGCTGGTGCTTGAGACTAGGTGGTAGAAGCCCACGTAGAGAAAGAAGTAAAGTGAAGCGGAATATCCGGCATACCCTACCACCCAAACCCGCCTTGCGTATTCCAATAACCCCTTGACACTTTGAACTCCTGCCCGTATAATCCAACCAGTGCGACCGTATCCAAATCCCTAGACGCCCTCAAAATGCATAACCAGAAATCCTGTACACCCTCCGTGCTGCTTTCGTCTCATGTCACTGTGCAGAGCAACTCGGCCTCCAGGATGAACTTGCCCTCCTTGTACTTCTCACTCGCTTCGTACGCCTTGTCGTACTTCCAGCCCACCGTCTCCTTGCACTGTCTGCAGTGGATGTCGCGTACGATGTGGCGCCCGGTCGTCATGTTGCGCTCGTTGGGCTCCGACTCGGTGATGTTCACGACGCTATCGAAGAGGTACGCCTTGCCGTGTTGACCGCGGAAGTTCTGCAGGCCATTAGCGAGTTTATCCAGGTGTGTACATGCATAGGAGCTGACTGACTCTGCTGAGAATGTCGTCGTGGTTCGAAAGGTGCGTCTTGCAGTTCCTGCAGCCGTAGATGCGGGACGAGTTGAGGTAGATGTTGTATGTGAGCCCCATGGTGATGGACAGGTGATCGGACTCGCTCGTAGAAGGCGCGGGGAGGGTTGTGGGTTCTTGGAGGCCGGCGCCTGGTCGTTCGCTGCCTGCTGTCATACGTACTGGCGTCTTGGATTTGGGGACGAAACAGTGGACAGACGGCTAGTCTGCAAGGGGTAGCTGTGTGTGCGGTTGTAGTACACGCTGTCGCGCAATGACAGCGCCGTCACTAAGTCCAGGTGTGGAGTAAGAGCGTTGGGGAGCTCGAGCTATGCGGAGGTGGTACACCCTAGCACGTGCAGCTGGTAACGCGGGATGACGACTGCGAGGGGGTCGGAGTCGTCGATTAGCAACAGCAGCCAATCTACAAGTCAGATTTCGATGTGTGTAGGTCGAGCGCGGTAAGCAGCTGGTGTAGGTCTTATATTGCACGAGAAAGGGTGGTCAACTACCTTCGATGCCGTCAGAAGCTTGCATGTTGACCGGTCAGCGCCCGTGTGACGTGTAGTGAGACAAGCCTAGACGACGGGACAGCGCGTGGAAAGGGAATATTATAGCTGCCTAGCACGGGTCGATGAATTGCATTGAGCAGTTCTGCTCTGCTCATGTTTGATTGGACGATAGATATCTTGGACTGCTTGATTAGGCAATGCGTGCGACGAGACATTGTCACCATGTTGCAATGCGGAGGGTGGAGGAGTACCAGCAAACAAAGGTCGGTTTTACATTGGCACATTAGAGGCAGGCTGGTGGCCAGCACACTGCACCGCTGCGACTGCGAGAGAATGACGGGGAATATCTCAACATTGGTGAGATGATGGCATTGCTACTGCGTCTTGTTTGTTGGCCTGAGTGATACTGCACGTCCCAGCCTCGCCCACGGGAGATTAGGTCATGTCCAAACTATACTCGTCGGCTCGGAGTAGAGCAGCACAGCAGAGCGTATAGATTATGTTTCTATGTTTCTATCCTTCTATCCTGCTATCCTCTTATCCTTGTATCAACCTGTAGGTAGCACAGGCCCAGTCAAACAACCATCACCCAACGAACCCACACGACAGAAACGAGTGATGAGCTCCACCCTACCAATGCAGGCCATGACTGGTGTCTCTAGCGATATTTCTCAGCCCCAGCCTTTCAGATGCACGTCCGCTGCGGCTTGCAATAGTGGCAGAAGGGCTAGCGGGAATATCCTCGCGGATGGAACGTTCTAGCAACGTTTCTTAGGAGCCAAATCCCAGGTTGACTTTTTTTTTATCGGTCCCGAACTCCAACCAAAAGTTGCTGCCGCCAGAGACTAAAATCTAGTTACACACAACCGGCCGCTACCCTTCCCGAATCTCGCCTCCCATGGTTCTTCCCTCTCTCTTCAACAAATCCTCCTCGTCGTCGTCCAAGAAGTCGAAGAAGCCCGACACGCCAAACCCTGTCCCCCGTCTCACGCCCCAGAGCAATCCTGGCACCCCTCCCTCCTCGCCCGACAAAAAATATCCCACCCGCGTCAAAGACCGGGAACGCACTAGCACGCGGCGCCCAAACTCCATTTCCTCCACACGCTCCTACAAGCCCAGCGACCGCGACCAACACCCCCTAAATCTCCCGCCCGAAGAGCGGCAGCGCCTGTCCTTTTCCTCCCTGTCAGCCATGAGCGACCCGGCCACGCCCCAGCCCATGGATGTGGATAGGGAATATTCCTCTTCACCCGCACCTTCGAGCCCGCCTGCACCCCAAGAGCCCAAGGCGAATGGCGTAAACGGCGACCGGCCAGCTCCTCCACCACACAGGTACACAAAGAGCCCGCCACCACAGTCTGCAAACTATGCTGCCACCCCCGAGCAGGCTGCCACCCCGCCTGCGGAGCCGCCAACCATCGATGCGGAGGAGTACAAGGCTGCAGGAAACAAGTTCTTCAAGATCAAAGACTACCCCGCTGCGATCAAAGAATATTCAAAAGGTGCGTTGTGACACCTACTTTCTGTCCGAGTCGCGTGCCGTGCTGCCTGCAGCCGAGGCGTTGCACTACGATACACCAAGTAGCACTGTATGCTAACCCAAACCTGCAGCAATCGAGGCCGACCCTAAGAATGCCACCTACTACTCGAACCGCGCCGCCGCCTACATCTCAGCAAACCGCTTTGCCGAGGCAATGGAGGATTGCAAAATGGCAGACGAGCTGGACCCAGAGAATATGAAAATCTTGCTGCGGTTAGGAAGGGTATACACCAGCTTGGGAAGGCCGGATGAGGCTGTGCAGGTGTACAACTCGATCGCCGCTACGGTCAAAGACAAGCAGCCCGCGCTGAACATGCAGAAGCACCTGCGCATGGCCGAGGAGACTTTCCACAAAGGAGGCGCCGGTTCAATGGTCATATACGCGCTAAATGAGGCCGAGAAAGGGCTCGGCCAGGCTGTCGACAGGCCTCGCAAATGGCAGCTTATGCGGGGAGAGGCACACCTGCGGATGGGCAACCCCAATTCCCTCGGCGAGGCCCAGAACATTGCCATGTCGTTACTGCGGAACAACAACCAGGACCCCGATGCGCTCGTGCTGCGCGGCCGCATACTGTATGCCCAGGGCGAGAACGACAAGGCTATCCAGCACTTTAGGCAAGCGTTGAGCTGCGACCCTGACTTCAAGGAAGCGGTAAAGTACCTGCGGATGGTGCAGAAGCTCGAGCGTATGAAGCAAGAAGGCAATGCTGTGTTCAAGGCTGGCAGGTACAAGGAAGCAATCGACACATATTCACAGGCACTGGAAGTCGACCCTTCGAACAAGAACACCAATTCGAAGATCCTCCAAAACCGAGCCCTCTGCCATACTCGGCAAAAGAGCTGGAAGCTAGCCATCGCAGATTGCGAGAAGGCGCTTGAACTAGACCCCAGCTACACGAAAGCACGGAAGACCAGGGCAAAGGCCCTGGGCGAGTCCGGAAATTGGGAAGAAGCGGTGCGGGACCTGAAGGCCATACAAGAAGAAAATCCCTCTGAGCCAGGCATTGCCAAGGAGATCCGCGACGCGGAGCTCGAGCTAAAGAAGAGCAAGCGAAAGGATTACTATAAGATTCTTGGGCTTTCAAAGGATTGCACAGAGACAGAAGTCAAGAAGGCGTACCGAAAGCTGGCCATTGTCCATCACCCAGACAAGAATCCCGACGATGCGGATGCTGCAGACCGATTCAAGGAAATCCAAGAGGCCCACGAGACGTTGAGCGACTCAGAGTAGGTTCTCACCTCCCAGTGCTACATTCCCTGAAGCTAATAGTATGATAGAAAACGTCAACGTTATGACTCTGGCGTAGATCTCGCCGATCCCTCCGATATGTTTGGCGGTGGTGGCGCCCAATTCCAAGGCGGTGGCATCGACCCAGAAATCCGTAAGTTCCGTAGCAGTCGTATGTGTAAACATCCAACTAATTTTATCGACAGTCATGCAAATGTTCGGCGGCATGGGTGGAGGAGGAGGGGGTATGGGTGGCGGTCGCGGCGGAGGCGGAGGCTTCCATTTTGCCTCTGGCGGCGGCAGTCCTTTCGGTGGCATGGGCGGCGGCATGCCAGGTGGTGGCCGAAGAGGCCAAGGCCCACCTGGCGGCTTCCCCTTCTGAGCGTCTCAATGACGGGGATCTCGAACCACTTCAGTTCACTGCTCCACCTCAGAATGTCACCGAAAATCCCGGCATTCGACAGAACAACGCGCGAGCGGCGCTTCGAATCGTGTTACGAACTGACCTTTCACTTCGTGTCTATTCTTCTAGCGCGACACTTTGGCCACATTTCATGTACGGCGTTTGGTATACAGGGAGCGCGAGCAAGTGGGATGATAGATTGCGTATTGGAACGAAAACGCTTTGGCATTGACATTGGTGCGGTTGTCACAATCAGCATTGCCTGGAGTCTCTTTTTATATGCCAGCATTCGAGGTCGATTTTAGAGAGCCTCAGTTAAAGCCGGACTGAGGACATTGTATAACGCAATTCGGATTTTGTTCATGGAAATTCCGGATATTATTTTCGAGTGAGGTCTTTCGGGTATATATTCTAGGCAAATCTCGATACTCTTTTGAAATCATGAACCCAGAGAAAGTATTTGTAGCAACAATTATTCTACTAGGAGTTGTGAAGATCCCGATGACATAATCCGCACCAATCCCTTTAGAGACCTGCACTTCACATCTCGGACCAAGATTGCCAACTCCATCGACCGAACAACATCCGCTCCATTCTTACTAGTTACCCGGTCACCTCCTCACAGCTATTGATATAGACATACCATCTCAGAATATATCTTCAGGGCGTATATACCCCGCCCCACATCTCGCAATCTGCGCAGCAAGCTTTAAAGAGATTGGCTAAATAAGACCTTGGATCTAAATAAGAAGCAAGAGAAGGAGAATACCACATTCGTTAAATGAGAAGAATAAGCGCCATACTCCCTTCCAGCATCTCCACACTATCCAAAAGAACCATGCAAACAACCGGACGCGGTCGTCCAAACCGCCAACCACAAGACGAAGGAAGCGACAGAGGCACCAGCAGAGGCACCGGACGAGGAAGAGGAAGAGGACGAGGCCGCGGCCAAACCCCCAACCCCAACTTCACCCACTCTCCCCGCCCCCAGCACAGACACCCCCGCTTAGAACACTCCTCCATCCCCTCCTTCGCCGCCATAAAACCCGGCACAGGCGTCTCCATCGTGCTAAAGCAAGACCAGACCACAGGCCACCAGGTCCGCGGCCTAGTCGCCGACCTACTAACGCGCGGCGACCATCCGCGTGGCGTCAAAGTGCGGCTGCGAGACGGGCGAGTGGGCCGCGTGCAGGGGATTGTAAGTGAAGTTGAGGGGGAGAGGGGGGAGGCGCTGGTTGGCGGGTCCGAAGCGAATCTTGGGAGGAATGGGCCTGCCGCTGTTGGTGGAAGAGGAGGTGCTGGGGGGAGGGTTGGGGGCAGGATGGAGAGGGATATAAGGGAAGACGATGAGTATTTGTATGAGGCGAGGAAGCCGGCGGATGTGGGGTTGTTTGCTGCGCTGGAAGAGGCGGATCAGCGGCATCAACAGAGGAGCAAGGGCAGAGGGACGGAGGAGCTGAAAAGTGGGATTGCCAAGTGTCCGGTTTGTGGCGTGTTTGAGGGCGACGAAGCGGCTGTGGCACATCATGTTGAGGAGCATTTTAAGGATTAGAGAGGTGGAGAGTGGAGAGATTGAAGTTCATGTTTCCCATCATCCGACTAATAACACTGAGCCTTGTGCCATTGGCAAGGATTCCAGCATATATATGGTCCACGGAGGACTCCTGAAACTACCTAGCCCATGTGAAAACTCCCGTTAAATTCCCACGGAAGATCCCAGCTCATCAGGCATACATGACAATTCGTATATGACCCGTGTCCGACATTATTACTGCTTCACATCCTCCGTATGGACCCCATGACGAACCAGAAGTACCGAGTCCATTTTGCAGACGCCTTGTTTCTCCCTCAAGAATAGGTGATGTTGGCTCCACGCTCCACATCAACCTCGATCATTTTGTCCTTCAGCCTGCCCGAGGAGGAACCGCGACCTTGACCGACTCGCTCATGCGCACGATGGTGTTCAAGCAAGTACTGTCTCACATCATGATACTCACTGATGAAGTGTCCGTCGTCTGCGTACTCCTTGAAGAACTCGGTAGCAATTTGCAATGCCGTCTTCTGACGCGTCGTGTTTTGCTTGTCTGGGACAGCGTCTAGGCCACCTTCATGTCTACAGGCGAAGACACGGAAGTTGGCGTCAGCCAAGTCCAAGTGGGTGATATAGTAGGCGATGTTCCCCTTAAGCACATGGATGGACCTCCCAAGATCCTCTTTGTCCTTCTTCAGCTTTGTGATATCGCCCTTGAGACGCGCCAATTGTGGGGAGTCATGGCCTCGTTCAGCGTTTAGTGCGTTCCGAACTTCGAGCATCTTCGTATGCTCTGAACGGTGCCTAGATGGTGGTGGATTAGCATGGCACTACGCCAGGAAGATGGGAAGCCAAACCAATCTCGATCTGCTTCAGCAGCCGCAAGTTTCTCACGAAGAGCCTTCATTTCATGCTCATTATTCTTCGGTTTGGCGCGGGAGAATTCGAAACCCGTTTTATTCTTCTCCCTGGCCTCCGAGCTTGCGTATTGCTCTGTTGCAAGCCGATCGTTCCTGCCGGCCAACTGCTCAGCTTTGTTCTTAAGAACCGAATTTATCACCTGAAGCTCAACGACCAACGCTCGGCTGTGACTCAGGTCCTTCGCAAGAATTCCGGCCTTATCAAGCTTCGATCGCTGACTATCAAGCTCATTGGTAAGCCTCGCGTTCGTACCTTGCAGTGTTTCCATCTGGTTGCGCACGCGGCTCGCTTCTTGTTCCGTCTCTTCTGCTGTTCTCAGTGAAAGCTTTCGCATACTAAGCTCAAGCGTCTTCTGTCCGATAGCCTTCACAAGATCGTCATGCTTCTTGAGTAACTCGACGGTGTCCGGTGTCCTCTTGGTCTGAAGCTCCTTGACCTTTGTTTTGAGCCCGCGGTTCTCTTTTTCAACACCTTTGAGCTTGAGCTTGAGGTCGATATTCTCTCGCTCAGCCCACAGGAGCTTCATTTCATTCTTGAGATCCTCGTAATCGTCAACTTCGCGTTCGCCGGGGCTACCATCCGAGATCGAACCGCCGGCAGTGAGAGAAGGTGCTCGCGAATCTCGCGTGACGTGAATCGACCTGTCCGACGCAGAGTCGTCAACAGAGCCGGTAGCCATAGTCCCGCTCGATTTGGTACTGTAGACAGAGTAGAATTCAATGTGACGAAAAGGCGAGAGGTGTGCGTGGGAATGTGGGCGAGGTCACACCGCCCCTGCTCATTGCGTCAAGAATTATCCGTGCTTGGCGCGTCATCTTCACTGTGAAGGACGGCGTGTCCGATGTACTGATAATATGAGCGGAAAGACTCTATGAGGGATATGAGTGATGAACGAGAAGAATGGTGCCGAAGACATGCAGGTCCCCTTTGTAGTAGTGACGGATTGCCACTCACTACTGAGTGCATTCACTAGGTAATAGCAAGCTTGATAAAGAATCAGTACAAGATGATACAAGAGCGTTAAGAGGATAACATGAGGAGCACCCACTTTGTGTCGAATTGACTTAATATACCTCTGTGATAAACGAAAGATCGTGCAACCTCTAACAGATGGACAAATAAATGCCTTTAGTAAGACTTTTGAATGAAAGTTGCAATGAGACATACAATCGTGGGAATAAAACGAGCGTTCTTGTGCGTAACGAAGGCAGTGAGAGTAATTGACCATAACAGACCTCACGAAATATTTACCCACATTGCTCACCATATACAGCATAAGGTAATACAACAGCATGCGTCATATCATATCGCCTTAGTCCTCATCTCCAACCGTAGCCTCGCCATCCACAGCAACATTGATCCCATTCTCGCCACCAACGGACGTGCTACCATCAGTTCCCTTCGTGATGCCCAGATTACCCCCGAGATTCTGCGCATTGCCGGATCCATCGAGCGTGATGCCAGCTTCCTCTGAGAACCTCTCAGACTCCTCGGTAGCTTTCACACCATTCGACTTTTCGCCTTTCGCTTCTTGGGCTTCCTGCTGTGCCTCTTGCTTTGCTTGTTCGCCTTCCGCGCGTCCTGGCTGGTTCTCGGTACCTGCGCCAGCGCCGATGTTCTCAGCGGGAGACGGATCAGCCTCCAGGATTTCAGGCTCAGCTTCCTGGATGTCAGGCTCCTCGCCCTGGGCTTCGGAAGGTTGCTGTGCCTCAGCGGCTGGTGTCTGCTCCTCCGCTGCCTCTGTACCATTGCGGTTCTCTTGTTCAGCTTGTTTCTGGCGACCATTGCCTTGCTGGGCCCCTCCGAGCTGCAACCCGTTGCCACTGATACCTCCACTTGGGCCCCCGAGTGTAAGTCCGCCGATCTTGAGGCCACCGTTACGGCCTTCCTGTTGCTGCTGGGCTTCGCGACGCTGGTTTCCTCCGATAGTTGTCAGGCCTTCTATACTACTGAAAGCAGCTTCACGCCTGACGGGGTTGACACGGGTATCAAGTGATTCCTGGTTGTATTGTCAGCATATGTGATATATTTAGTTGAGCAAGGTGTATAAGGTCTCATCAAGCAGAGCTATACCATTCAACGCGAACACGAGAGAGTACATACTGCCTCTAGGCTGCAAGTAGCAACTGGGAAAGCATCTACATTATACGCAGCCAAAATTACGAGAGCGCACTCGAAGGAAAGCTTCATTTTGAATGTATGAAATGTTGAGTAGAGGAGATATAGAAATAAATAGATTGCTGTCCGGCAGCTGAAAGAAGGAAACTAGTGGAGGAAAAACAGAAAGATTAGAAAAAGATGTTTCCAATCAAGGACGAGAGAGCAGCAGAAGAAGCGTAAATCCTACCGCCAAGTCTTGACTCTCAATGGCATTTGCTTCAACCGACACCATTATATTGTTACCTTGGCATTGTCAAAGAACACAACTGTGCGACGAATGTAGGACGATCTAGCAGCCGCATAACGATAGGAGAAATGTGCCAAGCGGCAGTTTTGTTGTAGGTCTGTCTCTTTGCGCAGATGGTGTTGCGGTGCATGTTGCAGGTCCGTCGCAACTCCCGTGGTATTGCTACTGTTTCATGTTTGCGAAGCCTAAACTGTGTCTAATCAGACTTGGCAGAATAGAGAGGAGAAAACAAATCGCGGCAAAGATTCAACTACCTCTGCTGTAATCGCAATTCGTTGGTAGTTCGAAAGCTGCACAAAAATAAGTGATTTCCGTATCGGGGCATTTACTCGGCGTTAGAAGCTCTTGAATATGGCCCCTACAGATATCGTACTTACACGTTAACCGAGTCATGCTTCCTCGAATAAAGTCCCCTTACAAGTACACACATCCTCCCTTACTTTGCATCCATATTCCCCCTTGCCCACTCTCTCAACACATTCTTCTTAATCTTCCCCGTACTCGTCTTCGGCAACTCGTCCACAACAACAACCTCCCTCGGCACCATGAAGCGCGAGATATTGCTATTCCCCTTGGCCCACTGAATAACCTCTTCGCCAAGCGTTTCGCTATTTGTGCCGTCCTTTGTGGTGACGAAAGCTTTGGGCCGCTCACCCCAGTGCGAATCAGCAACCGCGCAGACACCGACCTCGAGAACGCAGGGATGTGTTGAAAGCATGGCCTCGAGGGCCACAGAGGATATGTTTTCGCCGCCTATGACGCGTCAGTGAAGTGCTCATCAGACAAAAGGTGATGAGAGCATACCGGAAATAATGATATCTTTTGCCCGGTCCAGGATCTGAATCGCCCCATCAGGATGCCAAACCGCTAAATCCCCGGAATGCAGCACGTCTCCGGCCCATAACTTTCTCGTCGCCTCCGCATCCTTGTAGTACCCCTTCGCACAACTGTTGCCCTCGAACACAATTTCCCCAATCTCTTTCCCGTTTTTTTCTACGTTGATGAGTACGCCTTCCTCTTGCTCCGTCTTGATGACGCGTACAGGTAGCCCGGTAACAAAGCCGTGCCCCTGACGTGCCATCCTAGCATATTTCTCTTTCTCAGGGAGAGTGTCCCATTCAGGCATGTGGTAGCCTTTCGTGATTGGGCCGTATGTTTCTGTCAAGCCATAGACGTGTACCGGATTTAGATTCAAGTTCGTCATCTGCTCAAAGAGCCATGCCGAAGGAGGTGATGCAGCGACCGTGACTCTTACCGAATGTGGAAGTCTCTCTGCCTCCTTTGCGGCGCATAGCAGTGTATTCACTGTAGGTGCGGCGTTGAAATGCGTGATGCCTTCCTCCTTCAATAATCGCCAAATCTCGGGATAATCGATTTTGCGGAGACAGTAGTGCGTTCCTCGGACTGCGGTCACGGACCAGGGGAATGTCCAGCCTGTTGCGTGGAACATGGGGAGTGTCCATAGGTACTTCGCGCGGCCGGTGTGGTAGTTTAAGCCACTTTCAATCACATTTCCCATTGCAGCGAGATAGACACCGCGATGTGTATACTCGACACCCTTCGGCCGTGCGGTTGTACCGCTCGTATATGCTAGCGCAATGACACTCTCCTCATTTTTCGTTTGTGATTCTAGATCCGTCCAGCCCTTTCCGCCTTTTTCAATATCATATTTCAAGCCCTCTAGCACGGCTTCATCGAACGGTCCGGAGAGCTCGCCTTCTGACGCATCCATATCCGTATCCACGATGATGGGAATATTTGGCTTTTGTTTCCTATAATCCTCCAATAGGTCTACAAACTCAAAGTCCGCGATGATTAAATCAACATCCGAATGCTGGAAGATATAGCTTATATCATCCGCCTTCAGTCGATAATTGATCGCCACACTGACGCTCCCTGCAGCGGCAATTCCAAATATACTCTCTAGAAAAGCAGGAGTGTTTGTTGCTAGTATTCCCACACGCTTGTAGCCATGTTTCCTTAGGTAGTACGCGAATCCTCTTGCACGGTCTGCAGCCTCGGCGTACGAGCGACGTAAGATCTTGCTATTAGCCGTCTTGTGGTATATCGCAATAGCATCTGGTTCGATCTGTGCTGCTCGCCATAGAAACCATGTCGGGCTTAGGGTATGAAAGTTGTGTCGGTGATGGTATTCATGACTATCGCCAGGGTGGATGGGTGGCGGACCGGGCACAGGGCTCGCGGAGGTGAAGTGCGATGCGAGTTGCTTTAGGCGTTCTTTCGGGCCCACCATGCTTCGCCTGGGTACGAGGAGAGAAATTAGAGTCTTAAGATAGAAAGCCACGCCGCAGGGGAAAGAGCTGTGGGCGATGTTCGTATCTGTATCGTCCGAGCTACAACAAGGCTATCGACGCCCAGGTGCGGAGAAGACCCGGGATGATGTGCAGGATAGCCGAAGATTGCACGCACGACGAGGGAATACTGTTCATACAATGTTGGTGTCGGCGAAGCACGCATATACTCGTGTGCAGTCCCAAAGTAAATTTACTCTCAGATAGCCCGAACGATGCCAATGAAAGGCGCGTTGCAGACATTATGGTCAGCTTGGGGAAATCTGGGGAAGGGTTTCCGACGTCAGAACCGAGGTTATCTGCTCATTGGCTCGCGTAATCGAACGCGAGCCGCATCATCCTTCTCCCCGACCTTGTTTAGCTCCGTTAGGACAATATGAACTGCGATTAGAGTATTGGGCTGATAGGCTGGATATCATGCAAGTAGTAGAATATAAGTTTCTGACAAGTCGCATGCGGTGCCGGAGCAAAGTCGGAAGAACAAATTCTGGATATATTAACGAACAGCAACGCCATCACCATGCTGTACATGTAGCCTTGGGATTTTCATTTCGTATTTCTTCTAGCCGGAAGAGTACCTGAGGACACAGCAGACCGACCGCGAAGAGACCCATGAACACGTGAGCACCTGGTAGTGATGTGCTCTTTTAGCCTGGACACCCTTTCGAATGGTCGAAGTATAGTAGAGGAAAGAAAGATCCCATGAGCCCAATGCATTCCACGCCAAACCACGCTACCGACACCGACACTGTTCATCATCTGTCGATATCTAGTATCCGAGGGAGGTGAGGTGCTCCTGGCTCTTGCTGTCAACCTTTGCCGTCTTCTTGGCCTCAGCCAACTGCCTTCGGGCAGCCTTCTTGCGCTCGTAGTATGCGGCACCCTTGACCTTCCTGCGCTCCTCAAGACTGTGACACGATTAGCGTCCTGTTCGGACCTGATTGCTGGAACAAAGGGTACATACCGGGCAACAACGTCCTGGTACTTCCAGCCAAACTCGTGACCGAGACGGCCGACGGTGCAGTACTTGCGGCCGGGCTTCAGCCTCAATACCCTCAGCGCCTGGGGGACGACGACGCGCTTCTTCTTGTCGTATGGTGCGGGAACACCCTCGAAGGTCTTCAGACGCTCCATAGCGGCGTTACCGCGGGCGGTCTTGTGGGGAATCATACCGCGCACAGTACGCCAGAACATCTTAGACGGGGCGCGGAAGTGGAAGGGACCTGAATGGGACGTTAGACCATGCGCGAGTTTCCACGTGTGTGCATTGCAAGTGTGTGCAATGCGGGATATCGGGAGAAGACGTACCACCGCGGGTGGGGTTGAAACGGGTCTGCTTGCGCAGGAAAGCCGAGTACTTCACTACATTCCAACGTCAGCCAATCTCATCTACAGCGGAGTATTCCAGAAACGACGCGTCCAGAGGAGGCACAGCGTGCAAAGCTGGCTACATGATTATGCTCCGCAGCCGCCAATGCACTCTGTGTCGTATGCTCTTCGCGTGCCGGATCGTGGTCGGTGGTGTGGACGTACGCTTCGCGCGGAAGAACTCTCCCGAGATGTTCAAGGCCTCACATCGCACAACGACGATCTTCTGGCCGTTGAGAAGCTGCTTGGCGACGGTGCTGGCGAGGCGACCGAGCAAGTGCCCCTTGCCGTCGATGACCTGGTGTTAGAGTCAGCCAGAGATTCCATGGGATATTTGGCGTCTGCTCGAGAACGCAAGACGGCAGCGACGTGCGAATAGTGACTGCCGTTCAACCGTAGAATGGAGTCGTGTGCTCTGGGCGTACGTACAATGACGGGTTCGAAGGTCGACATGGTGCTCGAATCCGTGTGTGCTGGTGGTTAGTTTGTCGATGGAGAGAGGTCGACCTCGACTGTGCGATTGACTGTTCGGTAAGCGAATTTCGACGTGGGCGACGCTAGCCTGCTGTGGGTCTAGCGCAACTTTTGTCATCCACAATCATTCCAGCAGGGCAACAGCCCGACCGCCAGGCCTTCGAATTGATGAACCGACTCGCATCTATCCTACAGCAATTGCAGTTGTAGCGATGTGCATTGCCGCCAGTCATGGTGTTGGACAACCCAACTTCGGCACGCTCCATAGTTGCGTGCTTTGCCGCCAGTCCTAAAAGACCTCTGGCAGAAAAGGCCTTCCAGCAATTTCTTCTCCATGCACTGGCAGATGCGGATCTTGTTAATACATCTGATAAAGCAAGACCGTCCAGTGCCTCTTCAATAGCCTCCAGTAGCTGGCCTCCGCTTCTATGTCATCGCGGCGCCGTTCCGCCTTGTACTAGTATCAACGCTCACGTGCAAGTTCATTAATTCTACTCCCTGGCGATGGAAGACCTCGTCATTGCATGCGTGACCGCCTTTCGTATGCGGTCCTACAACACCCTCCGTCCACCATGCCCTCCCGACCGACCAAGTCACTCGAAAGAATGGCGCTGACAAACCATTTCTTAGTATTCCTAGGATGTCGTTCGATTGCTTGCTTGGCAACTAGTTCGGTGAAGCGTCCCGAGGCTCGTCCTTCCCTCAGCCACAAGATGCTACTTGACTCTGACAACAGCCAATGCATGCCAAGTCAAGACATTATTATTGCTGGGCAACTTTCGCATCGAGGGCTTCCTTAACTTGGCCCTGCTTACGAGATCCCTTTCAGGATACCTCGTGCAGTAGCTGTGTCACCGCATATTGTGCAGCCGTTACCTAAGGGTATTGTCTCTGCATTGGCATTGGAACAAGTATTTGCGAACGCACAGCCGTTTTGCGGCTCGCTAGGCTTTCGCTATTATGTATTGAACGCGTCGATCAACGCCACATTCTTATTACTCATGTCATCTCCAGCATCTCCGCCAGGAGCGGAATCTTCATGCGCCACTTTTGAGCAGGCATTTGAGCGTTCACAGTCAAGCCGCAGCCTGCGATACGAACATCCATACGAACCTTGCCTTGGGTCGGCCTGTGGCTAGTTCGCGGCTAAAAGTCACCAGCACGACGAGGAACCAAGGTGGATATGGCGTCAAGATCGGAATGACTGACTCAAGCGATAACAACCCAACCACCAACAAAGACGAGTCCTTGGGCGACGACATGTAGCATCTTCAAAAGTAGGAGGTGTAGCGTACCATGCGCAACGCTGACGGAATTACAGAGTGTTGAATGCGGCGGTGCAACTCGCGATTCTACGTGGCTGGAGGGAGAAGTCAACGCCAAGGAAGTCTGGGTATGCCACAGCACCCCGTCCTGCAGCTGTGGAACGGCCGAAGAAGGGTGTGACATAACTCCGCATCGTGTGAAGTCAGGATTGCGAGTGACACCAAGTGAGCGGTCATCTAGCCCCGACACTCCAAGCCTTTGCCCTGCAAGAATCCCAGAGCACCAAGACGATGCTGCAGCACGACACGCGCTCCATGGACAGAGATTGCACTGGATTCAAAAGTACGCAAAAGCTGCATCTGCTCCTTGCATCCAATACTCTCACTTACTAAACTGGTACATCGTATTGCAAGGGAAACTTTAGCGGGAGAGCGGACCCACACCCACTGTGTCTTCAAAAGACATTCGGTGATAACAGCCTCCCACAGTTGATACATTGCGGTGAGATCCATTCACCCGCAGAACCATATTTTGTCGCCTGGCGGGCATGTCTATAGCTACACAACGTTGTCAGCATCCTCTTTCTCGTCGAGAAGCAGTACCAAGGGCATGGCAGATTTCGTGCGACGACGTTCGGACTTCGGACGAGTGACCAACCGCAAGAGGTCAAGACCCACCAGCCCCAATCAAGCCACGCTGTCAACCACTGTGACGCCTTTATCCGGCGCCAGAGCTTCTTGCACAAGACGCCGGTGCAGGAGGTCGGTGTTCGCGTCTGATCACGCTCCGATAGAGCCCACATCTGGGGAGAAAATTACAGCTCCTGGCCACATGACCGTTCTCGTTTTAGCCCTTGGATGCGAGTGAACACTCTTCGCGAACGCTGATCGCTGATCGCTGCTTTAGGCAGAAGCTTTAGGAGGACATGAGGAGGCGTAGCAACAGACAAGTTGCAATGGAACAACGGATCAGGCCATTTGGTGTGCGCTTTTAATTGTGGAAACATCGTACTGAATGCTCCGTCTTGCACCGGTATCAGTAAGCCCCAAGGATCAAGGCTCAATTCAACTTGTCTTGGTCTTGGAGTGGCGTGGGTGGCGCCTCTTTAGGATCCCTCACATTCGTCTCATCCTATGGCTTTAGCGCTGCCAGCAATGCCATGACGCCACAGGCTGCAGATAGGCGAATGGCTGTGCACCATGACTTGGCGGCTGTGGGTGCCGCTCCCGCTGTCTTGTGCTAGACACATTTGGTGCAATTAATGAAGGATGATGAGAAGATGAGAGGGGCAGCGGGGAGCGGTGTGAAGAAGCCAACTCGAAACAAGGCATCAAACGTCGAAAAGCCATGCATTCTCAAAAAATGGCTTCTCAAAAAAGTTGTCGCCGATGTCATTACACCAGCGTGCAAGCTTGGCTTCAGTTTGGGGTGAAAAGCGGACTACTCGGCGGAAATAACAGTAACTCGCTTCCGGCGTCCAAGGGCGGGACGATGCCATGGAACAGCGCTAAGACACTCTTCCATGAGAATCCTATTCTTTGACCCACCTCTCTCCGCCGCTGACTGACCCTGTCAAGACTACCCACCCATTTACTCTTAGGCGCAGCACCCCCCAGCCACAGCCATGCTTCCCAACTGTCGCCATGGCTTCTCCAGCTCCTACCACAGCTGAAGGTCTTCCAGCAGACTCCGGCCAACCTGGTCAGTATGACAACTCACAACACGAGGAAAGTCCCGAATTTGTCGAAGAAAACTCTCCGAGCAATGACGTCGGCTACGATCAGGCACCGAGGCCTCAACCTATGCAGAAACGACGACGTGTGACGCGCGCATGCGACGAATGTCGCCGCAAAAAGATCAAGTGCGATGGGAAGCAGCCATGTACTCATTGCACCGTCTACAGTTATGGTATGTTATCAGTGTCTCAATCTGACACCATGAAATGCGCTTGCGCATACTGACAAATTGCGCAGAATGGTATACACATACGCCGCAGTAAACTTTGATCCCTCACAACTTGGTACTGATTCGCTTTCAGCACGTATGATCAGCCGTCGAATCGAAGACGCAATGCCACGCCCCAATATATCGAATCCCTCGAAAGTCAATTGAAGCGAGCAAAGGCCTTATTGCACGTTGTCTTCCCGACCATGGACTTGAACGACTCCAGTATTGATGCCCATCTTCAAAGCGGAGTGTTACCGCAATTGCCCGGAGCAGCGCCGCGACCACCACCAGTGATGCCCACTGACTCGCATGTGGCGCAGCATCACGGAATACCCCCAACTGAGGAGACTTCAGATTCTCACTTGGAAGCAATGGTTAAAGCAACTGGCCAGCTGGACTTGGACGAGGAAGGAAAGTGGGACTATCATGGCCACTCATCAGGCCTGAGCTTCATGAGAGGACTACGACAGTTTGGAGATATGTTTCAGGTTCCTCCAGACCAGTCACCGTCCCTCAAACATCGAACAATGTCTAAAGATACGCCCTCTCCAAACTCCATGCAGTCGCCAGCTGGATCGTACAGCGCGTTGCCGCCTGGGACAGAACTACCGAGTAAGAAAGAAGCGTGGGCTCTCTGTGACCGGGCTATTCTTAATGCCAGTGCCTTGCTCAGAGTTGTTCATTTACCTACATTCTACAAACAGCTGAACCGAATGTACGAGGTCCCACCGGAGAACTATGGTACTTCAGAAAACAGCTTCCTACCGCTGCTATATGCCGTACTTGCTCTGGGTAAGCTTTTCGGGGAAGGAGACCATGAGTTGGACATAGCAAGTCACGACAGACTCACTGAGGAGGGGTAAGCAAGGAAACATCCAATACAGAGATGCATTAACTGACGTGGATTAGATTCAAGTATTTCAAAGCCTCCCGCCAACTCCTGGACATTGCCGACTGCAGAGACTTGACCTCACTCCAGGCGATCATCTTCATGATCCAATTCCTACAGTCATCAGCCAAGCTCAGTACCTGTTACGCCTACATAGGAGTTGCCCTACGATCTGCATTACGCATGGGACTGCACCGTTCGTTCCACATGAACTTTACTCCGATTGAAACCGAAACACGAAAGCGCATATTCTGGGTACTTCGAAGAATGGATACATATGTTGGTGCGATGCTAGGATTGCCACACTTTTTGGAAGAAGAGGACATTGATCAGCAATACCCAGTTGAAGTAGATGACGAGTACATCACGGAAACGGAGATTCTTCCTATGGCCGAGGGTAGCATATCGGTGATGGCTGCCTTCAATGCCCATACAAGGATCGTACAGGTGCTGAGCAAAATTTGCAAATACGTGTATCCTATAAAGGGGACGCAGTCGGATGGAACAAATTCTGTGACGTATACGGTGAGCTATTCCAAGATTCGAGAACTTGAGCAAGATCTAGCGCAGTGGCTAGATGAATTACCCATGGCGCTGAAACCTGGTGGGGAAGCTCCCCCCATCATCATCAGGTAAGTCATGTCTTGACTAATGAGCCGCATCAACTGACAATTATTCAGAGTTCAACAGCTCCTGCGAATGGCCTTCGGGCACGCGCAGCTACTGCTTTACCGACCGTTCCTGCATTATGTCTCGCAATCGTACAAGGACAAAACAGTCGATCAGAGAGCGTTCGCATGTGCCTCGGCGTGCGTAAGCGTCTCACGCAACATTGTTCATATCTCTACTGAGATGCGTAGGCGAGGTCTACTGGCTGGAGCGTCTTGGTTTTCTATGTACACCACTTTTTTTGCCATCGTCTCAGTCCTTTACTTCGTCCTAGAGAATCCAACCAGCCCCACGAGTTTTGAGCTGCTCCGAGATGCTGTCGAGGGCAAGGAGGTGCTGGCGTTCTTCGCTAAGCGCAGTATGGCGGCGGATAGGTGCAGCACCATGCTTCAAGTGAGTTATTTGAAATGCTGCTTTGGCGTGTAGACTTTGCTAATCTGTCAATAGAGCATGTTTGAGAAGCTGCCTGAATCCATCAGACATGGTGGAGAAATTCTTGAGTCTAGAAAACGACGACAGGAAAGCTCACCACAGCTTGCCGGACGCCCCGATTTCCTAAAGCAAGATGACTTCATGGGCCCTCGTCGTGCCAGTACCTTCCCAGAGAGCATACCCAACTCCAAGCGTACCGCTCATGGCCACTCGCTGCCTATTTCCCAAACGCACCTCGCGAACCTAGGTCTAGATCCCGCCTATAATTCACCCTCGGCGACGAACCCCGAATACTTTGATGCAGTCCCTAGTCTTACGCCCACATCGTCTACCGCCAGCCTGGCAAGTTTTGGTGTCGCCCAAACACACATGCCGCAGCAGAGATCATCGTTCCCTCCGACACCCTTGACTAGTTCATTCACAGATCCTTCAGGCTTGAATATCCCAATTTCCGACATCTCGACTATGATGTTTCCTTCTACTGACCCATTGGCGTATCCAAACCAACCCATGACCATGTTCGAAAATACACACCCACACGTATTTGACCGTAACACCAGCTCCCCAATTGTAGGCGGTATTCCGCATCAAATGTCTGGCATCGACATCAAGCCGCATCCCGCCAATTTCCCTCCGACTGGTATGTCCTCTGGGCCTGGTAGACGACTGAACGACAATGATGTACAGTTATTCGGTCCTATGCCGATGTATATGATGCACGGTGCACAAGCACAAGCACACCGGGGGTTTCCGCCTCAACCCGGGGGTTCTCTCATGCAGATGCCAGGACCGAACGTCCAATTCGGTGATTTGATCAATCAGGAGGAATGGGCGCAGACATTCCTGGATCCTGGCATGGGCCTGAACAACGGACGGCAACCGTTTAATGCTTCGCATTTTGGTCCTCAAGGCTCGGGCGGCTGGCGATGAGACAACAATCAGGCATATCGCAGATGAGAGTCCGAACGCTATCTTCGCGAGAACGAGGAAGGAAAACAAAAACTGGTGGCGAGATCGTCGAGGAAGCCTCTCCAGCTGGATTATAACCGGTAAATTGAGGGTGACGCGTCCAGTCCCAAAAGCTATCAGTGCCACAGCGATGTGCATTGACCCACGACACAACAAAATCGTACGACCACCCCGGAAATAATTACGATGAACGGCCGAACTCTGCTACGCCTTTTAAGGCGCGTTACGTCATACTCATGATTTACGCTTTCCGTGCTTCCTCGGGCGCTTTATACCCCTGATCAACCGGCTAGTACCGAAGTAGAGATCAGAGCCTCTCGACACTAGGCGATTGAGCGATTCCATGTTCGACGCATTACTCGTGTATTCGCTTCGAAGCAACTAAGATATCGGATTCGGAGGACTCCAAGGCAACTTCAAAATACATTTCCTTATCTTGAGATATATTTCAGTATTAGCGTTTCTAGACGATCGGCTTACTTATAGATTTCGCTCTACCCGGCTTGAGTAGGGCTACCAAAACGACGCTGCGCTTGATGGGACTGCTCCTAAGAGAGGAAAATCGAACATGAGAAGAATTAATGACATCGCGAGCGTTGCGGCGTATAGTTAATAGAAGAAACAATCCAAGAACACCCAACAACCTTATCAAAAACTTGTCAAGAGCTTGCAAGCTAGTTATCCGTACGCAAGTCTCCATCGTAAGATGCACAAAGCATCTGCCTACATTGGTAGCCAAGTCAGTGAGACCAAGCGCCTAGGGCTAGCCAGTAAACGACAAATCCGTTCTATACCAACAGAGCACGCAAGATGATGCGATGTGGTGGGAAACACCACGCGGAACGCGGCGGGCGGAGCGGGGTAGAGATGGAAACACCAAGGCGCCGAGATTTCCCACATCACACGCTGACACCCGTCAAGTGGTACTATCTTCAAACTCGTCATCGGCCAAGCACGATACACGATAGCGACAGGGTGATAGCGAGAGTTTTTACCTTGATACCGAGTATTGGCATCTAAGGACCTTCTTAACCAGGACATCGGGACGTCCTTATAGCTCGCACTAAGGTATGCCGCGAGCTTCCAAAGCTGCAATGATGCACATCATCTCCAGTTCAAGAAAAACGGCCTCTCTAACTTGGAGGTTGGATGGATAACGTATATCTATACTCCGCCCCTCCTCTTCCAGCGGAGTGTTGCATCCCCCGCACCTGCGTCGCCTTCTGTCCCTCTTCGTCATGGTTCATATGCATTCCCTAGCAGTGCTCTGCGCCGCCATAGTGGGCATGAGCAGAGCAGCTGCCCTAGGTTCCGCCCAAGAATATGCTGACGGCTCCGTCCACGCTCGCATAATGGGGATGAAAATGGCACGTGCGCCTGGCATCTCTTTAGCATCGTCAGCTAATTAGGTATTCCGCAGGCACAATGGGACGCAGAGCTTGCATCCGGTCAGATGGATAGCTCGAAATACCCTGAGCTTGGCTACGCACCTTGCGAAAATGGGTTTGCGGCCGCGATTCGCGGAGATTCCAATAATACCTTCAAGTGCAACAACGTTAGTCTCGCAAGAGTTCTTTAGGCTACACTGAGTACGCAATTGACTGTCGTGAACAGATTGATCTGTACCACTTCCTCTCGCACGCTGATCTTGGCAGCAACAAGGCTCGAGGTTCATCTTCTTGGGGTTGGACCTCGAAGGACGGAAGGGAGTTCGTCGCTATTGGGCAATTCGACGGTACTGCATTCGCGGAAATTAGCAGCGAGGGCAAGCTGGTATATTTAGGTCGACTGCCTCAATATGATCGCATTGGTTCGAATTGGAGAGAAATTCGAGTAGTCGGAGATTACGCCATCATTGGGTCTGAGGCGATCAACAGTGGTGTCCAGATCTTTGATCTAAAAAAACTACTCGACCTCGACCCGAAGAAGCCTACAAACTTTACCCAGGATGATCTAACTGGCCACTGGAACGAGCTGCCTGTGGGGCGGACACACAACATCGTGGTGAACGAGGAGCTAAACTATGCGATTGCTGTGGGTTCGGTCGGTGGAAATGAAACAATCAGGGTAAGGGGAGACCTACCCTGCCGTGGTGGACTGATCTTCATCAACATTACCGACCCTGCGAATCCTACCAGCCCCGGCTGTGCAGCTGGCGATGGCTATGTACACGATGCTCAGTGCCTCGTCTACCGTGGCCCAGATACTCGGTATCAAGGACGCGATATTTGCTACGCCTACAACGAAGACACTCTTACGATCTACGATGTCACAAACAAGGTTGGCAATGTTACTAACATCATCTCGATAACCAGCTACCCTGGAGCTGAATACGTGCATCAGGGCGTGGTTAACAACGAAACATGGCAAGAGTACATCTTCCTCGACGATGAGTTTGACGAGCGCGATGCCCGTGTCGGCCCCATGACACAGGGCCTACCCACAACGCACATCTTCGATATTCGAGATCTGGAAAACCCGTTCTATAGCGGCAACTACGAGGGAAAGAGACGCGCAATTGATCACAACCAGTACATCACCGACGGCTACTCGTATCAATCAAACTATGGCGCAGGCCTCACGGTCCTTGACATCAGGAGCATAACGGAAGATCCGAGCGGAAACAGTATCTGCGAGGCGGGTTTCTTCGACATCTACCCCGAGGACGATGATAAGGAGGGAGGAGGCACTGTGGCGTTTCTGGGATCCTGGTCGTCCTATGCGAATTTCAAGAGCGGGTTCATTTTCGTCCACACCATTGAGCGTGGCTCGTTTGTCGTCAAAATGACTAGCAAGGAGTGCCCCAAGCCAGCGGTTTGTGAAGCAGATAGCTGTCTACGGTCACTGCGCACTGCGAACGTCAAAGGCCGCCTTGAAGAGAGCCAGGCGTTTTGCGGAAACTTTACAGTCAGGCAGGTCGATGACCAGCGTGCTATCCCGGACTATGCGCGAGCGGGGTGTGTTGGGAATTCGACGGACGTTATTGCGAGGGTTAGCAGTGCTTGCGCTTGTGTGCCTACGAGAGCGGTTCCCGAGCTGCCGAGGACTACAAGTAGGCCGCCTGTTCCTACTGTGCTTCCACCGAAGATGAAGTAGGAGAGGGCAATGAGTTCAAGCCTAGATGTCTTTAGAGGTACGTTCATTTGCGGGAAATGGATGTATTATATGAAGAAAATATCCCCAACGCCCAAGAAACATGTTTTAAAGAATGAAAGAACGGTAGAACCAGTACATCACGCAAATGGAAATGAGTGTGGCGCTTCTCTTTAGGAGATCTTTGATTCTGGAAAGGCCTGGTTCTCTCCGTCGTAGTGAAACAAGACTAAGAGACTTGTCGAATAGCCAAATGTATCAGCGCATATGATGGCTAGTGGAAGCGTTATAATGTGTTCATAGTCGTGTATAGAAGATGGAGGAAGCGGTCCTGGAGTAGCGGCTCTGGAAGCGGCTAGCGCCATTAGCCACCAGTGGCTTGTTTTGACATTTTTAGAGCGACGTCATTGTATTGTCCTTCCTCAGAGCCGCCCACTTTGCGCATTTCCCTGTTGCTCGCACAAGACAGAGACGTATACTATTCCAGCCTACATGCTGTAGCACTCTCATCTCACCTCTCTTCCCTCGATTAGACTGAGCTCCAATCCTACCATTGGCGCTACCTCGGCCTGTTCCTGTCACGAACAGCTCAGCTTTGTTACCTCAGCTCTACCTCCGCTTGCAAAGCCCACAATGGCAACGCGCCGCAGATACGACCCCGATACCGAAGGCATCCCCATCACAGCAGGCATGCCATCAGGTACAATACGCCCACCAACATCCTCTGCGCGCCGTTCGCCCTTCCTCCCCACGCGCCTCGAAGCACAGCTACTAGCCATCTACCCGGCAACGCTCCTCCTCGGCAGCATCTTCAGCACCCTCTCGCCCGCTTCGCGAAGCGCCCCCTACTCGTCCGTCTCGCAATCGCACCCGCCCGAGTTCGCGCCCAGCTACTTCGCCCAGAAGAAAAACGTCTTCAACGTATACTTTGTGAAGGTGGGCTGGTTCTGGACCACTCTCGCTTTCGCCTTCTTCATAACCTTCCACCCGGGCTTTGGGCAAGGTGTTAGTACAAGAAGGGTCAGAGCTTTGCTGAGATATGCAGCCGTGACGACCTGGTGGGTGTTTGTCACGCAGTGGTTCTTCGGGCCGCCGTTGATCGACACCATGTTCCGGTTTACGGGTGGCCAATGCGAGTTGCTTAGAGACCCAGAGGCGAGGGAGGGCATGAGCGAGACGAGAGAGTTCATCACGGGCGCGACGTGTAAGGCTGTCGGTGGGACGTGGAAAGGTGGTCATGATATTTCAGGTCACGTTTTCCTGCTCATCATGGGCTCGTCGCTACTCTGGCTCGAGTTTCTGCCCGCCCTCACGCGCGTCGAAGGTCTACGTGACGGACGATTAATTACGCTATCGGACGGCAAGACGGCGACTGTCGCGGTGGAGAAGGAAGCGCATAAGGAAGGGGCCGACGCGACGGCTAGGGGCGTTAAGTTTGCGCTTAGTGTGGCCGCACTCATGTGGTGGATGTTGCTTATGACGGCTGCTTACTTCCATACCTGGTTTGAGAAGTTCACGGGACTCGCGGTTGCGTTTGTAGGGCTGTGGTGCGTCTACTTCCTCCCGAGGGGTGTACCGCAGCTTAGGGCATGGTTGGGTATGCCTGGTGTATGATGCCGACACGACTATGCGAGTGAGATGATATTTGGAAACGAAGTTCGCGCACGATAGCATAAAGCGAAAACATTTGTTCAATTGCACATATTTGTACTCCGACCGTTGTTTAACCTTTTCTACATTGTTTATTTTTCAACACCCTGCTTTCCAATGCTGCGCTTTCACTTCTAAGGAATGTTTCCAACGATGCAACATTACTCCAAGCCTTGTTCACAATAATAGATACACATCATTAAACTCCGCTAAACACACGATTTACAATACTTGATGTATGCGAAAGCTCTCTTTCTAGTGGGTTTCCAGTGAAAGCATTTGTAGAAAGATACTGATGTCAAAGTCTATTATCTGATAACCTTCGATGCTCCACGTTTCTACGCCGTATCTAGATTGAAACCTCTTTTGCGGCAAGCTACTGCTTCTGCAACCAGATAAGCTTACTCTGATAATCCGCCCTCGGCCACGCAATATTCAACCCGCCATTCATATACGTAGCCCCACTATACGTCGCATTATCCAAATTATTACTATACCTTGCTTTCGCATCCAACCCCTGCAGTCTCAGCGGCGGCGGCGCAGGCTTAACCACATACATCTGCTGAAACGCAAACACCACGCTCTGACTTCCATCTTCGCTAACGAACTGCACTCCAGGCCAGTTACTGCTATCAGGGTGCGCTAGGCGGTAGAAATCACCGCTGATAACGATGGGATTGACGCGATGCGCTTCGGCTATGATGGCGGGGACGGCAGATGCTTCTTCGGGTTTGAGTTCTTCTGGGTTGAGCTCGAGGCCGAAGGAGCCGCACATCATGGCGACGTGGCCGCGGTATTCAATGCTGATGTTACGTTTTGTAAGGCCGTTGGGAATCGCGGAGATGTGGCAGCCCATTGCTGACGGCGGGTAGACGAAAGACGTTCCCATTTGGATTGTAAGTCGGTTCGCTGCATCCGTGTTATCTGATGTCCAGTGCTGAGGCCAATAGTATAGTAAGCCTGCGTCGAAGCGTCCACCGCCAGATGCGCAGCCTTCCCATAGTACGTTGGGATAGCGCGTTGTGAGGTTGTCGATCACGCGGTAGAGACCGAGGATGTAGGTGTAGTCGTCTGATGGGCGAGATAACTCATGCATACCGCGGTTGTTATCCCACTTTACGTACTGGATGTTTGCTGAGTCGAGAACGCGTGATACAGTGCTGATGATGAAGTCTTGTACTTCTGGCAGGCCCACATTGAGAACAAGTTGGTTTCTGGTGAGCGTCCTTTGGTGCTTCCCGGCGTGTAAGACCCAATCCGGATGTTCGCGATACAAAGTCGAGTTGGGATTAACCATCTCTGGTTCGACCCAAATACCAAACTGCAGCGACGTTGAGGAGTTCAAGACAGAGAAGTTGTTCACCTGGTCGACGTAAGGGCGTAGACCATCTGGGAACTTGGCCGGGTTGGGTGTCCAGTCACCAAGGCCCAGGGAGTCATTGTTACGCGGGTACTCGACACCGAACCAACCATCATCGTTCACGAAAAGCTCAATAGCAAGCTCCTCTGCCTCGCCTGCTAATTTGACCAATGAGGTCTGGTTGATGTTGAATCCTAAACCTTCCCACGAATTCAACAGGATAGGGCGAGTCTCGTGGGTGAATTTGGAGCGCGAGAGATGGTTGCGGTACAAGTCGTGGAAAGATCGAGAGACTCCCCCAATTCCTTTGGAAGAATAAACCGCAACAGCTTCCGGAGACTGGAATGACTTGCCTGGCTGCACTTTAATGCTGGTGTGCAGCGAGTTTAGTCCCAACAGCACGCGGACATAGCCGTTCGAAAACCTCTCTGCCGTTGCTTGGAAGCTGCCTGTCCAGACCAAGTTGAATCCCCAAGCTTCGCCAGTGCTTTCGGTAGTAGTTGGTGATACAAGCGCAAAGAAGGGGTTGTGAACGTGCGATGCGTATCCTTCTGTGCTCCGGAAGCTGTTCAAGGTTAACAAATACTTAGCGAATGTAGATGCAGTACTCACGTGGTTTCGCCATAGTCAACCTTCCTCCTCACGGTGTTGAACTCGTGAGACCAATCGCCGTGCGGTTCAATCATTTCCAGGTCCACGTTGGGAAAGTCGGTGCTGAAGCTTGCCGCTCTTTCGATGCGAATATCGTTTGAACCATTGTTCGTAATGCTGAAACTCCGCGCAACAGCGTTGTACTTTGGAAATATCGAATATGACAGCGCGGCCGAGACATCAGACACGTTATCGTACAGCTGCACGATCAAGGTCGTCACGTTGCCTGCTCCTCCATATGTCGCGGGCAGTCCGGGTAGCGACGGCTTGCCTTGAACGATATCATGCGACTGATAGCGTAATGCAGAGACTGTGTCGCCGTCGGCATGCTCAATATGAATGGCAGGCAATCGGGAGTCGTAATGGCCAATGTCTGGGAACTCGCGGCGAAGATTGCCTTGAGTCTCATGCCATCCATAAGGCAAGATGGTCGCTGGTGGCGTAAACTCGGTAGCCGGTCCTCCAAAGTGGTCGGATAAGAGATCTCCAGACGAAGTGTCAACGTGAAACAGGTATGACATGCCATCAGCGCTCAGCGTAAAGTTTGTCCCAGTCGCAGTGATTGCTACAAACAGTCAGCAAAGATCCCTGGCATTTTACATTCCACTCATCATCTGCAGGGCTTACCATCCTGGCCAGCAACTGCACCTGCCAACAGCGTCAACACAAGAAACCCCTGAGAGCCAAACATGACTGCGGATTACCGTTGGACAATGCATTCTGGATACCGGCCAATGTCCCTCCAATATATGTAGCTCTCATCAAAGCTGTATGGTTAGCTTACAATCAAATACAACCGCGCTTCATCGTCGAGTGAGGGGAAGTGGGGAAACGCTGGGATCTACAAAGGCGGTGGGACGTGGCGGAGAAACATGGTATTGGAGGAAGTGGCGTTCGGATAGCGGACGCGTTCCCTCGTCGGGTTAGCACGAGCTCTAACCGGCTTGTGAGGAGACGATCTGGAAGTACTTGACGGTCACTGCAGAAATAGGTTCAACCCCTTACATCCATCGCTCCAGGGCACCGACTTCGGCTCTGGAGGATTTTGTAGGAACAGGTAGGCGGGTACGGATTCATTCCTGCAACTCTGGGATGGTGTGATAGGCCTCGGGACGACAGTATTTAACAGAGGCTTGTAAGGGATTGAAAAGATTGATTAAATAAACAAATCTATAAAAGACTGGCAGCTATATATACTTAAAAAATTAAAAGTTATATAATATATACTAGTTTTTAATACTCCCCTTTGCTTATTAGTTAATTAACTTTTAAAATAAATATTTACTTTTTTTTTTTAGTAGCTTTACTATAATTATACTAAACTTTTTAGCAAATATAAATTTATAGTTTATATAGCTAAAAGTATATTTTTATAATTTTACTAACGTATTACACAGGCGAGTTAGTTGCCTAGTTGAGTTAGTTACAATGCTAAGACCTTACTAAAATTAGTAGTTTTTTACTATTAAACGCAATGCCTTAATATAATAATATATAATTTTTTTAAAAAAAAAATTAAATATAGCTTGCAGTTTAAGCTTTAAAATGCAATGTAAATTTTTTTTAATAAAAAACTGCGCAGATCTACAGCATCTTTTAAATAATATTTAGTAATTAACTAAAAAGAAAGCTTTTATAATATAATACTAGGCTTAATAAAATAAGGCTTTTTTTAATAAAAGAAAAAGTAATTGCCTAATATATACTTTACTTTAAAAACTAAAAATTTCTGCTCTAACTAGCTGCTATAAATAATATAGCTAATACTTTACTAGCTAAATATAAGTAATTACTTATTAGCAGGAACTAGGCTAGCACGTTTATTAAATAATATTTATAGCTTAGTACTAAGACTTTTTAAAAGTATAACTACTAGAAAGCTTTATATAAAAATTTTAAGCTTGTATAAAGCTAGTTCTAACTTATAAAAAATATAAAAACTAAGTATAGTATTTAAAATAAAAATATATATAACTTTAATAAAACAGGCTTTATAATAGGCTAAATATTATATAAAACTATTGTTTTAAGTGCTAACTATTAAAAACGGCTAAAAATAGTGCAGCAGGGTAATTAAAAATAAGTAATAGTAATCTAAAGTATTAATATAATAAAGTAGGCTATTTTACTTTTTATTATTTTTGTAGGTAAAAACTACTTTTTAGCCTAGTATAAGAAAGATAGCCTGCTTTATAATTAAATTATTGCAATTTTTAAAAATAGCTAAATAATAAATAAGTTTACTTTTAAGTAGTTAAAGCACTTTAACAAATATACTAAAAAAAAAATTATTAGTACTTATTATTTGCTTATTATTAATAATTATAAGAGCTATATATTAGTCTAATTCTAGTAGTACTGCAAAAAATAAAAAATTATTACTTTTTATATACTTTTATATTTGTTGCACCTGCTATAGCTACTTAATATAAATTATTTTGCGCCTTTAAAAAAGGCGTATAAGTATTAAGCTAAAAAGCTAATACGCAATAGTATTAACTATATTACTAAAATTAAGTTTTTACTATACTTTAAACTAGCTTTTAATACTGCTATTATAAAAAGCAATATTTTAGGTAGCTTTAAAAGCGCTAGTCTAGTTTTTTTTAATTTTAAAGCTATAATATTAAAGCTTAATATTTAATTACGTACTCTACTACTATTTACTATTAAAAATAGTCCTTAAGAATTAAAAATACTAAGCAATATTTTAAAATTTAGGTTTTAATTAACGCTAGTTAAAACAAAAATTTAAAGGCACTTAAATAATTCTTCTACTTTAATAGTTAAAGCTTTTAAAAAAATTTTAAAAAGTGCAGCTATAATTGCGCATAAGCTTATATTAGCGTAGAAAAAAATTGCTAAGTTTTAAGTAGCTAATAAAGCTATTATACAATAAAAATTGCATAAAAAAAAGCAAATATAAAAAAAAAAAACTTTTATAATAAAAAATAGTTTTTAACTAATAACTTTAAAAGAATTTAAGGCGCGTAGTAATAAAAAAAAAGTAAAAAAGCAAGCGTATACTAAAGCGGGTAAGCCTTTTTAAAAGTGCTATAGATGCTGTAGTAAAGCTAAGTATAATATGCAAATATATAAGCAAAAAGTAAAAGTAGTTTTTAAATAAATTAGCTTATTATAATTTACTGCTATAGTTTTTTATAGTGCTATACTGTTGTGCATAGTACTAATTTTAGTAGGGTTTTAGCATTATAACTAACTTAACTAGGCAACTAACTTGCCCGTATAATACGTTAGTAAAAATTTAATTTTTAATATAGTTTTTAATATATCTACCCTGCGAGGAGAAAACTAGAATTAATAACTTTTATATATTATATAAAAAAAAGCATTTAGAACTTTAATATTTTAAATAGTTAAATATATTTTTAAAATTACTTTTAAATAAGTATAAATTTACTAGCAATAATGTAAAACTACTTTAAAAATTAAGTACTTTAAATTAGTAAGTATATTATTTAAAATAGTAATAAAGCAGTTTAAGTACTTAGTTAAATATTAAATTATAAAATATACTAAAAGTATATATATATTAAGCAACAATAGCTTAGTTAAGTTTTTAGGATATTATAGCCTAAGCTTAAAAAAGCTATTAATAATAACTAAGTTCTATACTTTAAAGCATAAAGTATAAGTATATAATATTAATTTAAAAATAATATAAATAGCTGCTATAAACTAGCTTTAACTTATAAACTTAGTAAGTAAAAGCATAAATAATAATTTTTTAAAAAATTACTACTTATAGTAGGCTTTTTTTTTTAAGTTAAAAATAGTAAAGTAAGCTTTATAACTAAAGTGTAAAAAGTTAAAAAGTAAAAAAAATGCCTTAGCTATTTTATTAAATTTTTAGTTTTGCTCTAGTATAAAAATTATTTAAAAAAGTAGTATTAAAAGCTTTTTATTTAGTAAGTAGCTTTAAGGCAAAAGCAAAATTAGTAATTTAAAAAAAAGTAAAAGCTAAAGTTTTTATAAAATTTTAAAAAAGCTAGCTTAAAAAGCAGCTTAGTAAGTTTATTAATAATTTATTTAGTAATTAATATATATTTTAAAATAATTTTGCTTTTAAATTATTTTTTATATATAAAATACTATTTAATATTAATATGCTTGCTTTATATGTAGTATTAAAATTTTTTAGTAAAAGTAATAGCCCTTTAATTATTATTATAAATAACTATTAAATTAAGTTTTTAGTTTAAAATTTTTTTTATTAATTATTAAAGCTAGATTGCTTTTTTAGCTACTTATATTTAATTTATATATTTAGCTTTGCAAGAAAAAAGTGCAATAATAAGTTAATATTTTAAAAACTAGCTAATAGCATTACTTTTAAAATTAAAAATATAGCCTAAAGTAAAATATTGCATATTTAAGTTTTTAGCTTAATTAGTATTAGTATAAGCAATTAAAGGGCAGAGTTTGCTTTAATATACTAACTTTAAGTTTTATATAAAATTAAAATAGCAAAAAAGGCGCTTAATTCTAGTTTTATAAGCTAGTAAAAAGTTTAATATAAACTAGCTAAAATAAAAAATTATAAAAGCAATATTTAGGCATATACTAAGTATAAAATATATTAGTAAATTAATAAATTAAGTATACTAGTTTTAGGCTTTTTTAAATGTAGTATAGTTAGCTAGTATTAGTAAAAAGTATTTATTTATTAGAATTGCTGTGCAGTTTTTGCAGCTAACTATATTTAAATTATAAATAATTTTCTATATATAGGCCTGCTAATTAAAGCAGATTATATAATTTAAGCAGTTTTATATAATTTTTATACTTAAATAAAAGTAGTATTTTTTAAAATCTTTTATTTTAAAATGCTAGGATAAAGCAATTTTAAGTGCTTTAATTTTAGTTAAATTAGGCCTAGTAATAAGCAGGTTATTTATATAAATAGCTACGTAGATATTACTTTTAATAAATACTTTTAAGTTTAAAGTAAAAAGCTTAAAACTTTAAAATTTTAAAAAAATTAATAAAATATTATATTATATTTATAAACTTTATTTAAGACTATAGAAGGCCTTGTTTAAGCAGTATATATTATTTATACTATTACTTAACTTTTTAAGTTACTAAATAAATACTTTTTTATTAATTTTACTATATAAAAAGGCTGTTTTAATATTTATTTAGTAAATTTTTAAATTAAAAGTAGTAGCAATAGCAAATAAAGCTTTATAGCTTATTAGTTTAATTACTAAGGCAAAAGTTTTTTAGTAGTTTATACTTTTTTTTTGCATAAACTTTTGCACTATTTAGCAAGCTTTATAGTAAAAAATCTTATTATTTGCGCTTTATTTAATTTTATAAACTTATTTTACTTTTAGTATTTAGCAGTTGCTAGAGCAAAAGACTAAAATAAAAATATTATTAGTTTTAAGTAATTTAAATTCTTGTTTTATTGCTTTAAACTAGTATTATTATATTATAGTATTATATTTAGTGTTTTTATAGTTTTTAGGCTTAATTATAGCAGCTTTAGAAGCTATAAAAATAGCTTTAATATAAGTAAAAAGTAAATTGTATTATTTATTACTAAGTTTATATTACTATACTATAATAGCTAAATATTAGCTATAGTTAAAGCAAGTAAGCAGACAAATTTCTAAATAGTTATAAAAAATATATTTAAGCTATAGTAGTACTAGACTTAGTAAT